CACGTGTTGCTTCCGTGGCTGCAATGAACTCTGCCTCGACAGCGGACAATGACATGCATTTTTGTGTCGCTGACTTCCAGGCTACTGGATTCCCGTACACTAACGCCACTGACCCCGATGTACTCCTTCTCTGTATGGTGGCATCGCTCGCCCAGTTTGCATCGCTGTGTGCGACTAGTGGCTCTTGCGACTCACTTGCCCTATAAACCAATCCAACCTGCCTTGTGCTTTCGAGGTAGCGTAAGACCCTTTGTGCTGCCTGGTAATGCTCCTGTGATGGTTCACGCATGTGCCTAGCGAGAACACCCACGGTAAGGCTAAGGTCGGGCTGGGTGCTGTTGGCAACCCAGAGCAGCTTGCCAACAATCACCAGATACTCCTTCTGTTGCGCTGCGCTTGCAACAAGGGTTCCCTCCGGTATGCTCTGCATTGGAACCATGGTCGGCTTTGTACGTTTGTCCAGGTGCTTTGCCAGCACTTGGTCAATGTACCCTGAATGACCAATCGTCATGGTGCACATTGCACGGTCTCGACTGATTTTGATGCCCAGGAAGTGAGAGACCTCACTGCTATCTTCCATCTTCCATCTCTGGCCAATCTGCTCCTTAACCTTTAGGACCGTTTCCAGCCATGGTGCTATGACTAATGTATCATCGACGTAGATGACCACAATTGCCATATCTTCACCCTGTCCCTTGGTGTAGATACAGGGAGCGCACTCTACCTGGAAGAATCCCATGCGTCGCAAAGACCTGTCGAACTCCTGATTCCATTCTCGTCCAGACTGCTTTAGGCCGTATAGACCCTTGATTACCTTGTACACCTTGCCAGGTGCTACTCCTGATCCTTCTGGCAGCTTCATGTAGATTGCTTCCTTTAACGTGGAGTTCAAGTAAGCCATAGTGATGTCCAGAGCATGTACCTCCCAGTTGTTCTGCACCGCTAGTGCTAAGATGGCTCTGATCGCTCCAAGGGGTGCTACTGGAGAGAAGGTTTCTTGGTAGTCGATCCCCTCTCTCTGTGTGAAGCCCCTTGCAACCAGTCGCGCCTTGTGCTTAACAGGTACACCATCAGCGTCAAGCTTCAGCCAAAGCACAACCTTAGAGTCCACAAGTGGTACTCCTGGCGGTTGGTGCACCACCTCCCAAGTCCCCATTGCCTCGAGTCCTTCTAGCTCCTTTCGTATTGCCTCCTTCCAGAGCTGGGCATCCTCACCGTCCATTGCTTCCCCAAGCGTTGGGTCCAGGTTCAGTATTGCTGTGTTGGCGGCACCTACTGTGCTGTCTTCGGCTGGTAGGAGATCCTCCACTGCGGCTGGCGTGACACCCTCCTCCTCAACCTCCGCGGTCACCACGGGCCTGACTGCCTCTTGTTGGCGATCACTCCATCCTTTATCCTCATGGAATGTTGCTGAGTTGCTCCATTGGATTGACGCTGGCTGGTCCGGGTTGCAAAACTTCCATGCTTTGTGTTCGTCGTCATACCCAATCATGATGGCTGGCTTTGCTCTAGCCCCATACTTGCCTTGCTGGTCCTTCTGTTGAACATGAACCCATGCCAAGCATCCGAAGACTCGCAGCTGCTGGGCCAGCTTGTGTGCGGTGGTTCCATAAAAGGCCTCGTGGGGAATGGTTTTGGTGGCTGACGGGGTAAGGTTCATCACGTGTGCTGCTGCCGTGATTGCATACGGCCACAACTCTCTGGGGCAAGCTCGACCAATCAGCATCGAGTGCATCTTTTCTTGGACCGACCTGATTGCTCTCTCCGCCTGTCCATTTTGGACGCTGATCCCCGGGATGCTCTTTTGCCACTTGAAACCCTCTTGAGTTTGCCAGTCTTCGGCTGTTATGCTGCACCATTCTCCTCCATTGTCGCTGCGGAGTGTTTTGAGTTTCCTGCCCGTTGCCCGTTCCATCCTGGCTATCCACCTCCTCAGCGCCGTGAGTGCAGCACTCTTTGTGCAGAGTGGTTCCATGTAGATCAGGGAGGAGAAGTCGTCCACAGCAACTAGTGCGTAGTGGTAGTTGGCATGTCCTTTGAAATCTGTCATCAGGTCTATGTGTACCAGCTCTAATGGTGCCTCCATTCTTTCCGACTCTGATTGGCTCATCCGTGCTCGAGTCTGTTTTCCTTGGCTGCACGCGTTACAGTGCTTCGACTCATGTTCCATTTCCTCATCGGTACCTAGGTAATGAGCCCGGATTTGCCTCATTTTGTCTCGTCCTGGGTGTCTGAACCTCTCATGCCATAGGTAGCTGTCTTGATGCTTCGTGTCCTTATTGCCCTCTGGGGCATTATCTAGTTTTCCTGTGTTCTGGTTGTCCTCTGGGACATCGTCAAGTGTCTCTTCCAACTCCAGGGCTAGTGCCTTTCCCTGTACTTCGAACTGCCCTTTTCTTCTGTTCCTCTTGTATTGTATTCGTGTACCGTCATTTTGCTTAATGATGGTTCCAAACTCATCAAAAGTTACCCGTGCACCATTCTCGATCAAGCCTTGTACTGATAATAAATTAGAATTAAGTTTCGGCACATAGAGCACATCCAATAGTTGAATGGTTACATCGCCAACCCGAAGGGAGGCGTCTCCTATGGCCTTCACTTGAAGCCTTTCATTTCCAGCAGTACAGATCTGACCGTCCTTGTGCATCGAGGTGAGCAGCATTCTTTCATCGTTTACCATGTGGTGCGTTGCACCCGAATCGACGATCCAGGTGTCCGATGTTGGTTGCTCATTCCTGCCGATTGCTAGGAGGGTGCACCCGAGTTCCTATTGACTCGCTTCTTGTGCTGGATTGGGGGTGGGTCCGTCTCTACTAGGTGCGGGGTTATTGTTGGTGTTCGTGCAGTTTCGAGCAATGTGATTAGGTCCTCCACAAGCGTAGCACTTTGGAGGGGCCGAGGGGTTGCGAGGATCGCGCCTGCCTCTGGGTCCTTGCTCCGCCTGGTCCGTGCTTGTGGCAACCCTTGCTGCTCCTCTAATACAGCCGGTGACCTCACCATCCTGCTGTTTCTTGGCGAGTGCGTGGTAGGCTTCGTCATACTTACAGTCTGGTCTGGCCATTTTCAGTGCGTCGACGGCGTTGGCATAGAACCAATCTTGGGCCGTGCAGCAATAGAGAGTTGATTTCTTGAGGTCCTCGTCGAAACACTTTCCCAGGCGTGCTGCATCGTTCCAGATCGAATCGAGTTCCTTGCCTAGCCTGACAATGTCTCGATTGTGCAAGCGCACTGTGTGAATACGATCCTGCAGTCCTGCTCGCTTTACAGCGTCGTTTAATGTTAGTGCCTTCTTGAGTTTGGCATAGAGTGTGCTACCGAGCTGGACTTCTTCATCCACTCCCCTGACGGTGTAGGTGTCGATACGGCTGTCTGGACTGTTGTCACAGCAGGCGTGGATGAGGCCCATGAGGGCTTTATCCAAGTCTTTGTCGTATTCCTCGTTTCCAGGCGCTACCGTGCCATACAGTATCTCCTTCGCATTATGTACTCTTTGGAGGCAGTCGATGAAGGTAGGTTCCCAAGTGTGCCAGTTGTTGTCGCTGAGCTTCTTGATGTGCGCAATGGTGCTCGACACCTCCTTGGGGATCTTCTCAGTTTCCCTGTGCGGGGTCTGGTTGCTAATGCTGATGAGACCCATAGCTCATACGATTGCTTCCTCGGCCGTTAGTGCTGGGTTCGCCAGCTGGAGGATCCTGACTACCTGCGTGAGCCATCCTTCCTCCTGTCCGTTGCCTGTGGTCGTTTGATCATCATCGCCCCTTCCCGTCTGTCCAGCTCTTGTCGATGGCGGCATTGCGTTGAGTTTCAGACTCTTAATCAGTTGAAGTCATTCGTCAGTGCGTTGAAGTCATTCGTCAGTGGTTGGAGTTGAGGCGTCTTGTTGATGATGATGGTGGGAGAGAGAGAGAGAGCGAGAGAGCGAGGAGTCTATATATATACAAAAGAAGAGTGGCAGAGAGCCGCATTAACTGCGGAGCATAACAAAGCATTTTGTCTTGAGTAGGTTGTGACACATGTGGTCTGTGCTCAGTTGCTCAGGCCTTTTACTCGGCCGTAAGCACTACCCTCACTGTCTCTACGCTTTGTGTAGCCTTATCTACTTCAACTATCCCATCCTTCATTAGTGAGGAAGAGATTTACCCTAGCTTGCATCTGTCTGCCAAGCTTGATTTGGCTGGTGAATGGGCTGAGGTTGTGCAACCCATAGTAGAGTGCACTAACACACTTGACCATAATGGAGACTGGAGTAATCACCTGTTTGTTATCACCAGTGATGGCAAACTCCAATAGGTGGTCCTCCTTTGGGGAGTTTGGGGTACCATACACTTCATTTGCCATTACTTGGTTGAAGCAATTCTGAAGGATTTTTGGTAACTGGGGCAAGAGATCTTGCACCAGGGTGATGAAATTGTCATATAGAAAGTAGCTGATGTTAGACATCATTTTAAGTGTCTGATTGGAGGTAGTGAAAATGACAATTTGGGCTCATAACCTGCTGGAAAATAGAACTCCGATTGACCCTTATCAGGAGGTAGTAGTCACAGTACAGTGTCCAAGCTTATCGAGCTAAACACTATACTATATTGACATTGGGAAAGAACACTGTGGTAGCTCAAGCTCTCTGTTTACTATCTATATACATTCTGGTTTGTGGCTGTCTGTGAGAATATCCCACCTAATGACCATCTGTGACAACAGATGTGTCACTGTTGCCCTCGATCATCATCATGTGGGCCTGCCTGATCTCCAATCTGATTAACCCTCCCCAATCAGTCACCAGATCGTGTTCTGCTGGATCGTTATCTCCAGCACAAAGAACGCATCGTCCAACTCAGCCCCTTCCTCCTTACCAGCATTTTCCCCATCTGCTCTTCTTCTTCCATCACCAACCCACGAACCCACCACCCCACCAGCTCAGTCTATTACATCACACAGGCTCATACTCGCTGCCAACACGCTCCATCTGCTCTCTTCTCCCCAGCTGTAGAGGTGTTTTGAGGATGAAAGCGTACAAAGGAATGCTTCTGACTTGGTAAGTCCCCACCTATCGTCTCCCCACACCCTCTTTCTTCTTCCTTCTTCCTTCTCCCTTCTCCCTTCTCCCTTCTTCCTTCTCCCTTCTCCAGTGCTGACTCTTGCTCCTCGCACTTCGCTATTTCTCCTCCCGTATCGCTCATCGTAGCGACGCAGCAGTAAAACAACTCATCCTGTCCCTAGACGAACGTAATCGATTCATCATCATGGATCTAGACGAAACCCATCTCTTGATCTCTCCTGATCGCATAGATTGGTTGCGGTCTGAGCTTGAAGTCGAGGTAAGTGTCACCTCCCAAGTCTTTGTTTGAGATGAAAAGGTAGCTGACAAAAAAAAAAAATGCTTGCATTTGGGATTGGGTTGATGGTAGTTGGAGAAAAATACTTATACTCTCGAAGCATAGCCGTAGCCAAGACGAATGAAAACGCTCAGCCAGCTACAGACATCATTCGGTACCTTTCTAGATCAGATACAGGGCACGAAATGTGAAAGCATCAGCAAGCAGAGCTTTTACCAGCATAAAACAACCCACGCAATTCTGCAGTATACCCGCATCGCTTTCGAACAAGCGCCGCACAAATCATGTACAACAGCACATCAAATTCAATTCAGCACAGTCTCAGGCTCGAAACAGACAAGAATGATGTTTTTGTGGGGATGATGGCGATAGGATTGAATAGTGACGAGAGTAGGAGATGTGTGTGGAGGGGAGTGAGGTGAACGGAAGGAGATCGTCGGAACGAGATGGGATAGAGGGGGTGTGATGACGTGCGAAAAGATAGAGTGAGAGGATGGCGGGAATGAGAGGACGAAGACGAGCTATGTGAACGAAACAGATGGGATTTGATGAGGGAAGAGATGTGAAGATGGGTGAAAGAGAGGACAATCGGCAGATAGCGAGGGATGTGTTTGCCAGCCTACGTGTTTGACGATAAAGAAAGGTGATGGAAGTCGCGAAAGGGAAATGGATACGTGAGGTGTTAGGAGAGTATCGAAGGCAAGCGAGATGTGGTTGAGTGATGCTGATGACTGCGCTCATGAAGGATGTGTTTGAGGTTGGGTGCTCCGTGAGCGAGAAAAGATGAATCTGTGACCATTCCTGGCTAGTGGCAAGAGGATCTCGGAAAGATGCCTCGACGACAGAGCCAGGGTGAGATGTCAAGAGTGAACGATCTCGACGGCTTGCATGTGTCAGGCAAGCTTCGACATTCGCAATGAACATGGGCGCTGTGCTGGGCGTCTTATTGCGCAGGCGGGGCACCCTGTCCCCTACCCGTACCACCACCACCGCCTCGTGATCCACCACCCCTATGCCTATGCGGTACACTATTACTGAAGTTCTGATTCTGCGGAATCGCACTTGCATGCATAGCCTGCTGACCCGGCGGAATCACCGGTCTACCTTCCTGCCTATTCCCATTCTGACCTCCTTTCTCCCCCTCCTGAATAAGACTCGGGGCAACATACAACCTCTTATCAATATTGCTCGGAATCGGTTGGATCTCCGTCCCCAACTCCTGCTCGATCCTATACAGATTAAACCTATCCTCGTACGTGATTAGGTTGATCGCCAAACCCAAATGACCGAATCTACCCGACCTACCAATTCTGTGCAAATACGTCTCTGCGTTCTTCGGGAAATCAAAGTTGATCACCACATTCACCGCTTGAATGTCAATACCGCGCGTCAAAAGATCCGAACAGACCAGGTTGCGGCATGCACCGTTACGAAAGTCGTGGAAAACCCTGTTTCGGTGGGATTGAAGCATTTTGGCGTGCGAGTAGAAGCAGCTGTATCCCAACTCTGTAATCTTCTTGGCGAGCAGTTCGACACGGTTGGTGGAATTACAGAAGATGATGGATTGGTTGATCTGGAGTTTGGAGAAGAGCGTGTTGAGACAGTGCACCTTTTGTCGCTCTTCGACAAAGGCGTAGTATTGGGTGACACCACGGAGGGTGAGCTCGTCCATGAGGTTGATCTCGTACGGCTTGACCATGTTGCGATCTTTGAAGTCCTTGACGATCAGAGGGAAAGTGGCGGAGAAAAGCATGACTTGTCGCTCTTTGGGCAAGAAGCTGAGAAGCTGCTCCATGACAGGGGTGAATTCGGGCGAGAGAAGCTTGTCGGCCTCGTCCATGACGAAAGTATGACACTGGCTGAGATCAGCTACACCCTTACCGGCAAGATCGAGGATACGACCAGGAGTACCGACAAGCATGTGAACAGTCTGTCCTAGACGCAAGATATCATCTCGCAAAGTGGTACCACCAGTAGTGACCATGACTTCAACACCGAGGTGCTTGCCAAGTGTCTTTGCGACCTGACTTGTTTGAAGAGCAAGCTCACGAGTGGGCACAAGGAGAACAGCCTGGATCTTGTTCTTCTTGGTGTTGAGCTTTTCGAGCGAAGGAATGACATAGGCGGCGGTCTTGCCAGTACCGTTTTTGGCACGCGCAAGAATATCACGACCGGTGAGGGCGATAGGGATAGCTTCTTCTTGGATGGGGGAAGGACGTTCGAAACCGGCTTCGAAGATACCCATGAGAAGTTCCCGTTTCAGAAAGTAGTCTTCAAACTCGTTGCCTTTGGTGTTGAGGACATCCTCAGTTTGAGGACGTTCATCTTTGGCGATCTTGGAAGCGATCTGCTGCTTCCAAGCTGCTTCGGATTGTCCTGACGCTGGCCCTGCTGACGACATTGTGTATGATATATATATATATATATATATGTGTGTGTGTGTGTGTGTTGTGGGAGGGCGACTCGTGCAAGTTATGGTCTTCGGTATGGGTATGCGAGCTGAAATGCTTCGTTGCTCAAAGATGTGATTTCTAATCGACTAGGGACTTGGAGGAGCGTCGATTGTGTGTTGCACTTCGGGTTGAGATGCGACGGAATAGCCTGCGGTCTGGTCTAGAAATACAGGATTCCAATGAGATGGAGTGACGACTGCTGCAATTGTAGATTGACCCACTAGTGTAGCAAGGAAGGTGAATTGCGTGAAGCAACGAGATTGGGTCAGAGATGGAGTTTGTGGGAGATTGCTGGTGTTGGTGTTGCAGGGCAGACCTTGTTGCTCGAAGAGGTCGAAAGTGCGCTGCGAGACGAGATGAGGTGCGAGAGCCGTACGTGCACAGATATTTGTAGGCAGTGTAGGCTCGAGTTGTTGCTGCCGATGATTCAACGAGAGCGACAACGGGATGAAGGAGGAACTGCGATGGTTTTGCAAGTTATGAGAGCACTACAAAAGACTATGCTGGCGCTGAAGGTAGGATGTGCGAGTGCGAGTGCGAGCGCGATTGTTTGGAACGCAGAGTCGCTCTGTCGTGGTATTGCTTGCTGTCAAAGAGGTTGAGTGACAGCCGAATATAGTCAAGGCTGGGTCAAGGGTTTGTGCAGCTTCTTGCGAGTGATTTGAGCTGGATGAGAATGTTGGTTGCTTTGTTACAAGAGCTGCTTCGTTGATGATGATGAAGAAGAAGGATGAGGTGAGAGGGGAAGGGAAGGCGACGAGCGTATCGACAGCCGACGACAGCTTTTCCACCTTTTCTGCCCGATCTAATAATCGCAATTCTTTCACTTTTCCTATCTTTTCCTTTCTTTCTCAGGAACAATTAATTGTATTGGGGAGCGCTTTGTTCTCTCTTCTTTTGCCTCAATTTGAGCTCTCTGAGCTCTATTGTGATCAGCCTTCCAGCGCATTCTCTCTCACGGCCGAGTATTATCTCCACTCGACCTTTCGACGCTCAGACATTCATTATCCTTCTCGACACACCTCTCTGACATCGTCTCCCTGCTCTCACAACTTCCTCACCACAGCTACGAGCTTCCAACAGCATGTCGGCAGCAGCAAGAAACGTCGGCGTCACCGCAGGCGCATCATCGTCTCGCATGGTGGCCAGCGCCTTCCGTCATTCAGCACTCACTCGCAGCTCTCGAGCCCTCTCCTCCTCTTCCTCCAACAGCAGCATCAACGGCCCATTCAAGGCAACAACACCTTCCACCTCCACCACTTCCACATCTCCAACACCCAGCAACATCGACTGCCTCAGCTGGGGCAAATACCTTCAACTCCGAAGATCTCGTCGTCTCGCAGGCATGGTCACCACCATCCCCACCACCTTTCTCGCAGGTGCTGCAGCCGGATCTTACTTTCTCACTCTCGAAATCGACCCTAGCAACTCCATTGCTGGTCTAGATCCAATCTACATCAACGCCGGCTTGACTCTTGCATGCACAGGTCTCGGCTGGCTTACAGGCCCCACAGTTGGCGCTTCGATTTGGGCGTTGCTTCACAGGAAGAATGCAAAGCAGATCGCGCAGAAGGATCACGATTTCTATGAGCACATCAAGAGGAACAGGGTGGATCCGACAAGACAATCTGTGCAGAACCCAGTGCCGGACTACTATGGAGAAAAGATTGGCAGTATTAAGCAGTACAGGCAGTGGTTGCGTGATCAGGTAGGTTCCAACTCTCTTTGCCCAGACTTAAGTACATCTGTAGGCCATCTAGCTGACATTGTCTTTTTTCACTCTCTGTTCGTTCCTCTCACAGGCCGCATTCCGACGCAAAGCAGCACATGGACTCGAGCAAGATGCATGAATCTCAAAACTGTAGCTATATAACGGAATGCTATCTCCCACTACTCAGACACACTCCCAGACATTTAAGCCCTTTCCTGCTACGAGCCTGTTCATCAAGCGCGGTCTAGCACGATGACTTGATGATAGTATATGATGGATTGGTGAATTGCGAGATGTGTCGTTGTTTAGTGGCGGTGCTTTTTTTCAACCTTGACTCTCCCCTCCTCGAACAAATTTCTTGGTCTGAAAGGCCACTTTTCAAACATCCGAGCCAAGCATGCCCACTGCACGTTCGTCAGCTCTCCCACGACATGATCTGGTAATATTACCTCCTCTTTCTTGATTAATCCCTTCTGGACCTGTTCTGGGCTGGTCATCTTGAGCACGTTCTGTCCTCCCGGAGCTACGTGTGTCAGAGCATCCCCAATTGGCTTTGTGCGAAGAATGAAGAGGTTTCGAGTGACAAACTCGAATGCTTCGATCTCGCTTGCTTTCACCAGCGGTTCTTGCTTGGGTGTAACGGTCATCATTACCATCCCTGTACGTGTCAAGCCGGTGGATGGGTTGCTGTTCGGGATCAGCGAAGTTCCCGAAACTGTGACTCGGGGACCCATGGCCATTGTGGGTGGGAAAAAGTGGTGGCCGTGCGGTTGCAACTCGTGTGCGTAACGACCAACTTGAACATCTGCGAGACATTGTACCGTTGTTCCAAGCTTACCACGCGAAGCTTTGTCTCCTGCTTCAGCTAAGCATCGTTTCGCAAGAGACTCTCCACAAATGAAACTGAGCTGGATACGTCCGTGTCGGAACAACCAGATTCGATTGGCGATAGCTGTGATGATCTGCGCAAAAAGCTGCTCACCATACACAGTGTTGGGAAGTTGAGCGAAGAAGATGATCGGCGAAAGCTTCTGCCAGCTTGCATCGGAATGAGGAAGCGAGATGAAATCTGAAGTGGAGAAATCCACAAATGAGCCATCCGAAGTCGTAACCCGGTTGTTGAGGTGTGCAAGCCTGCCTGAATCGACAAGTTTATTGTACGTAGTCCACATATACGCAGACGACTCGAGAATGTCAAATCTCTCACCCGATCCTGGCTGCTTTTCTTCCATTTGAGCTTTAAGAAGTCCAAGCTTGCTGACGTAGCAAGGCGTCGATTCGAGCGCAATCACCTTCTCCACCTTGGGCAACTTGAGCATTTCGTCAGCAAACGTTCCTGGTCCGGGGTACCCTTCGATAATGGTCACCTTTTCCCCCTTGCGTTCCTCCGAGGTAATTCCAAGTTTTGAGATTATGTCTTTGATCGTTGAACGATTGCTGATAAAGTATCGATAGCTGGTCTCGTATGCTTTGGAGTTGGGGAATGCCTTCTTCCATTGGCCTCGTGGTGGGAGGTGGTCGTACGTCATCTCTGACAGCAGATACTCCGTCTCTTCTGCGGTCAAGACTTTTCTATCATTCGCTGCAGCTGCTGCTGCAGCTGCTGCTCTTGCTGCTGCAAGCGCTTCCTTCTTTGCTAGTCTTGCTGCCCCTTTTTCCGACAGTTGACTATTCTTTCGTCGTCCGGGTTTTCCCGTCTTCTCTGGTTTCTGCACACTTGATTCTGTAACATCTAAATCAATAGCAGCTCCCACAGCTCGCCTTGTTCGTCTTCGACTACGAATTGGGACGCCAAGAGCTTGATTGGCCAAACGGATGGCTTCCATTTCTTCCGTCGTGCGACGCTTGCGTTTTGGCTTGACTGGTTTGGTTTCGCTGGAGCCTTGGCTGGCAGCTTTCGTTGAGTCGATAGTGATTGAAGATGCCGAATCCAGGGTGGTAGACGTTCGAAATGTCCTAGGGGAAGGTCCAGCTCGTAGTTGAGCCAGAGCTGCTACTCGTGCTGAGCTGCTCACGGTCACAACGCTTCGAAAGCTGCTTGCCAGCTCCACGATCGAAGCTCTTGTCGTTCGGGCTATCGAAACCATCTTGTTGACTTTCCCTCAAAGCTATTGCTCAGTGTTTGATGGAGTAAAGATCGAAGTCGAAGGTAAAGGTGGAAGGTATAGTCATTTCGTAACGCTTTCTTTGAGGAATTTCTGATCAAGATTTCTGCTTTTCTCTACGCACAAATTCGAAATTCGAAAAAGTGGGCCAAATTCTCGGAAGACGGAGTCTAACTCAAGCCTTGAACCCTTTGCCTGCCTCCACGCAACTCAGCACTCGACCTTCTTCCCTCTCACTCTCTACTCTCACCTCTGAGCCATCATCATACCACGCCAGGATCGACAATCAGAGGCCAGCCTAGAGAGCACCTTGCTCGGGCAGCAATCAAGATGTCCTTCTCCCTCTCCGAAATGGACGATTCGTTCCGTGTCCTCTCCCTCCCACCCACAGCCACGGAAGCAGAGATCAAGAAAGCCTACCGCAAGCTCTCCCTGCGCTACCACCCCGATAAAGCAGGCAAAGATGTCGACCCCATCAAAGCTGCAGCTCGCTTCCACGAAATCAACCTCGCCTATGAGACGCTTATGGACCCCGCTGCCCGAGCGCGGGCCGTGCAGCGAAATGCGGAGGACACAGCCAAGCGAGAAAGACAGCAGCAGTACGAAGGCAAGCGCCGGCAAATGGCGGATGAACTCGAGCGCAGTGAGAAGGAGGCCCTATCAAAGCGGCAGGATTCTGACAAGAGGGCGAGAGAGAGGATAACAAAGATCGCCGAACTGCAAGAAGAGTCTAGGCGATTGGTGAAGCTGAAGCAGGAAGAGATCGATGCAAAGGCGAAACAGAAGCACGATGCAAAAGCGGCTAAGAAAAGGAAGGATGAAGAGCAAGCAAAGGCTGAAAGGGAGCCAGAGCTTCATCCGCTAGACAAGACGGTCAGGGTGCAATTTCCTGCGTCTCAACTCTCCCACCTTGCCGGTACACCGGAAGGATCTCTCTCAGCACCGGATGCACCGCTGTCAACGCCAATGGCGAACACCTTGGCGAATCAGTTTGGAGAGCTAGAGCATCTGCAGTTCCAGCTATCTTCCTCGGCGAAGAAGACGAAGAGAGAGTTGATGGCGCTGGCTACCTTCAAGACTCTTCAAGATGCATGGCAAGCGGTAGTGACCGGCGGCGAGATGCGATGCACAGGGCTGCTGGAAGAATGCTACATCGGGTGGGCAAATTATACAAAGGTGCAGCGAGGAGATGGAAGCGAAAGCAAGGACAAAGTCTTTGTAGAGCCCGAGAGAGTCAAGTGGTACAAGGAGCATGGGATCCTGCGGCCGAGCAACGTTGGCCGTGTACAACCATCGAGAAGATCGCATGTTGCCCAAGCGGAAGTTTTAAAAGAAGAGCATGGCCCATCGAAGACAAATGGCGGAACATCGACGGCGGCGGCAGTGTATTCCAAAGCCTACGAAGCGCAGACGCTTCAAAGGCTTCGCGAAGCAGCGAAGCAAAGCTTGCATTCGACGTCGCAAGCTCAACCTCAAACAGCACAATAGAACAGCAACGTCATGTACTTTTATCACCAGTGTGTAACACTCTATACCCGATGGTCCTTAGCAAACATCACACCTCTTTTTCAACGATATGTGTTATTCCGTATGATGACCATGTTTGCATGGCTGCTTAGTGACGCTTGAGAGCAGCAAATCGTGCTTCTAATGAATCGTACTCTTCCTTGTCCGTCTTCTTCTTTGGTGGTACCGCCGCTATCTCTGCTGGCTTAGCTGTACCATTCTTTCCCTTTCCATCGGTTGTTGCACCATCTGACTTTGCTGCATCACTTGCCTTGTTCTCCGTTTTGACTTTTGCAGATCCATCTGCGCCCTTCTCTTTATCTGCTGCATCGCCAGTTAGCTCCTCTTCCACCTCCTTCTCCTCCTCTTCTTCCTCAGGCTCCTCCACCTTTGCCTCGGGCAAGAGCGGCGAGGAAAAAGCCACATCATACGCCTTACAAATCTCAAAGATATACAGATCCACCAACTTTGCATCCGGTGTATCCACCAACAACTTCGATATGACCCTCTCTGGTACGCAGCCGTCCTTGTTATCCATCACATCCTGTGCGAATTCTCGACCATATTTTGCCATGAGCATCTCTCTCAGTACGTGCAGCTCTTTGAGCTCGGTACGTGGCGCAGCGTGAACAATGGCGCATAGGGCGGGGAGGATGCTGATGTCCGGTTCGCGAGTGGGTAGATCGACGAGTGCGAAACGAGTGAGAAGAGTCTCTGCGTAGAGTTCCATGAGCTCGAGAAGTTCGAGATGGATGTCTTCGGAGATGATGCCTTCAGTTTTGATACGGGCTGTTTCGAGTTTACCTTTTTCGACGAGAGCGGAGATGTCTCGACGAGCTTGTTTGGCCATGGCTTCCTGCAAAGCGCCAAGCGACGAAGGATGATGCGGATTAGTGTCTGAGCCGGGCATGTGCACGGGAAGCTTAGAAGCTGTGCGAACTCACCTTCTTCTCTTGTAGCATCTTGCATCGTTGGATGGTCAGCTTGAGCTGCACTTTTGTGCGAGCTCCGTTGTATGGCACCATGATGGTGAGACAGCGGATGTGTGGTCTGCAGCTGCAATGATGGTATTAGTGAGAGAAGTACAGAAGATGCATTCGAGGTTGAGCAACCTCGGCTGTGGAGAAAGGAAGCATCGCTGGAGAATTGACCGATATGCAGCGTGGCCCGAGCTTGCATCAACGCAGGAGAACAGCCCGATTACAGCATCCCCACAGCGAGATCCAAATCCGATCCGATCGACGCGTCTTCGCGAAGAAAGCGAAGAAGACGTCAATTTACTCGACGAACACCAAAACGCGCCTTTTTTGGAATGGCGAACAACACTCTTTCAAGAGCGTTTACGAGCAGCTTCAGACCTTGCTTTTGCTAACCATCAAGTCTCTTCTCTAGCGGACACACCATTTTGAAGCTCACTAGTTACTTGCCTTCGCTTCTACAATTCCCTGACACCGGCTTCTAGACAAAGATGGCCTCGGCAGCAGTCATGGCGTCTTCCTCGGCGCTCCCTGCCGCTCGACCCCCGCCTCCTGACATGGACCTGGACGACAATCTCCCCGACAACGCCTTCACGTCGATCGACGAGCGAGCCATCGAGATACGCGATTCGTCCGATCCCATGTCGATGCTCAGCTTCTACCGTCGACTATTTCCTTGGAAACAGCTTTTCGCCTGGCTCAACCACGATCTCCCCCACATGTCGGCCACCAAATGCTTCACCCATCGCGAGTTCGCCTTTACACTCCAAAATGAAGCTTACCTCCGTTACAACTCTTTCGCATCAGCCGACGAGCTCAAGAAGGAAGTCTGTCGTCTAAACCCAGCCCGTTTCGAAATCGGACCTGTCTACACTGCCAAGCCCAAAGACAGGAAAACCGTCCAGAAAGCTTCTTTCAAGCCAGTCCAACGGGAGCTTGTGTTCGATATCGATATGACCGATTACGATGAAGTGCGAACGTGTTGTTCGGGCAAAGGTATCTGCAAAAGATGCTGGGCGTTCATTGCTGTCGCGGTGCAGGTGCTGGATGAGGCACTGAGGGAAGATTTCGGGTTCAAGCATCTGCTCTGGGTGTACTCGGGTCGTCGTGGTATCCATTGCTGGATCTCGGATAAAGAAGCGTTTGAACTGGCGGATGATGCGAGGAAGGCTATCGTGGGCTGGCTCGAGGTGATCAAGGGAGGCGCTAACCAAGTCAAGAAAGTCGATGCTGGTTGGATGGGTAGTGCTGGTGGAAGGAGTTTGCATCCGAGCTTGCGACGTGCTATTGATGGAGAGGGAAGCGAGAGTGGTCCGTTGAAGCTTGCTTTCGTCGACACTGTGCTCAAGGACCAGGACTGCTTCCGCTCGCCAGAACAGTGGGGTGTTCTACTCCAGCTGCTGCCCTCACCCGAAGCCGAAGCAATCGAGAAGCTCCGCTCGAAATGGGAAAGGTCATCCAACCGATCGAGTCTCGAAAAGTGGCAAGATGTTATGGAAGCCGCCCAACGAGCCGGCGAATACAAGAGCGAACGCATCTGGCGTCCTTGTCTCGAAGACATCATCCTCCAATACACCTACCCTCGCATCGACGCCGAAGTCTCGAAACATCTCAACCACTTGCTCAAGTCGCCTTTCGTCGTTCACCCAGCCACAGGTCGAGTCTGTGTACCTCTCGAGCCAAGCAAAGTGTTCGACTTTGACCCCGAGAACGGCTGTCCTACCGTCGCACAGCTGCTTCGCGAGCTCAACGCGTACGAGGCATCGCACAAGGATGCATTACCAGCAGTCAAGAGCAACTATAAGAACGAGCTAGGAGCCGCAGCTGATGGGTTGGGAGCAACAGTGAAGCAAGATTGGGAAAAGACAAGCTTGAAGCCCTTTGTTCAACTGTTCGAGAAGCATTGCAATGCGATTGCTAAGGAGACAAGGGCGTTGAGGAGAGCTCAGCAGGAACAGAACGCTACCGACTTCTGAAGACGACCATATACCCGCGCACACAGCCACTTTATTCCGCATTGCTTTGTATCACTCACTTGCTTTGACCTGATGATATCGATCCCTCTCCACTTCAGAAAGCCGAGGCCCGGCCTTCTGTGTCTGTCAGCAGATGTGAATTTGCGGAATGAAAGTAGCAGGCTTAGCCAGCCTAACGAGCACAGATCAAGATTAGAAAGCCAAGGCGCAGCTTTTGTGGTGTTGGTTGAAAGAGCTTTGCGAAGAAAATCGCAGTCCCGCCTGGACTCAATCGCACGAAACATAACCAAATTGGGATGATCACGTGATGCAGAAGAGGGTCCTTCTTTCTCGGCCATTTTGGACTTTTTCGGCTGCGCGTCGGCTGCTCAGCGTCCAACGCGAAAACCAGCAAAGCCACGCTCAGAAGAGGCTTTCATCTTGCTTTCTTGCTTTCTTGCTTTCTTCAAGCCACGACCTTGATTCACTCCCTTCATTGCCGTCATCATCTGCCGCTTATAGGTGGCTGAACTCTAACAATTTCTGACGCTGCTGTCATATCGAAGCAAGCCACATTTGGAGGCTCAAGTCACTCACGCTCCTTGCCAGCATAAAAGAAGCGCAGCAATACTGGTTGCGTCGCGAAACCTCACTCTTCTTACCCGCATCACTTTATCCTCGAACCCTTATTCCGCAGCAATCTCACCTGCGTCCATCCGTACGCAGCATCGACAGACACACACATCCTAGCGTCCGCCTCTTCTGACTTTAAGGGTCACCCTCCACTTCCGCACTTGGTCCAACGCCCGATAAGTGCTGTGTTGCTTAGCGTTCTCATCGACAGCAGTCCAACAGGTCTCCTGCATCATCACGCCTTTTCGCAAGCGGGAACTTCCAACCTTCCGGACAATACGCTAGCAGCACCTCCGCAATTTGTCTTCAACATCAATCCGCAACTACACTACACCCAACACCAGCACAGGCGCTCTCCGACCTGCACCATCTCGTCCACTAGCCACCATGTTGTCCGCAGAACAAGTCGCACAGGACGAAGAGATTTTCCGTCCGGACGGTTTCATCAAGATCCCCCGCTCCGATGGCGATCCCAACTACGGCCCACCCAACACTGCCATCCCCAGCAAAGACGAAGTGGAAGTCAACTACCACCACATCTTCAAACGTGAAGAGAAGCGGCACGACAACTGGCGTGCCGCACTAGGCGAGCAGCTAGCCCAGCACTTCAAACTTCCCCCAACCTCCCGCAACAAGACCAAATGGAAGCTCTACGATTTCCCCACGCACTACACCTTCACCGAGCAGCGGAAAGGTCCAGCCAACGACCCACGCACTGATCCGTATCTTTTCGGCAGTCAAGCGCATCGGTTCCGCTCGACAAAAGAGACGGTGGATCACCTTGTATGGTTGTTGATGGATCCTGATATGAACACTGCTAACTGTCGGTGTAGGTACTGTCATAAGGGGCCACGTGCATCGACCGGGGGTACTAGTACACCAAAGAAGGCTGCGGGAGGGACGAAGAGGAAGAAGGATCCTGCGACTGCTTCTGCTGCTGCGAACGCTGGTCGGAAGGGAAGAAAGTCGCAGAATGGAGAGGAAGCGGAGGTGCAGACTCAATCTTCGATCATTGTTCGCGGGGCGGAGGTGAGTCGTCTTGTGCCAGGAGTCAGTATTGCTTCGGTGCCGCAACGCGATCAGGAGGTGATGCATGAGTATAAGCGAGGCGAGAAGGAAAGGTTCAGGGTTGGAGAGGTGGTCTGGTGCGAATTGGATCAGCCGGTTGTTGATCCGAGCAATGCGGCAAGAAGAATTACCGCTTGGCCTGCGGTGGTGTTGGATCCTACGATCGAGTTTATGAGAATGCTAGGGTACGATAATGACGATGACGTGAAGAAAAAGACGAGTTTGGAAGCTATGACGGCGCCGACGAGACGTGCGGTCTCGCCGCCGACGCTGGGTGGGGAGACGGAACAGAAGATGTCGTATCTAATCACATTCGCTGGGACAACGGAGAAGGTTAAGGTGCCTGGTTCTTCATTGACGCCGTATTTGATGGGATTGATCTCGCAGGAGTTGATCGAAAGTGATTTGGGTACGAAGGACGACCATCCTTGGTTGTTCAAGCAGAACGAGTATCCGAATATGAATCTGTCGAGGCAAGCGCATCTTCCCCCGCCAGACTACACCAAGTCAATGGTTGCATTCGGGTTTGCGGTCGAGTCAGTGGCCTGTTTGCGTCAGCTATACAACTTGACCGACGCCTATTCTGGATCTGACACTCCGGAAGGTGTGCTTCGAGACCTCGGTGCGTCGGGCGATGCACCGCAGGGGATGCGCTACTACCAAGGCATCTACTTCGGTCTCGAACGTATCTGGGTGGGCGACGTTGTCCGGCTCAAACTTTCCAACAGCGACATCAAAAAACTGCAACGTCAACTCAATTCCGCCGTCGTGGCGGAAAAGCAAACTGGCGCACCAGACCCGCCCGCAATCATCCTGGATGAAGACGCATCGTACGTCCTCCAACTAGCAGCTATTTACGAAGATCCGAAGATGCCCAAAACCGTTCGTGTCTCAGGGGAGATCTGTCAGATTATGACCGCGGCCAAGTACAATGCTGTCAAAGCGGAGATCGAAGCTAGCATCAGAAAGCTTGATCAGGATGACAGTTTGGATGCAGCAGCGAGACAGGAAGAGGCGAAAGCGTTGGAGGCTAGATTGCCCAAGCCGAGCATTCTGGTTGGCAAACCGGGCTTCCCTCCCATGCCACCCCTTCCTCAAGGATTCGTGATGATTTCGCTCAGCGATAGGCTCCAGTCGCGCATTCCGAAAGAAACGACGCTCAGTATTGGACATGTAGCAGGAAGAATCTATCCTTCGTTCGGTATGCACTCGGATGGACCAAGGGTGGTGGAGCAGATGAAGCAGAAGCCGGAAGATAAAAAGTTGGCAGCGGATGAAGACACGCAGGTGGAGCTAAGGGCTAGGTTGAGTGTAGCGGGTTTGTTGAGTGGATGTGTGAAGGCGATGCGGGTTACGGTTCATGCTTGGACTAGGACGGCGGCGTTCAAGGGGGCGTTGGCTATGGCGAGGGATAGGTTGAGTAGGGCTTTGACGGGTGATTTCGATGAGGAGGGAGAGGCAGTTGTGGAGGATAAGCTGAGGACTCCGGCGAAGAAGAAGGCCAAAACAGCAGCGATTGAGACTCCGGTTAAGCCTTCTGAGCAGGCTGCTGTTGGGGCGACTAGTCAGGCTGCACAGTCGACCCAACCGACACAGACGGAAGAAGTGGCTTCACAGCCAACACAAGTTGGAGGCGGTGGTGGGGCAGGTGCGGATGTTGAAATGTCGCCTTCGTCCGAAGATGAACCGCCTTTAGCACCAGGATGGGTCCCTAGGAAGTCGAGAAACTTGGGTAGCTGGTACTACGTCCATACTGAGACGAAGAAGACTCAGTGGGAGAGACCTACCCTCTAATCGCCCCGGCCATATTCACACTCAGCATTCTTGTCAACCGTGTACCTCTATCAACCCTATCCAGCCCGATATCGATTCAAGCAGCAACACAGAGAGAGGGGTGTGTCATTGAAGTCTTTGAAGAAACCGAGAGCACGGAATCGGGCGGGGAGACGATCGGGCTAAGCGATCTTCCTCTACGCGTCCACCCAACAAGCCTTCCATGTGTATGTTTCGAAGCAAACAGAGAGAGAGTTGAGTGTGCATTTTCTTCGCTCTGCCTGGCAGTTGAGGGAGACGCGACAAGGTAAAAATTCCCAAAATGGAGAGGGGGACTTGGGAGTTTCTGGACTCAAATTGCAGAAACAGCCAAAGGGGGTATCAAAGTTTTTGCGTTTTGAAAAATGCGGGTTTTTTGAAAAGCGCGTTTTTGGAGGGAATTTGAACCCCCCAAGGAAATGCAGGTTTCCAAAAATGTGATGAAGTCATACAGCCAATAAGAGACATAACCTAACAGTAAGCATATGTTACTTGTCCTGCTCTCATTGCTATCACCCATTGCTTGCTTATATCTTGCTTTACTCTTCACATAATGCACTCAATGTAATGTTTCATATGGTGGTAAGAAGGGTTGTATTCAACAGCAGAAGAGAGAGTGCCTGTCAGATTGAGAATGGTTGCATCAAGGCTCACTCCTGTCTCCTAGCTGAAGCACTTTGAGTCATGGCATTGTAGTCCACAGTAGTCTTCTCATGATGTCAAGACAATGCAGTAGTGTCTTCCTCATTGCACCTAGTGGATCTGAACAGTGCCTGGAACATTTCCTCTCAAAGATCATGTGCAGCAGAACTTCAAAGTCTTGACACTGCATACTGTGACATTCCTTGTGTTGCAGTGGCAAGATCCAGTTCATGTTCCTGCTGATTTGTGTGTCTTGTCATGCTGAGCTCTTGTGTATCCCTGACATCAAATTGGAGGCTTTGAACAACCTCACTAACCTCATCCTCAGAGAAAGAGGGCAACAGCAGGTCGGCAATATCAGCAGGATGGTCATATCAACTCAAAAAGGTGTTGTCAGAGGTCTCGCACCTGAAACCTGATATCTGTAATAGAACCGCATCTATTACAGGTCCTGTCGAGATATGTGGTAGAGTGCTGTGTATTATTTTTCTTGACAAGATATGTCATAGAAGAGCCTCTATGACTTTTCTCACTTGAAGATGTAGTAGTGTGATTGCTATTACAGGTTTTGACTGACTGCTGTGGACACTCCATCCAGAGGTAGCTTGGCATGTTCAATAGCTATAGGAACATTGTACTGACACCAAGGTCTGGTGTGAGTGTGATTGTTTGTGGTGCCAACACAAGTGTCCAGTGTGTCAACTGAGTGCTTGAGGTGATCCCTGGACTGCAGTGGATGACTGCCTTCGGTTCTAATCGTTATCCGGACTGCTGGTTACTATGAACTGCCTGTCATAGAGGCTGCACAGGAAGATCCAAAATGAGATATGAGGAGCCTTTTGCACACAAATTTGGGAAACCAACCAGATCATGGGTTTCCAGTTGTTCTCACCTGACAATGACCATGTCACATCTGTCTGGTTGATTCTGCTGAAATCAATCAGAATATGACTATCCAGTTGATTTCACCAATCACACTGCAAGAAGTGGCCACCAGCTTGGAACAAACCACTGGACTACAAGGAGACAATGGGAGATTTGGTAGGGAAGATCTCCTTGGTCAAGGGGGAGGTCAGGACAGTGGGAAAGGTTTCACATGAGAGGAGAAGGTCTGAGCTCAGCCAAGAGAAGGTCTGAGCTCAAGAGCAGGTGGCAGGTTACCACAGGGGGGACATGCTCTTGATTGCATAACCCAGTCACAAGGTAGACTGCATGGATGGGAGTGGAACAATATGGATGGTCACAAGGCCAAGGAGAGCCATCAGATAGGGGCCAAAGGAATGGCCACAGATTGGAGGAGAGGGGGATGGGCTGAAAGGACCAACATTGGTACCATGAGGAGGACAGGCAACATCAAGGGGAATGGCACATGAGGAGAAGGAGGAGGACAAGGACACTCCTCCAAGAGGAGCAGGAGCAGTGCCATGGATGACACCCTCCAAACACATAAATACTACTACTTCACCATAGCATACAAGTGGATCCTCATCCACTCTACTCTTTACTTTATTTACCCTTACTTAGTTATGTACCATTGCAATAGCAAGAAGCTTTTGCAACAACATCTCAAATGTGTGTGTAGCATCACCATCAGACATCAGCACTGTAGGCAGTGTTCCTCTCAAACACCTGCAGTCCAGTCCATCACTGTAGGTGGTGTTGCTCAACACCTGTGGTCCAGTCAGTTATTGTAGGTGGTGTCTAACACCTGCAGTCCAATAACTCCTGTCTTCTGTAGGTGATAGGCATATTGCAGTCCAGGCAATGACAAGAGCATAAGCAACAGTACTATGAACACTCATGCTGTATAAGAGAGTGTACACACTCTCCCCAGGAAGTAACAGATGTGCCATGCAACCTCTGAACAGAGTGTTCAAGGTGGACAGCTGAAACCTACCAGAATGAAGCTGTCTGGTTATTTTCAATCAAAACATACCAAGTAGTTCTTACTCAATTGATCTCACCAAAATCAATCAGAAACACCCAATCTGGTTTCAGGCATGTGACCGCTTACACTGCCTTTGGACCTCAGTGAGCGGTGATACAACACACGCGCTACAATGGAAGCAATCTACTGTGATTGCAACTTTGCTGACTGAATACTAAGTATACTTATGTGAAGTTATAGCTAGTAATATATGGTGTAGAGTGGATGGGGATCCACTTGACCACTTAGGATGAGAAGGTATGGTTATACACATCTTTGCAGTGTCGCCAGCGACTCTGCTCTGGCTCTCTCTCCAAAGGGTACCATCTTCGTCGAGTACTGTGGTAGAGGTCTCTACTGGGGTGTCTCCTCTGTCACAGGGCCAGCGGGCCAGCGCAAGACGGGTGCGCCAAATTGATCGACGGCATTCATGGTAATGTTGCACAGGATCAGCAGATCAACATATGAAGGGTGCACCAAGTTGATTGGTGCCAATCATTGGGGATCAACAGAGCTAATTGGGCTGGTAGCACATATGATTTATGAGATCAACCACACTCTGGGTTCCAGGTTAATCTCACAAGGATCAATTGGAATCAGTTGGATCAGCATGCCTCAGCAAGTTGGCCGATATGAGCAAGTACCAGGAGATTCAGGAAGGAAGGTACTGGCATTAGAAGGAGAAGCATATGGAGATAACCACATGTAGGAGTGGGGGACCAAGCTCAGCATCACACAGACAGTTACCACTCGAGGGGTGCATGCATATAGTCACACAGGCCCAAGCACAGGGGTGACCACATGACCAAGGGTTTGGTCATGAGGTCCAACAAGTGGCTAAAGGGATTCACAAGATAAGGTCAAGAAGGTGGTCGCCAGTGAAGGGAGAAGGAGCTGTGTCGAAAGGGGTCATCACACATCATCAGGCAGAAAGAGAGCATGAAGGCAAAAGGGCAGTGTTGCATAACCCTTATGCTGTGCAAATGGTAGGGGTGCAGCATCAATGGGATTGATGCCAGCAGGAGAGACAGTGTTGAACAGGGGATGAAGGCCCCTCAGGAGGAGCAGGATAGGTGTCATGGGCAACACCAATTGAATGCATAAATACTCTCATTCTACCATAGCATACAAGTGGATCCTCATCCACTCTACATGCTACTTACTTACTTACTTACTTGACTCTTAGTTTTGTACCATTGCAATAGCAGTGCTCTTGCAATGACCCTCAAATGTGTGTGTTGTATCACCATTAGGTGTCAACTGTAGGTGGTGTTCTTCAACACTTGCAGTCCAGTCCCTTGCTGTAGGTGGTGTTGCTTGACACCTGTGGTCCAGTTAGTTATTGTAGGTGGTGTCTCACACCTGTGGTCCAGTAACTCCTGTTCTCTGTAGGCAATTAACATATCATGGTCCAGACAATGTCCAAGAGCATTATCAACAGTACTGTGAACACTCATACTGTAGGGAGAGGGTATCACTCACTCTCCAACAAACAGTGTACATGCCATGCAACCTCTGAATGGAGTGTTCAAGGTGGTTAGCTGAGACTTACCAGTCAAAGACATCTGGTTACATTTAAGTCAAAACTTATCGAGTAGACCTTACTCAATCAACCCCATCTATACCAAACAAATAACACCCAAAACTAGTCTCTGGCGCGCGACCGCTTACATCCTCCTTGCCGAGCCCTGCTTCTCCTGCTCCTGTGTCGAGGAGAGCCAGCGCCATCTCATCATTGATAGGGGTCACCCCACTTCATCCTAATGACAGTGCATGCCCCCTCTTTCATCTACCTCCTGACTTTGGCACCCATCTTCTTGTGCCAATTTCATCATCATGTAGGGCCCCTCCCTCATCTGGTGGCAACCTCAAATGTCCTTGCCACTAATCTCCACTGGGTCTGTTGTACAATCATCCTTGCCACTAATCTCCATGGGATATGTCATACAATCCTGTTTACTACTGATCCTGGCAGGATTTGTGATACCATTATTGCTTGTGCTGATCTAGGTGAGATCTGTCATAGAGCTGTTTCTTCTACAGATCTTGGGGAACTCTATTGCAACTCCCATGATCTGCCTGATTCCTCAATTCCTGCACTCCCTTCATATGACTTGACAGGTCTTCCTGCTTCCTGCGCACCCAGGCCCATGACAGGCATGTCAGCCTTGTCATCGCTGGTGAAGTCGAGACTGGGAGTTGTGATAAGTGCTGTGGGATTGGTATAGAATCAGTGATTAATCATCTCATGCATCTTTTTAAACCAAGTGTACTTTGTTGACAGGGCAAGGCAAGATATGTAGGACTGTTTGAACATACAATGGGATACTGCAATAGAATTAGCATTCAAGCATGCTGTTGCAAGTAAGATTGCAAAGACTTACTGGGTTGGATGCATCCATGTCCTCCAGCAGCATACCAGCTCCAGTGAGTGAAAGCTTCTTCTTCTCCCTGTAGTATGTCTCTTGCAGCCACCTCAGCTTGGCCTTGATGTGATTGGGCTCAACAGATGCACCTGGGAAAATCAACTTGGAGATCTCCCAAAAAATGGGATGTTTGCAAAGTTTGAGGGCTGGACTGCTCTCAGCTGATTCTCAAGATGGCAGCAGAGCATGCTGGTAGGACTCATTGTTGTAGAGGATTGTGATGAGGTGAAGAACATTGGCACCCAACCATGTGAAGTTCTTCTTGCCTGTGGCAGATCTAGAGGCTCGAGTTGGACAGGAAGTGGGGATGTCAGGAGTGCTTGTAGAACCAGATTGAGACAGCACAGGCATGCTTTTGGTCTGAGTTGCAGAGCTTGTAGGTGTAGTGGACTGCCAGAACAACTGTGCAGAGATGTCAAGAGAATCATCAGTGGAGGTGGTCATGTTGAATGAGTGCAAGGAAGGAGGGAGTAAGCAAAAGAGTGATGAGAGTGACAAGAGGAGAGAAGGGATGTGGAGTGAATTCCCTTCCATGTTTTCACAATACTGTCTCCTGACCTGCATTTTTAAAAAATGCGGTTTTCTTTTTCACTTTGCACAGCTTATGTAAGCTTTTGTGTTTCTTTTGAAAAACACACTCTTCAAAAAACCCGCGATTTTAAAAACGCAAAAACTTTAATACCCCCTCAAGTCCCCCTCCGGACTTGAGCTTGTACTTAGAACAACACCATTACAGCAATTCTGAATGCCTCAACTCTGGCTTCCTCTTGGCAGGGTTGAATTTTAATGAAAGAGCAACAAAAGAAGCCACAAAGTTGAAATATATGCACCGCTTCATTGAGGCCACAATCAGGCTATCTTTGTACAGGCATGTAGCAACTGCAATGCCTATCATATTCAAGTGAACTAAGGCCATAAACATGAGTATATATATCTTCACATCATCTCTGAGAACATTGAGCAGCCTCAGGTGAGTTGAGTGTCTCTCCTGCAGAGCTCCTGAGCTGTTGTCATGTCAACCTTGATGCATTTCATGTGTCTGGGTGAAGCTTGTGAATAAGCAGTGTTTGCTTTCACAAGCTTCGCTCTATCAGCATTCTGGATGAACCTTGGAAATTTTCCGATGTTTCTTCAACTCACGACGACGCTGGAGCCAACAACTTAACTTTCCTTGCAACCAACAACGAGTCCCGAGGATTCTTGCACTCTTTCTCTTTTCCACACCAACTCATCTTCAGCTCTGGCTCACAATTGCCGTGCTTTGATTGACCCATCTTTCACTCTTCCTAGCATCTCTTTAACGAACACGATCCGAAGCTGACGAAACACAGCGAAACAACGTCGACGACTTGTGCATTCCCAACGAAAATCATTTTTTAAGCTAAGCTCTTCGCAGGTGCGAAACGAGAATCACAGCAGTCACCGTCCCTGTGACGGGCCAGGCTTCTTGAAAGACAGTCTCGTGCCTCGCTTTTCCCCAATCTTCGCAGCTCGGCATCTGAGTTCTTTATCAGCATCTATAGTTGACGTTCTGGCAATCAATTTCAGGAAACTATCTTTCACAACAACGGCGTCACTTGTTTCAGCCCTGTTTGGTCTTCTTCCCACCTCTTCATATCGTCTGGCTCACTTTGTACCCATTGCAACGTTCCGTCGCCTGTCTCGACACAAGACCAGCACCTGTAAAAAAAAGCATCGCATTGATTGCAGCATTGGCTTCCTTCCTCGGATTGCAAATCGAACCACGATTCAGCTCTGGAGATAGGATTCTGTTTCAAGCTTCAACGACCTAACGCGAACACCAGCAATCGACTACGCTCTTCATTACCGATACACCCGGCTAGCAGTTGTACTTCATTATGACTTCTACACCAGTTCAAAAGGTACGTTCTCACCCCTTCCACCCTCCCTGGATCAAACCCTTTTCATTCGATACTGACAACTACCGTATTCTCTATCCATCTCCCTTTGATAGTCGGTCCCACTCACATGTTCAGGCCACACCCGACCAGTAGTCCATCTCGAATTCTCCGACTTGCAGGATGACGGCACATACTCCCTCCTCTCCTCCTGCAAAGATGGCAATCCCATGCTTCGGGATTGGCTCGGAGACTGGGTTGGAACCTTCCTTGGACACAAAGGTGCTGTTTGGTGTGGCAAGTTATCTGGTGGTGATGCATCCATCGCTGTTACTGGATCTGCTGATTTTAGTGCGAAAGTGTGGGACACCTTCGCGGGCGACTGTTTGCACACTTTTCCGCACAACCATATTGTGCGAACAGTGGCTATCAATGGGGAAGGGAAGAGAGTTGTTACAGCTGGACATGAGAAGAAGTTGCGATTGTTTGATTTGAATCGTCCGGATGCGGAGGCGCAACTTTTTAGTATCGGCGAAGGGGGGTTGGCGCATGAAGGTGTGATTAAATCTTCTGTTTGGCATAGAGGTCCCGCAGGAGAGAGTACAGTGGTTAGTGCAGGGGAGGATAAGGTGATTAGATGGTGGGACACTCGAACACTCTCCAAGACTCACGAAATGTCTTTTTCGGATCCTATTACTTCTATGGAACGCTCATCCGGCATCTTGGGCGAACTCCTCACCGTAACCAGCGGTAAGGAAGTTTACTTCATCGACGCACTAACCCGCGAAATGAGGAAAAAACACACACTCCAAGTCCCAGTCTCATCAGCATCACTCCACCCAACTCTCGCAGATAGATTTGTAGCAGGGAGCAGCGGAGACGGTTGGGTCAGAATATTCGATTTCGAATCAGGGAAGGAAAGAGAGTTGCACAAGGGTCATCATGGTCCTGCTCACGCAGTCAGTTATTCTCCGGACGGTGAATTGGCAGCTAGTGGAAGTGAAGACGGGACTATTAGACTTTGGCAGACTTGGCCTAGTAAGAAGTATGGATTGTGGACGTGATCCTCCTCGCAGTCCAGGTAATGATGGTGGTGGAAATGGGATGCAGTAGCGGAGCGCACCATTCTAACCAAGTGACAATTACCGCTGTCCGATGTACTTAGCTGCCAAGCGGAATTGCGAAGCGGAATTGAATATCAGGCGTATGGACAGCGAAGAATGAACCTCGCATGTGATTTTTGAGCAAAGCGCTTGTTGGGTGTGCGTTTGTGATCGGACGAGACGACCTTGAGAGTGATCTCGGAGGGAGAGAGGCTTTTGTCGATGAGATGCGATCTCTCACAGCCGATGCATTGACGGTGTGTTCTTAGACCTCAGGATGCTTTCTTCTCACATCACAACACTTCGTTCTCACACATCTTTGAGGTATCAATTCGAATGGTTGTATAGCAGAAAGAATACAAGTCTATCTTCTCTTTCGCTAGCTCCACGGTTTAGAACCACTTACTTCCAGCATCACCAACAACCTTCCTCACCTTATCCAGCGCAGGAGGCTTTGTATATTTCGGTTCATCTCTCTTCAACACTTGCTTGTATACCTTGCTGACCGTTTCGGCGGATTCGGGAGTCCATTTGGCTCGCCAAAAGTGAATTCCTGCCGGGGTCAATGCTTTCCTTTCCACGTAGTCTTTTAGGTTGAAGTCATCTCTATCACCCACCTCTACCTTTCTTCCACCGGAGGAGGTAGAGGTTTGTTCGAAAAGGATGGTTGTGTAGCGGTGATAGTTTGTTCCTTGTTGTGGATGGGGGGGGATGTACTCTACTGCCATATCTTTACCCAAATCAATCAGAGGGGAGCTCGTGGCAGAGAGACTAATATCGGTTTTGAGCGCCAGCAAGCTCGTCTTATAGCTCTGTGTCTCTTCGTTCGGTTGGTCGGGATCCACTATTGCAAGTGTGTACTTTTTAGGCTCGGTGTGGAAGACGTTCACCTCAACTTTGGGAGCCTTAACCGAATCTGCCACGGGAACAAACACCCCGGCCAACACATCCCCGCCTTGACTGATATGATCCGTATACCCTCCTCCCTCGCCAAAGCTCAACTGCACATCAACCACGGGCGTAATCGCCGACAAAACATCCGGAAAGATATGCATCAATCTACACCTCTCCATCAGCTTCGCTAGTACACCGGAGTCCTTACGCCAAACTCGCTCTCGAAGATGTCGAAAGGCAGGGTTGGAAGCATCGTATGTGGTGGGAGAGGAGGATTGGAATGCAGCGAGAAGAGAAGGGTCGTTGATGCTAGCTGCGATTTGATACGATTCTTTAAGAAGGGCGCGGTCGGCAGGGGAAAGAGAAGCGTAGTCGGTGTCTATGGTGGAGAGGCGTGAGCGAAGGTGGGAGGAGTGGGAGGAGAGATAGGAGAGTGCTTCGTCGTATGCTGGCAGTATGCCGGGTTTGAGTAAGGGTTGCCATGGTGTCTCAGAGAAGGTGCTGGAAGAGGAGGTGCTGGAAGAAGATGAAGAAGCTGCGGCTGCGGCTGCTCGAGCAGAGTGTAAGATGCTGCGCTTTGAGGTGGGGGTGGGGGCGCCACGCAGGATAGTTCTACATGCTGTCCTTGAAGCGGAAGTCATCGTTATGTTTTGATGAACAGGCGGCGTTGGTGTAGCGAAGACGATGATTTAAAGGTGTTGGACAGATGAGTTGGACGAAGGAGTGTGGAAAAAGTGGTCAAGCGGTCGGAAAAAAGTCGGATAGCAAAGACAGAAGACGTCCTTCCAACCGCACGAGAAACGTCGCCCGCTCCAGTGATTTTTCGGGAGCATTTGTCGGCAAGGTAGAATGTAACAAAGCTCGAAATGCGGGAAATTGGTCACTGGTCACTCCGCGGAACGTAAAGCTGACGTGAGCGTGTCAGTGTGTGTGCGAGTGTGGAGGCATATTCACCATTTCATCCTTCATCGAAACCGAGCCGATGTATGATGGCGATGATTCACAATCCTACACATAGTCCAAGAGGTGGCTGGCTTGGGACAAGGATGAATCACAAACTGGTCACGAATCCCCGCGTGTGTTTCACAGCATGAGGATGTATCTTGTGCAACGTCGCCCCTTGAGCATAGGGAAAAGCTTTATCTATGCACCCTTCCCCACCCACTCGCTCGTTTCATCCGCGCACCATCGCAACGACCTCAAAGATTTACGATGCAACTCTGGCCTATCTCTCTACTCCGTCAACAAGGCTCCACTTCTGCTATTACCACTACAACCCTCATCTCTCTTCTCGCCGGAATCACCGTCGCTCCTGCTGCTGGTTCTGCTCTAGCTCTGCAGCCTCGATTTATCCCCACGCTTGGTTTGGCAGCTAGCAGTGCCGCACTCGTCTCTGCAAATTTGCCACCCACATACGTAGCAGCCGCTGCACCCGTGAACGTCAAACAGAAGATCTTTCGTCTAGGCAAACCTGCCGCAGATATCAAAAGAGCTTCACAAGCGCTTTATTCCACCATGTCTTCCTCCACCACACCCACCTTGCCTCAGAGCAATGACTTCGACCAGTACAAGTCGACCCCACACATTGATCCAACCCCAGAAACCGCTCAACTCGTTCGTGATGCTCAAGATTTAGCCTCCGCCAAACCATCCCCTGCCATCTTTGCTCGCTCTTGGTCGCCGAGCGCTATCTTTGCTGATCCAATCTGTCATGCTGAAGGTAGCCGCCAGTACCTCGCGCAATGGTACGGTGTGCCTGCAGCCTTCTCCGAGTCCGAAACGCTAGCTTGGAAACTAGTCAAGCAAGAACCAGGTGAGGTCCAGTATGCGCAGAAGCAAAGATATAAGGTGAAAGGTTTAGGTATGACTAAAGAGATAATCTCAACCGTGGTAATGGAAAGAGACGCGGGAAATAAGATTACTAGGTTCGAGGATAGGTGGAATCATAAGCCTCTTGGAGGGTATATCAGGTGGCCGTTTAGACGGTTGAATGCTCTCGGTTTGCCGTTTCTTGTGGGAGTGCCGAAGGAGACGAAGCAAGCTCTGAACCATAAGGATCTTTGAAAAGGATGAAGCATGAATTGTACATTGTGTTTGTTCTTGGATCGTAGAACGAAGATTTGATGTTCCTCATCGATCATGATAAATGGCTGTGAGAGTGAGGGTGTCATGTGTTTTGTTGCGACGATTCGCAAGAGACAGGCAGAATCAAGACAGCGTGAAGATGAGAAGCGAGCACAAGTGAACCAAAGACGAGATGTCCACGCCCGCTCCAAACTCATGTGCAGAACAAAGACCTTCTTATCACACTTCCAGCCGTCTTCTTCTCAACAACCGCTTTCCCCTCATCACAGTCACAGCAAACATCATGGTAAGAGTTGATAGGACTGGCATGGTAAGCCGTCAACGTTTGTATTCGGAGCGTATCATCAAAGCCAAGGGTATCAAAAGACCTAATAGCGCCGACAAGAACAACCAAGATCGTTGTCAGCATCCTATTCCTTTCCTCTCTCGAAGAAGCAATAAGCACAAGGTTTGAGGTCGAGCAAGGTGTGTATATCGTTGTGTTCAGATTAATGCCCTGGAAAATGGGTTTAGTGGCAGGGCGGATTCGCCATGGCTTTGTACGAAGACCGTCGTGATATGTTGATAGGGCTCATCATTCGAGTATACCACCCACCACCTCCTCCATTGCTTTTACTGTCTTACTCACATTCTTTCTTCCTCTATCTTGTACGAGGTGAAGAGCTGAAGGTACTACAGCAACGAACCAATAAAACAAGTTCGGACGTGGTTAGCAGACCTATCACCAGCGGCTGAGTTATGGCGAGTTGTGGAACGAGGAGAAAGGGGGGTTGGTAGCTCATTAAACAGCCTAAAAAGTATCCATCATGAAGCAAAATTCGGACGGTAATTTCCAGCATCCCTCCCGAAGGAGGTGATACAAAATGTAATCTTGGCTGACCATTCCCACCACATTACACCACACCCTCTATCTAGGTATGTTAGGGGGAGGGGGGACTCACTATTTATCGTAGCGCTGGTCGCTACTTTTCATTTCGATGGGGGTGAATTTGTGGGTTGGAGTGGAAGTGACTCGTCGTAGAGCTTTTTCCATTCCGCTGACCAATACTTCCATCTTGCGACTGTAGGCGGTTGGGCTGGCGATAAGCATGATTACCTGTTTGCGCAGATCAAGCGTCTGAGCTGCATCGATATCAGAGTCTTGCAGACGAAAAATGGCGGTACGGAGGGCAGAGACGAGACGGGTGCGGGTACGGTGTCGGATAACGGCGAGTTTGTGGATTCGTTTCTTGGATGACATTACGAATATGCGCAAGATTGGCCGACCTTCCGCCGACAGAGGGGTTGGGTTCGGGATTGGCTCCCATCGATCTGCATCGCCCTCCTTTGAAGGAGCGGAGGGTTGGTAAAGGGGAGAACGTAGATGCCTCCTCTGATGAGTAGCAGGATCGATCGGCAAAGGCAACCAACTCGGCATCAACCTCGTTTCATCCAACCGTCCCAGCTGGTCCGTAAGATGTCGAGGGAAACCCTTGAGCACCATTGTAAAGTCTTCGCAATGAAAACTCGGATCTTGTCGATTCGGGACGAAAAAACTTTCGGCGGTTTTATCCAAACTTGAAGGAGGTAATGGTTTCACCTACACAGCACACAATGAACAAATGCGAGCATGTATGTCAGTAATCCTCGTCCATTTGTACTATCGAAAAAGTAAGGGGAGAAAGGAGGAAGGGAATGTGGCCAAAACCCTAGGTTGTAGCCTCAAACGAGCATTGGTACATAGTACCTCACTCCAAGTGCTATGAAATTAGGGTGCCAGCCCAAGTACATTCATCCCGGCACTAACCCCTTTCGCCAAACTACCTTCCACCCTTTCGAGAAAGGGTTTCGGGGAACAAGGGAAGATGGGGAAAGCGCAAACACAGGCGAAGAGGTGACAAGGGCACATGGATCTAGGCAAAGCCGCCGCCAGGGTTATCGCGTTTTTTACACTTCCACTCGCCCGTCGGTTGGGACAGGCTCATGGCTTCCTCATGTGTCGAGGATGTCGCTCCCAATCAGACGATATTGTGCTAGGGACGCGGTACGAATCCGTGAAGACTCAACCGCACCACATGCACCGGCGCCAGTCATCCACAGAAGATGACGGATGGGGGGAAAGAATGGATAAAAAGGGATTACGTTGGGAGTGATGCTTACCAGAATCCTACGGTCAGGTGCAGGGGTCTGCGATGAAACGGTTCTACTTGAAGCCGTCAACAATGATGATGCTGGTCTAGGAGCGCGCACCAACTGGGAGACCGAACGCACGCATTGCATTGTGTCCGCAACAGAACTTGAGCCGTCTGTAAACGCCAACGAGATTGCAAGTCAGCAACTTGAGCTCTAGACTGAGACCAAGTCAGAGTAGCCGCAAAGACGCATCTTGAAGAACAACAACGATCGCGAGCGCAGCTAAGGCATATGTTTCGACGTATAATCAGAAAGCTTTGCCAAGTTAACGCGAACCAAGACCGCGAGACTCTAGTTTGTAAAATGCTGTAGCATCCTTTCGTCGAGTTAATGCCAGCTGCAGCGATGATGTCTACTTTCTATGAGATGCTCTTGAACGTTGGATACACACCTAGGGATGACGGTCCAAGTTGGCCTTTGCGCTCAAGAGTGAGGAGAGAGGGGTATAGTTGCGCTTCTACCGATCCGGGTCACCAACAAGAAGCCAGAAGAACAGTCAGTGACGGTTCTGATGCTCTTGGCGAGGTCCGAAGAGGCTTTGCGATGTTCTGATCATCTGATTCGTGTATAGAAATTTCTGATTGGATACGCAATCACGAACATCATGCGTGGGTTGTTTTGTAATCCTTCGGAACGAAAGCCTTCTTTGCGAAGACACTTACGAGAAGGAAAGAAGATAGAGGGATTGTTTGCTACGTCGATGCAGAGAGGTAGGTGAGGATGCACCGACCTAGGAGCATAGCTGTAACCATCACTAAGATGGAGATGGTGTGTTGTGGTGAGAGAAGAAGGGTAGCCAAACAAGAGTCTGTCAGTTCAGCTAGGCTTTTTTGCTTTTTTGCTTTTTTTTTTTTTTTTTTTTTTTTTTTTTTTTTTTTTTTTTTTTTTTTTTGGGCTTTCCTTCCTTCTCTTCGCTCTGCTGAAGCAGAAAAACTGCGGTTGACAGGCGCTTTTACCGCAATTTCGCACGAGAAATTTGCTTCAGGTCTCGTGATCGGCCATCGGGAAAAAGATTGAATTGTTAAACCGTAACTGCTCTTCAGGACAGAACAGGAAATCGAAAAGGAAAGTGAAATTTAAAGTCTCGGTCAAATTTTGAGCTGCTCGATAACAAGAAGAAAAAAAAGTCTCCAAACCGGAAAGCGGAGAAGAGTCCTCTTCTGCGCTTTGCCAATCATGGTCTACACCCGCGCATCATCACAATCACCACCACCATCGTCACCATCGTCACCCTCCTCACACCCCCAGTCCTATCGCAAAGATGGCCAAAGACGAATCCAAAAAGGAAAAAAAGTCCAAGCGCAAATCCGAAGTTGCCGCTATGGACCTTGACACCGACGTTGACTCCACCCCTTCCAAATCTTCCAAGAAGGACAAGAAAGAGAAGAAGATCAAAGTCGAAGTTGACATTGCCGCCGACGCCTCTGATGACGAAGACCTATCCGCCTCAACCGCCCAAAACATTTCCGAAATCGCTCAGCCACTCGCTCAACCCAAGATGAGCAAGAAACTCTTTAAGCTTACCAAGAAAGCCTCCAAGTCTCGTGGTCACGTTAAACGTGGTGTTAAGGAAGTAGTAAAAGCTTTGCGAAAGGGAGAGAAAGGCCTTGTTATCCTCGCAGGCGATATTTCTCCTGTTGATATCCTCAGTCATATCCCGGTGCTGTGCGAAGATACGAGCAACCCATACATCTTTGTTGACAGCAAGGAGGCCTTGGGAGCAGCAAGCGCAACGAAAAGACCAACGAGCTGCGTTATGATCGTTCCAGGAGGCGGAAAGAAGGCTGCAGCAAAGGGAAAGGACGCAACAAAGGCAAAGGAGGATTACTCGGAGGATTACGCTGGTTTGCACAAGCAGGTTCAGACTTTGAGCGATCAGGTCGCTCTTGCTGTCTAACCTTCCTTCTCCCACACTTTCATCGACCATTATCTTGCATTCTCTCTTACCTCTCTCGGCTCCAGCGACTCAACGTTTCCAGTATTTTGTACATTAGATCTCTAGCTTTGCCGTCTCTGTCAATCACATTTGGTTGGCACGGCACTCACTCAGCATACAACTCACGGCGCCTGCTTCTGGTCTGTGCCTCACCCTCACACAGCATCCGGCAAGATGAAAATCGTCATCAATTTGCTCAGCATTGAAGATGACTCTGGGTTGTACTGATACATGCGATGCAATCAGCTCTTTGGCTGAACACCCGAAGCTTAATGACTAGCGCTGCAGCGACCCACCAGTCAAGCGCTTCAACATCCCCTCAGCACTCGACCCAGAAACATTCGAGAACCCCGAAACGCCTCCTGCAGATTCTGGCGTTCCCTTATTCCCCCCCTCCCTCTGCTCACCTTGTCCATCCTGCAGCGGCACAATAGCCTGGAATAGCGAAGGTCGAGACTGAGAATTGCGTCCATACGTCTGCTTGCCTATCGTGATTGCCTCTCGTGCACTCTCACCACCTGGCGTTGGCCCGAACGGTGGTCCCTGAACAGCATGTGCTGCGGCACCAGTGAATCTGCCCAGTGTCTGGCTCAGGAATGACGGCTTCTGTGTCGAATTGAGTGCCGGACGAGATGAAGTCGTTGTGCCAAAGCTCGGGGAGCGGAACGCTGACCTGTTCGCAGTCGAAGGAGCAGCCTCGTCAGACTGATCGGCACCTACATGAGGCGAAGATGGTCCGGCGAGCGAGCCAGATGAAGAAAAGGACGACGGGAAAGCACCGGGGATGGCATGTGCAGTGGTTACCACCGTAGTGGCCGCAGACGACGACGACGAGGCTTGTCTGCGGTGCTGACCCGACGTACCGAGCGTGTCAAAGACGATGCTGCGCCCATTGATCCGGATACTACCGCCCTGGTTCGATGCGGACGCAGTTGAAGCCAACGACGCCGTGCGCTGTGATGCCTTCGAAGCGGCATCGCTAGGCCAACGTTGCACCTTTGGCGTAGGCTCGTCACGGCGCTGTTCCCCTTGTTCGGCTCCACTCGCAGACGAGCTGATGTAAAGGCTCGACTTGCGTCGTGCCTGAGCGCGCCCAAGTGTACCCATACCATCACGATCAGCTGGCAGCGATGCAGGGCCAGGAGACTGTGAGAAGGGATTCGAGACGGCTGTATCGACCAAGTCAGACTGCAACGCAGGTCGTGCAATGCGAATGGCGATACCGTCCGATCGGCTCTGCGACGCTGGTGCAGAGGTGACACCTCGTCCGTCAAACGATCTGTCATCCGAACTCTCGCCTCCTCCTTGACGCCTCGCGGCACGTCCGGACGGAGAGGCATTCTGCACTCGTCCCGCCATATCTCCACGGCGCTTGTTGGGAGTGCGACCGAAAGCGGGTACCATCGTAGCATGCTCGATCAGCGTCGAGCGATGACTCGTGGAGCCAGTCGTACTTGAGGCAGCGTCCCCGTCATTTCCAACAGCACCGTCACGTCTGCGTGCATCGGCTTCCTCTGTAATGCCCGTGATGCTGCGTGGAGGCCACTGCGTCGCATTGGCCGAAGCCGACGAGCCAGCCCTCCATCTACCTGCTCCACTGCTGCTCAGAGCGCTCTCAGCTCGAAGTGACGAGGCGGGTGAAGCACTACGCAATGCGCGTGTCAGTGCGGAAGTCGTTGTTGTAGCAGATCGCGGCTCTGTAGTCGAGGTGGCTTGCTGAGCTTTGTCTTCGCTTTGACCAGCGGACTTGCTCTTTTCGGTGGAGGTAGGTCCCGAGAAGACCGCGGCGGATCCAACATGTGGCGAGGACTCAGGCGTCTGCATGGGTGGAGTTGACTGTTCAACGGATTGAAGAGAGAAGCCGGATGCCTGAGCTGCCAGATCGTCGTCTGGTCCCGTCTGTGCATCGCCAGCACCCCTTGCTTCATGCATAGCTTGTTGTTTCAGCTCGCCTGGCTCCTCAGTGAGGCGTGCGACTTCAGCAACGGATCCGGTCTGATCACCTTTTGACAAGCCTTTGACCCCAGTCAAGGCACTCACACTCTGACTCCTCGGATGGCTCTGGGCCTCCTTACGATCCACATGGTGTCCGTTCGCACTCTTGCCATCGGCATGGTTGTTGTCAACATTGCTGGTGCTTGCACCGATCGCAGCCGAAGAGCTCTTCCTGCTGCGCAACGAAGGCGGCGCCGAGCTGTGGCCAGTGTACGTCTCCACATCCAGGAGGAAATATCGCACGTCTTCAGGCAGCTTGAACGGGTTCGGATCGTCCGAGTCTGCAGCGCTCTTGTCGTCCTTCTTTGCACCATCAGCCACAGGTACGACCCTATCTGTGATCTTTGTGATTCGAGCTACGATCCACTCCTTCGTGCGCAGCTGCTCAGCAAGGGGTCCCTGAGCATTGAGGAAGAAATGAGGGAAGCTGATGTTGAACGCAGCCCAAGGTTTCGAGGCAAGGTTCGAGTTTCGCGTTGGCAAGAACAAAGCCAGGTCATCGGGCTTGAAGTTGCGCACAGCAATCTTCTCCCGAGCGGCGGCGTTGGCTTTGGTGACCTTTTCGTTGGCCGACTTCCACGCCTTCTGCCACTTGCGCACCAAGACGTTGAGTGAGTCCAGCTTGCCCTTCACCTCTTCGTACATCTCGGCAACATCGAATGCTCGCAATGCCTCGAGAGTAGTATCAAAGTTGGCGCCCTCGGCTTCGGCTTCAAAGGCCTCAAGAGCAGCCTGTCGTTGCGAGTCGGACATTTCGGATACCGAGAGGCTGCCCGTAGAAGCTGCGATCGCGCGCTGTGCCGTGACGGCTCCCCCCGAAGTCGACGCGGTGTTGTTGCCGTTGTTCGGCGCAACGCTGGGCGACGATGCTTGACGAGACGAAGAATGAGTCGGCATCGCTCGCACCGTCTTTCGCAACAAGCTTGTCTTGGCGAGCAGACCCCTTGTGCGTTCAAGCAACTGCTGACGACTCGCCTCTGCTTCTCTGCGAGCCGCCTCGGCCTCGTCAGCGAGCTCCTTGGCGCGGTCCATCTCTTTGACGATCTCTTCATGGGCCACATCGGCAGCATGCAGTTGTCCACGCAGAAGCTCGATAGCTTCACGGTCAGGAATGCGACTCTGCTCCGCCCGGTTGGCAATGGCGGTCTGCTTCTCCAGGAGCTGCTCTTTGGCATCCAGATCAGCCTTGAGCGCCCGCACCTTCTCTTCTAGAATGGCACGGTCGCCATCTGCCTCAGCGCGATAGGACCGGATCTGTCGCTCTTTGACGGCTTCCACCTCTGCCGCTGCTTCTCGTGCTTTTGCAGCTTCCGCATGCGCATTCGACAGCTGCTCGGTGAGCTCATCGATTCGGGCTTGAGCGGTACGCAGCTCGCCTTCGACGCTTGATCCTTCGCTGAGCAAGGCCTCGATGCGATTGCTGGCGTCAATGCGTGCACTCTTGGCTTCCTCCAATTCAAGATGAAGCTCATGTGCCTGTGCTTCGAGCTCAGCCACTCGATCGGCATCCTCCATAGCTTCTTGCCTGGCTTCCGCCTCAGTACGATGACTCTGCTCCAAGTCACGGCGCAGTTGACTCACCTCATCAACCATGTTGAGTCGGCGCTCGCGCTCTAGCTCGAGATCAGCATCGAGCGTCTCGATTCGGCTCTGTGCTTCGCGCTTCTCTGCTTCCAGTTTGTACACGTCCGACTTGCCTGTCTCGATCTGTCGTTTCAATGTCTCGATCTCGGCCTTGAGACCCAATATGCGGGTTTCGTTATCAGCCTTCAGAGTCCTCTCTGCTTCCTCCTTTGCAGCTTTAGCAGCAGCAAGTTCGTTTCGAAGTTGGGCCATCTCCTCGCTGTTAGCCGCCGCGAGCGAAACAGTGAGGCGCTGACGGCGTCGCATTCGTTTCCTTGCTCGGATGGAAGTATCAGATCCACTTTCATCTTCATCCTCGTCTGAGCCTTCCACTTCGTTGTTTTGATTTAGTAGTTGCTGGTTGACGAGGTTGACGAACTCGTCGTCTAGGTCTTGCAGAGCTGCAGCTAGAGCTTGTAGAGCAGCCTTGACCTCAGGTATTGGGCTCGTAACGCCATCTGCACCCTCCGCCTCTTCCTCGCGCAGTCGCAGGTCGACGTGGTCCAGCAGCTCGTAAAACGCTTCGAGATCTGGAAGACTGAGATCAGCCATTCCTTCGCTGCTGACACGCGGTGTGGTGATCTCCAGGCTCGGTGGCTTGTCTTCCATGCCTTTGACTTCCCATGGCAACAATGAGGAGATGTCGCTGCGGTAAAACTGTCTGCGCTTCCACTCCGAAGCCGAAACTTTCGCCATAATCTCAGCCAGCGACTGAGATTTGCCAAGGAAGTGCTTCGCAAACTCACGTCTTCGGACCACTTCAACCACAGTGGCACCATAGGCCCAGAGCATGTTCTTAAGGCGATGCAGATGCTTGAAACCATCGAGCTTATTCGAGTGAAGATCCGCGTCGACAGCAGCCAGCAGAGATCCAGTCTCTGTGAATTCGGATTGAATCCCAGAGATGTCGATGAGCAGATGCAAGCTGCGTTCGAGAATGTCATTTCGATCCTGCGTCAAGCGCTGGACACCCTCTCGTACCACTTCGTCCAGCAGGAGGAGCTCGTTGGAGCTGTTGACGATCTCATCAAAGGTCTCGCGATCGATCTTGTCTGCAACTGGCCACCCTTGTGCATCAGGTGAGCATGTCGACTGGATGAATGCATGCAGCTGACGAGTCCTTGCTTCTGCCTCCAGGACACGCTGATACGTTTCATCTGCCACCTCAGGTGTCGTGGACTGCACCTCATCTGAAAGACCTTGAGTATCGTTACGAACGAGTGAAAGTTCCGATTCGATGCCTTCGATACGCTCCCGCAGCTCTGTGTAGACGCGATGACAAGCATCAGCCACAGCGCTCATCTTGGACTTGCTGATATAGTCGCCGAGAGTTCTGTGCTTTGACTTCGCTGCCTGACCGTTGTTCGAGCCGTTCTGCGCTGAGCTGGAAGACGAAGATGCTGCAGCAGCGTTGACCGACTGGAGACGAGGATGAATGGAAACCATTCCGAGGATGCGCAGATCACGCTCGTAGCCTTGCAACAGACTCTGCATCCTCGTCAGCTCCTTCTGAGCGACGTCATCGATCAGCGCTTTGGCTCCCTTTTCGATATTGTCGGCATGATCCCGAAGATTGGAGAGAGCGACTTGAAGACTGCGAGCTATGAGCGTGATCCTCTCGAGCAAGGCATGGCAGGTAAGTTGGTGATTTGTGACAAGACTGGCGATCTCTGCGGACCAGCTGACGAGGGCTTCGAGAGACTTGGGCGTTGGTGGAAACGACAGCTCAACATCTGGCAGCGACGGCACGGGTTCGAAAGTCGCATGCTCAGCCAGCTCGGCAGCTAACTCTGTTGGATCTGTGTAGAGAAAGTCACGATTGTAGACGAAAAACTCTTGCGATTGCGACTCGCTTGGACTGCCATCTCGGTGTGTGTCCTGATGTGTTGAGCTTGACGGATGTGGCTTTGCGACCGCTGTGGAGGAAGATGCAAATGGGAAATTGTGTGATTGGTGAATGATGCGATTGAGCAGTTCTTGCTTGAGCTGACTGCCATCGGAGGTCATGCAAATGATGGCATCGGAAGGGATCTCCGTGGCTAAGGAGAAAGTGTCGAGGAGATCATCGAGCGAGGCAAACTGGGATAAAGGCTGGTTGACGACGATGGAGCGACCATCATACGCTCGTATGACCCTCATGACTAGCTGAAAGTGGTCACAATCACAGCTGTGGGCTGTAGTTTAGCTCGCCTCCTTCTCGCTCACTGTTCCATGTCGAGCTTTGAAAGTGTCTGAGCCTCCTGATTGATTTGTGTCGGATTAGTTGGCCGCTCGCTGTTCAAGCCGTTGGTGATTGGCGAATGAGAAGAAGGATGGACCTGGCCGATCGAAGGCTAATTAGAGAGGCGTAGAAGTCCGAACCGAGGACACGACGAATGCTGGAATGCAAATGCTGACAAGTATGAACCAAGGCCGTCGTTGTTCAAGCCTGTTAAGCGAGTACAGATGTGGTGTCCAAAAAAAAAAAAAAAAAAAAAAAAAAAAAAAAAAAAAAAAAAAAAAAAGAAGGACGGTGGGAGTAATGATGCTGAGAACTAATGCTAAGTTGCTGTCGTTAGCCAAGCAGGTGAGGTGATCACAGAAGAGTTGAAAGGCTCAGTTTCACGATTGGGACCATGGAGTTGAGTTGGACCCTGAGCAGTCACACATGTTTCCTAGGGCCTTCAGATGCGTTAGAAGGGAAGCTTGGAATTTCAGAAGTGGAGGGGAAATGTGAATCCCCTCTATATACAGCATGCATGTAAACTGTCCCATAATTTTACATGTCACCATACATCACTCTAATGCTCAATAGCTATAAGTTGTATTGCCACACTGTCTGATATCATCTGAAAGCCCTGCTTCTTCTCTCCAAGACTGTGTAATTGATATTGACATTGACTAAAAAAAACTGTGCTATGAAGAAGAGCCAAATTTTTATTTATTGTGGGACAGTTTATGGAGCATGCTCCCAAATAGTGACACCACTCCATTCCTGACCTTGTGGGCTTTTGACTACAATGAAACTTGCAATGTAACTTGGTGGGCACCTTAATACACATCGAAAGTAGTGACATGGAAAGTTTCAGCTCAATCAGATGACTGTGAGCGATCCAGCAGCACTTCCAGTCTGACACCATCATATCTATACCATCATGCCAAAAACCACCCCAGAGAGGCACCAATTGGCACTCTTTCACATCCAAATTGGGGAATCTATCCATTCAGTTGCAGAACAACTTGGTATGAGCAAGTCTACAGTGAATCACATCAGCAAAAGCACCTCTGCTGATGTTCCAAAGTCAAAGGGCAGCCAGCCAAGAAAACTCCAGCCTCATCATGTTTGCTTCCTGGATCACTATTTTGAGCTCAATTCAACCTCCATGGTCAGGAAAGCATGTCATGCACTGCAGGAGACATTTCAAATCAAAACATGCCCAACCACAGTAAGAAAAGCACTTCATTACTGTTGTTACAAAGCATGAAGGTTAGTGAAAAAACTGAAGCTACTCAAGAGACATTGCAAAGCCCATTTCAAATTTGCTAATGAGCACAAGGACATGACTGTTGAGGATTGGAAGAATGTGGTATGGTCCGATGAGATGAAGATCAACTTCTTTAGACTGAATGGTAAGCAGTTCTGTTGGATTAAGAATGCCAGCTTCAACAGCAAGCTTGTCAGGCCAACAGTCAAGTTTGGCAGCAGCTCCATCATGATCTGAGGCTGTATGATGTGGGAAGGGGTGGGAGGTATGTGCTTGGTGCTGGGTTCAATGAATTCAGACCAATACATTGATATCTTGAATGACAAGCTTTTAAAAACAATCTCAGATTTGTGGCTTCAGCATGCATACACTGACATCACATTTCAGCAAGACAATGACCTGAAACACATGTCAAAGAAGACAACAACATGGTTGGAAAGCAATAGCATTAAGGTTATGCAATGGCTGGTGCAGTCACCAGACTTAAACCTGATTGAACACCTCTGGCACCATCTCAAAATGTGACTTTCACAGTATAGTATGATTGCAAAGTCCAGGGATGAACTGCTCAAGAGATGTGAAGCTGAATGGAAAGCAATCACTCCAGAGACATGTAGGATGCTAATAGAGAGCATGCCAGACCACATCAAGGTGGTTCTGAAGGCCAAAGGAGGGAATACAAAGTACTAAGGTGTTCTCAAGGAGTGCTCCATAAACTGTCCCACAATAATAAAAAAATCGGCTCTTCTTCATAGCACAATTTTTTTAGTCAATGTCAATATCAATTACCCAGTCTTGGAGAGAAGAAGCAGGGCTTTCAGATGATATCAGACAGTGTGGCAATACAACTTATAGCTATTGAGCATTAGAGTGATGTATGGTGACATGTAAAATTATGGGACAGTTTATGCATGTGCTGTATATCTTACATGTCTGACTGTGTTCTGCTAATCGTCTGAAGGGTGCTCCTTAAGTACAAAGGGGAACAATGGTGATCAAAGGGGAGTGATAACGAACAAAAGGCAGTGAGGATTCATGCGAGAGAATCAAAGGGGTCTGCAAGGGACTTCCGACATGTGTGTCAGAGGTCTCGTGCCTGAAACCTGATATCTGTAATAGAAATGCATCTACTATGAATCCTGTTGAGATATGTGACAATGTGTTATGTATTACTGTTCTTGTCAAGATATGTAGCAAAGAAGCCTCTATGACTTTTCTTGCTTGAAGAAGTAGTAGTGGGTTTGCTATTGCAGGTTTCAACTGACCACTGTGGACACTCTGTCCAGAGGTAGCTTGGCACAATCAATGACTATATGAACTTGTACTGACACCAAGGTCTGGTGTGAATGAGATGGTTGGTGGTGCCAACACAAGTGTCCAGTGTGTTGACTGAGTGCTTGAGGTGATCCCTGGACTGCAGTGGACAATTGCCTTCAGTTCTATGATTGCAAGCTGGACCACAGGTTGCTATGAACTGCCTTCAGTGTTGATCATTATCCAGACTGCTGGTTATATGAACCACCTTCAGATGTCAGTGAGCAGTGATACAACACATGCACTACAATGAAAGCAATCTACTTGTGAATGCAACTTTGCTGACTGAAAACTAATGTATACTTATGTTGAAGTGATAACTAGTTTATGGTGTAGAGTGGATGGCAATCCACTCACTGGCTATGACAAGGAGCATGGTTATATACCATCCTCACAGCATCGCCTGTGACACTGCTCCTGTTCTGTGAGGTCCCCTCAACCCTATGTCCCCTCCTCGTCCCTCCTGCTGTTTCCCATCCATGTTGGGCTGCTGCTCATTGGCACTGCTTTCCTCTCTTCTTGTGGATGGACAGCCCTCATGCTACTTCATCATTGCCAGGGGCAGTTCCCACTTCATCTGAGTGGCAACCTGCATCTTTTCATCTCCCTCCTGTTGCCCGCACCTATCTGCTAGCACCAACTTCATCGTTGTGCAAGGTCCCTGCTTTATACAGTGGTGTAAGCGGTCGTGCGCCAGAGACTAGTTTTGGGTGTTATTCGATTGGTATAGATGGGATTGATTGAGTAAGATCTACTTGGTATGTTTCAACTAAATGTAACCAGATGACTTCGTACTGGTAGATCTCAACTGACTGCCTTGAACACTCTGTTTAGAGGTTGCGCAGCACATTCATTGTTCATTGGAGAGTGAGTGATACTGGAGAGTGAGTGATACCTTCTCCTTACAGTATGAGTGTTTGCAGTACTGTTGATAATGCTCTTGGACATCATCTGGACTGCGATATGCTTATCGCCTACAGAGGATGGTAGTTACTGGACCACAGGTGTGAGCCACTGCCTACAATAACTGACTGGACTGCAGATGTTGAGCAACACTGCCTACAGTAAGAGACTGGACTGCAAGTGTTGAAGAACACTGCCTACAGTTGAAGAACTGGACCACAAGTGTTTGGAGAACACCACCTACAGTTGACACCTAATGGTGATACAACACACACATTTGGGGGTTGTTGCAAAAGCACTGCTATTGCAATGATATGTAGCTAAGAGTCAAGTAAAGAGTAAGTATATAGTAAGTAGAGCAGATGAGGATCCACTTGTATGCTATAGTAGAATGAGAGTATTTATGCATTCAATTGGTGTTGCCTGCAACACCTATCCTGCTCCTCCTGAGAGGCCTTCATCCCCTTTTGACACTGTCTCTCCTGCTGGCATCAATCCCATTGATGCTGCACCTCTACCATTTGCACAGCATAATGGTTGTGCAACACTGCCCCTTTGCCTTCATGCTCTCTCTCTGCCTGATGATATGTGACAACCCCTTTGACACAGCTCCTCCTCTTCATTTAGCCAATCTCCAGTCTTCTTGACACAGCTCCTTCTCTCTTCCCCAGCAACCACCTTCTTGACCTTATCTTGTGAATCCCTTTAGCCACTTGTTGGACCTCATGACCAAACCCCTTGGTCATGGCACCCCTGTGCTTGGTCCTGTGTGGCGATATGCACATACCCCTTGAGCAGTAACCATCTGTGTGATGCTGAGCTCAGTCCCCACTTCTGCATGTGGTTATCTCCATATGCTTCTCCTTCTAATGCCAGTATCCTCCTTCCTGAATCTCCTGATACTTGCTCATGTTGGCTGTCTTGCTGAGACATGCTGATCAGGCTGATCCAATCAATCCATGTGAAATTAACCTGGACCCCAGAGTTTGGTTGATCTCATAAATCATATGTGCTATCAACCTGATTAGCTTCATCAATTCCTGATGATTTGCCACTGATCAATTTGGCACACCCTTCATGTGCTGATCTGCTGACCCTGTGACATTACCATGATTGCTGCTGATCAATTTGGCGCACCCTTCATACGCTGACCCACTGACCCTGTGACAGCAGGAAGAACTGGAATCATAGGAGGAGAGACCATGCACAGGAATTGTAGGATCAGGCAAAATGAAGGGTTATGACAGAGTTCATTGAGATTGGTAGTATTGAGGTCCTATGACAGAATTTGTCCAAATCAGTACAAGCGAGATCTTACAATGAAGCCCGCTGGGATCAGTAGTTTCATGATTGTATGACAGACCTTGCAGAAAACCAGGTTGAGGATGCCTCTCCCACAGATCTTGCAATGGGACATATGGTGATGACATTGGGTCTGCCACTCTGATGAAGCAGGGTGTCAGCAGTTGCGCACCCAAAACCTGATATCTGTAGTAGAAATGCATCTATTATGAATCCTGTTGAGATATGCAACAATGCTTGTGGTATTACAATTCTTGTCAAGATATGTAGTAGAGACATCTCTATTACTTTTCTCACCTGAAGATGCAGTAATGGTTTTGCTATTGCAGGTTTCAACTAACCACTGTGGACACTCTGTCCAGAGGTAGCTCAGCATGATCAATAATGTTGATGGTATTGCAAGACACCAAGGTCTGGTGTGATTGAGATAGTTGATGTTGTTGACATGAGTGTCCAGTGTGTTGACCAAATGCTTGAAGTGATCCCCAGACTGCAGTGGATGACTGCCTTTGGTTCTATTGTTATCTGGACTGCTGGTTTGCTATGAACTGCCTTTGGACATCAGTGAGCAGTGATACAACACATGTACTATGATGGAAGCAATCTATTTGATTGTGACTTTGCTGACTGTAACTAATGTATACTTGAATGAAGTGATAACTAGTTGTGTATGGTGTAGAGTGGATGGCGATCCACTCTTCTCCTATGATGGGGAGCATGGTTATATACCTTTCTTGTAGTGTTGCCTGTGACACTGCTGCTGCTCCTCCTCCCTACTATCCTCCCCATCCCTCTTGTGATGCCACTTGTTGGCATTGCTTCCCTTGCCTCCTGCAGATGGATGGGCCTTGTGCTGTCTCATCTCTGTTAGGGGCCAGTCCCACTTCATCTGAGTGGCAACTCGCACCCCCTCTCATTGCCCTCTGGTTGTCGGCACCCACCTGTTGGCACCACCTCATCATCGTGCCAGACCCCTACTTCATCTGGTGGTGTCCTCCCCTTGTAGGGTATCCTCCCCTCATCATATCAGTGATGGGGTGCCTCTCTGACTGATTCTCATGAGACCTGTTGTACTCAGCATAATATTACAATTTCCACTGAACTCTGTGGTAATGACTTTGTTCCTACTGATCCCAACAAATTATGCCATAGGATCGTTTCTCCTACTGATTCCAATGAGTTATGCTATAGGATCATTTCTCCTACTGATCCTGACAAGTTATACCATAGGATCGTTTCTCCTACTGATCTCAGCAAACTCTCCCTTAAGCTCTCGTGTAGCCCGATCCTGCGATTCCTGCGCTCCTTCATATGACTTCAACTTCTTCTTACCTCCTGCGCATCCAGCTCCTATGACACAGGGGCCCTACACAACAATGAACTCGGTGCAAGAGGATGGGCAAGATGAAGGAGGGTGTGCTTTGCCACTTGGATGAAGTGGGAATGGCCCCTATCAATGATGAAACAGCACAAGGTCTCCTCATCTGCAGGGAGCAGGGGAAGCAATGCTAAAAGAAGAGGGACATTGTAAGGAAGACAGGATTGGTAGGAGAGACAAGAGGAGGAGGGGCAGGGGCAAAAGAGGCCTCATAGAGCAAGAGCAGTGTTGCAGGCAACACTGCAGGAATGTCTATATAAAACATACATTCTCTTTGTTGTAGTGACTGAGTGAATCCTCATCCACTCTACATATTACTAGCTATATCTTCAACATAAGTATACTTAGTAGTTTCCATCAACAAGTTGCAATTGCAGAGCATTACATCTATCTTAGCATGTGTGTTGTATCACCACTATTTGACACCATCTGAAGGCAGTACTCTTCTGTGGTCTGGATATCGATCAACACTGAAGGTGGTTTCATACTGTGGTCTGGCTCTCTCAATCTCATACCAAAGGCAGTTGTCCACTGTGGTCCAGGGATCAATCAACTCAATCAACCATCAACACTCTGGATGCTTGTTGTCATGGGCCTGAATGCGCAGGTAGCAGGAAGACCCGTTAGTTCATATGAAGGGAGCACAGGAATCAGGGGATTGGGCAGATCATAGGAGTTGTGGCAGAATTTGCTGAGATCTGCAGTAGAATCAGCTCTATGACAGATCTCAGTGCAATTGGTATGAGCAAGGATGATATCACAGATTCTGCCAAGATTGGTAGTAAGCATGATCATAGGGCAGATTCAACAGAGATCAGCAATAGGGATGTTCATACGACGTTTCACATGCAAGGAGGACTGAGCTCACATATGGGGAGGACCAAGCTTTGCCAAGATGGGGACCAAGCTCAGCGACATGCAGACAGTTACCACTCAGGGGCACACAAGATAGGAGTAAAGAGAACTGTCACTGATCGAAGGAGGAGGAGCAGTGTCGAAGGAGTCGACACAGCTCAAGGAGGGCAGGAGTGACAAGCAAGCATGGTTCGAGGAGGAGGAGGAGCCTTATCAGGGGCCCTTGGATAGTACTCGACGAAGAAGGTACTCTCTGGAGAGAGAGAGCCGGAGCAGTGTCACAGGCGACGCTGCATAAGATGTATAAAAGCATGCCTTCTCATCATCAGTGGACAAGTGGATCCTCATCCACTCTACACCATATAAAACTAGTTATCACTTCAGCATAAGTATACATTAGTTTTCAGTCAGCATAGTAGTAATCAATAGATTGCTCCTCATTGTAGTGCATGTGTTGTATCACCACTCACTGATGTCCAAAGGCAGTTCATAGCAAACCAGTGGTCTGGATAAAGATAGAACTGAAGGCAGTAGTCCACTGTGGTCCAGGGATCACCTCAAGCGATAGTTGACACACTGGACACTCGTGTCGACACCACCAGTACCCACACTCACACCAGACCTTTGGTGTCATCATCAAGTTCACCACTGAAGTATTGATATTGATCATGCCAAGCTACCTCTGGACAGAGTGTCCACAGTGGTTAGTCGAAATCTGCAATAGCATTACTACAACTACAGATTCGAGCAAGAAAAGTGATAGAGATGGCTCTATTGCATATTTCACCAAGAATCATAATACCACTAGTGTTGTTGCATAACTCGACAGAATCGGTAATAGTATCAATACTACTACCGATCTCAGGTTTCAGGCACACGACTGCTGACACTTGTGTTGAGTCAGATGTATTCACACCATACCTTGGTGTTATCTAAGGAAACCATTGGACATTGTTCATGCTGTGCCACCACTGGACAGAGTGTCCACAGCAGTTAGTCAGAATCTGTTCTAAAGAATAGTTACAATCTATTCTAGCAAGAAAGGTCCTAAAAGGCTTATATGATAGATTTTGCCGAGAAAGCTCTTAGTAGGCTTTTATGATAGACTTCGGGTTCCAGGCGCATGACTGCTGACACCCTTTCCTTTGGAACTGGAGTCATCGTCGTTGCTTTGGCTGTGGGCAGGGGATTATGATGGAGGATCAAGCTGCTTGGGGGAGGCATTGTCTTCGTCTGCAGTGGCAGAGATGCAGGAGGATCACCTTTGTTGGATGGTGACTGCGTATCCCCTGCTTCCATGGCATCCCAGCGACGAAGGTCGGCCTCTCCGATGAAGGAGCTCTGCTGAGGAGGTGGTCGAGGGAACCAATGAGACCGGTTTTCGCATACGACGGATGACGGTTTTCCATACCTGTAGATCAGATTCTCCATCATACGCAGTGCATCGGCTGTATTCTCTTAAGCTGGGCAGGGACAGAAAATCCAGCCCCCATCATTCAAAAGCGTCCATCCTGGGAAAGGGATGGAGGGGACCATAGTTTCTCCCTGGTTTTGCTGCAATCTGACACTCAATGCACAAGCGTACCACTGCTCTGCAGATGGCAAGCATGACCAGGAAGGCATACCAATCCATTACCAGGTTCTTGAGGGTGCTCTGCTTTTGGTGTCCTCCTTTGTTGTGTAAGGCCTTTGTCAGAGAGCAAGCTCTCTCAAACAAGGTGATGACAACTACCTGAGAACCAAGTTTGTTGAGGCAGAATAGGTGGCCATCTTTGACAAACAACTCTAGCACCCAGTGCTCCACTTTCTGTAATGCCTTGGCTATGTCACCATCATCAAGTCCACCTGTGTCCACGCTGGGTAGGGCTTCTTTGGCGCTTACTGACTGACAGTGGTCTCTGCAATGGACAGCGCCTTCTGCTCGTTGTAGAGCCAGGTGGGATGGCTCTCACAAGCTATGATCTCTGTGACTGCTTCTGCCATGCCTGGCTTGATAGCAAGCTCGCTGTTGGTCACCTTGGCAGTGAGCCTTTTAAGAGTGGTAGGCCCAGAAGGACCAATGAGAGCTGATCTTCTTCTTGTGACCAGAACCTACTTTAAGTCATTGCTGGGTTCATTGTTGTCAGCCAAACCAGGTTGTCAACTTAGGGCATCTGCCACTATGTTTTCATCACCCTTTCTATAGATGATGTGGGGATCATACTGCTTGATGCAATCAAGGTAGCAGTACTTGTGTGGAGTGATCTTGCATTGGGTGCAGAAATAGACAATACCTTTGTGGTCCATTACCCAAGTGAACCTGCCAGGTGCTCTGTCAATGTAACAGCAGAAGTGAGTCATGCTGGCAATGCCACCAAGAAACTCTCGCTCCCTGGCAGAGTAGTTCCTCTCCATCTTGGATAGTTGCTTGGAGAAGAAGGCGACTGGCTGTAGGGCTGACTTGGGGGGCAACTCCTTGTCATTGAACTGCTGGCCCTGCCAATCACAACAAACTTGTGATAGGACAGCACCAATTGTGGTGTCAGATGCATCTGACTCAATGTAATAATGCTTGCCAAGCTGGGGAAGACCAAGAACCATATTCTGTACCACCGCCTTTAGCTCGTTAAACATGTGCTTTTGAGGCTCCTTCATGTTAATCGCTGCTCCCTTCCGAGGGCTTCCTTCGGTCAACTCGTAGAGGGGGTTGTCATAGGACTGGATGCGCAGAAGAACTGGATTTGTATGAGAAGAGACCACGCCCAGGAATCGCGGGATCAGGCGATTGGAGAGTTCCGACCTGAGTCTTGAGCACACTAATTACCTTCGTAGGCAAGTCCTCAGTGCTCATGTCACAGCTGACCTGTACCATGTGTCCATTGATCTGCAATTTCAAACTGGGGGCAGGCTTGTCATTGTGCCAGACAAATTCAGCTTGGGTCTGTCATAGGAAGGGTAATCCCACAATGAGACTGAAGTCACAGCCTTTGTGGAGATCAAGGGCAAACACCTTGAGCATCACCCATTGTCCAGCAATGGTCAACAGGAATGTGACCAATTTTAAAGCAGTTGTGATCTTGCCAGAGGCAGTCTGGATGACCTCTGAACCATGCTTGTGCTCTGTGATTTGGTTACTGTTCCTTTGCAGAAACTCGAGGAAGTCTCCAGCAGCATAGTTGTGGGAAGAGCTGGTATCTGCAAGCATGAACACCCATAAGCTGTCAGGAAGATGGACAATTGATTTTTGGCAAGTGATCAACTTTGCAGTCATTGTGTGCAGTGTGTGCATGCTGATGCACTTAGTCCTCTGCAGACAGTTGCGAGAGAAATGACCAAACTTGTGGCAATGATAACACTTGGTGTTTTTGTCCACAAGTGGAACCAGAAGAGTAGGTGTGTGCTTCTTTGGCCCAGGTTGGTGAGCACCCTTCAGCCAATTGTTCTGGGTGGACTTGAGGGAAGCAGCATGGAGCAACATAGGCTTGCACTCCACTTTCTTCCACACACCAAAATGGGTAGGCTGTCTACTGGAAGGGTCCTTGGTTGTGTGATCAGCAAGCTGGCTCTGCATGGCCATGTTGCTGTTCTCAAAGTTACAAGCCTCTTGCACAACCTCCTCAAAGTTGTTGACAATGTTTTTCTGCTGGATATCATGGATGAGGTCATGGTACCTAGAGGGGAGTTTCTCGCAGAAGCAATTGACCCACTCAGAGTCTGTGAAGCTGTCCAGTGGAGCAAGAACACAAGCTTGTGGAAGTCCTTTATATAGCTGTCCATATCCTTAAAGGCAAGTGCCTTGATCTTGTGCCTTGCTGTGAAGGCTGGGTTCTGTTCTTCATGAGCCTCCAGGAAGGCTTGTCAATACACAGTCCACAGGAAGGAGGTGTATTTCTTCCTGAAGGCATGCTACCACCCAAGTGGGGAGCCCTCCAGACAGCTAGAGATGGCAACTGACCACCTGCTCTTACTGGCTCTGCCCTTGACTAGTACCTTGATGAAATCTTGAAGCCATTTGCCAGCAGTCTCCTCAGTTGAGTCATTGTAGGGACGAAATTTGGGGATGCGAGCATCCTTAGAGGCATTGAAGATCTTGTGGTTGTTGGTGGCATTGTTGAAATCCTCAGACCAGTTGATCTTGTCTTTGGTCACTTGGGCTAGACCAACTTCTCTGCCATCCTGTTTGTTGGTGGCAAAGGCCTCTTGCTTGGCTGGCAAGGGCATTACTTCGTTGGAGGGGAGCTGACCCTCAGCAGGCAGCTGACCCTCAGCAGGCAGCTGAGGGGCAGCATACTCCTGGACAATCTCATGCATGTGTTGCTCATTCTGCTAGGAGAGCTGAGTGAACCTGTTGTCAATGGCCTGAGTGAAATGAGTAGGGAAAGCACCCAGCTTACTGTTGATCTCGTCGATCGACAGTTTAGTCTCATTGCCGAGGGCTTTGATGCTATCAGAGAGGCCGGCAAGGCTGTTCTGAGGGGATGAAAGAATGCTTGATTGTCGGAAAACAAGAGAGACCAAGAAGCAAAATGCAAACGAAACACAAACTGCCCTGCGTAGCGTAAAAGAATCACATAGCATGCGAAATACGTCTCTTGAAACGAGCCATCTTCGACTCCGAAGCTGGCGAAGTTGGGGACGATACACTGTCTCCACTGCCATTGCCTCCACTGGGGCTGGGGTTGAAAGAGCGGTCGGTGCTGACCTGCCTTGCGCCGTGGGTGCTCTGCTGATGCGACATGTAAGCGCTAGCGTTGAGATTAGGGCCGGTGCGAGGGACTGGAGGATGTTCACAGGGTTGGAAAGGGTCATCAGAGTCCGATGGAATGGCTTCTTTGCCTGCTCGACTGCGACTGCGGCTTCGACTACGGCCCCGTGCGCCTGTTGGTATAATGGCATTCGGCGATCGGTCGACCGCATCGATGGGTAGCTTGATCGATCCGTCACCTCCCAGGGCGACATTGTGCTGAGACTCGCCGACCTGAGTATCGAGTCTCGCCTTGCCCTTCTGATGAGCAGCTGCGTTGGTAAAAGCAGCACCGAGAGAAGCACCACCCATCTCTTCCTCGGCCGTGTCCACATCCTCTCCACCGTCACTAGATTTCTTTCCTCTTCCACCATACTCACCTACGGCGCCTTCACACACACCATGCTCAGCGGTGGTCCGAAGACGGCTCATCCCCGCTGAATGGATGGTGGCCGGCACTAGTATCTGGGCCGGTGCCGATCGGCCTGGCGGAAAATTCCGCGCTGCTGCTGCTGCTGCTGCTGTTGTTGTTGTTGTTGTTGTTGTTGTTGTTGTTGTTGCTGAAGGTGAAGAGGTGTTGACTTGCGGAGCTTCTGCTAAAGTGCTCAAGAAGGTATGGTTGAGGGGTGTGCCTGATTCCTCGAGACCAGGGGAGAAGCCTCCGACTGCACCCACAGAGGGCCAACCTTCTTCCAGGCTGCCCAGCCCAGTGGGTCTCGCTAGGCTGGACGATGAGGGCATGGCTCGGTGTGCGTTGCCGATAGCGATCGGTCCGGAGCCTCGACGGACAGGAGAGCCAGCGTCGCCGGCGCCAGGACCGGTGCGCTGCAAAGCTGCACTGGGGACTAACGCTGTTGGGTCGACAGAGACTGTGGCATCTTCGTTCAGAAGTCGGTCGGTAACTACCATCTCGCCCAATTCGGCAGTGATATGGGTTGCATCATTTGATACGCCCGCTGGCTCCGCAGCATCATCCATAGCGAAGGTCTTGTCACCGCCCAAAGGACCGACACTTGATCCGACTGCCGTGTCGGGTCGAGCCCAATCATTCTTGCGTTTGCTTAAAGCTGCTGTGCCCCTACCCAACAATGGGTTGGCAGTGGCATGTGCGGCGTGCAACTCAGCAGGCAATGCCGAAGAGCCTGTGGCCAGTGGCAGTCTTCCGAGAGCAGAGCCTGTCGTTGGGCCATCAGCTCTAGCGCCGTTCGTGAGTGCACTCGTCAGAGATGGCAGCATAGCTGCAGTGATGGGTGCATCTAGCTCGACCGCAGGAGTGCCAACTTCGAAAGGCTGCTTACCCTGCGCTAGACGTGCTTCGGCCGCTGCGGCTTCCTGCAAGAGCGCCTCTTGCCACGCCTCGTCCTCCTCAACGTCTGCGTCCAAGTCTGCGAAGGTGCGGCAGAGAGGACACGAGAAGCCTGGGTAATGCAAGTTGAGCAATGGTCGAATACACTTGTAATGGAAGACGTGCGAGCAAGGCGCAATGAACAACGCTTGGCATACTGTTACTGAGAATAGACAGATACAGCAGTCGGTGACACTGACGCCTTGCCTGTTGGTGGGAAGCAGCGCTGCTGCCGAGGCGGTCTTGCCCTTGTCCTCGGGCGGCGAGATGGGAGTACCTTGCAGCGCTCGCAACTGTCGCAGAGCATTGACGTTGAACTGACTAGCTTCGCGCTGCCAGCCTCGGTTGAGCTCGACACGCATCTTGACGCAACGATAGATCTCCTCTGTGCCTCCTTGATAGTCGACACCGAGCTGCACCACATCTCCGTCCTTGATAGCGAATGGTCTTGACTCCATGTTTGGGCCCGACAGGCGAATGTGATTGAGGAAAGTGCCCGAAGATGACTTTGTGTCGCGAATGAAGAACTTGCCACCTGCTTCACACCAGATCTCGGCATGACCTCGACTGACGACTTTGCTTTTGAATGCGATGCGGGACGAGTCGATGCGACCGCCGCCGCCGCGACTGCCACTGATGGGGATCGCTCCACCACGAGCGCCTGGCTGACCTCGACTCGATTGGGTTTGCAGAACAGATCCGAACTCTCCGGACGAGGAGGCATCGTGATTTGCACCAGTTGCGTCTGCGAGAGTGGCTGCGAGTTGATCACGCTGCGAAGGTTGACGATCAGTGAAGCGACCGACTTTGACCGCTCCCGCGCCCTCTTTGAGATCACGCTCGATGGGTTCGAAGTGGAGCGATCTTGTCGCCTCGAGATGCGGGACGAGGCGAATGCGATGCATGCCGTTCAGTGGGCGTGAGGCTGTGGGTGTGCCTGAAGCGCCCGTCGTTGCGGCGAGAGGAGTGTCGGCAACGGTGGAGGTGGGTTGAGCAATTACGGCATTTGCTGACGATAGCGTGTTGGCGCCGGAGGAGCTGTCCAAGGCTTGCGTGTTGGTGATGGCTGATGCGATAACGGGAGAAGGGAAAGCTGGGGCTTCTGCGGCAGCCAAAGTTGGCAGAGTGCGAGAAGCAGGGATGCCTGCACCACTGTCGTTTGAGGGAACTGTGGATAGGATGGCCGAGTTAGAGCGAGGGACAGAGGGCAAAGATACGGCTGCGTGAGTGGATGGACGCAATGGACTGCCGATGTCCCTGTCCAGCGCGGAAGAGCTAGTGTTGCGGGAGACGCTGAAAGAATCACGGTCGCGGGTCGAAGGTCTAGCTTGCAAATCACTACGTGCAGCACCACCCTGACTGTATCGACGAAACATCCGACCAAGGGCGCTACCGCCAGCCTGTGGCGAAGAGGCATTGGTGCTGGTCATGTTGGCGTTGCCACTATTCCTTCCTTGAGGGACTCTCTCGAGAGTGGGCGAGGTGTATGTGGTCTGCAGTGAGATGCGAGTAGGTCGAGGAGAGTTGGTTGCAGGAGGAGAGGAAGCAAGATGCACCTGCGACGAAGACGAGCTTCTGAGTAAATCTGAAAAGCTGGAACCGTTAGCAGAGGGTGATAAGAGGTTGGAAGTGCTAGCAGCAAATGAGACCTGATGGATCCTGCTGGCTGTTCTGGGACGACGAGCGCCGAGACGTGCAAAGAAGGATGAAGCTCGTGGCGGGGATGCAGCGTCGGCTCGATTGGCTAACGAAGATGAGGAGGCGTTGTTGTCGGCAGCAGGAGGTGGCGACATGGGGCGTAGCAACCGCTAAGCTCGTTATGCTGGATATGCTGAATGAGGTGCAATTAGCTCGTGGCAAAGTGGAGCGAGCTACAGACGAGATGCGGACATGAGCAAAAGTTGGGAGCGACTGTGTCAATTGTCCTGTCGGCTCTAGATCGGTCAATGAGAAAGTGCCGCTGCAACCGCTGGAAGCCGGGCGAAATACTAGGGTGATGATCTCGAAGGATTGCTTTCGGTGGGTCTAGTCGAGAGAGCCAATATCGGAGGCTGACAATATGAGTTGGAGCCAAGTGAGAAGCAGGGATTGCGACACCTCCGATTGATGGCCAAGACGACGAAAAGGATGTGTGGTGACGGGAGCAAAGGCAAAGATAGTCGATCGACGACAGAGAGAGTGCAGAGCAGCGTGTACAGTGCAGTGCAGTCCGCTGAGTGGGGTTAAATCAAGAGAAAGAAGCCAACAGCCAATTACCAATTGCAACGCACAAGCAGAGAGGCTCATTCCAACCAAAGTCGCCATTTTGCGCGTGGAATACACACACACAGAGCTCGGCTCTCAGATCCGAACAGGCACGGAAATTGGCAGCAGCAGCAGCAGCAGCAGAGGAAGGTGGCTGAACTGACTCGCTCCAAGTCACGCTTACAGCCACCCAGAGAAAGAGAGAGAGAGAGAGAGAGTATTGCAGCAGCAGCAGTCTCAGTTTGCCGTGGATTTTTCGGAAAATCATAGCCAACCATAAATCGGAATGCTGAGTGAGACCTTGTTGACATCGGCGATTTGCCAAGATCAGTCCTAGACCCTGTTTCTTGCCCCGACTCCCGAGCCCCGCCAAAAATTTCACTTGCTTCTTCTCCACACAAGTCCTTTCTCCCCCTCCTCTTTACCATCTCCAACCCAAACCATCCACCATCTTTCCGTTTCATACTGTCTATAATGGCTGCTAGCGCCAAGCCCCTAAAGGTCGCCCGCAAAGCCGCCGCCGCCCCCCCTACCCCACCAAAACGCAAGAAATTCGCCGAGGACTCCGGTCTATCCCACCTCCTCTCCCTCACTGAATCCATTGTCTCAGCCAAAACAGAGTCCCAAACGAAACAAATCCAACAGAAAAAATCACAAGTGGCAGCGATCCAGCAAAAGAAACGTGAGGATGCGCAAAGACGCAAGGAAAAGTCTACGTTACAACCTGGTGCGAAGGGAGGAGGGGCCTTAGCGGGGAAGGTGAAGAGCAAAGCAGAGATCAAAATGGAATTGAAGAAGGCTTTGCGCGGCAAGGCGAAGGCGCGCAAGGAGGCCAGAAGAGCAAGGGAGAACATGGTAGATGGCGCTGTGCAGGCAGAGACAGTAGGCGAGAAAGGCAAGGGGCAGGGGCAGAAGGGAGCAAGGAAGAGTGTTTCTTTTGCTTTCCACTAGTTCACCACCACCTTCCAAGTTCAGCTACAAAAGACACTCATACAGATACCCGCAGATCACATGCACTCGCAATACAGCACTCAGCACTTAGCATTGCATTCAAAGTCTGATTCGTGTAACATTGCTTCTGAACTCCTACACAGATGGTAAAGCGCTACGACAACTAGGACATTCACCTTTAATCCCCAACCATCTCTCCAAACATTTTGTATGGAAGGCATGCGAACAAGGTGCAATCATTACATCCATGCGTTTACCCCTTATCGCTTCATTAGCTGCTCCCAAACTCTCTTTCCATGCCAGCATCCGGTGTACTGTCTTCGCTAGATGGTGCTTTACCCTACCACTTACTCCTGTAGTTCTGTTTTCCCTTCCTGGCCGAGGTTGGTGCCGGGAGCAAGATTTGTCGACAGAATAAGGCAAATCAAATTCCTCCGCCTGCTCCAATCTGTCATATCCACGATTTGAACCGCTGAAGCCGAACCAAGATTTGCTCTTCGCCGCAGGCCTCCGCTGCTTTTTCTGCCTCTTTTCAATGGGGTTAAGGCAAATGGGACAATCTCCATAGACTCTCCCCTCCTCCCCATCCTCCTCGGCGCCAGAGAGGGGAGGATGATACTCCCACACCCCAACCTCCGCTCCTTGTGGCACCCAGCTCTGCCTCAAGAACCAATGCGGCCCTGACAAATCCTGACCCGCCAGCACGAACGCCTGCAACCCTAACCAGCCGGCTAACACCCACCCCCATCTACTCGTCTCCGACATCAACACGTTGTCTGGACATAACAGCAAATACATCGGTACGAACAGTCTCGTTAGCGTTATACCCACCACGCAGCGCTTGAGAATCGCCTTTCGAGTGCCTCTCATCACGTTGCGGTATATTTGAGGGATCCAGAACGAATAGAGGACGGGAAGGAGAAGGGTGATGGTAAAGATTGGAAAGAAGCCGACCATGAACAGGAACAGACCGGTGGCCAAGATGACTCTTCCGCGACGTCGTGCACGGTCTGCTTCTGCTGTGGTTTCTGCGTTGGCGGTGGCGGTGTTGGTGTTGGTGGTAGGGGTGATCGTGTTTAGCGTTGCGTTGAAGATCGTGTTCTCACCCTCCCCAGCCCCAGGCTCTGCAGCAGTCGGTAGCGAAGGCCCAGCATCAGCCTGAGCTCTATACACTGTAATCGTGTACCTGTAACCAAAACCCAAGAAACAAACGCCGCTAACAAATGCACACGCCAAAAGTGGCTTTTCCGTCTCGTTTTTCAACGCCACCGCCACGCTCAGATGTATCAGACATCCATAAGCATCCAGTACGGACTGAGCCAGGAAAGTCTTATCGCTGACCTTTAGAAGTCCGCTTGGGGTGGCGGTTGCTTCCATCTGCTGCACCAGCAGATACGTCTGCAAGAGGAGAACGAGGAAATAGATGATCGCGTAGTTGACTGCCTTTTTCCAGATTCGTATTTGTAGCAGACCCGTCAGCGGTGCTGCCCGGTGAGTGGCGAGGACAACTTGGCATTCTGGTGAGAAAGCTGTCAACGAAAGGCGCAGCTGTGGGCGAGGGATGGTGGATATGCCTGTACTGTGTTTTGCTTCGCTTTCTAGCGCATCGATTTGAGGTTGCACCTCAGCAAAGGGCCCAGCGGAAGAGAATTGCCCGTAAACATGGAGCGAACAGTTGTGCTTGAGAGCAGGAGAGACGGAGGGAGAGTCGTCGCCATCGTACGAACCACTGTCGATGATACGTTGGAGCATATCTATGCGCAGTTGAAAAGCTTTGTTGATCGCAGAGATTGTTGCATTCCTAGTCTCGTTGTTACCCTCTGGGATCAGACTGAGTGATGTACGGACGTCGGTGGAATGTGGTGTTTCCTCCGCGAGGGCATGTAGAAAGAGACTGCCTGTGGGGAGGAAGTGGAGGCCTTCGAGTGAGAAGTCGACCGAATCCTCCTCGCTTCGGGACCCCTTTGGTTGATTGAAGCTGAGACTGCCAGTGATGAGCGAGACATTTCCCGGCAAAAGATGTTCTTCCCGCAGATGCACATCGACATGGCTAAGCTCAGTAGTGAGCCAATTGAACGAGCCGCGATCCAACCTAAGCTTTTCCGGATCTACGCCTTCAACATACTTCGGCTCGTCACTCACCTTCGGTGCCTTATCAGCGAGGGTGTGACTAAGCTTCGAATCGGTAGCAAGCGAGCGATTGGCTTGCGTGCTGAAATCCCACCCTGACCATTCGCCTTTGTAGTACCCCTCGACATCCTTGTAATACGATCCATCCGGAGCTACCAGGCTGCGACCTGAGTATTCTGCTGGTAGAAGCTTGTACACGTCGGCGGGATCTGGAGTGACGGTAAAGTTGGCTTGTTGGGTAGCATTGTGCTTATACCAGCCATAGACTTCTTGGCGGAGCTGCTCGGTTTGCTGGATTGCGTTGCGGACCGGTTCGAGTGTGTCTTTGCCGAAGAGTAGCGTACCTAGGAACGAAGCTTGGATACAATTTGGAAGCGTTATCAGCAAGATCACAGCCAAAACCAAGGCTGATGAGCTATGTCCGCGCATCGTTGCTGATTTAGACGCTAGGCAGGGGCCAAACGACCCGTTTATCTGAGAAGGATGCTGCTGAGCCAGCTTGATGATCGTTATAACATCATCGAAGCTGAACCCAGGCCTGTGAGAGGTTCAACTATGCCTGCATCAGCTGATACTGGTGGATGCCGGAGTTTGCCAGATGTTGAGTGATGAACAGAAGATCAAGAAGAGAGCAAAGATAACCACGCCATGTACGGTCAAAGCGCGGGGTCCAACAGCGCCAAAAAGTGGAGTCTCACTTTTCCGGAAGTCGGTCACTTTTAGTTGAAGATGCATCGGCATCCCAAGAGGGATGCATGAGCTGCAGCCAAGACACCATAGTACTGAGCACCTGCATAAGCAAGAAACACAATGAAACATATGAAGGTTGCCATAGCAACAGTTCATAGGGCACCTCGTGAAGCAGCAACATAGGGGTATGAGGGAAGTGACTCTTTCTGCTCAAATGTGATCAGAGTGGCAACAAGGTATATATATGCATTTGTCATTTAGGTTCACACTATGAAAATACCAAGCATTACAAGAAGCATATGACTGTAGTAAGGGAGCCTGATCATGGCCCCAATAATGCAGTATACTAATTGTTATCTTAAATTGATTAAGAGTCTGAAGAAGCTACCAACTGAGCTAATCGAAGCCCATTGTCAGGGGTCTCGCGCCTGAAACCCAGGTCGGTCTGTCGAGATACTCAGTGACTATCAAACTGTGCAACAGCTATTGTCTCGGTATCTGTCTTGACAAGCTAGTTGTTCAGCAACTATCAAGTTGTGCAGTGACAGCAGGTGGTGTTCATTGTATATACTATCGTAGGTTTCGGCTGACCTCTGTGGACACTCCATTCAGGGGTAGCTCGGCACGATCAATATCGATGCATAGGTTATGATGACACCAAGGTCTGGTGTGAGTGTTGATGATGATTGTCATGGGCCTGAGTGCACAGGAAGCAGGAAGAACCGCCAGTTCATATGAAGGGAGCGCAGGAATCAGGGGATCGTAGGATCGTAGGATTTGCAGCAGAAGTCACCAAGATCTGCAGTAGAATCTGCTCTATGACAGATCTCAGTGAGATCGGTATGAACAAGGATGATATCACGAATTCTGATGAGATCAGTAGTAGGAGAGGTCGTATAGTAGATTCCGCAGAGATCAGTGACAAGGATGTTTGTACGATGAATTCACATGTGCAGAGGACCAAGCTCTGCCAAGACGGGGACCGAGCTCAGTAGATTGCAGCTGGTTACCACTCAGGGGTTCACAAGATAGGAGTCAAGAGAACAGTTGCCGGTTAGGAGGAAGGAGAACTGTGTCAAGGACACCAGCATATAGTTCATGAGGAAGAAGAGCTGTGTCGAGGAGGTCAACACGCAGCTCAAGAGGGACAGGAGTAGGGTTACAGGGACTCCTGCATAGCACTCGACGAAGGAGGTACTCTCTGGAGAGAGAGTTGGAGCAGTGGTGCTGGTGGCACTGCAAAGAGGTATAAAGCCATACCTTCTCGTCACTAAGTGGTCGAGTGGATCCTCATCCACTCTACTCATCAAGCAAACTAGTATTACTTCAAGCAATAAGTATCATTAGTTCACAGTCAGCATAGTAGTAATCAACAGATTGCTCCTCATTGAAGCGTGTGTGTTGTATCACCATTTCCTGACATCCGAAGGCGGTTCTAGCAAACCAGTGGTCCGGATATCGATAGAACCAAAGGCAGTTGTCCACTGCAGTCCAGGGATCACTTCAAGCATTAGTCGACACACTGGACACTCGTGTTGACGTCATCTATCCATACTCACACCAGACCATTGGTGTCAACATCAAGTTCACTTAGAGTCATATTGTAGTTTGATCGTGCCGAGCTACCTCTGGACGGAGTGTCCATGGTGGTCAGTCGAAATCTGTCACAACATCAATACAACTACAGATTCCAACGAGAAAAGTGGCAGAGACAGTTCTGTCGCATATTACACTAGGAATCGTAATACCACTAGCGCTGTCGCATAACTCGACAGAATCGGTGATAGTACTGATACTACTACTGATCTCAGGTTTCAGGTGCGCGACCGCTGACAATGATGAGGTTGATGGTGTTGGTGATAAGGTTGATGGTGTTGGTGATAAGGTTGGTGGCGTCAACACGAGTGTCCAGTGTGTTGACTGATACTTGAGGTGATCCCTGGACTGCAGTGGACTACTGCCTTCGGTTCTATCTATATCCAGACTGCTAACCTGCTATGGGGTGCCTTCGGATGTCAGGTAGTGGTGATACAACACACACACTACAATGAGGAGCAACCTTGATAGATTGCTGCTATGCTGACTGAAACTAATATATACTTGTGCTGAAGTGATAACTAGTTATGATGTGTGTAGAGTGGATGAGGATCCACTCAACCTTTGATGATGAGAAAGCATGGTTATATACCTCTTCACAGCATCGCCAGTGATGCTGCTCCTGCTCTCTCTCCAGAGAGTACCTTCTTCATCGAGTACTGTTCAGGAGGCCTCTCCTGCTTGCTTGGCACCCCTGTGCCTCTTGAGCTGTGTCGACTCCTTTGACACTGCTCCTCCTCCTTGCTATCCTGCTTGTTTGACACCCTTGTGCCTCCTGAGTGGTGTCGACTCCTTCGACACTGCTCCTCCTCCTCATGACCTGGTGTCGACTCCTTCGACTCTTGTCTCTCAAACCCCTGAGTGGTAACCATCTGAGCTTGGTCCTCTTTGTGGCTGTGCCTGCTCCTTGAGCTTGGTCCTCCTCGTGGCTGTGCCTGGCCCTCCTCGCATATGGCTCGTTCCTCCTTTGCATGTGAATCCATAGGAGTCCATGGTCTCCATGGAGACTGCACTATGACCATGCTCTCTACTGGTATCGACTAGATCTTCGATACCTGTGCTCCTTCCATATGAACCAGTGACCCTCCTGCTTCTTGAGCATCCAGGCCCATGACACCCATCAACAATAATGGTAGAAGACACCAAAACCCAGGTCAGCACCAGCACAAAGACCAAAGGAGGCAGGAAAGGCAAGACCACCCAGGTACAAGCCAACAATGATGCCACAAACAAGAATGAGCCAGAGGCCATCAACAACAAAGCTGATGAAGGAGCTGACTCCAACTCAGATTTCAATGATGGCGACAAGTGATATAACTTTTGTACCCTTGCAAAGCTTCTCAAACCTGTACCAAAGCTCATGTCACACAGCTACTACAGCTGGAGTGCCCATGTGAAGTCTTTCCTCCAATCTGTGCCTCATGCAATGAAACACCTCAAGGGAACATATGACAAGAAGCACCCAAAATGGAATTGCTCCCTTGATGATGCTTTGACCAATGCACTCCATGGAACAATTGACACTACTGGAGAACACAATGTCAACTACCTCATTCTAGATGTAATCAAAGAGTATCTTACCTTTCATCAAGTGTGGAGAAAGATTGAAGATGGACTCACGAATGAAGCTACCAAGACATCTCATAGACTCACACTCATCTCACAGCTTGGTGACATAAAGATGTTCCACTCCAATGCAAGGAAGCTAATTCAAGAGATCTGGACCATTCAAACAGAAAGCAGTCTTCTTGGGAAGCCATTGTCATGGGCCTGGATGCTCAAGAAGCAGGAGGGTCATGGGTTCATATGGAAGGAGCACAGGTATCGAAGACCTAGTCGACACCAGTAGAGAGCATGGTCATAGTGCAGTCTCCATGGAGACCATGGACTCCTATGGACTCACATGCAAAGGAGGGCCAAGCACAGCCACGAGGAGGACCAAGCTCAAGGAGCAGGCACAGCCACGAAGAGGACCAAGCTCAAGGAACATGCAGATGGTTACCACTCAGGGGCTCGAGAGACAAGAGCCAAAGGAACTGTCACTGATCAAAGGAGGAGGAGCAGTGTCGAAGGAGTCGACACCAGGTCATGAGGAGGAGGAGCAGTGTCGAAGGAGTCGACACAGCTCAAGAGGCACAGGGGTGCCAAGCAGGAGAGGCCCCTGAGCAGTACTCGATGAAGAAGGTACTCTCTGGAGAGAGAGCAGGAGCAGCATCGCTGGCGATGCTGAGAAGAGGTATATAACCATGCTTTCTCATCAATAGGTCGAGTGGATCCTCATCCACTCTACTCACCATACAACTAGTCAATACTTTAGAAACACAAGTACTCATTAGTTACAGTCAGCATAGCAGCAATCTATCAAGGTTGCTCCTCATCGTAGTGTGTGTGTTGTATCACCACTACCTGACGTCCGAAGGCGCCCATAGCAGGTTAGCGGTCCGGATATAGATAGAACCGAAGGCAGTAGTCCACTGCGGTCCGGGGATCACTTCAAAGCATCAAGTCAACACACTGGACACTCGTGTTGACGCCACCAACCTTATCACCAACACCATCAACCTCATTATCATTGACATCACCAATCTTATCATCAACACCATCAACCTCATTATCATCGACATCACCAATCTCATCACCAACACCATCAACCTCATCATCATCAACACCCACACCAGACCTTGGTGTCATCATAACATTGATATTGATCGTGCCGAGCTACCCCTGAACGGAGTGTCCACAGAGGTCAGCCGAAACCTACGATAGTATATACAACGAACGCCACCTGCTGTCACTGCACAACTTGATAGTCACCGATACCGAGACAATAGCTGTCACACAGTTTGATAGTCACCGAGTATCTCGACAAACCGACCTGGGTTTCAGGCGCGAGACCCCTGACAGCCATTTGCCAATGACACATTGTTCTCAGCATTGCAGAAATGCACAATCTGGCATCTGGTGTACAAAGAGACAGTCACCACTGTTCACCAGATCGATTTCAACACTCTTGCCACTGCATTGAGCATTTGCCAGACAGCCATCGAGAGCATCCCCATGCAAAAGGTCAACCTGCAACAGGCCAGCACCAGGACTGCCAGCAATGATGATCAAGATGATCAGACTGGGGAACCTGAAACCAGTAGCAGCAATGCGAACCTGAAGAACACAAGCAGACTGCAACAAATCCAATGCTGGATCTGCAAATGAACAGGACACAGTATCAGTCAGTGTGATGCTTTGGTCACCATCCCCAAAGATTCCCCCCTCACTAAACCTAAATAGGAAGTGTGGTGCTCCATCACTCACACATCGAAATGGCAAGAACCTCCAAATGCAAAAGAAACAGTGCATTGGATCTTGGACTCGGGTGCAAGCTATCATATGGTAAATTCTTATGATATGCTCATCCACCCAAGAACCTGCTGAAAGCATGTAATCACTGCTGGAAACAAGGTTCTGGAGGTGACAGCCATAGGAGACATTAATATATCAACAGATTATGGGGACATTCCCTTACAAAACATATTGTATGTCAAGCATCTCAATGTCAACTGTCATGGGCCTGGATGCTCAAGAAGCAGGAGGGCCACTGGTTCATATGGAAGGAGCATAGGTATCGAAGATCTAGTCGATACCAGTAGAGAGCATGGTCGTAGTGCAGTCTCCATGGAGACCATGGACTCCTACAGACTCACATGCAAAGGAGGACCGAGCCATATGCAAGGAGGGCCAGGCACAGCCATGAGGAGGACCAAGCTCAAGGAGCAGGCACAGCCACAAAGAGGACCAAGCTCAAGGAGCAGGCACAGCCACGAAGAGGACCAAGCTCAGATGGTTACCACTCAGGGGCTCGAGAGACAAGTGTCGAAGGAGTCGACACCAGGTCATGAGGAGGAGGAGCAGTGTCGAAGGAGTCGACACCACTCAGGAGGCACAGGGGTGCCAAGCAAGCCGCAGGATAGCAAGGAGGAGGAGCAGTGTTGAAGGAGTCGACACAGCTCAAGAGGCACAGGGGTGCCAAGCAGGAGAGGCCCCTGAGCAGTACTCGATGAAGAAGGTACTCTCTGGAGAGAGAGCAGGAGCAGCATCGCTGGCGATGCTGAGAAGAGGTATATAACCATGCTTTCTCATCATCATAGGTCGAGTGGATCCTCATCCACTCTACACACATCATAACTAGTTATCACTTCAGCACAAGTATATATTAGTTTCAGTCAGCATAGCAGCAATCTATCAAGGTTGCTCCTCATTGTAGTGTGTGTGTTGTATCACCACTACCTGACATCTGAAGGCACCCATAGCAGGTTAGCAGTCTGGATCAAGATAGAACTGAAGGCAGTAGTCCACTGCGGTCCAGGGATCACTTCAAGCATCAAGTCAACACACTGGACACTTGTGTTGACACCACCAACCTTATCACCAACACCATCAACCTCATTATCATCAACACTCACCAACCTTATCACCAACGTCATCAACCTCATCATCATCAACACTCACACCAGACCTTGGTGTCATCATAACCAAAGCATTGATATTGATCGTGCCGAGCTACCCCTGAACAGAGTGTCCACAGAGGTCAGCCGAAACCTACAATAGTATATACAACAAACGCCACCTGTTGTCACTGCACAACTTGATAGTCACTGATACCGAGACAATAGCTGTCGCACAGTTTGATAGTCTCCGAGTATCTCGACAGACCGACCTGGGTTTCAGGCGCGAGACCCCTGACATCAACCTCCTGTCAACAAATTCATTGACAGATGATGGAGCATGAGTGATATTGGATAATACCAGTGGACTAATCTATTTGATAAATGGCATGACACTTAAGGTTGCAAAGAATTATGAGCATGGACTTTTGGAGTTCCAAGGCAATACATGGCAAGAGAGTGCAATGATCACATCAACACCATTGTTTGAAGGTGTCGATGAAGAGTTCGAACATATTAAGAATGAGCTGAAAATTTCAAAACAACAATTATGGCATGAATGCCTAGGACACCCAGGCTGAGACAAGTCAAAGGCAATCATAGACAAACTGAAGGACAAACACATTGTGGATCTGGACCCAGACACCACTCTGAAATGTGAGCAGTGCATACAATCCAAAAGTATGGTCACCTGGATGGGGCAGGGTAGCAGCAAAAGAGCCATGGGGCCCCTAGACCTTATTCACATTGATCTGATAATAGACTTGTCCCACATGACAGAGTATACATGCACACTGGTGCTAGTCAATGATCATAGCAAGTATGTGCATGCACAGCCATTGTTGCAAAAGAGCCACATGTTTGCACAACTCAAAAGGATTGTTTTGTTCCTGGAAACACAGATGGATCAAAAGCTAAAGGCAATCCGATCCAATCAAGGGACTGAGTGGAAAAGCAATGATGCATTAGAATGGTCACTAGAAAAGGGTATAGAGTGGAAAACCACCATAGGGTACAATACCAGACAAAATGGGCAAGTGGAGCAAATGAACAGGAGCCTGGGTGAAAGGATGTGGACACTCTTGACACAAAGGAGACTGCTGAAGAGATTCTGGCTGTATGTGATCTGAGCAGCAGCTTTCAAGATGAATCTCACTCCAAGTGTCAACAATGAGTTCCCTTACCAAGCAATGTTTGGAAAGTCACCAGAGCAATTCATAAGCCTCTTACAAGTATTTGGATGCTTGGCATGGGTGAATGTACCCAAGGTCAAGCAAGACAACAAAAGGCTGGATCAGCGAGCTGTATCATCCATCTTCTTGGGATACAGCCTAGAGAGAAAGGGCTGGCTTTTCTACAGCTCAGATTACAATCTGAACATATTCTGGAGTAATTCAGCAAAGTTCATGGAGTCAAAGTGTTGGTCAGACAGAACAGAGTGGTGACCGGTTGACACAAAGACACCTCCAGCGATGACGACTGAAGAAGATTTTGAAATCAAGGAGTTCCTGGGTATCAAAATCACACGTGACAGAAGAATGAGGAGGATATCCCTGGATTTAATGGCATATGTTAAAGCAATGGTAAACAATTGGTTAGGAGGAGCAAATAAGAAATCCTGGATACCTATGTTGAGTGTGGCAAACATCACTGGAGGCAAGAAATGCAATCCTCAACAAGCAAAGAGGTATCAAGAGTTGGTCAGCCAACTATTGTGGGTCTCCAACACCACTTGACCAGATATTGCCTTCACTGTGGGTACATTGGTGTGATACATGTCAAGCCTGATTGACAGTGCATGGAAGGTGGCAATTCACATAGTAAAGTACTTAAATCAGATGAGCAGGTACCAATTGCACTTAGGAGGAGGGTCGGGCAAACATGCAGATAAACCAGTAATGATGTATACCAATGCAAATTGGGCATTGGACCCCACAAATGGATGGAGAAGCACCTCAGGAGCAATAACATATGTATATGGATGTCTGGTCAGCTGGAAGTCTCACATCCAGAAATGTGTGGCGTTGTCTGCAGTTGAGGCAGAATTTGTCACAGCCTCCGAAGCAGTACAAGAAGTGTTATTTTTCTCATACTTGCTTTGGGATTTGGAAACCATGGATGCCTGGCCAACACTCTACACAGATAGTCAAGGATGTATCCAGGTAAGTAAAGACCCAGCTAAACACTGGAAGTTAAAACACATCGACACATGTTATCACTTTGTTCATGACCATGTGCAAGAAGGTGATGTGGCAATTGAATTCATTGGAACAGCAAACAATGTTGCCAATATTTTAATGAAGCCTTTACAGGGTCTTAATACTTCACAATTAGCTAGGATGATAGGACTGGAGATCCTGCCGAGAGGGGGAGTTGAAGATGTGTCAGCATCCCAAGAGGGATGCATGAGCTGCAGCCAAGACACCATAGTACTGAGCACCTGCATAAGCAAGAAACACAATGAAATGTATGAAGGTTGCCATAGCAACAGTTCATAGGGCACCTCATGAAGCAGCAACATAGGGGTATGAGGGAAGTGACTCTTTCTGCTCAAATGTGATCAGAGTGGCAACAAGGTATATATATGCATTTGTCATTTAGGTTCACACTATGAAAATACCAAGCATTACAAGAAGCATATGACTGTAGTAAGGGAGCCTGATCGTGGCCCCAATAACGCCGTATACTAATTGTTATCTTAAATTCTTTTGCACCCTTTCAAGCCAACGCTCAGTTCTTCCATCCCTCCTTCTTACTCCACTCCAACTCCCACCCTCCCATCGCAAACAACACCAGCACCGCCTCAAACCTCCCAATGCGTTCATATAGTACTCAGAAGCTGCGGTGAACAGAACATGGCACGGCACAGGAAAGACCCTTTCGCAGACGACTTTTTGGACGATGATAGCGACCTTTCCTCCGCACCCGAAGATGATCTCGACGTAGGTTCCTCTTCTGGACTTGGCTCTCACGCACGCAAGAGGATGAGAAGAAGCAAGGATGATGCGGTATACGGTATCTTCGGGGATGACGAGGACGCGGCGAATGAAGCAGAAGGTGGGATGGGTAGCACGGTTAGAGCGAGAGATGCCAAGGGAAGGAAGGTGGATTACCGGGCTGGACAGGCCTTTGTGCCCGCCTCGAGCAGCACGACACAACGGAAGGATGCTTCAGAGGACGATGCAGAAGCCGAAACCTTGCAAGCAAAAGAGGAAGAGGCAGACGAGGAGAAAGAGGTAGTGGACGACTTTCAACCAACCTCGTTTCACTCCTCTCGACAGCATAGGGGCGGGTTAGGCTCAGGATCACAGATATCACGCGAGCCACGTGAGCCAACACCACCAAAGGCTCTAAATGCAGGCGGAAGAGCAGGCATTGGTGCACGAGCAGGAATCGGAAGCAGATCCATCAATGACCAAGAGGGAGAAGGGGGTCCATCAAAACGCAAAAGTGGCCTCACTTCACTATCGATGTTCGTCTCTGCAGGTGCATCAAAGGTGTCTGATACTAAGGTGCCGCCTCACGAAGTCGCTCCCAGTATCTCAACAGCAAAGACAACAGCAACAGCAGCGCCCTCAACTGCACCTCCACAAGGAATTGCAATGGAAGAACAACTCTCAGCAGCAGGTCTACCTACCGCCTTTGCCGCCCCAAAACCCACTCTTGCACCATCTTCCGCTTTCCAACGCGCCTCCAAGCCTACACCACCTCCCTCAATACCGCCCACAAGCATCAAGTTTGGGAGCAAATTCGATCCGTCCGCATATCTAGCGTCCATGGGATGGACGGGAGGAGGACTTGGCAAGTCCGGTCAAGGCATTGTTGCTCCCATCGAGGTCCAACTTCGACCTGAACGTGCAGGTATCGCTTATGGTGGACTTAAAGAGAAGACTCAGCAAGCTCGCAATGAAGCTAGGCGGCGCGGACAAGGCTCCCCCTCTCCCCCTCCTTCAGGGAAGAAGCAGAAGGGAAAGAAAGAGAAGAGACCAGTATGGACTCAACCCGAGAGGGAAAAGAAACCTCGCAAGCCAAAAATCGAACATCGAACCTACGAGCAGATCCTTTCTGAGATCGGTGCAGCCCCGGCTCCGGCGGGAGGAGAAAAGATTTACGATGCTAGTAGCGGCCAACTTCGAGAAGTTACTGATTTGGCTTCTGCACTTGGAAGGAAGAAGGGTGTTCCGACAGCAAGTCAGAGCGTGTTGCCGGAGTTGCAGCATAATTTGAGGTTGATATGCGATGCGAATGGGCAGACACTGGCTGCGTTGGCGAGGGAAGGAAGACAGATCATGGATAGGAGGAGGTGGTTGAAGAGGGAAAGCGAGATGGAGGAACGGAAGCAGGTTGCGGAGGTGGCAAAGACGCAGCGCATCAGAGAAGTTTTGGTCTTGGTGAGGAAGTTAGAGGAGGGGAGTGGAAGAGCGAGTGTAGAGGTGGAAGACAGGGGGAAGGAGGTGTTGGATGGGTTCACGCCATTGGTGCAGGAGCTGGGGGCAAATTTCGCAGATGAGATCTTGGAGTTAGGATTGGACGAAGCGGTGATTGGAGCTGTTGCGCCCATCTTCCGGGTTCTATGGAGCTCTGGCTCGTGGACTCCGCTGAGACAACCTCATGCTGGGGTGTCTTATCTCAAGCAGTGGCTTGCGGTAATCCGTCCTTCACCAACCTCGACTAAGAAGACTGCTACAGCGGTAGTGATGACATCCTACGAATCACTCCTCTGGACCCTCTGGATGCCCTCCATCCGCTCTTCACTCAACAATGCCTTCAAACCGCACCATCCTTCCTCAGCTCTTGTACTCCTCGAAACCTGGCACCCACTCCTCCCCACCTTCATATTCGATAACATTATCCAACAACTTCTCCTACCCAAACTCAGAGCCGGTATCGCCATGTGGGATGCAAGAACCTCGACGTGGGGACTAGAGCATGTGGTCTTCCCCTGGCTACCACTACTCGGTATACCGCGGATGCAGGAAGTGCTGGATGAAGCGAAACGACGCCTCAGATCCGGCCTTAAAGTGCTTAGTCTAAATAAAGGTCCGAGCAAAGGATTGGGTCAGTGGCGAAAGTTTTACACCGAAAAAGAAGGTGGCAGGGGAGAATGGGAAGGGTTGATGCTATCCACACTCGTGCCCAGGCTGAGTTCGTACCTGGAAAGACAATTCAGGGTTGATCCTGTGAATCAGAACCTGGAACCCCTGAACGTGGCACTAGGTTGGAAAGGCGTGATTGGACGGTCGACGGTGAAGAGAGTGGTTGTGGCGGATCTGTTTCCCAAATGGCTCCAAGTCCTGTGCGACTGGCTGAAACAGCCTCAAGTGCAGCTAGGCGAGGTGGCAGAATGGTACGAGTTCTGGCGCTCATTCTTTCTCCACCACCATCTTGTTGAGGAAGGGGAGAGGGAAGAAGATGCGGCGAACATCGGCTTCTGCTTAGGTCTGAACCTGATCAACTCTGCCTTAGACCATCCTCTTGATCAACGCGGTAAGCTCAGACCACCAGCATTTACTCTACCCTCTCGACATCGTTCCTCCGCACCCAAGAAAGCAACAACACCAGAACTTCAGGACGATAGCGAGAAGGAAGTGGCAACCTTCCGCAGCGTCCTGATCGACGAACTCGCGACACACGACATGTTCTTGTTGAAGACCTCAGAGGTTCATCGAATCTCTCCCACTGCTACAACGGCTGTTTGGAGAGTGTCGAAGAGTCCTTCTGGTGCAGCTGGAGGAGGTGGAAAGGGGAAGGAAAAGTCGGTCAAGGTGTTTATCGATGATGATGTTGTGTTCCTTCACCGCCTCAACACAGAGGGAGAGGGGGAAGGGGAGTGGGAACCGATTTCTATCTCCACTCTGGTCGCTGCGCTGGAGTAGTCGTAATGGACGGAGACGTCAAGTATGTGGCTCAAGGTTGTGCGCACAGATTGTGGTGGTAATAAGAGAAGTCATGATGAGAGAGAACAAATACAAATTAGTCAAAAACCTACTTAGTTACAGTGGTATTCCCTTCCGAGTAGTATGTGTGTGGATGAATACCCAAAGCTCACCTTCATAGCACAGAGAGTGGGCCGGAGGGATCAGGAAATCTCATTATACCGCCTCCTCTTGTTCCCGTCCAACTGATTCCTCATTCCGTTTCCATTTCCATGTTGCTGTCCCTGATCGTAATACTGTTGCTGACCGTCATTGCCAGACGCAGTTCTCTTCAATCCCGGTGTTGGAGTCGCACCGAATGAACACCTTCCACCTGGCGTTGCATCGTCACTGGCACTACAAAGCGGGCCCATTCCGAACAGATCATCGTCATTCCCCGTTCCAGCAGCGATCAAGTTTTGTAGCATCGCTACGTACTCTTCATCCGTGAATCCCATTCCTGCGAGTGGGTTTAGGCTTCCATCACCTCCTGCGGCTCCGCTGCTCATAGCCCCTTTAGATGGGGTGCTACCGGAAGGATGGCCGGCACCACCGGAAGGAGCGGGAGTGGGAGAGATCTGCTTAATGCTCATGTTGAGCGCCTGGTGTAGACCTTTTTCACTTCCATCTCCCAGTCCTGAGCCTCTGTGCTGCTGTTGTACCGTCTTCAGATGCAACAAATGTTTCTCTAGCATATTCAACAAGCCTTCTTTGGTGAATGGCTTGGGCAGGATGTCGGTCATACCGGAAGACATGTAGCTAATCAATTCGCTCGGTCCAGAATTCGACGTCATCGAGATAATCGGTGTCTTCGGATCGAATTGTCGGATCAGCGATGTGGCAGAAGCACCATCCAAGTTGGGCATGACAATATCCATCAACACCAAATCGTACTTTTCCTGGTTCATCTTGTTCACCGCTGACATTCCGTCGACTGCATAGTCGATAGAACAGCCAAACACCTGCAAGAACTTCGACGACAGTCTTCGACAAACCTCGTCATCGTCCACCAAGAGGACTCGAGGGGGGACCGTCCAACCCGGTACAAAGGTGTTGCGACGGACGCGAAGGAGGTTGGCGGGACCTGACTGGGAGCGTTTCTTGTCCATTGGTGCTAACGAATTCTCTTTGTTTTGGTTGCTGCTGTCAAAGGAGCCAGGGACAGAGTTGGGGGAGCCGTTGCGAGCGTCGAGTTTGGGCCTGGTGTCGCCGGGTCCGTTGGCGTTGGCGAGGCTGTTGTTTGCTGCTTCACTACCACTGAGACGAGGCGGCGGCTGCATCGTCATCGATGTGAGTTGCTGAGATGATTCGGGAGTCCTGCCAGTGTTGCCGTCCATTGGCGAAGCAACGCTCTTGGGAGACAAGGGAGCAGCAGTGGAAGGTGCGCTTGTCATGCCAGATAATCGTGTTGAAGAACCAGCGTTGGTGCTGCTGGATGCACCAGGGCCCGATGAGCCGACCGAAGAGGGGCCTTGTGTCGCCTTCAAATTGTTGTTGTTGCTGTTGCTGCTCCCGGATCCATCACCTCGATTCATCTGGCCAAACCTCGAGCCGCTTACATCTCGAAACGATCTAGCGAGCTTATCAGGCATATCCGGAGCCATGAACGAGGAACCATCATTGGAAGGATTGGCACCACTGCCATGGTTCTGTGGCGAAAAGGTAGCCGCCGAAATACCATGGGGTTTTCGATCCTGCTCCAAACTCATCAAGTACTGGATCAAATTTTGCATCAACTGATCCTGTTGTACCATGTTCCGCTGGAACGTAAGCATCTCACCAATGACACTTTGATACTGCTTTGTGAGTGCCAAGATGTGGTTTTGCATGTGGTCCTGTACGGCTGTAAGATTGGCCACCTGTGCTCTGAGATCAGCATTCGATTCGGCGGACCTGTCAGCTCCGGCTTCGACAGGCAATGGTATTGAAGGGCTGTCATCCCGATCAGCTTCCAACAGTCCTCCCTTGACGTTGGGCTTCTTCTTGGCGGGAATCTTTCGCTTGACATTCTCGAGCAGATCCTCGCGCCCTCGAACAAAGTGAGGATGTTGAAATTCCCATACATGCTCGCCAACAGTGGCGGAACCATCTTCGGGATTCTTGACCTTGTGGAAGTCGTACTTGTTGAGCTGACGAACGAAACTGGCAAAGTTGGAGTGGCGAAAGTTGCGTGGTAAGACATGCTTTGTGAAATCGTTCATGTCCTTGACGATGAAACTGTCACTGGAAGGAGACCAAGCGACGACGCTTTCGTAGGCTTTGTCATCGAGCATGCTGAAGAGTTTTTTGACAAAGTCGCTGGTGGCCTTGTTGGCTGTCTGAGCTGCATCGCTACCGCGTGCTTTGCCCTTTGCATCGTAGTCGTCGTATGGGCCGCCGTCGTCGTCGTCGATGTCGTCTTCCTGCTTGGGTACGCCATAGGCTCGATCCATTGCATGCTGCGGAGGAAGACCAGGGAGGCCACTGGGGCCACCTGGACCTGAGGCTGGTCCCATCGACTGAGGCTGCAAGACGGATGGTAAGGGGCTAGAGTTCCAGTGCTGCTGCTGTTGTGAAGGGTGGCCATGCTGTGGTGGTGGGTGCTGCTGTTGCTGGGACTGTGATGAAGGATGATGAGGATGCGAGTATGCACCTGGACCTGGACCATGATTGTTGTTGTAATCGTACTGGCTAGGCAGACCACCGCCTGTGCCTAGATGCATCTGCGAATCGGATGGAGGCGGTGGGTAAGGAGAGGTGGATGCATATGGGGATGGATGAGTACCGTGCTGTCGCATAGGACTGTTAGTGTTGCCTACAGAAGGATTACCTCCGTCAAAGCCAGAGGCATAAGGTGCTGACGAGCGCGCGCCTGACGAATTGCCAGGACTGGGACCACCATAATCCTGTGATCCTCCTCCGCCGGAAGACGTCCACTGCTGCTGCTGAGGTGGTTGTCGACCGACAGAAGGCGGAAGGTGTGCTTGCTGATATTGACCGCCGTGCTGTGGCACGTTGGAGTATGGAGTGCCTTGCTGCTGTAATGAAGGAGAAGGACCTGCGTAAGGGCCCATGTTAGGATGATGGCGTGACTGAGGCTGGCCCGAGTATTGAGCTTGCTGGTCGTGCCAATGTGGATGATTCGACATTGTGTGTGCGGTAGCAAATGCGGCAGCGTGTTCTCGACGTGATGAAGCCAATATAGGCTGAGCTAGATCATATATTGCGTAACGGGGGAGGTTTCAGAAGGTTGTGGCGCGGTCGTCAGCCAGAATAGCTTGAGGGCGCGTGATCGCTGCGATCGAGGAGCGTTTACCAGCCTCGAAAAAAGGGTGGCGAGCCGTCGTAAAAGCCGATGTGGATGTGAACGCAAAAAAAGAAAAAAGAAAAAAAGAAAAAAGAAAAAAAGAAAAAAAAAGAAAAAAAGAAAAAAAAAGAAAAAAAGAAAAAAGAAAAAAGAAAAAAAGAAAAAAGAAAAAAGAAAAAAAAGGAAAAACGTTTCGGAGACGCGGCCGATGATACGAGTGACTTTACAGAAAGCCCGCGTTTTAATTGAGAGCTCAGCCACCGATCTTGAGAGTACTGTTGACGAAAGGAGATGCCAAGTATGAAACGGTCGCTAGTGCTGAGTCTGGTTCTGGAAGAGAGGCGAGGGTAAAGGTAGCGAGCCGAGATTCGACGGAGGTGTTCCGAAAGGAGACGGAGGTGTTCCGAAAGGAAACGGATGAGCCGAAGGCAAACGTGAATGCTGGCAGACGAGAAGTGTCGGATAGAAATCGTTCTGATGGTCTAGAGTCAGCCAAGAGCCGAAAGGCAATCTTGTCGAAACAAGCAGGGTGGGTTGTTGGAATGAAAGAAGGAAGAGAGGATGGATGGTGAGGATGAGAACGGGGAGGGAAAGGCGGAATCGGCAACTTTCGAATCAACCACGAGAGACTGAGAAGGCAACAATCAATAATCACGAATGATGAAGAAATGCCAGATCGGTGCCGAATCGCGAAGAGGGCGGCGGCGGCGGCGGTGCGGCTGAGAAGCTGACACAAAGTGGGCAGAGCAAGGCAGTCAAAGGCGAAGAATTAATTGATCAGGCTGAGAAAAGGCGGGGGCAGATGCCGAGTGAGCGCGCGACAGCCATGAGAGCACAACAGAAGCAGTCAAAGAAAATAATAAATTATTTTTTGACACAAAAGAGGCGTGAGCGACGTGCGGCACAGCAGCAGCAACAACAACAGCAGGGGAAGCGGAAGAGGTAATGCGGATTTTATTCCGGATTTGTTCCCGCAGCGGAAGCAGGCAAGTCAATCTTGTCTCGAGGGCATCTTTCCACCCTTGCTTCTTGCTTCTTAGCAGATCACGCGTTCCCACGACAGTAAAACAGCACAGACAGGCACAATACGGCCAAGAGACGACCTTCTAAAGTCACCAGCAAAGAAGCTCTTCTCACGTAGCGTGTATGCTGATAGCGGTGCTGCCGCCATTCAGCAATCCACTTTCCTTGCCGCCGAATGACGGGACATCACAGCCTCACCTTCTCCAAATCTGCCGTTCAGGATCAAGATATGACAAATGATTAGCGTTTCACATTGTATGGGTCCGACACACGCTTCATCTTAGCGACGTGCAACTACAGGACCCTGAACCAACTCAAACCTAAGTCTTCGAACAAGCTAAGCTTCTACGCCAGACAAGAAAAACCTTGTCCACCATGCCAGCTTGAACCGGATAAGGTAGCCAGCTTACAGCCAAATTTGGATAGTGTGTTCTGCCGACATTCTGTGGCCCAAGCCTAGACTGACATCATCTCAACAGACAGTCACACTCACAAGCACAGCTAAGAACAGAACAGAACAGGGAAACAAGAAATCACATTCGATCAAACAACAACTCGCTACTTGGTACTACCAGCAGACTGTCTCGCTTTCCTAATCTGACCAATTCTCTCTCCGTAACTCGGCGCTCCACTCCCACTCGCCTTTGCATTAGCCGCAACAGGCTCACCAAACACACTCGCAAAGTTGGCATCGACAATCTTCAACCTATCTCCAGCCTGATTCGTAGGCATTGAGACGGAAGCTTGACTGTCCATGCTCTCCCTCACGATCCTCCCCGTCCCTACGCCGTTGGGCAACAATGAAGCAGGAAGACGTGGTACAGGTGGTTGCTGTTGAGCCTCTCTTTCCTCTGCAGCTCTGACAGCAGCATCAAGCTTCGATTTCAGACCGACAGAAGAGAATCTCGATCCACCCGAAAACTCGCGTCGATGCAGACGGGTAGATTTACGACTGCCTGTAGCACTTCCTGGTCTGTGCTGGTGAGTGTGGTTGTGAGCGAGTGATCCGACGTCATGTTTGCCATCACAACAGGCACGAACGTTGGTCAGTCCATCCCAGTCTTCTGGTTCGTCTTCTTCCAGCATTTGTTCTGCTGTTTTGAGTCGAGGATCATCGTTGGCGAGTGCACGTCGCATGGCTGACTGAGTCGCAGTGAGATCGAGAAAATCGTACTCTTCTTCAGCTGCCTCGGCGCTTCGGAGACTAGCAGAGTAGATGGCCCCTCGCAGACTCTCACTGGGAGACATCGAGACCGACATCTCTCGATCGTGCTCGTGCTGCTGCAGCCATTCTTTGGCGGCAACATCACGACGTTTGCCCAGCGAAGGGTAGAGAACGCTTTGAGCTCCAACACTTCCCTGGCGTCGACGCGGGGTTGACTCGGTGCGCAAAACCTGATCCGACGATCGGCGAGTCAAGAAGCTGCGTTGAGCCGAAAGTCTCCGTGAACCCATAATCGATGAGCTGCCCAATGTCGCTGCTAAAGCATGAGGCTTCGTCCTGCCTCCTGCACTTCGAGCGATCAATGTGGCGTCGTTCTCAGCATCGCTCAACAGCTCGGGTGCAGCATTGCTGGCGATCACCGTTGCCTCCTGAATCGTAGGTCGGTGTACAAGGTACTCGAGAGCGGCAAGCCAGGCATCGTGTCGCTCGCGGCTAGGTGCACTGACCTTGACCTCACGTGAAGCTGTGGTGATGATGATGCTTTCGTGGTGCAAGCCGGGCGGATTGGGGTTGCTGTCTTCCACCACCCGGACGGCTTCGATCGAAGCGCTCTTGCTGGTGCCCTCTGACACCTTGGCCCCACCAGGATCGCTGATAGTCCAGTAGAGCATCTTGGTGTAAGGGTGGAGCCAGAAGTAGCGACGGTGCCGCTTTTCAGAGTGTCCGCCTCGGCCCATTGACTTGCGCGTGTACTTGTGCATGTACTCGCCAATCATGGTCTGAGTGATGGCGTGGATGATAGCAGGGTCCGTCGCGTCAGCGCCCAACTCGGAGAGACCGCGCTGAGCGTGTGCTTTGCCGCCAGCACCTTGACCGCGGGCCACAAAGGTCTCGTCCCCGGCATCGGCCTCAGAAGCACGCGAGGACATCGTCGACAGGCGACGGCTGACCTCCGACGTGACATCCGACACGAACGAAGCGGCAGAGGACTGGCGAGGACCCGTCGCAGGTCGGCGAGCAGCTGACTTGCGAGAGCCGACGCTCTTGCGACCGGAAGCCAAGTTGCTGTAGATGCTAGCATCGAGAGGGTTTGTGTTGGCTTGCGAATCATTCGAGTAGGTTCGCGATCGCATGCTGCCAGTGCCAGAGCTCTGCTGACGAGCACGGCTGCTGGACGGGTAGGCGCTGGGCGGTGGGCCACTGCGGCCAGAAGCTCGTGAGACAGATCGAGATTGCTCGCTCGATCCGGGAGGCACCTGCAGGTGACGCTGCTGAGCGCGCGTCAACAAGTCCGCGGGAGGGGGCGATGTGGGCCGCGGCGGTGCTTGGCCAACATTCCTTTTCGTCATCGAAGGCGGAGGCATCGAGGGCGGTGGTGGCATCGACATGATCGGTGCCTTGGTCTTGTCAGGGAGAGGCGGGACGGGAGGAATAGCTTCGTTCCTGTCCGTGTGTCGCGACCATGTGGAGTCGACTGAGGGCCTGCGGCTCTGGTTCTGGCTAGCGAAGGCGTCAGTACCGAACATGACAGCGGCAGGCGAGGAAGCGTGTTCGCCTCCAAAAGTGCCGACCGAGTCACGAGGGCGATTCGAAGACCCACCGAGGATGACCAGATTCTTCTGAGCAGCAACGGCCTCGCTCGTAGGCTGGAGGGGCGAGACAGGCTCGTTCGCAACGGCTGCGTTGCGTTGCTGCTGGAAGCGTTGCCAAGCCTCGTCGTCAGTTTGACATGACGACTCCTTCAGCTCGATGGCGGGAGGTTTCGGTGTTGCAAACTCCCTTTCTTGAACGACCTCGGGCGTCGGAGCTTGAGCAGCCTCGACAGCATCCTCAAAATCGTCAGCCTCATTCTCGGTGTCCATCGCCGCCTCGTTCTTGGCCTGCAACTGTGCTTCGGCGGCAGCAGCTGCGGCGAGGGCAGCTGCGGCAGCAGCCTCAGCCTTGGCAATGGTAGCCTCTTGTTCGCGCACCTTCTTCTGAGCCGTGTTGAGCGCCGACTGGATAGTCTGCAGCTCCTTGTCAGAAGCAATACGGTTCTGCTCAGTAGAAGAGCGCTGAGCAGCGATGGAAGACTCGAGGTAGCGGACCTTGGACTGGAGCGAAGTGACGTTGGCCTTGACCTCGTCGTGCTGCTTCTGGAGGACCGAGTAGGCATTCTGAGATCCCTTGAAGTTGGCTTCGGCGGTCGTACGAGATTGCTGTGCTGTGCTGGCCTCGCTTTGCAGCTTTGCAATCTGTTGCTGGAGAGACTGAACTTGAACTTGAACCTTCTCGACCTCGCCACGCTGCTGTCCAATTGCCAGCTCGCGCTCGCTGGTGAGCTGTTGCTCCCGAGTCTGCAGCTGTGACTGGATCTTCTCGACCTCCTTCTTGTGATCCTGAAGAGCCTGTTCTCGCTGGCTGACAAGTTGCTGCTCGAGCACGACGATCTGAGCCTGTACCTTTTGGACCTCGTTGCGTTGCTGTTCGGCTGCACGTTCTCGCTCGGTGACGAGTTGTTGCTCGAGCTGCTGGATCCTGGCCTGGGCCTTCTCGACTTCGCTTCGCTGCGCCTCGGCTGCACGCTCGCGTTCGCTGACAAGCTGTTGCTCGAGAGCCTGGATCTTGCTCTGCGTCTTCTGCAATTCACTTCGCTGCTTCTCGAGCTCCTGTTCTCGCTCAGCAACGAGCTGCTTGTGCCTCTGGACAGACTCGTCACGGCCCTCGAGAGCTTGCTTGTGCTCGGCACGGATCTGAGCAACCACAGTGTCGTGTCGGTCTTCAAGCTCCTTGACAGCGTCCTGATGCTGGCGCTCCTTCTGAGCAACAGCAACAGCATGGGCGGCTTCGAGTTGCTCCTTCTGCGTCTCGGTAGCGGTCAATGCTTCAGATCGAGCTGCGACGGCAGCAGCTGCAGCAGTGGCTTCAGCCTCTCGCTGATGGGCCAGTTCACGAGCCTGATCTTCCTGCCTTCGGACCTTGTCGTTGATCATGTCGAGGTTGGACTTGGTCTCGGAGAGCTCTCGCTCAGTAGCAGTGTGCGTCTTCTGGAGCTCGGCGAGCTGCTGCTTGAGCTGCTCGGTCTCGGTACGGAGCGAAGCAATGCTCTTTTGGAGCTCCTCGATCTCGACGTTGGCGGCGCGAAGCTCCTGGTCGCGTGCCTCGAGCTGCTGCTTGGAGGTGGCCAGCTGAGCGTCACGGTCAGCGAGAGCTTCGCGGTGGCTGTCTTGCAGGGCGGCAACAGCGGCAACATGCGAAGCGGAGAGCTCCTGGTTGGTCTTCTGATGCTCGGCGAGCACATCTCGGTGATTGTCTTGAAGCTTGGTGAGTTCGGAAGCGTGCGAAGCAGCGAGCTCTTTGTTGGACGCCTCGTGCTTGCCCAATTCTTCCTGATGACGTTGCTGCAACTCAGCGATAGCCGCTGCGTGCGATTCAGCAAGTTCCTTCTTCGCCTTCTCATGCTTGGCAACTGCTTGCCTGAGAGACTCCTGCAGAGCGGCAATCTCGGCTGCATGCGACTCGGAGGCCTCTTTGCTCGCCTTCTCCCGTTCAATCAACTGTGCATCAGCCTCCTCAAGCGCCTTTTCACGGATGGCAATGATCTGCTTGTGCTCTTCACGAAGACGTCCAAGCGCATCAGCATGCAATACCTTAAGCGCATCGAGGGCTTCCTGATGCTGACGGTCCTTTTGGGAGAGGGCAAAGGTGTGAGAAGCTTCCTTGAGTTCCCTCTCCTCCTTGACCTTGCGCTCGTGTTCTTCGCTGGAGGTCTTGTGAGAGGCTACAGCGGCGGCAAGGGCGGCGCTAGAGGCGGCCACCTGCTCTGCCAACGCATGCGAGTGACGCGAACGGGCCTCTGCAAGGGCTGCGTCGTGGACCTTGGCACGCTCTGCGAGAGCTGCCTCCATTTGCGCGGCGTGGCCCTCGTCCTTGTCGGCTAAGCTCTTCTCGTGGGTAGAGGTCAAATTGTCGATCTCCTTCTCGTGCGCCTGCTTGAGTACTGTGATTGCCTCGGTGTGCTGACCTTGCAATGCTGACACCTTTGCAGAGTGCTCGGCGTGGATGGCCTTGATAGCGTCGTCGTGCTCGCTTCGGATCAATGCAATCTGCGCCTTATGTTCCTCCTCGCGCTTGGCCAGTGCTGGAGCGATAAGGTCTGGTAGATCATCGGTCTGCATGCTCGATTCGAGCATCTCGCGGATGTCGTGCTGCTCAAGCTCAGCTGCAAGACCGCCCAGCTCGTTGCCGAGTGCGCTTGGCTCGTACTCCGCAGAAGCCAGGCGAACAGCGGCTCCGCTTCGTCGTCCACCCTTCGGCAAAACACGTTGTTGCGAGGGGCTCTCCTGTTCGTCGCCTTCTTGCGGCAAGTGAGCATTGCGAGCGAGAGGGCTGCTTCCAATAGAAGAACGAGAGCGGTGGCCTCGCGGCGCGTTACGAGAAGTGATGCTGTCGATGCTGGAATTGGCAGGGTCGGATCGATTGAAATCCGCAAAGGCCGGGTCCATGCCTTCGAGGCTGGCGCGCGAGGGCGATGCATCATCCGGACCAGGCGGTGTGCCAACGTGCGAGTCGTCTTCGAACTCGGCATACTCGACGACAGAGTCGGTCGAGTTGCTCGAGACCATGCCCATCTTGCGACCCAAGCGAGGTCGGATGGAGGAAGCGGGGCGGCTGACACGAAGAGTGGAGAGACGCTTGGCAGAGGGACTGTGGACGTCGTTCTCGTCCACCCAGTGCAGTTCTTCGTCCTCACTGGTTTCAGCATCGTCGACGAGCCCTTGTGGGACCTTGACACCAGCTTTGACGAGCAGCTTGGACAATTCAGCGTTCTTCTCGCGAACGCGTCGCTTCTCGGCAGCATCCTTGCCTGCCTTGCGTTGAGCCATGGCAAGTTTGGCACGCAAGTCCTGCGTCTCCTTGTCCCGGCCAAGACGGTTGCCGAGAGGCGAGAGAACCGCACCATCCGTCGAGTAGATGGACTCGCTAGGAGATTGGGGTGCTTCACCGGAAGCAGCACGCAATCGAGCAGCAAGGGCATCGGCATCACCGTTGACATCGTCGTTGGCTACATCGGACATGAAGCTGTTGGAGACGCTGCGAGAAACACCGCCGTTGTTTGGTTGCTGGTTGCGGAACTTGTGCAGCTCGCTCTGAAGGTCCGACACATCTCGCTGCATGCCGGCACGCTCTCTTCGAGCAAGAGCGATTTCGGTTTCGCGTGACTTGTTGAGACGTTCGATCTCGGCAACATGGCCATCGATCTGCAGACGCTGCGAGTCGACAGTTTCACGCGCCTTGGTAACATGCTTGTTGAGACGGGCATTGTCGAGCTCGGCCTTCTTAAGTGCCGACTTGATCTGAGAGAGCTGCTCCTCGAGGTTCTGCTTGGAGACGTTGAGATCCCAGTTCTCCTGCTTGAGTGCATCTTCAGTCTCGGTCATCTGAATGACACGAGGCTTGTACTGGTCGAGCTGCTTTTCAAGCTCGGTGTGAGACCGTTCGAGGGAGACACGCTGGTCGTCACGCTCCTTGAGCAAGCTTTGGAGTCGACGCACTTCCTGCACAAGACCGGCTTGGATCTCGTTGATGAGGTCAGTGTCGGCCTTGGCCTGACGGGCAGCAGCGTTGCGGCTGCGACGGTCGGTCTGTCGAGGTGTCGAACCTGTAGATGCGGCTGGCGACTTGCCGGGAGTGGCGGTGAGGTGGCGAATGGCATCAGCGACGCGTGTAGCTTTGGAGGGAGTCTCGGAAAGGCTGAGCACGGAGGTGTCGTCAACATGGCCATTGGCAACGTCGGCGCTGTGAGCAGTGATCTCGGAGAAGAGCTTCTGCTTTTGCCTCTCGAGGTCCTCGATTTCTGCTTCGATCTTTTCGCCGAGGTCACGGATCCTTGCATTGCCTGGCTTGCCACCATGGCTGTCTTCGGACTGGTCTTCAGCCGCGCTGAGCTCTTCAGCGAGCTCATCCATCAGCGATTCGATTTTGCCGCGCAGCTCTAGTAGACCTTGACCCAGGAGACCGGCGGAGTTGACTTGACTCTCATTCTCCTCGCGCAAGACCTGCAGACGTTCGCGGACCACACGTGTCAAGTCGACAGTCTTTCCGGCTTCGGACGATTGGCGACTTGGGGTAGCAGATCCACCGGAATGGACGGCGGTCTTCGAAGGTGAAGAAAGCATGGGTGCGTCGCGAATCCTGTTGTGAAGCGAGCCGAAGTTGGTAGCGTCGGCGAGAGGGCGGTGCTCGTAGCCAGACATGGGTGCTGTGGGAAGCGGAGGCGGTGCGGGAGTGTTGAAGTCACTCTTCCTGCCCTTGCGCAAGGACGAACCTGGTCGAGGTGGTGGTCGGAAGGCAAGACTGGAAGATGTGGGCACGTCGTTGGGTGAAGCGGGATATGTCAGCCTTGAAGCGGGTGAGGGCGAGGGAGGAAGGTTGCCTTCGAACAGCCCTTCGGAACTGCTGTCGGGACCTGAGGGGTCCATGTTTGCGTATGTGGGCAGCTCAAGCCGCTGCGGGGGCTAAGATACGGTGAAGCGGTGTCGAACTTGCTGTGTTTGTGCGGATGGGACTTTGTTGCCGCAGAGTGTTTGTCGAAGCTGCGATGTCGCTAATGAGACCTGGGCTGAGCTATAAGCTAAGAACCGGAAGCAGTAAAGAATGTGATGGCGGAAGCGAATCGAAGCGGGAACAAAAGAATGTGAATGAAGAGGCGAGTCAGCGGAATGAAGCGTCGAAAGGGAAAGGGAAAGGGAAAGGAAAAGGGAAAGGGAAAGGAAAAGGAAAAGGGAAAGGAAAAGGAAAAGGGTATGACGGTGTTGGTAATGGAGTGAGAAGCGTATCGGGGAGGATCGGATAGCTGACAGGTGGGCAAACAGAACAAGACGTGAGACTCTGCGTGTGCGTGTCTCTGCGTGTGCGTATCTCTGCGTGTGCGTGCATGTGGTGCAAGATGAAACAAGACCAAAGCACGCGCGTGTTTGCAGGGGCACAACAGGGAAGATTTTGATGATGCCCCGTGTTGCTCATACCGTTGACAAGGTTGAGCATAATAGCCTTGTTGCTACAGGTACTGCGAGCCAGGACGCTAGGACGGATCCGCTGCTGTTGCTCGGCAGTCTGTTTGAGTGAGAACGGGGAATTCCTGGAAACCCTTTCGCTTTTTGCCAGGCTGGCGACAGAGTTTGACTGGAGCTGCTGCCCAAATTTTTCTGACTTGCTGTGCTGCTATACTTTCAAGTCTTCGCCGTCTAGGAGCAGTGAAAGAGTGTTGGTTTCACGCTTCCAACGACGCACAGTAGCTAAGCTTGTGTCGCAATCTACTTGTCTCTGTAGGTCACGCATCCACGTTCATCCTAAAAGGTGGGCTGGTCTGCCGATGCCTTCCTTGTGTACGTTCACCGCCCATGGTACCGCTTTGGTGTGAGAGGTAGGGGAACAAAGCGCAACTTACCTGAGCGAATCAAGTCTGAGATCAGTCTATTGTTGAATCTGTTAGGCAAGTTGTGGGCTGACCGTGTGCAGAAAAGTGTCGTTAGGTGTCGTCGTGGTCTGTCGTATGTGTTGTTGGCACACAGTTCGTAAGGAGGCAGAGGTCGTTAGGATTGAGAAGTATTCGCTTCTTGTCCTTGGTGTCTGCTGCAAGTCAAGGAACACGGCTGTTGTGACGCAGGGTGAAAAGGCCTATGGAACAGCAAGACACGGGCACGAAGTCGCAGTTGAAAGGTGTCGAGGTGATGATGGTGGTGAAAAGCTCAAATAGAGAGCAAGCATGAGAAGCAACGCAATGCATCCTGCAAGGCGTCCTCTTGTTGCCCTCTCTCTCAATCTCTCTCTCTCTCTCTCTCATTCCGCTGCGCTCACATAAGATTCTGCTATCCGATGTCAGTCTAAGTCAGGTCTTTGTCTCTTTCAGTGTCTGCTGTGTTGCTCTCTCAAGCTTCGACGCGCGCCTATCGAACCACGCGCCGGGAAAAGTAAGTCAAAAGACCAACACTTGGACTGAGTTGCAGTGGGACGTGGTCAGATACTCTGCTGTTTGGCTCAAATATAGCGCGTTCTCAAATTCACAGTCAACAGAGCCAACTATCTGACGTTTGTCGGCGCGGTCATATCACGTGACAGGCAGCATCACCATTTTGCCTTCACTTCGAACCTCGATTAATAGAGCCTCCGACCAGAAATCTTTGCTGCGGAATGAAGATCAGATAGCATCATTGTGGTTGCAAATGTACAAAGAAAGAACAAAGACGAAACTACATTGAAAAGAGTGTGGGTGAGGCCAGGAACGAGGGGCATGGCGATACAGGCGAGATAAAAGGCCTACTCCTTGCTGGCCGCTCCACCTCCAAGTTCACGATCAACCTCATTGGCGTCGTTGCTCTCTCCCGCATCCTCACCATCGGCTTCCTTGCCGTTGTGACTGCCGGCAACTCCAGACCCAGGCTCGTTCTCGCCATCCATCTTGATGCCGTACTTCTTTCGAACGAGCTCAAACGTCTTGAGCATCTTGCGTCGAGCACCCAGAGCAGCGACTCCCTTCTCTTCCAGCTTCTTGTCATCCATGAGCACCATCTCCTTCCAGTTGCTCGTCTCAAAGTTCGGGGTATACTTGTGTAGACGCAGTTGGCGCAGCCAAGCAGGCACATCTTCGAGCGTAGCCAAGTCTGCGATTTCCTCTTCTCCTCCTCCGCCAGCAGTGTTGTTGCTAGCTCCTGCACCGCCAACTCCGCCGCTGTTGGAAGACCCGGGTAAAGCAACAGGTCGACCTGAGGGCGAGGTTCCACCTCGAGGGCTCTTTCGTCCACCAGCCTGGCCACTGATGCCAGGGGAGAGAGCACCGCCACCGAAAGAACGGAGGTTGCGACCGTGCTGCTGCTGCAATTGCTGCTGTTGTGCCAACACAGACAAGGTCTGCTGATTCTGCAGGACCTGCTGCTGCATTGCGAGGAACTGGGCAGCGTTCATGTTGTTCAGGTTGAAGCCACCCATGGCTGCCATGGCATTCATCATCTGCATGTTGAGAGGGTTGGCAAGACCGCCCGAGGGGCTCTGCAGACCTGCAAGCGCGTTAGGGCTCATGGGTGGGATGTTGAACTGGTTGCCACCGTTGTTCCCACCAAAAGCGGAGGAGCCAGCATTGAGACCACCTCGACCAAAGTTGTCGTTCTGGCCCCAGCCGGACTGCATGCCGATGTTAGGCGAGACACCAGGGCTGGTCTGATCGTACATGTTGCCTCCCTGGCCGTAAGCACCACCAGCCTGGTTCTGGTTGCTCTTACGACGGTATCGAGGCATATCGGGGTCGACCATGACGCGTCCGTTGCCACTGCCCTGGTGTTGCTGCTGTTGCAGGCTCGCAAGCTGAGCCGCGGCGGTCTCGAGATTGACGTTGGCTTCACCAGTGCCGGCCTTGTCATTGTCGCTGAACATGGGCACGAGTGGGGTGTTGACCATGCTCGACCAGTTGCCCGTGGCAGTGATGGGGGAGAGCTGATCGTCGAGGGGACCGCTAGCTCGGGGCGAACGGCCGACGCTGTTGCTCAGATCGGTCGACTTGGGACGCGAGTGGTCGCCCGAAAGCGTGTGTTGCTGCTGTTGCTGCGGGTTAGGCGAGCCGCCTCGTTCCTGCACCTGGTCGAGCTGACCGCCCGAGTAGGAATTGCGGCTCTCGCCAAGCAAAGTACCGGGAGCCGAGGTGCGGTTGGCTTTCAGCTTGGCTCGCTGAGCGGCGAGGGTGGAAGCGGCATCAGCATTGCCAGGGCTATACATGGCAGCAACGTTGGGCGAGAGGAAGCCCGCGGCATCCGAAGATTGACGGTAGCCTCGGTTTCCGCCAGGCGACGGAGGAGCCTTCATGGCACTAGGTGACTTTAGACCGAGACTGGCGAGCTTGGCCTCCATCTGGTCGGCCATAGAGGAGTTATGGTGACTGGGCGAGAGCAAGGCAGAGACGGGGTCGCTGCGAGCCATCTGCTGAAGCACAGTGATAAAGAAGCGGATCTGGACTTGCGTCGACTCCTGCAGCAGACTGTAGAGAGCAGCAGTACGTTCAGCTTCCGAGAGAACGCGGAACCACTGCTCGATGGCACTGAGCTCTTCCTTGAAGTTCTGGTCGAGCGAGGCAGCTGCCATCTCTTCGAGAGTGGCCTCGTAGTGCTGCAAGTCCTCGAACCAGCGATCAATGGCCTCGGTTTCGGGGGTGCCGTGGTGGTTCATGGTGGGCAGCATTTCAGAGCTGGGACGAAGATTGCGAGAGCCAGAAGCGCCAGACATGACAGCATTACCGCCCATGGAAGGGCTGCGAATGGCATTGTCGTGGCCGGCGTTGCCCTGCTGGGCGAGACGCATCATCTGTTCGGTCGTTGCGCCCTTGCCGAGCGAATAGCGACCGTGAGGGTTCATGGTGATGGGACGGTTTCCAGAAGGAGAGCTGGCGCGGTTGATAGAGTTGTTTGAAGGTGTCAAAGGAGATCGCAAAAGGCCAAAGTCGGACATTCCTGCACAAGGGTAAGAGTGATGTTGTAAGGCGTGGCGGATGTGCATATCACGAGAGTGGGGGGTTGCACCCAACGGTTCGGTGTCGGTATGGGATCGCGTGACAGCAGGAATGAAGATCGTGGAGCGATTGCATACGTGAGAAAAGTTGCACAAAGTGGGCGGATATTGGATCAGAGAGAAAAGGAGGATTGTCAGTGATGTCCAACTTCATTTTACGCCTCTACAGGCGTCCGGTCGGATCACGAGAATCATTCTGTAGAAAGAGGGGCTTAGGGAGCACGTACCTTTGACGAGCCAGACTATTTGGTCGCAACTGGCAGAGTTTCCCGATGAGAAACGAGGGCGATGTTGCAAAAATTGGTTATCCTTGAGCGGAAGAGGGTGTAGTACGGATCCGTTGCGGTAGAAACAAGAATGGGTACGATGCACGATCCGATCGAATGGGCAACACTAGCTGGGCTGTTGCCTGAAAGTGCGAGCGAAGATGAAGATGTGAGGGGGCTTGGGTGGGGGCGCCTGTTGCTTCCTTTTGTCCTTTGACAAAGACTGAGAGCTAATATGGTTCCACTTTGCTCCGAAGAGTCGAGCGATGCTTGGACTGAGAGATGGAGAGATTCGACAAGGTTTACCAGAGGTGCGTTGATTGAGATGCTACTTGCCTACACTTTTCAAAAATCAAGCAGGAGTGGTTCCTTTGGGGGGGGGGGGGGGGGGAAGCAGGCTTCGTTCGAAAAAGAAAAAGAAAAAACCGGAACTCTGACCGGGTCAGGGGCGAGGTTGATCCTTGAAAGGACGCCAGGATGGTGTTACTTGACAACGCCAGGTTTCGAGATCGAAGGAAGGGAGTGTGGAGAAAGAAGAAAGGATGATGACCTCTTGAGCCAGGGCTTTCAAAGCACACGAGGCTGGTGGAAGGAGAGGGTGGGCAAAAGAACGAGGATCAAGCTGTGCAAGCGTACGTTTGAATGAGGGAAGGAAGGAAATGGGATGGTGGAAGAAAGGGTAAGAGAAGAAGCTCAAGGTTGCGACAGCTGTTGTCTCTCGCTAGCAAAAGATGCGTGGCTGAAGTTGTGACGAATGAGACAGCAAAGCCAGAAAAAGCATAAAAATACAAAATACAAAATCAGAGCTTACAGGCGAGTCTAACGCGGATACGAAAGGTGAGCAGCGAGCCAACAGCGCCAGAAGCAGCTCGCAGATCTACACAAGCACACAAGCACACAAGCACACAGGCACGGCCTTCCATACACGCACACAAAGCAATCCAAAACTCAAGCTTGGCTGATTGATACTTTGGTTCCTCGCTTCGAGATGATAGAATCGCCTTGTGCAAACAGAATGGCCAGTGGCGATCGACAAATTCCGGGAAGGCGGGGACAAGCCGACAGGAAAAGGGCTGCAGCTGCTGACGGCCAGCCAACCCGTGTAACTTGCAGCAGAGCACAGAGTGTCATCAATTCATCGAGGAGCGGCAAGGAAAGCAGCACAACAAAGCAGCACAACAACTCGATCCTCCTTGCTTGCTTGCTCTCTTCACTCTCGCTTGCCATCCCGACTCTTTTCCTCATTTTTATTCCCACGCAACTCGCTCACTTCGGCTCAATGCCGAACCACATTCTCAGGCCTCACACAGTAGCAAGTCTGTGTGAGATGGTGCCCTTGTTTTCACTCCCTCTCTCATCGTGATAGGCAAGGCTTTGACTGCACTGCAATGCGAACGGCTGTTGACGAGAAATATCAGGTGGCTCTTCAGCTAGGCTAGAATCACCAATACCTTGAGCTTGCCAAGCTATGCAACTTTACCTGCGCGCCTCGTTGTCGGCTTGGCCACGCTGGCCTCTTGAGTCTTCTGACCCTTCTTTGGCGCGTTTCTCGGCTAGACACCTTGGCTTCTGCCTCGCTTGGAGAAGAGCACGACAACGCTCTCCAACTGCGCCCAGCTCCAATCCCTTTTGAGATGCTGCACCCTTCTTTTCCGTACGGCTCCTCATCCAGATGGCATCTAATCGGCTCTCCCAGCCATCGTCAAATCGGGTCATCGCATGTCGAAAATAGACAATCCAACATGGTGATCTAAGCAGACATGAGGCGATGCGAGAGAGATCGGGCGTAGCAGACCTGATCGGAGATTAGGTCCCGCTCGTTGTCAGACATCATCATTAAGTAGAAAGCACCTACACTCGGTATCAGCCTCAGAGGTGTATATATATCAAGCTGACAACACTACCTTCTCGCCATGTTCATCTAGTCAATTGAGTATACATGTTTTTGTCTAAACCAGCAGTGACATCGTACTTAGACTCCCCCCGATCGCCAGTTATCGGGACCCAAACGTCTTCACTTTTCAACATCGCATTCATTCATTGTGCTGCCCAAAGCTCTTCATTCAGGAAAAAAAAAAGCAGACTGGCTTGAGCTCATCATCATAGTGTTTAATTAGACAGATTGGACAAAGCATATGCTGCTTTGACAGAGGACATTGCAGGGGAGAGTATGAACAGATTGCCACGGACCATGTTGGTGTTTGAGGACAATCGGGTAAGTTTCTAATTTAGCCGGATACCCCTCATTCGGGTCGTCATCGTCGTTGAGCAATAGCACCACCATCATACTAAGCAAGAACACTTCAAACTTACACGCAGAAGCTGTACGAGACGACGGGAGAAAGCAGATGAGCTGCGAACAGTGAGGGTGATGGGCTCAGACGAGCAGAGCGCCGCCGACGATGACACCAAGAACAGCAGTGACACCAAGCGCATAGACGTTGATCATGCCAGACGTGGAAGCAGCACCGCTCTTGTAGCCACTCGATGAGCCCGAAGAAGAGCCGACGCCACCGCCACCGCCGCCGCTGCTGCTGCTGCTGCTGCTGCCACCGCCGGAGCCGGACCCGGACTTGGACGAGGCAGAAATCGAGGCGGCAGCCTGCTGGTTCCAAGTGTAAGTGACACCGCTAGCAGTAGGCGAGGCGACAGTGCGGCAGTTGGACGAAGCTGGAGCGGCCACTGGCGTAGGAGTGACGCTCATACCCTGCCTGAAAGTGTAGCTGCTATTGTACACGCCGATGGGCCGATCAGCATCGGCGTCGCAGTTGGTGAACGCTTCAGGCTGGTCATAGTCTCCCGGCTGGTTCCAAAGACATCCCATCATGTCGTACGTGTTCTTGCAGTACTCGTAGTTGGGGCACATGCGCATACAGAACAGGGGGCTTCCAGGGATATCGCATGCTCCGACGAACTGAGTAAAGTAATTGCCGTTTCGCATCGTCACTCCTACAGGGTTGCCGACACCCTCCGCACCTTCCGAGTCGTACTCGCCACCGCAGTCGTTGTTGCCGAGATTCATCACAGCGGGGTTGTACACGCCTGAGATCTGCACATATTGAGGTGTGCGACGGAAGTGTGCCGTCTTGATGAAGCCGTCGGGCATGGGTCGCGTTCCATTGGTAGGGTTGATGCAGTAGGCGACGGCGATAGCTTCAGCATCTACCACGTTATCCTTGGTCGGATCAGGAGGCATGAGCAAGCAAAAGTCGCTGGCGCTGTTGATGTTGATCGTTCGACCCTCGCCGTCCAAAGAGGGTGGTGTCAGTCCGTCGGAAGAAGCTTTGGGCGTCCAGCTACCGAGGGCAGCAGTGCGAGTGAGACTGGGGGCGGACGGTCCATCACCGCTGATGATTGAATTCGAGGACTGAGCCTTGACAAGACCGACGAGCGCGGCTGTAGCCGCAGCCAAGTCACCGAAACGCATGTTGCACGAGTCAGTGTCGAAGGATGAGAATCGACTCGAAAGGAGAATTGACGTTGGTTGGTCGTAATGGGCGGTGGTTGATAAGCAAGGTCAGTAAGGGAGGACCAATCTGAGGAGACAAAGATTGAGGAAGTGGACTGACTATTCGGCATGCAAAGGAGAAAGGGAGGCAGACATCAACCATCAACATTCTGCGCATCCGTCGGGGCCAGCAAGTTTCAAGTCTTTTCAGGGCTTGGACTGCTTCACACGGACGTACCAACGGCGATCTCTCAATAGAATGGATGTTCAGGATCCTGCTCCTTGTCCAACATCACGGGCGCTCATGTCCGACACAGCCTACGCCAACAATGAGGAAGGCGAAGCGCACAGGGGGGCGGCATTCCACACACACTCTCTCCTGTGCACAATTTTACAAACGGGGCCCAGAACAGCCCTAGTCGAGCGAGCGGGAGGTGTTGTGTCTGGGCTGTCGGTACAGAAAAGCCATGGCATTCGGCCCTTCATCTTCTCTTCCTCTTCGAGTCTCCTCGTTCAACTCGGCTTCACATTCTCCGTCACTCTGCCTCCTTTCTCCTTTCATTGTTCCCGGTCGTCGAGCGTCAGGAGTCGGACGTCGCCACTAGTCGACGGCGCTCACTGCGTCGGCCATTTAATAATGAAGGTGTACAACGATCGGTCGCATTCAACCGAGCTTATGCTACAACTGTAACTCAAAGCTGAGGCGCAGTGAAGAAAGGTGAGTTTAATTTTGGTCGTAGGAATTCCTGCGAGCTCGAGCTGCATAGAACGACAGAGCGTGCGCATCCATCTGAAACATTGAAAAGTTAAGCGACACAAAAAGAACAACACTTCTGAACCCTGAGTCTATTGTGTTGTCATGCCACCAGCCGTGGTCGAAGCAGGACACGAACTCATACCACCCTCAGTCGAGAAAGCTTCATCTCCTCCGCCGGTCTGTCCTCAATCTCGGCAGCCTCTTGCTTCACCTTTTCATGGTGTGTCTCATGTCAAAGGAGGCCAACGTCTTGACTTTAGGACAGAAGGCTGAGCTCAACGATAGGATGCAATCCAGGTCGAGGCAATCAGGAATCATCGAGCATGCTTGCTCACGAGTCCAGACACCGACATCGAGCTTTGCCACCTTGGCATCCTCGTGTAGCTCCCTGCACTCATCAGCAGCAGCGATCAGGCTGAGCTCTTCGTCAGTGTAAGCTAACTGCAGCTTTACCGGATCAATCTCTATCGCAACGTCGGATGAACGTCGAGGGATCAGTTGCTTCGCATTAAAGTTGAGTTTCGGCGTGAAACAACGTGCGAAGCTTTATTTTATCGATGATAACCCAGAATATCAATACAGGACGCTTTGGTGGAGTGGTTAACACGTATCCCTGCTACCTATTAGTGAAAATAGCAACCAGCAAGCGCCGGTGGAAGGATATCCTCTTTGAGGGCGTGAGTTCGAATCTCACAGGCGTCGTTTTTTTTCGCCGAATTTTTGACAGTGACAATGTCAACTTTTTGGCAACGATGTCAAGGAGCCCACCATACGAAAGCCGACGATGAGGGCAATCCCTCAACCTTTTTTTGGGCAAGGACTGATCATGCTGTTGTTGAACTACTGCCCCCTTTGGCTGGGATGTCCACTTGTCAGGCAATCTATCAATCTCAGCCTCTGGGGATGGTGATGGCAGTGATGTGAAGCCTTGTCTTCCATGCTGGCATGTGCCTGAACTCCTGGGTACAATTAAGACCACCTTTGATGCAAACTGATTGACCTTTTCAAGACCCATCTTAAGGAACGAAGTGTCAGGGGTCTCGCGCCTGAAACCCAGGTCGGTCTGTCAAGGTACCTGGTGACTATCAAACTGTGCAACAGCTATTGTCTTGGTATTGGTCTCAATGAGTTAGTTGCTTGGTGACTATCAAGTTGTGTGATGACAGCAGGTGGTGTTTGTTGTATATACTATTGTAGGTTTTGGCTGACCTCTGTGGACACTCCACTCAGGGGTAGCTCAGCATGATCAATATCAATATGTAGGTTATGATGACACCAAGGTCTGGTGTGAGTGTTGATGATGATGAGGTTGATGGTGTTGGTGATAAGGTTGGTGAGTGTTGATGATACTGAGGTTGATGGTGTTGGTGATAAGGTTGGTGGCATCAACATGAGTGTCCAGTGTGTTGACTGATGCTTGAGGTGATCCCTGGACCACAGTGGACTACTGCCTTTGGTTCTATCTATATCTGGACTGCTGACCTGCTATGGGCTGCCTTCGGACATCAGGTAGTGGTGATACAACACATGCACTATGATGAGGAGCAACCTTGATAGATTACTACTATGCTGACTGAAACTAATATATACTTATGCTGAAGTGATAACTAGTTATGGTGTGTGTGTAGAGTGGATGAGGATCCACTCAACCTTTGATGATGAGAAGGTATGGTTATATACCTCTTCACAGTGTCGCCAGTGACACTGCTCCTGCTCTCTCTCTCCAGAGTGTACCTTCTTCATCGAGTACTGTACAGGGGGCCCCTCTAGCACCACTCCTGTCCTCCTTGCTATCCTGCTTGCTTGGCACCCCTGTGCCTCTGTGTTGACTCCTTCGACACTGCTCCTCCTCCTCAGGACCTGCTTGCTGGTTCCCTATACACTGCTCCTTCTCCTTTGACTGGTGACAGTTCCTTTGACTCTTGTCTCTCAAGCCCCTGAGTGGTAACCATCTGCATGCTCCTTGAGCTTGGTCCTCTTCATGGCTGTGCCTGGCCCTCCTTGCATATGGGCCTGGTCCTCCTTTGCATGTGAGTCTGTAGGAGTCCATGGTCTCCATGGAGACTGCACTATGACCATGCTCTCTACTGGTATTGACTAGATCTCCAATACCTGTGCTCCTTCCATATGAACCAGTGACCCTCCTGCTTCTTGAACATTCAGGCCCATGACACCTACCAAGTAGAACTTACTCAATCGATCTCACCGAAATCAATCAGAAACACCCAATCTGGTTTCAGGCGCACGACTGCTTACAGGGGTGTCACTTTTTGCTTGACATTTGTCTTTCTGGTGTATTTTAAGATCGGCCCAGCCTTTGGTTCTTTTGGTGTACCATAGGTATTTTCATTGATCAATTGACAATAATGGTTTTGTACTATGTCTGGAAGGCAAGGGAGGAGCTCCTCGATCACCTCGACAAAGTATTTGTACAATGAGTAGTCAGGGTTCAACATGTTGATGGTGAAACCTCTTGTTGATATCAAATTTGGTAGCATATTGGCTGATTGGGCTCATAACCTGTTGAAGTTTGGGTCCTGATACTGGCAATCAGGGAGAGTCTAAGTATGATGTCACTGCTAGTTATAGACAGAAACAAATATACTCAATTGACTAAGGGAATGTGGTGGGAGCCTAGTGCTCTCTTTGAGATATATATACATGTGAGCAGCACATGCCAAAGGTGGGAGTACTCCTACTTAATGATCTACCATGACAACAAACAGGACTATGTTGCACCTGATCTCTGGTGAGACCAGCTTGGCTTGATTTCTGATCATATCGGTCATATAACTGTATTGGCCCTGCCTGATCTCTGATTAGATTGGCCCCACGTCATCCTTTGGCGTCGCACTGGATCGCAATCTCCAGCAGTATTTAGTTTCTGATCCATGATCGCATTGAATGCATTGTTATTAAAAAAAATAATAAAAATAATAATAATAATAATAATAATAATAAAGTGAAAAGTGGAAAATTGACGGTGACGACGTCAATTTTTTGCCGACGACATCAAGGAGCCCGCCATACGACTCCCGACGAAGAGGGGCATCCCCTCGAACCGCTAGGACCATCATCGACCGAGCCGTTTTGGAGATACGGCACCAAAGAGTTGGGATGCACAACCGGGAAAGCGTCCTTCCTGACTCTTGGTGGCGTCCACAACGGCGAGGAAGACCTTGTCTGGACCACCGAAGCGATAGCTGAGTAGCCTGGCATACTGCGCATGCCAACGTGAAAAGCAAACGCACTGACTATATTGCATAGCTGAACACGCCAACCTATCCTCCCCGCGCACCGGTCGAAACACCTCCTCCTCCTCTCTCAAATCGGCTTGGTTTTGATACCCTGTTCTCTTTTAACCCCGCACTTCTCCTCTCAGCACACTTTCGCTGTTGTATCACGACGAGTTGTGATGCTGGTTGATTTGGGTTTCAAACGTATGGGAACCTACCTTGATTACCATTTCCCAACTCCCCCTTACTTCTTGTACACCTATATCCTTTCACGATCCTTTTGAATGCAAAGGCAATGCGAGCTTAGAGCGAGCAATTGTTACAAAACAGTTTCGCGTGAGCAATGCAAAGCTGGACTTACTCTCTTTCCTTGGTCCTGACTTAAGCTTCACTCGCAAGACACTGTGTGGATACAAGGAGCGTGACACACTGACAGGATGGATTACAGAATGTAGGATGAAGTTGCAACAACGGTATATGTACAGACGACATGCGTCGCAGAGATACACAAGCTCTCAAAAACGCTTGCGCTTAGAGGATATCCTCAGTGAAGATAACTTAGGACGATCACCCTCCTTTTTGGGCCTTCTCGCTCTGTCAACGGGGAGAAGGCATGATGCAATGCAGTGCAGAGGACTTATACGCAACACGCGCTTAATCCTCCAAGAAGAAGTAGTTGCCAGCGGCCTTCTGCTCCTTATCCTTGATCGAGTTGAACTTGTTGACACGTGGACGGTAGTTGGTAGGATCACGACGCATCGAGACCTCGAGAGTGGCCAAGAAGCTGTTCATACCAGTCAATAACGATTCGGGACGCTTGGCGGTGGCCTTGACGGATGGCTGACCCTCGTAGACAATGACACGGTCAGCAAGGTAGGTGGCCATGATGATATCGTGCTCGATGATCATGGCGGTCTTGCGCGAGTGGATGATGAAACGCTTGATGACACGCGAAGCGATGATACGCTGCTCCGAGTCGAGGTAGGCGGATGGCTCGTCGATCAGGTAGATGTCGGCAGGCTTACCGAGGGCAAGGACAAGCGCAACACGCTGGAGCTCACCGCCGGAGAGGGTCTGAACATCGTTGTCGATAATGGGCTCGATCGACATGGGCTTGACGACATCGGTCTGGAACTGAGGGTGCATGAAGGCAGCCTTGATCTGCTTGAGCAAGAGCATGCGGACGGTACCCTGGAACTTGGGTGCGATGGTCTGGGGTTTCATTGACACGTTGAGTTGAGGAGGCTTCTTGGCACCCGGATCAGGCTCGAGCTTGCCAGCAAGCATTTTGACAAAGGTAGTCTTACCGGTACCGTTCTCACCGAGGAATACAATGATCTCGGAATCGCTGAATTCTCCACCCTCAATGTTGAGGCTGAAGTTACCGAGAGTCTTGGTCATGGGTGGACAGACGTACTTGGGTGTCCTGTCGAGCACCTCGTCTTCGGCAGTCTCGGAGATCTTGAACGAAAGCGACTCCTCACGGAAACGCATGTTCTCGGCGGGGATGTAACCATCGAGGAAAATGTTGATACCATCACGAACGGGCGAGGGGACGGTAACGACACCGTAAACGGAAGGGACACCGTAGAGACAGCAGATAAAGTCGGAAAGGTAGTCGAGAACGGACAAATCGTGCTCGACGGCAATGACGTAGGTGTTGGAGTCGAGAAGGGAGCGAATCATTCGGGCGGCATTGAGACGCTGCTTGACGTCGAGATACGACGATGGCTCGTCGAACATGTATACGTTGGCGTTTTGAATGCACGACATGCCGATGGCGAATCGCTGAAGCTCGCCACCCGACAGCTGCTGGACGTCTCGCTCGAGGACCTCCTTAAGGTCGAGCATGTCGATGACCATCTGCTTGTTGTCCTTTTCGAGCTTGCCGTCCAAGAGCTGAGTGACGGAAGCCTTCCCCTTGATGGCACGGGGAATGTGGTCGACATACTGAGGCTTGATTAGCGCCTTTATGTTGTCCTCAAGCACCTTGGTGAAGAAGTTCTGCAACTCGGAACCACGGAAGTACTTGAGAATCTCCTGCCAGTCGGGTGGGTCGTCGTAACGGCCCAAGTTGGGCTTCTGCTTGCCTGCCAAGATCTTGAGTGCTGTCGACTTTCCAATACCGTTGGTACCGACAAGACCAAGAACCTGACCAGCACGTGGTGTTGGCAAACGATGCAACTTGAACGAGTTGGCGCTGTATCTGTGGGTGGTCTCGTTCTCGAGATTGGTGGGAAGCTTGATGATGTTGATGGCGTCGAAGGGGCACTTTTTGGGGCAGATACCACAACCAATGCAAAGAGATTCGGAGATGAAGGCGATCTTGCTGGTCGGTGTCACCTCAATACAGAGTCGACCCATACGGACGACGGGGCACGACTTCTTACATTCCTGACGACATTTCTTAGGCTTGCATTTGTCCGAGTTGACGATGGCAATACGGGTCTCCTTTTCCTGTTGTACGGGCGCCATGGTGGACTTTGTGGCTGACACCTCGTTGCTCTTTGCTGTGCAGAGCGAAAGATCGAGGCGTGGTAGGGTGAAGAGAGGATGGTAAAGAGAGAAGGTGGAAATGAAGTAACAGACTACCCAATGGAAGAGCTTGAAGCCCGCCTTGCCGCCGTCATTATTGCGTTTTGCTTTTGCTCAAAAGGGAGAGGTCGAGGTCGTCTGTCACTGCGCTGTGCTGTACTGTGCTTTTTTGCTGTTACCTCCAACTCAGCAAGCAAGAAGAACGTCAAATTCCAGGCAAGGAGGAAAGGGAGAAAAACTGGATACAGACTTTCAAAAGTTTTGAAATGGGATCTGCGCGATGTAACAATAAGATGAATTGAAAAAAGCTGGCGCGGACTCGAGCTGATGTCTCGCTAAATACAAATTTCAGTGCAGCAGAGAAGGAAGAGAGGAGGAACAGCCTGGCTTTTCGCCGATGTGACGGTCTGGCACGCGAGCTGCCTCCGAAAGGGACTTTTTGATTTGAAATCAAAGTGACCTCAGTGGATACCGCGTCAAGCAAGGCGACTTGCTCGCTACAGTACGACACAGCTACAGCATTGCAGCTGTCAAAGATGATGACGATGTTGTTATCATAAATTGATCAAGTATTGAAGGCAAGCGTAACGACAGGATGGAGGCACTCAAGGACAATATGTCTTGAACGCTTCGCTGGTTTGATAGGGATAGGAAAGCGGTATATTGCAAGCAAAATAGATTCGGTTGCGGTCGCCATGGATGCGTGTCGAAAAGCTAGAGCAATTCTCGTAGACTTCCGATCCATCACATACGCATTCTACTCGTCTGCGTCCCCTTTCTTGGCCACACGCTTTCGCTTTGAAGGGCTTTCTGCAGAAGCCTTGGAGGGGCTGGGAGTCTTTGCAGGAGACCTGAGCGAGGATGGGGCATCGTTGCTGTACTGTACTGTAGATACCAAGAACGTCTTTGCAAATCTTATAACGCCTTTGGTCGTTGTACTGTTGCGCGGGGGGGGGGGGGGGGGGGGGGGGAATGGAGAGACGCAGAGGCTGTCAGTGCCTCGTGAGTCTAAGGCATCGCAGCTTGGAGTCGAGGGAGGCAACTGCATCCAGCACGGTCCTCGTAGGGCTGCCAATCCACCTAACTGCAAACAGACGAAAGTCATGACGAATGGAAAGAACACCTACAGCCTTGGTGTTGCGGATGAAAAAGCCTTCCCTGGCCAGGATGCCCCCCAGCTCTCTGGAGATGCTACCGTAGCCAGCATTGGCAAGTACGTGAGTGAGAATATGTTGGGCCTCCTTCTTCACCTCCTTCTCCTCCTTCAGCAGATCAATGCCCTCATTCTTTAATTGCGGAGCCTCGTTCTTCATGGTCGCGGTGAGTAAGCTGTGCCTCTATCGAGTGTGATTGCAATCGGAGTAGAGATAGCTGAGGTGCCTGCGGGGGACTTGATGGAGGGAGGTTGGGATGTTGAGCTGGTCTGATGAGCTAGCGTAGAGTGGTTTGTGACAGGAGATGGGGTGGAGCTTGGATCTTGGAAGCGGAGAGCACAATATATCTATCTTCGCCCTGTCTTGCTCTGTCCTGTCGGCAGCGAAGTTCAAGTGTGCGGGAGCGTGCGAGTGCGGGAAGGCTTCAACGTAGCTTCCACAGTTGGCTTCCGCACTCTGCATCAGCCCTTGAGAGCTCTTGAACTCAAACAAGGTTCAGAGCTGTTGCTGCGTTCGTCTTCGGAGCAGAAGAATCTGCCGATCAGCTTCGTCACAGGTCTCACAAAGCGTCGGGATGAAGTCCCTATCGCGCACAGGCACTCCCTTGCGATAGTTCCGTCCGAACCGAGCTCGCAAAACTGAGGATGCATGCAATCCTGCTCCTTCTCCGCTCGAGTGATCCGACAACACTAGGATTGACGATGATAAGCATGCGTACAACGGAAATGTGTCTAGTCGGGATGCTTTGCTCAAATCGGCTCGTAGGCTCCGCGACCGCCAGATCCTCCGAACCCGCCTCCGCCTCCGCGATTTCCTGAAACTGTCTGCCAGACATGAGAAGCAGCATCGCGAGCAATGTAAGGAGATTCCCTCCAAAAGTCCTTATGCGGAACCAAATCCCAGCCACTTGCACCGTAATTGTTGTAGTTGTTGTACATTCCAATACCCATATAAGCAACGAAGCCGACAGAAAGCAGGAAGAAGAGCCAACTGAAGAAGCCCCATCCGCTTGAAGCATCTGATCCACTTCCGCTGTTGCCTTTGTCGCCGTCATCAGAGCCGCCTTTGGACGGAGACCCACCTCCACTGCCTGGTTTGCTGGCAGCAGAAGAACAGGCGAACTTGGTCGGCCAGCGAAGCTTCAGCTTTCCATCTGAACGGTCATAGCTTCGAGCAGTGGGATGAGAGTCAGCGTCTGCTTTTGGATCGCAAACAAGCTCAAGCTCCGCCTTCTGCTCACGGCCAGCGTACGTGGCACCTGGCAATTGAAGCTCGATGCTCTTCTCTCCACCTTCGAGCTCTTCGCCCCATTCTACTTTGGCTTCAATCTTACTTCCGCCTGACTCGCCGGAATAAGCTACTGGGATTGCTTGCGTCACGATGGTCTTGCCGTCCTTGATGGTCTCGATTGTGATGCATATCCTTGTTCCACGCGGGCACTGATCTTTCTCGTCACGATTTGGGTCAGCATCGAGCGGCTTGCAGAGATCAATGTCGATCGAAGTCTTTGTTTCTGATGGAGGTGTTGACTCGGTGTTGGAAGTGCGGATGGGATAGGAAATTTTGGAGAGATCGAATGACTGTTTCGATGAGACGGCGACATTCCCGCAGTCGAATGGAGAGAGGGTCTGTTTCGAAGCAGAGACAAAAGCTGTCTGCTGGAGCAGCAGCAGCAGAGATGCTGCCAGAATCGCCAGGTTGCGTTTCTCATGCGTTCTGCCTGGAACAATGGAAGAGGTCGGCATCTTGTGAGTGTTCCGTTTGAAGAAGAAGCTGCTGTGGCTCAACTTGACGATGTGAATTTGACAGATGCTCAACTTGAGAAGTAGATTGGACCCGAGCGCTTGGTTGGAGATGTCCGATCCTCACTTTAAGGCGATCGAAGGGTGTGTGACTGTAAAGCTTTGTTGATACGATATCAAAGAATGTGGATAGGAGGCTGTGGCGATGCTGATGATGATGATGGTCTTTGCGTTGCGTCACATCTGCGCACTGTCGAAATTGAGTCGTGATCCCCAGGGTTCATCACACCGAAAAGAAAAAAGAAAAGAAAAAAAATGAAAATGAAAAAGGAAAAAGGAAAAAGAAGAGGAAAATAAAAATAAAAATGGGTCTTACACTCTGCCGAGCGAAGCAGACATACATGTTGAAAGATTAGTTGAAGTTTTCGTGTGATTGATGATGATAATTAGAGAGAGAGAGAGAGAGCGAGGAGAGAGAAGGAGTCTATATATACAAAAGAAGAGCAGCAGAGAGCCGCATCGACTGCGGAGCATAACAAAGCATTTGTCTTGAGTAGGTTGTGACACATGTGGTTTGTGCTCAGATGCTCAAGCCTTTTACTCAGCCATAAGCATTACCTTCACCATCTCTACACTTTGTGTAGCTTTTATCTACTTCAACTCCCCCCCTCAACAGCATATGTACCCTGTTCATTATGCTGTTGTTTCAAGGTATATCCTCCATTCTTTAACATCATTGCATAGCTTGGGGACTCTGTTTTGTACGCCACTGCCAGTATTTGCAGGTGTAGCCCAGATCTTGCTTGCTGCATTGCCTGTCTCCCAATTGGCTTGGTGAGTACATCTGCCAAATTCCTTGTGGTGTCCATGTACTTGATTTGCACCCTTCCCTCTTGAACATTGTTACAGATGAAGTGATACTTGGTGTCGATGTGCTTAAGCTTCCAGTGCTGTGCTGGGTCTTTACTAACCTGTATGCAACCAGTGTTATCTGAGTAGACCATTGGGGTGCCTGTGGCAATGCCAATCGAGCATAGCAGCTGCTTGAGGAAGAGCACCTCACATGTTGCTTCCATGGCTGCAATGAACTCCACCTCAACAGCAGACAATGATATGCATTTTTGTGTTGCTGACTTCCAGGCTACTAGGTTCCCATACACTAATGCCACTGACCCTGATGTACTCCTTCTCTGAATGGTGGCATCACTTGCCCAGTTTGCATCACTATGCGCAATCAGTGGCTCTTGCAACATATTTCCCCTATACACTAATCCAACATTCTTTGTGCCTTTGAGGTAGCATAAGACCCATTGTGCTGCCTGATAATGCTCTTGAGATGGTTCATGCATGTGTCTAGTGAGGACACTCATGGTGAGGCTAAGGTCGGGCTGGGTGCTGTTGGCAACCCAGAGCAGCTTGCCAACATTCACCAGATACTCCTTCTGTTGTGCTGTGCTTGCGACAAGGGTTCCCTCTGGTATGCTCTGCATTGGAACCATGGTTGGCTTGGTGCATTTGTCCAGGTGCTTAGCCAGCACTTGGTCAATGTACCCTGACTGACCAACCATCATGGTGCACATCATATGGTTTCGACTGATTTTGATGCTGAGGAAGTGAGAGACCTCGCCACTATCTTCCATCTTCCATCTCTGACTGATCTGCTTCTTAACCTTTAGGACTGTTTCCAGCTGTGGTGCTATGACTAATGTATCATTGACATAGATGACTACAATGGCCATATCTTTGCCCCATCCCTTGGTGTAGATGCAGGGAGCACACTCTACCTGGAAGAATCCCATGCATCACAAAGACCTGTCGAACTCCTGGTTCCATTCTCACCCAGACTGCTTTAGGCCATACAGGCCCTTGACCACTTTGTATACCTGTCCAGGTGCTACTCCTGATCCCTCTGGTGGTTTCATATAGATCGCTTCTTTTAACCTGGAGTTTAAGTAGGCCATTGTGATATCCAGTGCATGCACCTCCCAGTTGTTCTGTACTGCTAGTGCTAGGATAGCTCTGATTGCTCCAAGGGGTGCTACGGGAGAGAAGGTTTCCTGGTAGTTGATTCCTACTCTCTGTGTGAAGCCCCTCGCCACCAGTCATGCCTTGTGCTTTATGGGCACACCATCAGCATCGAGCTTTAGCTGAAGCATGACTTTAGAGTCCATGAGTGGTGCTCCTGGTGGGTGATTCACCACCTCCCAAGTCCCCATTGCCTCAAGTCCTTCCAGCTCTTTTTGTATTGCCTCCTTCCAGAGCTGGGCATCCTCACCATTCATTGCTTCCCCAAGCATTGGGTCCAGGTTCAGTACTGCTGTGTTGGTGGCGCCTACTGTGTGTCAGGGGTCTCGCGCCTGAAACCCAGGTCGGTCTGTCGAGATACTCGGTGACTATTAAACTGTGTGACAGCTATTGTCTCGGTATCGGTGACTATCAAGTTGTGCAGTGACAGCAGGTGGCGTTCGTTGTATATACTATCGTAGGTTTCGGCTGACCTCTGTGGACACTCCGTTCAGGGGTAGCTCGGCACGATCAATATCAATGTTATGATGACACCAAGGTCTGGTGTGGGTGTTGATGATGATGAGGTTGATGGTGTTGGTGATGAGATTGGTGATGTCGATGATAATGAGGTTGATGGTGTTGATGATAAGATTGGTGATGTCAATGATAATGAGGTTGATGGTGTTGGTGATAAGGTTGGTGGCGTCAACACGAGTGTCCAGTGTGTTGACTTGATGCTTTGAAGTGATCCCCGGACCGCAGTGGACTACTGCCTTCGGTTCTATCTATATCCGGACCGCTAACCTGCTATGGGCGCCTTCGGACGTCAGGTAGTGGTGATACAACACACACACTACGATGAGGAGCAACCTTGATAGATTGCTGCTATGCTGACTGTAACTAATGAGTACTTGTGTTTCTAAAGTATTGACTAGTTGTATGGTGAGTAGAGTGGATGAGGATCCACTCGACCTATTGATGAGAAAGCATGGTTATATACCTCTTCTCAGCATCGCCAGCGATGCTGCTCCTGCTCTCTCTCCAGAGAGTACCTTCTTCATCGAGTACTGCTCAGGGGCCTCTCCTGCTTGGCACCCCTGTGCCTCTTGAGCTGTGTCGACTCCTTCGACACTGCTCCTCCTCCTTTGATCAGTGACAGTTCCTTTGGCTCTTGTCTCTCGAGCCCCTGAGTGGTAACCATCTGCATGCTCCTTGAGCTTGGTCCTCTTCGTGGCTGTGCCTGCTCCTTGAGCTTGGTCCTCCTCGTGGCTGTGCCTGCTCCTTGAGCTTGGTCCTCCTCGTGGCTGTGCTTGGCCCTCCTTTGCATGTGAGTCCATAGGAGTCCATGGTCTCCATGGAGACTGCACTACGACCATGCTCTCTACTGGTGTCGACTAGGTCTTCGATACCTGTGCTCCTTCCATATGAACCCATGACCCTCCTGCTTCTTGAGCATCCAGGCCCATGACACTGTGCTGTCTACAGCTGGTAGGAGATCCTCCACTGTGGCTTCTGATCTGGTTTCCTCCTCCACTATGGCTGGCATGACACCCTCCTCCTCGACCTCCATGGTCACCATGGGCTGGACTGCCTCCTGTTGGTGATCACTCCATCCTTTATCCTCATGGAACATTGCTGAGTTGCTCCATTGAATTGATCCAGGCTGGTCCGGGTTGCAAAACTTCCATGCTTTGTGCTTGTCGTCATATCCAATCATGATGGCTGGTTTTGCTCTAGCCCCATACTTGCCCTGCTGGTCCTTCCATTGAACATGGACCCATGCCAAGCATCTGAAGACTTGCAGCTGCTGGGCCAGCTTGTGCACAGTGGTTCCATAAAAGGCCTCGTGGGGAATGGTCTTGGTGGCTGATGGGGTAAGGTTCATCACATGTGCTGCTGCTGTGATTGCATATGGCCACAACTCTCTGGGGCAAGCTTGACCAATGAGCATTGAGCACATCTTTTCTTGGACTGATCTGATTGCTCTCTCTGCCCATCCATTCTGGACACTGATCCCCAGGACACTCTTTTGCCACTTGAAACCCTCTTGAGTTTGCCAGTCTTCAGCTCCTAAGCTGCACCACTCTCCTCCATTGTTGCTGCAGAGCATTTTGAGTTTCCTGTCTGTTGCTTGTTCCATCCTGGTAATCCACCTTCTCAGCGCCAGGAGTGCAGCACTCTTAGTGCAGAGTGGTTCCATGTAGATCAGGGAGGAGAAGTCATCCACAGCAACTAGTGCATAGTGGTAGTTGGCATGGCCCTTAAGATCTGTCATCAAGTCTACATGTACTAACTCTAGTGGTGCCTCCACTCTCTTCGACTCCGATTGGCTCATCTGCACTTGGGTCTGTTTCCCTTGACTGCATGCATTGCAGTGCTTTGATTCATGCTCCATTCTCTCATCAGTGCCAAGGTAGTGTGCCCGGATTTGCCTTGTCTTATCTTGTCCTGGGTGTCCGAACCTCATGCCAGAGGTAGCTATCTTTATCTTCCTTCGAGTTGTTGTCTTGGTTTCCTGTGTTCTGGTTGTCCTCTGGGACATTGTTGATTGTCTCCTCCAGCTCCAAAGCCAGTGCTTGTCCTCACATGTCGAAGTGGCCTTGTCTCCTGTTCCTCCTGAATTGCACTTGGGTACCATTGTTCTGCTTTATGGTAGTCCCAGACTCATCAAAGATTACTCATGCACCATTCTCGATCAAGCCTTGTATGGACAATAAATTAGAATTGAGCTTCGGCACATAGAGCACATCCAATAGCTGGATGGCAGCCTCACTGACCCAAAGGGAGGCATCTCCTATGGCTTTTACCTGAAGCTTTTCATCCCCTGCCATACTGATCTGACCATCCTTGCTCATCGAGGTGAGCAGCATTCTCTCATCATTTACCATATGATGAGTTGCACCTGAATCAACAATCCAGGTGTTGTATGCTGATTGCTCCCCCCTGTCGATCGCTAGGAAGGTGCACCCAAGTTCCTAGTGACTCGCCTCCTGTGTCATACGAGCAGCAGGTTCGCTCATGTTTGGTATGGGGTGGTTGTTGGTGTTTGTGCAATTATGAGCAATATGATTGGGTCCCCCACATGCATAGCATCTTGGAGGAGCTGAGGGATTACGCAGATCATGCCTGCCCCTGGGCCCCTGCTCCACCTGACCAGTACCCCCTTGCTCCATGCTTGTAGCAACCCTGGCTGCTCCTCTGATATGACCTGAAATCTCACCATCCTGCTGTTTCTTGGCGAGTGCATGGTAGGCTTCATCATACTTACAGTCTGGTTTGGCCATCTTGAGTGCATCAATGGAGTTGGCATAGAACCAATCTTGTGCCGTGCAATGGTAGAGCATGGATTTCTTTAGGTCCTCATCAAGGCGCTTCCCAAAACGTGCAGCATCATTCCAAATGGAGTCAAGTGTCAGGGGTCTCGCGCCTGAAACCCAGGTCGGTCTGTCGAGATACTCGGTGACTATTAAACTGTGTGACAGCTATTGTCTCGGTATCGGTGACTATCAAGTTGTGCAGTGACAGCAGGTGGCGTTCGTTGTATATACTATCGTAGGTTTCGGCTGACCTCTGTGGACACTCCGTTCAGGGGTAGCTCGGCACGATCAATATCAATGTTATGATGACACCAAGGTCTGGTGTGGGTGTTGATGATGATGAGGTTGATGGTGTTGGTGATGAGATTGGTGATGTCGATGATAATGAGGTTGATGGTGTTGATGATAAGATTGGTGATGTCAATGATAATGAGGTTGATGGTGTTGGTGATAAGATTGGTGATGTCAATGATAATGAGGTTGATGGTGTTGGTGATAAGGTTGGTGGCGTCAACACGAGTGTCCAGTGTGTTGACTTGATGCTTTGAAGTGATCCCCGGACCGCAGTGGACTACTGCCTTCGGTTCTATCTATATCCGGACCGCTAACCTGCTATGGGCGCCTTCGGACGTCAGGTAGTGGTGATACAACACACACACTACGATGAGGAGCAACCTTGATAGATTGCTGCTATGCTGACTGTAACTAATGAGTACTTGTGTTTCTAAAGTATTGACTAGTTGTATGGTGAGTAGAGTGGATGGGGATCCACTCGACCTATGATGATGAGAAAGCATGGTTATATACCTCTTCACAGCATCGCCAGCGATGCTGCTCCTGCTCTCTCTCCAGAGGGTACTTTCTTCATCGAGTACTGCTCAGGGGCCTCTCCTGCTTGGCACCCCTGTGCCTCTTGAGTGGTGTCGACTCCTTCGACACTGCTCCTCCTCCTCATGACCTGTGTCGACTCCTTCGACACTGCTCCTCCTCCTCATGACCTGTGTCGACTTCCTGTCTCTCGAGCCCCTGAGTGGTAACCATCTGAGCTTGGTCCTCCTCATGGCTGCGCCTGCTCTTTGAGCTTGGTCCTCCTCGTGGCTGTGCCTGGTCCTCCTCGCATATGGGCTCAGTGCTCCTTTGCATGTGAATCCATAGGAGTCCATGGTCTCCATGGAGACTGCACTACGACCATGCTCTCTACTGGTATCGACTAGGTCTTCGATACCTGTGCTCCGTCCATATGAACCAGTGACCCTCCTGCTTCTTGAGCATCCAGGCCCATGACATCAAGTTCCTTGCCTAGCCTGACAACATCCCAATTGTACAGGCATACAGTGTGGATGCAGTCCTGCAGGCCCACTCACTTCACTGCATCATTCAATGTTAGTGCCTTCCTAAGCTTAGCATAAAGCATACTTACAAGTTGGGCCTCCTCATCCACACCCCTGACAGTGTATGTGTCAATGTGGCTTTCTGGGCTGTCATCACAGCAAGCGTGGATAAGACCTACCAGTGCCTTGTCCAGGTCCTCATCATATCCCTCGCTTCCAGGTGCTATTTTGCCATATAAGATTTCCTTTGCACTACACACCCGTTGCAGACAGTCAATAAAGGTGGGCTCCCAGGTGTGCCAGTTGTTATCACTAAGTTTCTTAATGTGTGCAATGGCACTCGAGACATCCTTGGGAATCTTCTCTGCCTCCCCTCTTGGAGCTTGATTGCTAATGCTGACAAGACCCATTGCCCATACAATTGCCTCCTCTGCTGTCAGTGCTGGGTTCGCTAACTGTAGTATCCTGACCACCTGCATAAGCCAACCCTCCTCCCAACCATTGCCCACAGTCACTGCCACCTGATCATCATCTCTCTCCTCCCTTCCTGTCTGTCCTGCTCATGTCGATGGCAGCATTATGCTTATCGTCGGACTCTTGATGTATGAATGTCATGGGTTCGAGCCCCACGTTGGGAGCCAGTTGAAGTTTTCGTGTGATTGATGATGATAATTAGAGAGAGAGAGAGAGAGCGAGGAGAGAGAAGGAGTCTATATATACAAAAGAAGAGCCGCAGAGAGCCGCATCGACTGCGGAGCATAACAAAGCATTTGTCTTGAGTAGGTTGTGACACATGTGGTCCGTGCTCAGATGCTCAAGCCTTTTACTCGGCCATAAGCATTACCTTCACCATCTCTACACTTTGTGTAGCTTTTATCTACTTCAACTAGATTTGGCTCTTATCGACGCTTATCGGGAGATGTCAATCTAAGCACAGTGTTCACGCTATTGAGCTAAAACACTATACTATATTGACCTAAGAGAAGAGTGTGGCGAGGGCCTTGAGCTCTCCGCTTGATCTATATACAAAGTGTCGGCACATCCCAGGAGTGGGAGCATCTTAATTAATGACAAGCTAAGACAACGAGTGTGACTCAATAGTCCCCGATCCCTGTTACATCAGCTCCGTCCGATCTCCGATCAGATCGTCTTTGCCCGATTCGTCTCCAGATCTGTCCTATCCGATCTGCCCGATCTTTCGTTATGTCAACTCATGTCACCTCTCGTGCCTTGCTGGATCGTTTCCTTCAGCAATACACACGCGCTTTGAAGCTGCGAAGCCTCCACACCAACAGCAGAACAGATTCGATTTGAGACAGGTTCGAATGAATCAGATAAACGCTGAGCAAAAGCGACGCGCAATCATCGGACTGTGTATGTATCTACCTTCCATGCTCAGACCCATCATCACTCGTTGGAAGCGGATCGAAGCAGCTGTATTGTACGGCACCCGAGGAAAACCATTGCCGTATCGCGCACTTATCAGCGATGTCCTCGTCAACGCCGCAACAGCAGCTCATTGCCTACATCCACCATGAAAGGCAGGAGTCCGGTAGCATGCTCTGTGCCCAGCACGCACTCAATGCGCTGCTGCAGGGACAATACTACGATGCTTCACAACTAGCTCAGATTGCAGCTGAGCTTGACCAGTTCGAGGCTTCCGAACTCGGACTCAGCCAAGCCGACATTGCATCGCGAGATCGCTCCAGCTTGAATATGGACGATACCGGCTTCTTCAGCGCATCAGTACTTGAAAGAGCCCTCCAGGTCTGGGGAATCTCCATCTTCAACTGGCGTTCCGCAGCTAACAGATCACGCCACGATGCACCAGAACAGGAAAAGGCTTTCGTCCTCAACCTCGACAGTCACTGGTTCACTATCCGCTCGTTTGGCACCACAAGCAAGTTCTGGTATAATCTCAACTCTTTCCTCGCAGAACCAAGCTGGATCGGCAACAACTACCTCGGCACGCTGCTTCACACCGCCGAGTCAGAGGGCTACACAGTCTTTGTCGTCCAGGCTGCTGAAGGGAGTGCGGGCCAGGGTCTCCACGAGTCGGATGCAGATCAGATGGCAGGCCACCTTCCGCCACCAGGCGCAGCATCAGCTTCAAGCACTGTCAACTCCACCAGTCTCGGTCTTCGTCCCGAGACGAAGTCTAACAAGCCTTCCGGCAGCTCTCTACCGAGCGCTGGCGACTTTGGCGGTGCATCAAGTATGTTCGGATTTGGCGATGAGGAGGAAGACGCTGAGTTGCAAGCAGCTCTCAGTGCCAGCCTCGCACAACACAATGCTGGCGGAGATGCACCCGACACACCTAGCCGATCGCGGGTGCGTCAGGTCAGAACATCGAGCAACGAAGCCGACGCAGAAGGGGACAGCTCTATGCTCGAGACAGATGCCGACATTGATGCGATTGCACCGTCAAGACGTCGTCATCGCACCGGTTCCAGCGATCCTGTAGACGATGACTTGCGAAGAGCGATGGAAGCGAGTTTGTCCAGTTCTAATCGGTCTTCAAGAGTCAGCAGCTCAGTCAACATTGCAGGCAGCTCCGCAGCCGAGTCTTCGTCCTCTTCATCCTCTCGACTTGTCGGACGAAGAAAACGTCGAGCTCAACAGCGACAATCCGGTCTCACCCGCGACGAGGCCATTGACCTGGATGAATCACGCGATGACAACCTCTCAAGCGATGTCGAAGAGCTCCGTCCCTCTTCGCTATCACATCGCTCACCCTTTCTCAGTCCAGCCATGGTTGCAGCCAATCGTAACAACGAAGACGTCGAGGAGATCGTCGATGATGACGAAGAGATTCCAAGCGACGACGAGCACGTGGATCCATTCAGTATACCTGGAGCTCCCGAGGCAAGTGCTGTCATCGGACCGCGTCAAGATCGACACTACGATGATGAGGATGCGGAACTACAGGCTGCACTAGCGGCGAGTCTTGGTGACACAGAAGCAGCAGCCCGATTCGCCGCGGACAACCCAAACTATCGCAATCCGACGCATCGCGATTGCAGTGAGCAGCAGGTCATTCCAGAAGATGTAGACCGTATCTCGAGGATGCGTGAAGAGGCACGCAAGAAGGCCAGAGAAGAGCAGGAGAAGCAAGAAAGACTGGCGAGAGGAGAGATCGCAGAGGAGGAAAAGCCCGAGTCGAGTACGGCTGCGAAAGGAAGCGGGAGTGTTGGCGCGGGAGATGAAGATGAGGACGAAGAGTCAGAAGCCGAAGAAGTGAGCGCTGAAGAGATGCGTCGTCGCAGATTGGCACGGTTTGGGTGATGGCCTATCGCTTTGATATCATTTTCACACGAGCACCTCTAATCCAATCCAAATCACACAGACATAGAGATCGTAGAACTTGCACGAAGAGTTTGAGAACGAGTTGGATACTGCTACAAGATTGAGATGAAGACTGAAAGCAGACCGAAAGCCTGCTGAAGTGGGAAGGAGACTTGTCAAATCAGGCGGCGAGCAGACATGGTGTACAACGAAACGAGAGACGACCTTGCGATGCAGCAGAGGTATGCTTCGCGCTGCGGAATCGGCTTTTCGTCGTAAGATGGCCGCTATTCAAATGTCGGCCTGACCTGATGTCAGCTACAGCTGCCTATGCAGAGGCTAGATCTGCGCTGACGGGTATATGCGATAAAGAAATAAGGTGGAACGAATGCGGATGTGATCGAAAGAAGCAGGGCTGGTCGGGCTCATTATGAGCTTTTGGGTTGCGCAGTCGGATGTCGGAATGGGCCACTTTACATGGGCTTTGCTGGGAGCTGAGTGGGGAGGATGCCGAAGCGCTTCTTGATAGTGACGCGGTGTCGAGAGAACTTGTCGTCAGGCGAGAAGCGGGCAGGGTGAGCCGACCTTGTGATGACACCCTCGACGGTCTTCTTCTTGAGAGTGTAGATACGCTTGCCGTCCTATCATTATCCAAAGAAACAAGTCAGAGAAACGTTAGCTTCCTGTACTTTATATCTTGAGCTCGTTAGTTGGTATCCAGAACGTACCTTGTCTTCAGTGAACATAAGATGCATCTTGGCTAGATGTTGTGGGTTTGGTGATGGCGGGTATGAATGGAGAAGTCTGGATGGTGTCGAGAAAAGTTGACGTTGGCTGCAGAGGAATTTTTTGATTTGCCGCCGACAGTCCACATTTTGCTTTCTTCTTGCAACTCAATCGCACGAGAAGAACTTGAACGTTGGGTCGGAATTTTTATCCCAATGTTAGTTGAGACATGCACGAAGCACACAGCTGTCTGTAACCTTCCAGCAAGGCCGTGTGTCGTGTCCACTCCGACCAATTTGGGGTCTGAGCGTGGTATCCAGCCTAAATCTGTCATTCTGGTCATCATCATCAATCTTCGTCGCTCAACGCAATCCCTGCCGTCATACTTTCGGCACCGACAAAGCAGCAGCATACTCGTTCTGTCTGCATCACTCTCACCTGGCTCTCTGAGAGATCTTGCAAGGCCCTCACCGCCCTTCTTCGATCCCGCTAACGACCACTTTACGATCCTTCAATTCTGCACGCATCCTTCGACCCGCTTCCAACACCACAGCAATGATGTTGCGGCACCTTTTCTGCTCGGCAGCGAGTCTGCTTCTCGTCCTTTTCCTCTCCACAACCCTTGTCTCAGCAATCAAGTTCGACCTCCCCGCAGCAACACACCCACACACAAAATGCATCTGGAACTACGCGCTTTCCGATTCGCTCGTGATCATCACAGCCTCTACCATTGCTAAGGAGCCCTTTGACTTCTCCTCCCAACGAGTCGATGTGGAAGTCGTCGACGGAAGCAAACACAACAACGTCTACCTCTCCAAGAAGAACATCAAAGGTGAAACCCGGTTGGCGATCAACACTCACTCTCACGCCGACCTTGGCGTCTGCTTCAAGAACACGCAAACATCAAAGACCGGGTCGGATGTGCCAGTGATGACGATCGATTTGGATGTGGACATTGGAGCAGATGCAGTGGACTACAATGCCATTGCCAATCAGGAGAGTTTGAGTGGGTTGGAAACAGAGGTGAGGAAGTTGGAAGCTGTAGCAAATGAGATTGTGAACGAGATGGAGTACTTGAAGAAGCGAGAGTTGAGGATGGCAGACACAAATCGTATGTACAAGAAGAAGAGACAGTTTGAAGTCAAATCGAGAACCAGCAACTGACCTCTGTACCTTTTCTTTCCTCTGATGCGCAGTGTCGACCAACATGCGAGTAACCAACTTTGCCATTCTCACATTGGTGGCATTGGTAGCATTGGGAGTATGGCAGGTCTTCCACTTGCGCAACTTTTTCAAGCGCAAATACCTCATCGACTAGTGCTACTCCTCTGTCGTCTTTGAGTCCGTACTAAAGCCGAACAAGGCGAGAAGCCGTATGAGGAGGACGGAGATCCTTCCAACAGCAATGCAACGCATCATCAGACCAAGACGCTCTCACACAATTGAAAGTCTGCGCGCTCTACGACCCTGACGAAACGGGTGAAACGGCTGGAACCATTGAAACGATTGTATCTGTACAGTTTGCACTTGTCCGCGGTCCGAGATGCCATCAACCTTGGGAGCATAGCTTTCGCTTCGCAACCTTGCACGGCGGTTCCGATGAACTCTCGCTCATACTCGCATCTGAAACTCATTGCCGGCTCACATGTCACTCGACTGAGCCAATTCTGCTACTTTGAGTCATCACGCTGGCCACACTGATCCGTGATTATCTGTTTTAGATCTACAATTGCATGTGCCTACACTGAGGCTATGTCATCACAGGAATACGAGCTTTTTCACCACGATCCTGCGCTCTAAGCGGACTTGTTGGTGATGACCTTGGGAGCGGTCTCGCCCTGGGTGAAGCCGTCGATACCGGCGTAAACAGCCGAGGGCTCGAGCGACTCGATGCGGAGGAGCTGGTTGTACTTGGCAGTGCGCTCCGATCGGCATGGAGCACCAGTCTTGATAATACCGACACCGAGACCAACAACGAGGTCCGAGATGGTAACATCCTCGGTCTCACCGGATCGGTGCGAAACCATAACACCCCAGCTGTCGGACTGAGCGAGCTGAGCAGCCTGGATCGACTCGGAGATGGTACCGATCTGGTTGATCTTGAGGAGGAGACCGTTGCAAGCCTTCTTCTCAATGGCGGTCTTGATACGGAGAGGGTTGGTGACGGTAAGGTCATCACCGATGATGGTGATACCGGCGTGGGCACGGAGGTGCGACCAGGCCTCCCAGTCGTCCTGGTCAAAGGGGTCCTCGATCGAGGTGATGGGGTACTTCTTGATGAAGCCGAGGTAGACGTCGGCAAGCTCCTTACCGGTGAGCCACTTGCTGGAGTCAGAGTTGGGGTTCTTGAAGTCAAGGTCGTACTTGCCGTCCTTGTAGAACTCGGATGAGGCAACATCGAGCGAGATGTGAACCTGACCCTCGTAGCCAGCCTTCTTGATGGCCTCGGTCAAGATCTCGAGAGCCTCGTCAGCAGACTGAACGTTAGGTGCGAATCCTCCCTCATCACCGACATTGGTAGCGTCAATGCCGTACTTGGTATTGATGACCTTCTTGAGGTTGTGGTAGACCTCGGTACCGATGCGGATGGACTCGGTGAAGCTCTTGGCGCCAGTGGGGACAATCATGAACTCCTGGAAGGCAAGAGCGTTACCAGCGTGCGAACCACCGTTGATAACGTTCATGGCAGGGGCGGGGAGGACGTAAGGAGCCTTGATACCGCTGAGTTCAGCGAGGTACTTGTAGAGGGGAACACCCTGCTCACCGGCACCAGCCTTGGCAACGGCGATCGAGACACCAAGGATGGCGTTGGCCCCGAGCTTGCCCTTGTTGGCAGTGCCATCGAGCTTGATGAGGAAGTCGTCGATCTCCTTCTGCGAGGTGACGGGGATACCGGCCTTGATGAGCTCGGGAGCGATGACGTTGTTGACGTTGTCGATGGCCTTATTGACGCCCTTGCCCATCCACTGGGACTTGTCACCGTCACGGAGCTCGACGGCCTCATGGATACCAGTGGAGGCACCGGAGGGGACAGCGGCGCGGAAGAGACCCTTCTCGGTGGTGAGGTCAACCTCGACGGTGGGGTTGCCTCGGGAGTCGAGGACCATGCGGGCCTGGATCTTCTGGATAGCCATTTTGAAGAAGATGTGTTGTTATGCGGAAGGAGGAAGAGAGAGATTGGGATGATGGTGAATCAAAAGAAGAAGGCAGACCGGCTTGCAGGGTCGGCATATAGCTTTTGCCTGAACAGGCGTCGACACAGCTCCCAGCCTGCGGGACCAAGAAGATTCATCTTCTTTGCCTTCTGTGGATCGATGGCCGAGGTGTTGGCTTTTGCGCTGCTTCCTTGGCCTTCGCAGGATGTTGCGCTCTCTCTCTCTGCGTTGCAGAAGCCAAAAAATATTGCGCACGCTCTCAGCAACACACAACGACGGAAAGGTGCGTGCGTGCGTGCGTGCGTGCGCTTTGTGTGGGCATGGGCCAAGCGAGTCAGAAGTTCCGTTCGCTGCCTCCACGCAGAAAGACAGACGATGTGTAGCCATACGCAGGAACTATTTGCGTCAAGCTACGTTCTCTGCGCTTCGATAAAGATCTGCATTTTTGGTACCCTTTTTTTCGACCCTATCTTCTTGCCTCAAGTCCAACACTCCCTCTTGCAGTCAGAGACGCGTTGCCTTCGTTGTCTCGCTGCTGATTCGGTGATTAGGCCTCTGATCGATAAAGTGACTCTATGCAGCAGCGGTGACGAGAGTCTTGACCATGCATCGGCAGACGGGATGACAAGTGGCAGCGAGTCACGAACAATGACTGGATCGGTCGCAACGGACGAGCAATGCCGCAGACGGGAGAAAAGTCAGTGGGCAGCGACGTGCAAGAGCTCAGACATGCGATCGACTTCAGATCGGGGGCAGAAAGCCACCGATGGCAGTGGGCGGGATCGGGTAACATCAAACCATCTCAACTTTTCGCTACACCCTGCGCATCGTGTGCACAACGACGTCCAGCAGGGAAGCACAATACCGACGAAGCCTCAAGCTAAGCGGCATAGCGGCTGTGCTGCTCGATGACGGGGTATGCAGGGCATCGACAGTTGCAGCGTCTGCCTGTACGAGCGTCAGAAGAGTCAGGTAGCTTTGCGGGGTTGCTTTCCCAAAGTGACAGCTTAAGGGTCAGGTCGGATGACCAGAGTTGAGAGTGCCAGGTACCAGGCGGGGAGGGCGGCGGGCAAGGTGCGCGGAAGCAGCTCTATTCCGGTTTCGCCCGTACAAACAATACCACTCGGGACGAGTAGGAGACGCAGGAGGAGCAGGCCTCGCCAGAGGAAAAGAACCATAACGAGCCCAACGCTAACATCTTTCTGCACGAGCCCGACCATGCGAAAGCCGATGGGTCCGAGCTCGTACCGCAATCTAGGCTCTTGAAAGTATGGCTCCACCTTTAGAAAGGCTTTCACGGATCGGCGCGGTGCATCACACGGTGTCGTACTCTGACTACCCACAACAACTCACATGCAAAGTCACTTCTGTGTTCCAGGTCTTGACTTCTGCCTTGATTGCCTTCCTTTCCCTGAACACAAACACTCAGCATCTTGAGCACAGCACTCATAGTCGTGGACATGCTGTATCTAACTTCAGACGCGGATCTCTCCGTTCGTCATTGACACGCCGGCACGTCCGCTTATTCCGCATTAACGACCTGATTGAACATGTAGCATACGGCTACGGACCAGGCGGTTGGGATTGCTGCGTCCCTCAGCCGAACGTACTCGTCTCGGCCTCCGTTTCTGGGTGCTGTAGCTTGAGTACTGCCACAACGAGGAGTGACATCCTGATCTTGGATGTTGCCTGGAGACAACTCAGATTCATATATGTTACACACCATGTTTATTTTTTTTAACCAATCCCAGTTAGTACAATGGTTAGTATAGGGCACTCTCACTTGACGAAAAGTTATACCAAGCTGTCCGATTGTTCTGCTCAGATCAGGGTTCGATTCCCTGGCCGGGAATTCTTTTTCCTCTTAGATTGACCTGTTTTCAACGTCGAATCCGTCAATACAACTACCATTTTTTTCGGGTACATCTATGATTATGAGCACATCGTATCACCTTAGAAAGCTTGCACGCAGTGCTGCCGATCGTCTACTAAGAATAAGCATAGTGGAAGATTCCTCAATGTGCGTATGTATTATTTCTAGAGTACAGGTCGGTCACAAAGAAATGATTGTGGCTAGCACTCAATGCTGGATCGAACTCTCAACTGAGAATTGCACCTGTTGCAAGGTGCGAAGAGCCGTTCGAGCATCGTCAATCGTCACGGGCAACAGGGTCTAAATCATCCTGTCGCACAGCTGCATTTGCTTCCAACCAACTCTGTCCTTGTTGCGAGCGTGGATCCGGGTGCAAATCGAGTGGTTCGCCGCCGGCAGAGGCCTCATTTGGCACTTGGCGAGGAGGCATAGCTGAGCCACCTACCCCGCTGCCTCCATGTGTTGAGGCCAGATTAGCGTATCCGAAGCTTCCTCCCAGAAGCCACTGCTCGTCCCATGTCTCCCATGGCGTAGCTCGCTTGGTCGAGTCACGTCGAAGCAGTCGAGCTACTATCGCTTTGGCCACCGGGGTGACGAGACGCATGTTGGCAGGACACGTCGAAGGATCAGGCTGGTCAGCACTGCTGTCATTGGCAGGCGATGGCCATCGTAAGTCGCCTTTTGCGATTCGAAGCAGGTGTCGCTTGCGTTGCTTTGGATCGCGCTCTTCGCCGTGACCCTCTCGTGCGCCGTTGACACCAACATTGACTTCCTCCATGAATGGCAGTGATCCGGTGATGAGTGCATACAGCACGACACCAAGAGCCCAAGCATCCGTCTTGCGACCGTCGTACTTCTTCCCGATGATGAGCTCTGGCGCAGCGTACTCCTCCGAGCCACAGCGTGTCTCGAGCAGTGGATTGGACGGGTCGATGAATCTTGAGAGACCAAAGTCAGTCAGCTTGATCAAAGGGCCATGAGCAGGCAGATGGTGAGGGCGTAATGGCTCTGAAGACGTTCCGGAGCTTGCTGAAGTGGCTGCGGCAGCAGTTGCTGCAAACAGATCGACCGTCATCAGAATGTTCTCTAACTTGATGTCACGATGCACGAGGTTGATGTGATGCATCCAGCCGATCGCATTGGCAAGTTCGGTGTAGATGACACGAACGAGCCATTCGCGCTGTGCAAGCTGATCAAAGTTGGACATGAGCGCATCGAACAGCTCGCCTCCTGCAACTCGCTCGAGCACGAGCGTATGATGGAGGGGTGTGCTGAATGAAGTGATGAACCGGACCAGGTTCGGGTGCGAGATGTGCTTGAGCACTTCAACTTCACGGACCCAACTGACTTTGAGACGCTCGTTGTTGTTGCAAGGCTCACGGTCGAGCATCTTGAGCGCCACCACATTGTCGTTGCCCTCCACTTGACCTTGGTGGCTCTTCTGCAGAGCTCGTTGCCGCAACGCGGGAAGCGACGAGATCATTCGATCAGATCGCAACGCAGAAGTACCCGATGAGCTGCGTATTAAGCGTCCCAAAGCGACACGGCTGAATGCACCCATACCCAGCGTCTTCTCGATGCGATACGGACCAATCTGGTCTCCGTCTTCCTCCTCTTCTCGTGACTCTACGATCGCAGGTTGATTTGGTCTCTCACGGCTCAAAGGGACAGGCGAGATGCTGCTACCCGTTGCCGATTCAGACGGTCCTTGCCGACGCCTTGAGTGTCCCTGATTCCTTGTTGTTTCATCTGAGCTTTGGTCCTGCGATGCCACTGTGCCGTTCGGGCCGGCTATCGACGATGAAGAGGGAGGATGAAGCTCGGATCGTGTGGGTGGGGGACTTGCTCTTTGCGCTGCACTTGGCATGAGGGCGCTGATAGAGTCGGTGGAGGCATCGCCAGCCTCTCTCCATGGTCTCTGCCACTCAATACGAGAAGGCACAGCAGATGCCGGGGACGACTGTGCGCTGCGGTGTTCGTCATCTAGCAAGAGCTGGCTTCGACTGCGTGCACGATGAGGACTGTCGGGTGCCCATGGTATGTTTGGTGGTAAGCCTTCGAGAGTGGCGCTGGGTGCATCCGAGATGGCTGACAGGGAAAGCTGCGAGGTTGAATTGAGATTGAAGAGTTCTCCCGTATGTGGGTCAAGGGCCGAGAGTGGCGAGTACATGGTCACTTCGGCAGATAACGCTGACTCTCCGCTGCTTATGCGTGTGTGCCGCGGATAGCCGAAGTGCTGCGGTTGCGAATAGATGGCCGAGGTGGCTCTGGCGTTGGTTGTACCGGCACCTCCAATGCTTCCGCTGTCTGTGGGTAGAGTGGGCAACCTGGAAGGCAAACGGATGCGACTGGAAAGGTCTGCAGAGGTCACCCTTGCTGCGAGGCCGTGAGCGAGGTTGTTGGCACTGGATGCGCTTCTTGGTGCAGTTGAACTGAGCGGCGTAGATGGCTCCGCAGGTTCGCTGCCGCCAACATGATCCGTTCGTCTCGTGAGGTTGGCGGTCTTGATGCTGGGCGCACGTGTGACAGATGGAGCAGAAGGATTCGAGTTGAAGAAAGACCAGTTTCGACTTGCAACCTCGTTCTGTGTCCCGCCTCTTGGGGAGGACATGGTCTTTGCATCGCCCCCCATGCTCGGTAGCGATTCATTTGAGAAGTTCCTGGCAGGGGTGGTAGGAGCGGATGGAGTAGAAGGGCTGTTGTTGGTGGCGAGTCTGGAAGAAGAGGCAACGGGAACATCAAACATGTCTCTGGCTTGTTCGTCTTGGACGGCAGGACTAGGTAGTGGTGAGACAGGCTTGCCTTCGAACTCGTCCCAGTTCCTTCGACTACGTATCGAGGCTGATGAGAGCTCGCCTCTAGGTGCCACGAGCGTAGAGCCAGGTGGACTCATCCCATAGCGTGATCCGTTCTGACTGCCGTATTCTGCTGCCGCGGTAGATCCTGCCATCGAGATGGCACCGAAGCTGTCGAGCGACGTGACCGAAAAGCTGCTGTTTGTGACATCGGTGGGTTCGATGATAGCGGCATGCGAGCGATGTAGTGGTGAGGTCCAGTTTGAGGTCTGCGCGGCTGTGTTGTGCTGATAGTATTCGGGTCGAGCCGTGTTTGCAGCCATGGAAGATGAGAATGTGGCAGAGGACGTTGCGAGTGGAGTTCCATTCGTGGTTGTTATTGTCGGCACATCGGCTGAAGGCATCTCTACGGGTAGCGCTGCGCTCTGCTGTGTCGGGATGGCAGCCGCTTGTTGGTGTGACGTTGCGTTGAGGGCTGCATCCGAGACCGAGCTGCGGCTATCGGCGTTGGGTCGGGAGGCGCTCAGCCTCTTGGAGTCGGAATGCCGTGAGCGTGAGAACATCGTGAACGCCGTCAGGAGAACTCGCAAGGGATAGGAGAGACAGGTGACGTGTGGCGGCGACTATTGAAGCATGTCGGATATGTCGTGTCACAAGAAGCCGATAGCGTCAATCCGACGTGAGGTGATGATATAATGTTTCCAGCCGGTCGAAGTTGTCGCAGGAATGGATGTTGGAGGATGAACAAGGTGAAACGGTGTCGGAGCAGTTGTGAAAGGCAATCAGGTGGAAGTCGCAGTTCCTTCCGAACGTCGCAATCGTCTCAATGGCCGCTGTTCGTCGAATGTATAACAAAGTAGCAGCAGCTACGGCAATTGCGTGAAGATGGTGAGGAGCACCGACGTACGGAGGTCTTGCAGCTACGGTCAGCCTGAGCCTTGGATCCTTGCTAGCCCACCGGCAACCGGTTGTTGATGAGATGGCAGAAAGGTAGAGAATGCGAAAAGCAGAGAGGAAAACAAGCTGCGTGGAGGCGGAGATCTCTACGACCCACCTTGAAGGACAAGCGTCAAGGCGAGGCACCAACAGAATGAACCGTAGAGCTTGAACACCGGCAGCCAGAGTGAATGAATGGAGCTGCAGCTGCAGGCTCGACAGAGCTCAACGCCAAACAGAACGCACACAGGCGGGACCGCGAGAAGCGAACAATACAGAAGAGCGACACGACCCCTGTTGTGAGGCTAAGAGACAGCAGCAAGCTGTCATCAGTCGGACATACCAGGTGAGCAGTATCGAATAAGAAAAAGAAAATAAAAGAAATCAGATGAGATCGATCTCACACTTTGCCTAACTTGGCTCACTCGGATACGCATTATATTTACCTGGATTGACTGTCGCGATGGGCATCGGCATACCAGCTATCAGACATCTGACATAGTTGCCCGTTATGTTTCAGTCTTGTCTTCCTTGTATCATACACGCATACATAGAACGCTGGAGGAGATATATATACACTCGAACCATCTTGTACTTACTTGATGCTTACCATCGCAATCGATACTCGTGATCAACGCTATCAATCGCACGCCCTTCAACAGTGACGCTTGGTTGAGGCACAGGCGTCTACAATGAAGCGTGACCGTGACCGAGGAACCTGAACATGAGAGACTCTCGCTTCGCAGCCCTATAACCCTGTGTTCAATTCTTTGTCTGCAACGAGCAAATATGGTATCTCGCAACCTATGGTCGACTGATATCCTCTCTGGTACCTCCACCCTTCTTTCTTCCCCGCGGGCCTCAAGATGACCTTCTTTTGGCTTTTCCAAGACCTGGCTTTCTCGAGGCCCAGCCCAATGACGCCGAAGCAGCCCAGCACGTTGGTCAAATTGATCGAAGCCGCCTTTGACATCGGGTGCTCTTTACGCGTGCTGTCTGGGATCCCTCTGGTCAACAGAACCGTCTAACGACATTTTCGCAGAGATACAGATCAGACACGCCAAATGTGTCTGCCCCGCGCTTAACCCCCAAGAGGGGGGGGGAGGACAAGTCCAGAGGGACACGATACATAGCGACGCTAGCCACGTGTTGCTTTCTCTCACACAAGTTGGGGCAGAACGTCGCGCGCAAGCAGATCTATGCATCGATTCAAGCTGAGCTGCTATTCAATGCCCCTTCCGCTGCAAACTGCTGATTCACCAGGCGTCTCCTTTTTCTGGTTCCTTTCTGATTCCAATCCGTCTCATTACCATTGATAGAAAGAAGCAAGCAGCAGCACCAGCAGCAGGAACAGCATGCGGGAGAGCCGATAGCTGTCTGTGATCTTGAAGGGGAACAGAAGTATGGCTTGAGAAGGGGCTTCGGCTTCTTGTTCGGATCTCCCAAAGGAACACATTGTCAAGCAGCGATTTGGTTCCTTTCATTCCGCCTCGATACACTCTGATGTTGAAGGAGCTCGGCCATTCCGACAATCACAGTCATAGTTTGTGCACAAAGCTTCGCAGACAGAGTGACAAGGCAAAGTGATCAAGATTTAGCGAATGTGGGCGCGTCGCTGTAACACTTTGGACCACGTTCGTCTTTCATCGCGAGCATCGACCTTCGCAGACGATGAGTCCAATTGAAGCAGAAAGGTCTTCGATACTGCCCCATCCTATCACCGCGAGAGTCTGCAGTCACACACACACACACCGACACAGCCTGCAGCCATCATGAAGCGAATTCGTACAGCTTTCGCGTGAAGGATGAAGCTCCTTTCGTTTTTAATATTGTTATTTTTTAAAATTGTTTCTGCGTATTCAACGCGTAAAGAGTTACCGGCAGACGACAACCGATCTCGATCCTTGCTCGAGTATCGGGGAGTCCACCTTGCGCAGCCTGACAGCTAGGCTCGCCTTGGTCTGTTGAGCTGTAGCCATTGATATCGGTGCTTTCAGAGTCGATCAAGCTTGACCAAGTGCACTGAAGAAAGCTTCGTATCCAAAGGCTTCCTTATTTCCTGACCTGACTAAATTACTGTAACGATACAGTCGCATTCGTTTGCAAACCTTCGCGACGAGTGTCGACGCAGCAGAAGGAGCTCGACAAATGTTGAGCTTGGTTCCTGCACCTGATGCTGAGCAGGCAGAGAATCTATCATGCCGAGCGGAAAGGCTTTCGGAGCTGCCGACTTGATGTGAAAGAAGGGGACTAGCTTCGAACATCATTCGCCTCGCCGACACGCACTGCCCGTCGGAAAGCCCGACGCTGATTGCTTAGTGAAGCATCGAGGTACCGAAGATAGAAGAAGCGCAGTCGATCCGATGCTGCTCAACGACACGGACGCTTCTTCGGAAAAGCCGACAATCCTCCTCTGACTCGAAGAAGGCCAGCTGAGCTGAGCTTCCACGGATGCGGTACACGTTGGAGAGTTTGACCCTAATTTACAGGATGAAGCTGAGTGGCGAATTCGTCGTTCCTTCTGACCACCAACATCAGCATCTGTGGGCTGTTCAAATCGTCGACGAGCACCTTCGAGTATCATTACAGATCCTTTCGGGCGGTGTCAGAACACAATATGGCGAATCAGTACAGTTTCGAAAACCTAGAGCAGCAATACGAGCTCAACGATTACAGATATGGAGATGCTGTCGTCGCCGACCTTCGGGGCTATACGGGTTCCATTCAGTACGGCGACCCACATGCTCAGGGCATCCAGGCCAACGCGCTGGCGGTGCCCTTCTGGCAGACGTCTCCTCCACCTACTGATCAAGAACAAGACATCTCACCCGAAGATGCTGCGTTCATCAGACATAACTTCGACTTCGAAAGGGCACAAGCTGCTGGTCTGTTAGCAGGCTCGCCTCCAGTGCCACCTGTACCAGCACTTCCAATCTATCCTCCCGCTTCACACCTGGGTCAAGGGATACCGAACATTGAACAATGGAGCCGCAACATCGAAGCGGGACCGACACACCCATTCCAAGCTCGGAGGCCTCAACCCTTACGCCGGGAATCGCAAGAGTTCTACGCTGAGCCTGAGGCCGGAAACAGGATTCGTCTGGTACCGAACTCTTCTTTGCGTGAGTAGAATTGAAATCCCCGGTCTGCTGTTGGGACTTTTCCGCTGACGTTGCTTCGATCTCGCTGATGTTTGTGCGAGATACTAGCGGCAATCTATCGGCCTCTGTTCAAATTTCCTTTCTTCAATGCGGTGCAGTCAACCTGCTTTCCAAAGGTATGTAGGCTGCAGCTCCATGAGCCTGAGTCAGCTCGTCGAAACTGACGGCCAGAATGCCCTTATACTCGATCGCGTGATCTTTCAGGTGTTCGAAACAAGCGAAAACGTTGTTCTGTCTGCCCCGACTGGATCAGGAAAGACCGTCGTCTTCGAACTGGCACTGATCCGTATGCTCACCAGAGAGGCCGAAAGCGCCCGAGCCGTCTACCTGGCTCCGACTAAGGCCTTGTGCGCCGAGAGGACACGCGACTGGTCTGCACGCTTCGGTCCCGTCGGCTGCAGCGTCACTGAGCTCACTGGAGATTCCGTGCATGGTCTTCACGTAGCTCGCAAGAGCCGACTTATCGTCACAACGCCCGAAAAGTGGGATAGCCTGACTCGTAAATGGGACGAGCAGTCGGGCATCCTTTCCACTATCCGACTCGTCTTGATCGACGAGGTGCACATCCTGAACGAAGCTCAACGTGGTGCTCGTCTCGAGGTCGTCGTGACCAGAATCAAGAATAGGGGCCACCACGTACGATTCGTGGCTGTTTCGGCAACAGTTCCCAACCTCGCAGATGTGGCAGCTTGGATCGGATCGAACAAGCACATGCGGCCAGCAGCCGCGGCGGTGCCGCTGAAAGACAGCCCGCCAGCGGAGATGTTTCAATTCGGCGAAGCGTATCGACCTTGTCAGCTCGAGAAGCACGTATACAGCTATCCGAAGGCCAAGGATGAATTTGCTTTCCAGGCATACCTCAACCATAAGCTGCTCGAGCTCATTGAGACACACGCCGCAGGTCGACCGTGTTTGATCTTTTGCGCCACCCGACGTTCCACTGTGCAAGCAGCAAACACCATTGTCGAGGCATGCAAGAAAGCCAGAGAAAATGGAGGGCGCGCTCCATCCTTGGCCGGCGGAGGCCACCGAAGCCTCGAGGCAACGACGTTTGACGACGAAGACTTGCAGAAGCTCGCTTCATCTGGTGTAGCCTTTCACCATGCCGGCTTGTCTGCCGGCGATCGACGAACCGTCGAGCGAGCTTTTCTCAGTGACAAAATAGCGGTCTTGTGCTGCACAACGACCCTTGCAACGGGTATCAATCTGCCTGCCTACTGCGTCATCATTCGAGGTACTAAGCAGTACGATGGACATTGGTGCGAGATGTCTGAGCTCGATCTCATTCAAATGATGGGCCGTGCCGGAAGACCTCAATTCGACCGCAGCGGCGTAGCTGTGATCATGTGCGAAGACACCGTCCAGGCTCACTACCGCGAGCTTGTGAGCGGCAGCCGGGACATCGAATCCAGCCTGGCACCCGATTTGGTCGAGCATGTCAACGCCGAGGTCGGCCTGCGTGGCAGAACGACGGAGGCGCAGATCAAGGATTGGATCCGACAAAGCTTCATGTGGACTCGACTGCAGAAGAATCCGACCTACTACCTCAGCAAAGATGAAGGCATCGGTCTCGACAGCGTCGAAGAGATCCTGCAACATCTCTGCACCAAGACGCTCGTTGCTCTTCAAGTGGCGTCGCTGATCTCATGCCCCGAAGACTCTGCGGAGATCATCTCCACTGAGTACGGCGATATCATGTCGCGCTTCTTCCTACGCTACAAAACCATGCTGGCAATCATGTCGATGCCAGACAGCTCCAACACAAAGGCCGTACTCGAAGCCGTGGCGGAAGCGGAAGAGTTTGGTGAACAAAGGATGAGACAGGGAGAAAAGGGCATCCTCGCTTCCCTACGAACGCACATAGAGATCCGCTTCCCTCCGCGTCAAGTGGCCAGGGTAGCAGACAAGGTCTCGCTACTGATACAGGCCCATCTTGCTGCGATCAACTTGTCCCAGCTGACAAAGTCGGCCGGAGGCGATGTCAATCCCACCGGTGACATCAGGCGAATCATTCCCCACGCCACTCGAATCGTGAAAGCTGCGGTTGATGTAGCTATCTACCGTCGAGACGGCACAGCATGCAAAGCGTCACTCGATCTGGCAAGATCTATCGCTGCAGGTGCGTGGGACGGCTCGCCGGCGATGCTCCGACAAATCGATCAGATCGGCGAACGTTCGGTGAAGGCACTGGCCAACGCAGGCATTACGACTTGGCAAAGCTTAGCCAGCACGACTCCGGCAAGGGTGGAGATGATCCTTGGTCGCAACCCACCGTTCGGCAGCAAGGTGATCAATGCTGCTCGCTCTGTGCCGCGCATCGGTCTCGAGGTCATGCAACGCTCATCGGCACCTTTGACCTCGACAAGATCTCTCGTCGTTCCTGGAGGGGATGGACAAAGCTCTAGCGACTGTGTTCAACCATCGCCTGTCGGTATGAAGATTGTTCTTGATGTCACGGTGCGAGTGGAGAATCGAGCGACATGCATGCTCAAAAGCAAGGTCTCGAAGATGGCTCTGAGTGTATGCATTCTCACACTCACATCCGATAGCGGCTATGTCGACTTCCGTCGTATGCCCATCTGGAGATTCGACAGGGAGAAGCATTTCACCCTGCATGTGCAGCTCGAGGATCCGCTCATGCGCATCTTGACGTTTGCAGCATGCGATGAGATTGCTGGCACCATGATGCAGGCCAGTCTGATCCCTGTCGACATGGCCAGCGGTTCCCACAGGACCCGTATTGCACGCGTTGAACACCGCGAAGGTGGCATGGGTGACTTTGACGCTGCTCCTAGCATGCATGGGGACGACCCTTCAACAAAGCAACATCTTCATGGCAATGCGGACACTTTGCTGATGCGAGAAACGAACAACGACAGTGCTAGTCCGAAGAGGTGAGTACATGACACAAATGCTACTGGGCGCAACAAGGGGATAGAAATTGACATGCTGCCTTAATTCTTTTCATCGAAATGCTCCAACGTCGACGCCGGAACTTGGAACCTTTCTCTCCGGGTGCTATCATCACACTTTTCAGGTGCAAGCATAAGTGCAAAAGCGATTGCAGACATGTCTGCTGTCAACGCGCGAGGGAGCAGGAAGCATCTGACAAGCCGAGAGAGTACCGCTTCCAGAGCCGGGTTCTGGGCAACGATATGCAGAGCTTGGGGGCTTACAGGAATGAATCATTCGCGATGCCGACAAGCGCATCGTCGTTGATCTCGCAGAAGCGAAAAGCGAGCGAGACCATCATCGAGGACTATGACGGGCCGCAGGATCTTCTGAGTCAATTAGATCGACTAACCGCAGCGGAAGAAAGAACGGCCGGTACGATAATGCCGCTTCAGGTGCCAGAACACAGTGGGGGTGGCTTCATGGGAGGCGAACGTGCGAGCAAAGATGCGAGCGCTACAGAATCGCGCGGACGCATTCGAGCGCTGGATGATGAGCTTGGCCGCGACGCTTCTTACAGCCAACATTTGACACAAGAAGCGACTCGCACATCCTTGCTCGGCGGCCATCAATGGCCACAAGCCTCGGGTACAAGATCTGCGCTTGCCGACAAGCCTCACGAGCGTCCTCAACCATGTCCGACAGTGACGAATGAGAGACCTCCTCAGAGACGCTTCCTGAAATCTCTAGACCCTCCTTCCTGGCGTACCGACTCTGATGTACCTAATTGAAGCGGGCGGCAGGAAGCTCCAACTCCCTAACAACCTGATGACTTTTGGCTCGAGTGTCTTCGCGGCCATAGTAATGCTACTGAATCTTGTGACTCTTGGCCTCCTTTCAACAAAGGGTTGTTTAAGCGTGTGAAGAGTCTGTGGTATAAGACAGCTTCCAACCCACAGGAAGAAATTAAAGGAAGAAAATAAAAAATAAAAAATAAAAAAATAAAAAAATAAAAAATAAAAAAAATAAAAAAATGAGGTTGGTGACCGCGTCGCGCGTCGCGCAAAGAGCAACACGCACAAATCGAAGAGAGGACCGTGGCTTCGTGGAGGTGAGACAGAAGAAGGGAACGCGAGCTGAGCCAAAAATTGCGAAGCTCAGACCAAGCCAAGCCAACCGACGAAGCCTGACCTTCTCTATCATAAGGGGCCTTCGGAACATACGACGTGCCTTTTGTTCTTCGACCATCTTCTATCTATCCATTCACAAGATTCTCCCAGCATAGTTCTAGCATCTCTTCCTTGTCTCAGTATCCGTCAGCACTCAGCATCACATTATCAGCAAAACACATACCCACGGGCGAATCGGTTCGGCTCAACAAAAGGGGATCCACTGGACCGAGCTCACCATCACGCAAACAACGGCTCGGCTTCTCTCCGATTTCCCACGCCCAAGATGCCTCCAAGCAAGGCGGGAGCCAAGCAGTCTTCGCTGCTGGGATTCTTCTCCAAGGTTCCAGCTTCACAAGCCACTCCAAAAGCCACACCGACCCAACAGCAGAAAGCTGTCCCTCAGCCATCACCAGCAACACAGGAGCAGAGCGCATCTGGCTCGAACAGCAAGACTAAAGACGTTTCGCCTTCGCTCAAGTCAAGCAAAGCCCAGCCGCTCGATACGCCTCCACCTAGCAAAGACAGGTCTAACTCTCGCGCCTCAAAACCGACTAGCAACGCTGCTGCCGACAAGGGTGACTACCGACCGCCATCATCTTCCCCCACTTATCATCGCTCCAGCTCCCTTTCCACTAACAGCCCCCAAGCAACTACACAGGCGCCTGCCAAGGAGACCAAGTCATCTGACTCTGAAAATCTGACCCCACCCCCAAGCAGCGACGTTGACAACATGGACCTGGATGATGAAGAGGAGCAGGAACAGCCACTCTTTCGACGTAGGGCTGCAACAAAGCGACCCGTCACATACGCCGAGTCCGACTCGGATGGCGCCGCAGCAGTCGACAGCAACAGTGAAGATGAAGCTCCGAGCTTTTCAAAAGGTCGCAAACGCAATGCTGCCAAACGAGCACGCAAGACACGCGATCAAGACGACTTCATCGTTCCTGATGATCACCACGAGGACGACGAAGAGCTTCCTGTGGACGCCGCCAATGTTTCCGACGAAGATGATGAGCCTGCGCCCGATCAAGACAGCGATGCTCAAGACTTCGGCAAGTCATCCAAATGCAGCAAGACCACGACCAAGAAGAGCAAGGTCAGCGAATCTTCATCTCCGGTCGCCTCTTCATCACGGCCAGCAGGCTCGAACTTAGCCTTGTCCTCCTTCAAGATGGGCACTGCCCCCCCGCGATCATTGTCGTCTCGCTCACTGATTGGTGCAAGCAGTGACGTGGCTCGCAATGGACCCTCGTTAGCATCCCTGTCCCACCTCACTAAAGCTGAGCGACGAGTTATCGAAGAGAAGCGCAAGAAAGCCGCCAACGAGGAGGCTTACAGCTTCCTGGTCGATCTGCGCGACAAGGACGGCAACCGTCCAGGCGATGGCGAATACGACTCTCGCACCGTTTACATTCCCAAGTCGGCTTGGAAGGACTTTACGCCCTTCGAGGAGCAGTTCTGGCGCATCAAACAGAACCATTGGGATACTGTGCTGTTCTTCCAGAAGGGCAAGTTCTACGAGCTCTACGAAGAAGATGCGCTCATCGGCCACCGCGAGTTCGATCTCAAGCTCACCGACAGAGTCAAGATGAAGATGGTCGGCGTTCCCGAAGCTTCCTTCGACATCTTTGCAGCCAAGTTCCTCGCCCTTGGCTACAAAGTCGGACGTGTCGATCAGACCGAAACCGCTGTGGCCAAAGGCATGCGTGTAGGAGAGCGCTCGCGCGGCGGTGGCTCCGAGATTGTCAACCGCGAGTTGAGACACGTGCTCACAAGCGGTACCATTGTCGATGCAGCCTCGCTACCCGACGACCTCAACAGCTACTGTGTCTCGATCAAAGAGTCAAGCGAGGCTGGACGCAACGGCCCCATCTTTGGCGTGTGCACGCTCGACGCTGCCACCGCCGAGTTCAACTTGACCGAATTTGAAGACGACGAGTCGCGAACTCGGCTCGAGACTTTGCTCCGCTCTCTACGACTCAAGGAAGTGCTTCATGAAAAGGCAGGTCTCTCTGCACCTACCCTGCGAGTCCTCCAAAGCACGGTGCCTACAACAGCTCAGATCACCATGCTCAAGCCTGGTGTCGAATTCTTTGAGCCGGACACTACCTTGCGCAAGCTCAACGCCCTGTTCAACCCCGAGGTAGACGCCGATGCCCGAGTCGAGTCGCTCGATCCTGTCGACCCATCGCTGCTTCCGGAAGGCATCGCTTCCATGGTCGACAAGCCATGTGGAATGTCAGCCTTGGGTGGCATGCTCTGTTACTTGGCTCAGCTCAACCTCGATCGCGACTTGTGCTCGAGCCGCAACTTCAACATCTTTGATCCACTGCGTCAAGACAAGTGTCTCGTGCTCAATGCCCAGTCACTCACGCATCTCAATGTCCTGCAGAACGACGAAGGGACCGACGAAGGCACTCTGCACCGCCTACTCAACCGCTGCGTGACACCCTTCGGAAAACGTCTTTTCAAGATTTGGCTCGTGGCCCCCCTCGCTGCAGCCGATGCGATTCGTGCTCGTCAAGACGCTGTCGAGGATCTGCTCAAGAATCAAGGCTTCGGCGACGAATTCGAGACTTTTGGCAAAGCATTACCCGACATCGAACGCATCGTGCCTCGCGTCCGTGCTGGCAAGTGCAGACCACGAGACTTCACTGCTGTGCTGAAAGCGATTGCTTGCTTCGAAAAGGCTGTCCGTCAGCTCAGAGCTCAATGCAAGGACTTCGAGACTCAGGTCATCGACGACCTTCTGCAATCTATTCCATCTGTCTCTTCGATGGCCCGGGACTTGCAGTCCAGCTTCAAAGTCGCCGAGGATGGCTCTTTCACTCCCATCGAAGGCGCTTTCGAGCCGTATGACCGTGCGGAAGTCGCCATAGCCGAGGTCGAAGCACAGCTCGAGAGCGAGATCGAGTCGTACCGCCAGCAGCTCAAGCTCACCGCCGCCAAGTGCGCCTGGAAGCATCTCGGCACAAAGGACATTTTTCAGATTGAGGTACCCATTTCCACAAAGGTGCCTAGCAACTGGACCAAGCTGAGCGGCACCAAGGACCGCAACCGCTGGTACTCGCCCAAGGTGCGGGACCTGGTGCAGGACATCAAGGAGGCTCGTGAGACGCGACTTGCTGCGCTCAAGCAATTCCACCAGAGCCTCTTTGCCAGCTTCTCAGAGAAGAGCGATGTCTTCCTGCAGGCCGTCAAGACAGTCGCCGAGATCGACTGCCTGCTTTCGCTCGCCAAAGCCTCATATGCTATTGGCGAACCTTCATGCAGACCTGAGCTGGTCGACAACGAGACCGCTCTGCTCGAGTTTGAAGAGCTTCGACACCCCTGCATCGCTGGTGACAACGTTGAATTTATTCCCAACGACATCCGACTGGGTGGCAAGAATGATGAGGTGATCATATTGACTGGTGGTAACATGGCTGGTAAGAGCACGACAGCTCGAACTAGCGCCACTGCTGTGATCCTTGCCCAGCTTGGTTGCCGTGTGCCTGCCGCGAGTGCCCGTATCTCGCCTGTCGACCGAATCGCGTCGCGCATGGGAGCCAATGACCAGATCTTCCGCAACAACAGTACCTTCATGGTCGAGATGCTCGAGGCTTCCCGTATCATCAACGAATGCACACCGCGCTCGCTGGTCATCATGGACGAGTTGGGCAGAGGCACCAGCACTTTCGATGGACAAGCTATTGCATTTGCAGTGCTGCATCATCTGGTCAGCCGAACGCGATGCTTGACCTTCTTCCTCACACACTACACCAACCTGGCCTACGATTTCGACTCGTACTCGCGAGTCAGCAACAAGCACATGCAGGTGCTTGTGGACGACGCCAAGCGCGAGGTCATCTTCACGTGAGTAGCACCCTCAAAGAAAGACGTTATCATCCAAAGACTTTTTAACTGACCAACCTTTATTCTTCCATTCATCACTGCATTTGATGATCACAGATACCGCCTTGTGGATGGCATTGCAGAGTCGTCATATGGCACACAGGTGGCAGCGCTTGCTGGCGTGCCGCACGAGATTTGCGATCGCGCCGCCGTTGTCTCCAAGCAGTTCGCCGAAGCGACGAAAGTCAGCCAGGCCGAAAAGAACAGGAGCGCCATCCCCCTTGCTTTGCTCAGTGACTTTGTCCACCTCTTCAAGCTTGCTGGAGAAAAGTTGCCTGCGTCAAGCGACCGCAATACGGAGGCCAAGGCACTAACCACGCTTTCGCAGCTCGACATCATTCGTTCACAGGTAGCAGCTTCAGCCAAGGGAAGTTCACGCGCCAAGTCACTCGTTAGCCCTCCCCCCTCAACTCCAACTTGTACGTAGTAGTGCTGTCGTTTTGCGTGTCAATTCCAAAGTACTTCAGTGCAACAACATTCTGACCACTCTTGCGTGTCCCCTCCCACATTCACTTGATATCATGAACAGCCATGCAGATTTACAACGAAGTGACCGAAGAAGCTACGGAGGAAGCGCCTGGACCGCTCCGACCAGCCGCCAAGAAGATGACGACCTACGCTGGTCGCAGTCGCCGTGCTATGACGGAGGACGTTCACCCACAGCCGCTGCCCTTCTCCAGCAGAACGGACGATGACGAGGCGATGCAGAAAGCACGGAGCAGTCCGATCCTCGCTTCTGTCCACACACCGCTCTTCCCTACGGTTCGTCATGCCAAACCAGCGACACGCAAGTCTCAATCCAAATCGACATCAGCATCTGCGACTCTGCGAGAGCCAGAACAACTGATTCTCGATCTCGGACAGCGCATCCGTATCCGATGCAACGATTGCGATATGCAGTACGACACTTCATCGGCTGAAGACTGTACGTTGCATGCACGACACCACGAGAGAACGGTCAAAGGACTTGATTGGAGTGCCAAAGCGCTGAACACGTGCAGTGAGATGGTGGCACAGCTCAACTTCACACGACGCAACCTCGTTCGCGGCAAGTCGGTACTGCGCGGAAAGCAGAACGGCGGCGGAGGAAGCGAGACATCTGATCAGTCGGAGTCGGTTGAAATCCGATGCTATGATATGGCGACGCTCAAGGACAGCGTTGCGACGCTCAAGGTCAACGAGCTCTTGCAGACTGTTGATGATGCCTTGGGCGCGGCATCGGTGGACATTGCGGAGATTCAGGGATGCAAGGTTTTGGTAGCTGTATGCTCAGGCCGGGCAGCAGGAGCTGCTGTGGTCGGACGAGTGCCAGTAGGTCAAGCCAGAGAAGTTCTGGCGTCAAAAAGCAATAAGGAAAATGAAGGCGGTGTTGATACCCTTGACACGGAGGCTACCAAAGTCAAGGTAGGTACGGTGTGGAATGATGCGGAAGACGCCATCTTCGTCTCCGACGCCTTGCCATCGTCCAAGACACCGCCCGTGGGCGTTTTCCGCATCCATGTCATTCCCACTTGGCGACGCACAGGATTGGCAAGCGCAATGCTAGAGGCAGCAGCAGACAACAGTGTCTATGGGTTTGACTTGGCAGGACTGGTCAACATGTACGGCAGCAGAGCAAGGTCGGTTGCATTTAGCCAACCTACAGAAGCAGGAAGGAAGCTGGCGGAAGCTTGGATTCGGAAGGACGGAACGTCAGCGAGCACTTCTTCAGCTCGACTGGTCGTGTTTGAAGCTTGATGGAAACATCATTTCTGGACAGAATCGTCGTGGATACCTGTACGCCTCTTCACTTACATTAGCAATGATACCCACGCGTTCCGTTCAATACCGGAGAGAAAGCCTGTTCAGGTTACAAAGGTTCCCGCTCCGTTCCGGCACGGACTCATAATCCTCTGAACCACATCATACTAATGCTGAAGGGAACGATCCAATATGATGATGCAAGTTGACGTAAGCCGATCTGGTCATATACCCGATCTCTGACCAGAGATCGGGTACAACCTAGTCCCGCTCGTTGTCAGACTTGGTCATTAAGTAGGATACACCCACATTCGGCATGTGCCACACAGATGTATATATATCGAGCTGAGAGCACTAGGCTCTCACCACATTCTTTTAGTCAATTGACTATATGCGTTTCTGTTCTAAAAACAGCAGCGATACTGTGCTCAGACCATCGCCGATCATTTATCATCGGGACCCGTCTTCCTCACGTTTTAACAACTGAACATATCTGATGGTGCTCAAGGTCCCCGAAGTTGTCGTGCGAGTGATAACAATTAATACAAACTCTGGAATACAACATGCGTTGTTGGAATTGAAAATTTTGAAGGGTCTTGCAGGGAAAAATGGAAGAAACGCGGTTGCAGAGCGTAACAGACGCGCAGAGCGGGAAGCACACACAGCGAGCAAGCAGCCAAAGGGAGAGAAGTGATCCGAGCGGTGTTGAGCTGGAAGATTGCTTTGGCTGCCACGCAGCAAGCAAAGCATTCCGAGTCCAACACGTCTGCAGATCCACACATTCGCATCTCATCGTCTCACCGTTCATTGTACGTCACCTCACCTTTCGCTTCGTCTGCTTTCACCTTCCACAGCAGCACAGGCTTGTATTGGACTGCGAAGATAGATTGGCGCCCGAACCCCTCGACATAGGCGCGATTGCGGACCAACTTCACCCCTCCTCTACCAGCCAGGCAACAAAAGACATATCAACACTCAATCCAGGTGCCTGACGTGTAGTCCGCTACACCCGCTGCCCACTTACGATGTCATCCTCTGAGGCTATCGCATACACCGTCGTTGCTCCCGACCCTAGCAGCGACGGTATCGAGCTCTCGACGCAAGATCTGCGCAACAACCTTCAGCGCGGCTCTGATGAGGTCAAGCTCGAGACTCTCCGACGCATCATTGTCTCGACCCTTAATGGCTCACCGCAACCCAATTTGCTTATGCCAGTCATCCAATATGTTCTTCCAAGCCGAAACAAGCAGCTCAAAAAGATGCTTCACTTCTACTGGGAGGTCTGCCCCAAGCTCGATGAGAAGGGCAACCTCAAGCAGGAGATGATTCTTGTTTGGTAGGTAGATAGTTCGCCGAATTACGGCTTATGGCATGCTGGATGTCTCGCGGACATCTTTTATCACGCAGCCTACTGACCTCTCTCCTATACACTTTCACCCTTCTGTATCTTGCTTTGACTATGCAGCAACGCCATCCGAAACGACTTGCAACACCCTAATGAATACATCCGAGGCTCCACATTGCGATTCCTTCAAAAGGTCAAGGAGCCCGAACTTCTCGAACCTCTCATCCCCACCATTCGCCAGTGTCTCGAGCACCGTCACAGCTATGTCCGCAAGAACGCCGTCTTCTGCGTCTACTCGATATTCCAGCAGAACGAGAACCTCATTGTCGACGCACCCGAGCTCATGGAGACCTTCCTTGCTGCTGAAGCCGACACCACCTGCAAGCGCAATGCTTTTGTTCTCCTCTGTCACACTGCACCAGAACGCGCCGTCCAGTACTTCCTCGGCCTCGGAGACCAAGTCGCATCCCAAGACGAGCTCATGCAGCTTGCTATCATTGAGCTGATTCGCAAAGATTGCCGCGGCGACTCGCCCAACCGCCCTCGCTACATCCGCGCAGTCTCTGAGCTCCTTGCTGCTCCAAGCCACTCGGTCAAGTACGATGCCGCTACCACCCTCACCACTCTCACTCAGAACGCAGCTGCAGTCAAAGCGACCGCCAGCGCCCTCATCGAACTCATTGTCAAGGAGAGCGACAACAACGTCAAGCTCATCGTCCTCGACCGTCTCGACGCCCTCCGAACCAAGCATGAGCACGTCATCGACCCTCTCGTAATGGATCTCCTCCGCGTTCTCAGCAGCCCCGACATGGACGTCCGTCGCAAAGCGCTTCGCATCGCACTCGAGATGGTCTCCAGCCGCAACATCGAAGAAGTCGTTTTGCTTCTCAAGAAGGAGCTCATGAAGACCACCGACTCATCGCAATCGCAGGAGAAGAACCTTGAATACCGCCAGCTTCTCATCCAGTCCATTCACACTTGCGCCATCAAGTTCTCCGAAGTCGCCTCCAACGTCGTTCACGTGCTCATGGAATTTCTTGGCGACTCGAACAACCCTTCTGCTGTCGATGTCATTGCTTTCGTCCGCGAGGTAGTCGAGAAGTTCCCCGACCTGCGATCCAGCATTGTCGACAAGCTGCTCCGCACATTCGCGGACATTAAGTCTGGCAAGGTCTTCCGTGGCGCATTGTGGATCGTCGGAGAATACTGCGCTAGCATCGAGGATATCAAGGAGGCTATGCAGCAGATTCGAAAGGTGATCGGCGAGGTGCCTATCTTGGCGGCAGAAGAGCGTCTACTAGAGTCTTCGACGGCCGAAGCAGCGGACGGTACCAGCAAGGAGGAGGCGGATGCTGCTTCGTCTTCGTCAGCGCTTGGCGGTGCTGCCAAGGTGCCTTCGTCGGCTGCCAACCGAGTTCGTGCAGACGGCACCTACGCCACTGAGACAGCATTCAGCTCTGAAGCCAACCAGGCTGCACGCCTTGAAGCCGTCAAGAACGCATCCAAGCCTCCTCTTCGATCGCTGCTCTTGCTTGGTGACTTCTACACAGGTACCGTTCTCGCCTCGACGCTCACCAAGCTCGTCCTGCGCTTCGCGGAACTCTCATCCGATGCAACTGCCAAGAACAGCATGCGTGCCGAGTCGATGCTCTTCATGACCAGCATCGTGCGTGTTGGTGAATCCAAGTTCGCAGCTTCGCCTATTGACGAGGACTCCACCGAGCGTATCATGGCTTGTGTCGAGACTCTTGCTTCGTCGATTCAGGATGTCGAGCCGGAGAGTGCCGAGGCCAAAGAGGTTTTCTTGCATGATACAAAAGCGGCGTACACCAAGATGGTCGAGCACGAGCAGGCAAAGGCTGCAGAGAAGCTCGCCAAGGAGACCAAAGTGGTCAAGGTCCAGCCAGATGACTTGCTTTCATTCCGTCAATTTAGCAAGAAAGCAGCAGATGATGCAGCAGAAGAGTACGAGCGAGAGTTGACGCAGGCGACGGGTGCAGCTGAGGCAGTGAAGGACGACTTTATCAGCAAGCTCGCTCGTGTCGTTCAGCTCACTGGTTTCTCAGATCCAGTCTACGCTGAGGCCTACGTCAACGTGCACCAATTCGACATCTTGCTCGATGTCCTTGTGGTCAATCAGACTGCCGAGACGTTGCAGAACCTTTCCATCGAGTTTGCCACCCTCGGCGATCTCAAGCTCGTCGAGCGACCTTCGAACTACACTCTCGCCCCTTACTCGTACCAATCGATCAAAGCCACAATCAAGGTCTCTTCCACCGAGACTGGTGTCATCTTTGGCAACATCATCTACGAAGGCGCAGCAGGCACAGGCACCCAATCCGCCGGTGACGCCAAGTGCGTTGTTCTCAACGACATCCATATCGACATCATGGACTACATCGCACCCGCATACTGCAACGAAGCTCAGTTCCGTGCGATGTGGACCGAGTTCGAATGGGAAAACAAGGTCAACGTCAACACTTCCATCACCGATCTGCGAGAATACCTCGCGCATATCATGAAGAGCACCAACATGTCTTGTCTCACCCCCGAGGCAAGTTTGGCGGGAGAATGCGGATTTTTGTCTGCAAACATGTATGCCAGGTCGTTGTTCGGAGAAGATGCATTGGCCAACTTGAGTATCGAGTTGTTGCCGGATGGAAAAACAATTCAGGGACATGTCAGGATCAGGAGTAAGACGCAGGGTATTGCTTTGAGTTTGGGTGATAAGATTACTTTGGCGCAGAAGGCTGCTTCGAAGGAGTAGATGATAGCAGTTTTACACATTGTTCAATGATATCAGCACACGTTTACCAGCTTTTTCAGAGATCTGCATAATTGTGAAGAACGTGATTCGGGACTAAAATGTGGATCTTAGTGCAATCGTGATTGTGATTGTGATTGTGGACGTGAACAGCGCTGCAGGACAGTGATTGAATTGAAGCGACGATCAGCGGCTGGGATCAAGAGTACCATCCACCAGGAGGAGGACCTCCTCTTCCACCACCGCCGAGTCCGCCGAACCCGCCTCCAAATCCACCTCTACCTCCCCTTCCACCACCAATGGGATTCTCACCTCGCGGAGGCGCTAATTCATCCCAATCAGGCTCACCACTCGTTGGACCACCTCTCCCACCCTGAGGCCTTGCTCCGCCAACATCCGGGTTATTACCATCTGGACCAAACGGTCCTCCACCTGAAGGATAGATCGGATCAAACCTAGCTCCCGGTGGCACAGCACCAGGAGGCAGCCCTGTAGGACCAGCCTCTGGGTGATTAGGTCGGAATCGATCGCGGAACATGGGATGGTCGGGACCGACGAACATGCCTCCACCCGTGTCTCCGCCTGGGAAGAGGGGCGGGGGAGCACTACTTCCTCCTCCGCCGAAACGTGGGGGCATGGCTAAGAGTGAGCCTCCCAGTGGGTCCAAGTCTCGATCACCGATGGTGAGTGGATTACGGAAGGACGGTTGAGAGGGGTATGTCGGATCGTCTTCGTCTCCTGCGAAGGGCGGACGAGGTTGGTTGGGCCTGTTTGGCTGAGTCGAGGACGAAGAGGATGAAGGGTTGTTGCGACCATCGCCAGTGTTAGAGCTCGACTCTTCGGTGTACCCATCCTTCCTCAACCCTGGCACGAGTGTCTGCAGGATCTGTGTCTTGTACGCAATCACTAGATCCTTCAGCCTCGAACTTCCAATGAATCCATTCACCAACGGCTCATCTCTCTCACCCTCCTTCTTAGCGTGCGGATAGGGGAAGAACGAAGGCGAGAGATAATCGCTCAGTGGGATTTCCATCGTACTCGTCTTACTTCCTTGCATGGCGATGCCATGTATCACAGCCTTGTTGCCGAGTTTGACTATTTTGACGAGGTAGTCGAGGGAGGACTGGTGGTGCTTGTAGCGGAACGAGTAGTGGTCGGGCCCTTTGCTGTTCCATTCTGCGGGGAGCTTGTTGGTTGAGGTTGCGCCTGAGGAGGAAGAAGATGACTCGTCTGAGGAAGGTTGCAGCAGAAGATCATCTTCAGAGAGACCGGTGAGTCGGAAGTCCAGACGGGTCATGATGGTATGGATTATGGCGGAAAGTGCATCGGATGGCAAGCGGAGTTGCGGCTCGGAAGAAGGAAGCAGCTGCTGCAGGACGTGCAGCAGCGCTGATGGGTCGAGAAGGTCGGTCATTGTTGTTGATTGCAGACGACTACCTGCCATTGAAAAGATGGGATGGTTCGTTGAGTGTGGATAGGGTGCAAGCGGTGTCAAGGAAACGACTCAGATGGTGTCGAGAAAGAGAGCGGGGAGGGGATGATGTCTGTGCGTCCATGCAGGGTCGAGAACGCGCAATTCTCGTGTCTGTCTCTGTTCCCGCTGCACGGGACCAGGTGGAGGTTTTCGCTTCAATGCACAAGCTGAGCATCCCGTCTGAACTCAATCGCACGAAATAAAACCGAGAAAGTATAAACCTAACACGAACAAACTAAGTGCATTGCAGGCAAAGACCCGTGAGGTCCTCGAAGCTCGACAAGCAGGCTTCTGGCCCGCCGTAACAGGGGAGAAGCGGAGCGAGTCGATTGTTGAGTCCAGCCCAGACGCGCACGCCTTCATGACTGATCACGTGATGCAAAATTGTGATTCTCCTGTGCGTCAGGCGTCGAATGGGTGCGCCCACGGCCCTTCACCCAGATCCATCATCCTCAGGCCCTTTGTGCTCGACAGCTCAAGCTGTCAGCTCAATCAAGAACGTTTGCTCACTTCACAGATTTGCGGGTGATAGCGACGGAGAAAGTCATGATATGTGGGCACTTAGATAATCTCCTACAAATGCGCATGGATAGTCTAAGCGTTCCTAACCTCGACCTTCTCAACCAACCCTTCACCCAGCCTCTCGATCTCAGCCATAATAGCGACCTTGTTCAACTGCACCTGCGTCTTCTCAGCCTTTGAGCTTGTGGGGCAAGAAGAGAATCCAAGTCCTACCTTGAAGTCCCTCTCCCTATCCAGCGAAGGGTTAAACAGGCCGCCGATCACGCTACCACCGTGCTTGTCGTGGTACAACCTGAACGAATCGCTGTAGAGTCCTCTAAGTATAGCGAGGAAGGACTCAGCTGGATCGAAGCCTGGCTTGGGCGTTGAACCGAGCCGTGTATCACCGGCGTTGACGCTCGCATTTGCGTCGTTAGCATACTTGGTCCGTTTGCCGCCCCACACGCTTGGATCTGCGCGAACATTCTCGCTGTAACGAGGGAGCACCGAGGGCTTGAGGTGGATGACAAAGTCGTAGTGGTCGAGGGAAGGAGTGAAGAGAGCGAGAACTTCCTCTTCGGTGAGTGACGTGGCTTCTTCGAGCACGCAGACAGCTGCTTTGGCGAGCTTCTTGACTCCGTCCGCTATGCCTCCTACCGGACCTTTGCGGCCAAATGCAAGGCCTTCAAGATCTGTCTCGGTGGCGACAAACCATGCGCGATGCATCATGGAAGGGTCACTGCCTCGTGCGGCGTTGAAGTGAGTTTCGACTTCGGTGCGCATCTCGGCGGGGAAGGTGTAGATGGACTTGGCTTCGGCTGAATCAATGACTGCCTGAATGGGGACCATCAAAGGCTCTTCTTTCCATCTCCAGTTGGCTAGCAGTCGCAGAATTCTCAAAAGACCTGCTACTGCCGAAGCTGGCGCTCCTTCCTCCGGAGACAGGTATGCTGCAGCGCACACAAGCTCAATGAGCTCCTCTGGGATGGCGGGCGACGAGAGCATCTGACTAGCCAGCCAACGCTTCGTCAATCGCACTGCTCCACCGAATGAGGCGAAACGATGACCCATCGAGGCAATGTAGGAATGGTGCAAAGGCAATGCCTCGAATCGACGTTGCCACTCGTGAAGGATCTTCCTTGCGCGCCGCTTGGCACCGGCCGACTCGAATCGGTCAGCCAGGATGCGCTCGAGCAACACCTTCTCCCTGTTGTGCATGATGCTTGCCCTGAAAGCAAAGCCGTTCCCAAGAATCAACTCCAAACTGCACTGATCCTCCATCTTCGATGTGGCGTTCGGGTCAAAGACAACGCGGCAAGTGGTGCTGGCGATCTTGTTGCTGATTTCGAGACACATGCGCTCGAGGAAGGCAGCCTTCATAGCCTGAATCGCGGCAAGCTCATTGGGCCACTTGCCGGAGCCTTCGAAGGTGATGATAATGTCCTGGACGGGCAAGTAGGATGCAGAGTCGGGGATGCGATCGCCGAGCAGCTCAAGGTTGATGGGAGCTGGGACGAATGTACTTGTTCCTCGCAAGCCGGGAGAAGCAGGCGAAATGGAAATAATGGAGAGTGGTAGAGATTCAAGCGCGCGCAGATCCTTGGATAGCTGGTCGAATGCGGATTGGACGAGGGTAAAGCCTTTATCTTCGGTGCTGACCAAATGTGCGGTCCTAGCGAGGGTTGTGTCGGTTTCAAGCAGCGACTCGAAGTTGGAAGAGACAAAATGGATCTGCGACTCGTGGATGGCGTGGTGGCGGTAGAGTGCGTAGGAGAGAATGCGTCGTGGGATGGCAAAGCGCGAAGCTTGCGTGGTGACGGGCCATACCACACTCTCCAGCACTCGACCATCCTTGAATCGACGCAACTCAGACATCTTACCCCAGAATGCACGGAATTGTTCCGCTTTCTCGGTTTCCTGGCTTGAAGGGCCGTGCTCGACCATCCTCCAAGCCTGCTCGCCGTCGAGGACGAGACCGATCTCAGCATCGCTCGAGGCTGCTGGCCTGGAGCCGTCAAGTCGCCAGATTCCAGCGAGACCCCCTGTCGCTGGATGCAGGAGCGCAACGAGTTTGGTTCGACCTTCGAGTGCACGCGAAGCGGTGGTGCTGACTTGGATCATAGCGGCTTGGAACGAAGTGCCGAAGTCTGCGCGTTGGGTTGGTGTTGATGTTGATACACCGACGCCGTTGCTCTTGTCCTTTACGGTGGACTTGGCAGCAGAGACAGGCAGATCGATACGGGCTACTTCGTCGAAAGTGAACGGTGCGGCAGTTCGATCTTGCAAGAACAGGGCATCAAAGTGATCCGAGCTGGGATCGTTGAGCATTTCGAACGTCCTCCTCGCCTCGTATTGCAGCAGGTCAACCGACCCAGTAGGGACAAAGGCAAACAGGTTCAGTGTTCCGCTAGGGTCAACCAGAACACGGTCGAAGACTTTGCTGAAGTCCTCTCGCGGCACCTTGTCTGACCTTGAAACGAGACCAGCCTCTGGCATAGACTTCATGAACGAAGCATTGACGCGGAAGTCGTGCTTTGCAAGCCAGTCCATGACACCACGGAAGAGCTGGTAGCTGGAGAAGCTGTTGGCGAGCTTGCTTCGTCCCGCATTGGTCGTGTCTCGCTTGCCTGAAGCACGTTTCTCCTCGCCTTGTAAGAGGTGAGCAAGGATCATGGCAAGGATGAAGCGCAAAGAGGCAGTACCGGCTACAAGTCGACGGCAGTCCTCTTCGGAGCGCTTTGGGTTGGAACGTCCACCAGAACCAAATCCACGCTGGAAGGCCCATGTCTTGAGCAGCAGGCATGCGTCCGCGAAAGCAGGGCAAGCTTGTGCTACCTTGTGTAAGTAGACGAGGTGGGGAAGATGCAGTGTGTCGGCGAGAACCGCGGCATTGTAGCGAGGTGTAGCTGCGGCTGCGCTCGAAGCAGCACCGGTAGAGGATTCTGCAGCGTCTGTGGCGGCTACACGGACGTTACTGCGCAGAGGGCCTAGGTGAATAGGCTTGAAGGTGTCCGGCTCTATGGAAGGGTGGATACGAATGTTGCACTTGAGCTTGGAGAAATCCGTCTCGGACTTGTCGTGAATCGGCTTGAGCATCAAAATGGGTCGTCGTGGATCCGAGTCGACTAGCGCAAACGAGGCAGTGATTCCGAGGTGAACGTCATGCTCGTCCTCTGCGGTCTGGATGGCGTGTGCGAGCGCTGCGAGGTAGAATGCCTTCTTGTGGAAGTATCGGAAGTTGACGTAGTCCTTGGGCTGGAAGAGGCTTGATGGCATGACAGCGGCAACGTCGACGTCAATCCCTTCTGGGCGTTTAGCAGCGGACTTGAGTGGCCAGCTGCCGACGAGGTGCATGGCGGAAGGCTTCTCAAAGCCAAGCTTGTAGTTGGCGTCGGTCTTGGGAGCTGGGTCGGGAAAGGGAATGCGGACTTTAGAGCCGGAAGTGTGCCTTTGGAAGCCTTTGATCGCCTCGCCAACGGGCTTGGGGTCAATGGGAGCGAGAGACTCGAAAAGCTGATGCAGCCTGCGGAGGACAAGATCGAGCGCGCTGGCCTTGTGATATGCGGGACGCACTTCGGGAAGCATCTCGTCGACCTTGAGCCTGAAGACATTGTTCTTGAACAGCTCGCCAGTCTCCTTCAGTCCTTGCATTTCTGCAGTTGTCGGGAGAGCGTAGAGTGCGCTCTTAGCGGTTCTGCGAGACTCGTATGCTGCAGCAGTTGCGTTCTCAGAAGCTGAAGCAGCTTGTGCACCGGCTGTACCGTTGTCGTCGCCATCAGCTTCGAGATCTTCGAAACCGCCGTCCATGTCCTCGTCTGACATGAGCTCAGCCTCGCCAGGCTCCACGTGATCGTAGCTGTCCTCTGCCTCCTCCTCATCATCGCTGTCAACTTGATCATCATCGTCATCATCTTGATCTGAGGCGAGCTCAACCTCGTCCTGTGATGCGGCCTCAGAAGCTTCCTCGTCCTCGTGCTCCTCATCGTCCTCTTCGCTGTCCTCGTCATCATCGTCTGATGCATCTGGCAGAGCAGCTGAGCCGGTTCCATGCAAGGCCGAATCAAGCAAGTCCTCGCCATCATCGAAGCCATCATTGTTATCGCTATCATCCATGTAAATGGTTCCGTTGTTGGGCTTACGTGACAAAGTAGGCGTCGACTGTGGTCTGGATCGTGCTGATGGGCTGGCTGTATGTTTTGAAGATGAAGGTGTGGAGGTCGAGGCTTCGGCCTTTCTCTTGACGCCGGGCATTTTGGGGTTTCGCCTCCTTCAGCTCGATTACTCGGGCTGACCTTTGAGATGGTAGAGAAGAGAGGGTGGATGAAGGTGAAGGTCGGTGTCAGGGTGTGAACAGTGTCACTCAAGTTGAGGAGGCCGAGTGTGGAGCACTTTCTTCCAATCCAAACTTTTTTTCTGTAGCCAACAAACGCGCTTGGAAACAGAGAAAAAATTCAAGAGAATCCACATTAAACCATTTCCGCAACCCGAATTTTTGCCGCCCCGATTGTCCGCACTACATCGGGTGCTGATGCAGAACAGCACAGTCCAACACTCGGCTTGTTGCTTAGCTGTGCGTGTGCATGATCAACACTTGATACTGTATTCTTGTTCCGAGCAACCTCTCACCATCAGCTCCATCGTCCTCCCACGCATTCATCGGCTAAGTCGCACCAGTAACAGCACACATAACGGGCTGCAACCATGGCTGATCAGGAGAACCACGACGACGCTATCCAGCAGATCGATGTTCAGAGTAAGCGCGCTTTCCATTACCTCAACAATGCTAACGACTGAAAGACTAACCGATCTTCAAGTGTCCCTTTCGCTCAATCTGATCGCTTCTGCTGATCAGACAAGAGGTTGCTACATGCAGCTCGAACGGATGACCTCGAGCTTCTTCAAGAGATCGTCTCCTCTGGCGCCTTTGATGCCAATCATAGTGACGGAGTAGGCCGCAATGCACTTCACTACGCCGCCTCCTCGCAGTCCACACAGGTCCTTCCAGAGATTCTGAACCTGGAGATCGACGTCGACCACCAAGATCGAACCAACGCAGACACTCCTTTGCACGCGGCTGTTAATGTCGAAATCCCAGATGGTGAAGCAGGGAAGGAAGTCGAGGAGATCAGGAACTGGATTGGTAAGCCCGGGATCCCATCTATGCAACATGCTAACGATGTTGGAAGCTGACCCTGTCATCTTTCTCGCATTGGTGCAGTTAACGAGCTTTTGGAAGCAGGAGCCGACCCAACCATCCCAAACAAGGACGGTGACTTGCCAGCAGACTTGCTCTCGTACGGCACCAAGTCTCGCTCGCAGCTCGGACAGGATCTTTTGGCGAGATTGAAGCGAGGACAGGCCGAGATAAACATCAATGCAAGCGACATCGCCAATGATGATGATGTGGCTGACGATGGTGAAGGTAAGCCCATTGACGCGGACACAACTACATGTGCCATGCACTGCACTGACGAACACATTTACATTTTGCTTGGACTCCGCCTCTCCCTTGCAGGAAGCGAAGGTACACCATCAGAAGAGTAATCATGCGTTCCATATAGACTGAAGTGATCAACTGATTTGCAATCCCAACTCAAATCAAGCATCGTTCGACCGAGAGGAAACTTGACTCAACAAACGCACCTTATCGAACAAGGTGGGTGATAAACGTTAGATTGCTACGTTTCTTCTGATGCTCTTGCTCTTGCAAAGTAGAGAACACCTGCCACCTCTTGAAAAGGAAGCTGAGCCTCCTCGAGGCGTGGAAAGTCAATACCAAATCGACCAGATCAGCGCAAATCGACCACCTTCACCGACTTTCTAGGCCGGTCATTTAAACTGCTCGCATCATCCCCTTTGCCATCCTTGTCGTCGCTGACAGGAATACCAACAGTCTCGAGCTCTTCCTCTTCCGACTCAGACATGACCGTAGCTTCTCTCTGTCTACTTGAACGCTTAGCGCTGCCGTCTGCCTCCGTGTTCGAGGCAATAGAGGAATGGTGACGGTCCGACGCAGCCCGTGCAAGCGCGGCAGCAACACGTTGCGATGGGTTACTGAAGATGCAAGCGACGTCGTCTCCGCTTGTATCGAGTGCGCTAGTAGCACCGGCCAGCTCGTGGTCGCTGTCGACTTCTTCTACCTCGACGGGAAGAGTTGGTGTTGTTGAGCTAGTAGTTTGAGCGAGACCTGCTGCCACCGCAGATGCAGTGCTGAGAGGGTTTGACGTGGTAGGTTCCGAGACGGTAGGCAGTGTTTTCTGTGCCGTTTCTTGGGATTTCGACTTAGATTGAGGCTGCTGAGCGTTTTTGCCTTTGCCGTCATCTGTACCTAGAATCCAGACGTTTGCGCCACCTTGACGGCGCAGCAGTTCACGACCAAGCCAGTCTAGGTCGGACTCATCTTCGATGGGCCAGTCGTCAGCTTCGTCGTCGGACTCAGAACGAGCGCCGCTGGGCTCGAAGTCCTTGCTTGAGGAAGCTTGCACTGCTTGTGGAGGTCGTTCCGCCTCCGTGTCCTGCTCGACGAGAAGCATAGGAACACCAGTGAGAGGGTGAATGGCAATCCTTGTATAAGGATGGTTTGGGACGTCACTTATCGAAGCGTAGAGTTGCCCATGAGGGGGTGTAGATGCTAGAGCAGATGGCTGGGCAAGTCGTGGTGGATACGGAGCATGTCCTTGGAGGATAAGAGGTGCTGAATGGATGAAAGGGCCTGCTCTAGCATAGTCAGAGAGACTGGCGTGGTCCTCAAAGTGATCCCATGCTGTGTGAATGTCAGAGGCTCGAGGGCGGCGAGGGGTGCTGGCGGCAATTGGGGCAGAAGTTGAAGCATACTGTGATCCGTATATGTCGGAGGCCATGCCGTGGTAATACTGTAGACCGTGACTTTGGTAGAAATGGTGGTAGTGCTGAGGTCGCCAGAGGTCCGGAACCTGATAACCTCGGGTAGCAAGGATACGCCTGCCGAGCATATCAATTAGCTCTTCATCCTCCTCAAGGAGCTGTTCGAGACGAGCAGCGAGTGCTCTAGCTCTCTGTTGCTGAAGGAGTCGGCGTTGCTGAGCTTCGGCCTCCGCCAAGACTTCTGCCCTAGCCTGTGCTTGACGGCGCGCCTCTTCGATGGCCAGGAAGGCGGCTGCTCGCTCGAAGTTGTTGTCATCGAAGAGGTACAGCAATGATCGTGGGTCGTCTTCATCTTCGATTGATGATGGTCGAAGAGACTGAGTGGAGTGATGTTCGAAGTGAAGCGGCAGCTCCTCGAAGTTGATCGTGCTGAACACAACTGCGTTGTGGCTCATATTTGTGGAGTCAGCGCCGCGGTGCCTGGCTTCGATGGCCACGAGTGCGGCTGGGGATGTGTTCGATACTACTCGGCGGTAGTGTAGGGGAGAGGAAAGGTGAGATTGGATCTGGAGCTCCTTTTGTGTATGTTTCAAGGGTCTTTTGAAGCGACTCAGCCGAGACTACAGCTGTAGACGTCATGGTGCGCAAGGGGCGCTTAGCAGGCATGAAGCAGTTGGCTCATGCGCTCTTTTTGTAGGCACTTTTCCTGTTTGACAGCTTCGTGAAGGCGCGAGAACAAAGTGCCGAAGATTCGCGAAAGTCATACAAGCCAAAAGGGGGTATCAAAGTTTTTGCGATTTTAAAAACGCGGGTTTTTTCGAGAGCGCGTTTTTGGAGGGAATTTGAACCCCCCCCAAGGAAAAGCGGGTTTCCAAAAATGCAATGAAATCATATGGCCGATAAAATACGTAACCTAACAGTGGTCATGTTACTTGTCACTCTCATCGCTATTACCCATTGCTTGCTTATATCTTGCTTTCCTCTTCACACAATGCACTCAATGTAATGTTTCATATGGTGGTGAGAAGAATTGTATTGAACAGAAGAAGAGAGAGTGCCTGTCAGATCAAGAATGGTTGTGTCAAGACTTGCTCCTGTCTCCGAGCTGATGTGCTTTGAGTCATGGCAATGTAGTCCACAGTAGTCCTCTCATGATGTCGAGACAATGCAGTAGTGTCTTCCTCATTGTGCCCAGTGGATCTGAACAGTGCCTGGAACAAACCCTCTCGAAGATCATGTGCAGCAGAACTTCAAAGTCTTGACACTGCATACTGTGACATTCCTTGTGTTGCAGTGGCAAGATCCAGTTCGTATTCCTGCTGATTTGTGCGTCTTGTCCTCCTGAGCTCTTGTGTATCACTGGCATCAAGTTGGAGGCTTTGAACAACCTCACTCACCTCATCCTCAGAGAAAGAGGGCAACAGCAGGTCAGCAATATCAGCAGGACAGTCATATTGACTTGCAAAGGTGTGGGCAACAATGCAGGCTTGGATCGTCTCAGCAGCAGTGATGCAGTCCTTGAAATGGTAGATGTTACCATGATAGCCTGTAAGGCACTGGAAGCGGTTCTTCAGGTATGCAATGGCATGTTCGACTTGTACTTGGACTCGAGAGAGCATGTAGTTGAAGTGTCGAAGGTCTCGACTCTTGTTGGCAGCAATGTGAGAGAATGGTCCAACTGTGAAGGCAGAATGGCCATATCCACCATCAACCCAGATGAACTCACCTTCGTCAAGGTACAGGCGAGGCTTCTTCAGGATGTTGCTGCCTGAGGCCCAAACCTTCGAATCCTGAACACTGCCAGGCTGTCCAACAACTGATTCGACAATCTGCAGTGAGTGTGGCAGGATCACCAGCACTACATTGATGCTGTGGAAGCCTTTGTAGCAGAAGTGCTCTCAACTGAGCACTCCTGGCTTCCAGGCAAGAGGGATGTGTGTGCCATCCACCACAAGCCAGCCCTTACCCCACTCTTCAACCCCAGTTGTATTGTGCACCCAGGCAGAAGCATGTTGTCTCTCTCCCTCTGAAGCAAACTGCATGACCTCATTGTTTAGCTCGAGGAGGCCAGCAACTGTGTGATTGGTGTATCCAACAATGCTCCCAACACCGCAACCACATTGCAAAGCAGCATCACATTCACCACCTCCATTTCCAGAATGGCCAAGTCTGTACAGAGCCACTGAAAGAATCTCTTGCACTTTGTTGAGAGACATCACACCTGAGCTGCTGTAGTTCCACTGGAAAGCCTCTGTTTGCTGGAGTCAGATGGCGAGATTGTTGAATGCTTCAGGCAACATATGAACAAGTCCATGATACATCCTATGATTGCTTGATTCATACCTGTTGAGAAGGTGGATAAGCTTATCAGTGCAGCCAAGAGGAGTGCAACGTGTGATTGTGTACCTTTGCTTGCATATGAAAGTGTACAAGCAGACAAGGTGTCATGAGAGCGGAATTGGGTTGCCATCATTGTCCAAGTTGTCGATGTCAGTGCTGCAGGAGTGCTGCACTCTGTTGGTGTTTTGGATGACCTCTGCAGGTATAGAGAGCTCGAGAGTGCAGACAATGTCATTGAGAATTACTTGCTTGTTGCTGTAGTGCACCATGGCTGGAAGGAGGAAGGGAGTTGGAGAGGGAGCATGGAGAGGGGGGATGGAGAGGGGGGATGGCAGCAAGAGCGATGCCAAAAGGTTGCAGAGTGGAGTGGTGGTAGTAATGGAAGAGGTGTGAGAGTGAAAAATTTTGTTTAAATGCTTTTGAGCTCATTATGTGACTGTGCTGCACATCATTTTTATTCACCTCATACTTGCACTCTACAGAAAAACACTCAGAAATGACTTTGCATTGAGACTGGATGATAGTACATGTAATGCTACAAGACAGGAAGATTGAATGAAGAGTCTGTGTTGTTGTTGTTGCTGGTGTTCTGATGAGCATCCTGTTCGACACTGGCCTGAGAAGCAAGGAGGTGCACCATCTCCATCACCATTTCATGATCACATGCATGAACACATTCATTGTACTCTTTCTCCTCCCTCTCGTGATGCAGGTGCATCTCCTCGTGCTTGGTATGCTCAGCCTCCAGTATTTTCTCATGTCTGGTGCATTCCTGTTCAAGCTGCAGGTGGATCTGAAGGGTATCAATGGAAGAACAATAGAAAGCTTCAGCAAGTGTGTTGCACTTGTGATCAAGGGCACCTCACTTGCACTTGGTGCTGGGAGAGAGCTGGGCTGAAGATTGAGAAGAGGTGGAATCAGAGACATCCAAACCACCAGCAGTGGAGGAAGGTGGTTGAGCCTGCAAAGGTGGAGGCAAAGATGTGTTAAAGATGTCATCATCACCAGTGCCAGCAAAGGATGCACCAGAAGTGGATGCAACAGCAGCCAGGGGGTTGGTGGGTTCAATCAAGTTGAGAATAGGAGGCAAACCACAGCCATGAGCACTGTGATCATACAGCTCGCTGCCACAAATATCCATGGGTATGTCAGCTGAGCCATTCGAAGGCATGTCAGGCTCATCATTGCTGGTGAAGTCAAGACTGGGAGTTGTGATAAGTGCTGTGGGATCAGCATTGAATCAGCCATTCATCATCTTGTGCATCCTTTCAAACCAAGCATACTTTGTTGACAGGGCAATGCAAGATATGTAGGACTGTTTAAAATTGAAAGTATGAATCAGCATCCAAGCATACTATTGCAAGCAACGAAGATCACCAAAACTTACCAGGTTGGATGCATCCATGTCCTCCAGCAGTGTACCAGCTCCAGTGGGTGAAAGCTTCTTCTTCTTCCTGTAGTATGTCTCTAGCAGCCACCTCAGCTTGGACTTGATGCAATTGGGATCGACAGATGTGCCTGGGAAAATCATCTTGGAGATATCCTGAAAAATGGGATGTTTGCAAAGTTTGAGGGCTGGATCACTCTCAGCTGATTCTTGAGATGGCAGCAGAGTGTGCTGGTAGGAGTCATTGTTGTAGAGGATCGTGACAAGGTGAAGAACATTGGCACCCAACCATGTCAAGTTCTTCTTGCCTGTGGCAGATCTAGAGGCTCGAGTTGGACAGGAAGTGTGGATGTCAGGAGCACTTGTAGAACCAGATTGAGACAGCACAGGCATGCTTTCAGTCTGAGTTGCAGAGCTTGTAGGTGTAGTGGATTGGCATAACAACTCTGCAGAGATGTCACCAGAATCATCAGTGGAGGAGGTCATGTTGAATGAGTGCAAGGAAGAGGGAGTGAGCAAAAGTGCAATGAGAGTGAGGAAAGGAGAGAAGATGTGGAGTGATAAAAAAACCGCATTTTCACAAACACACCTCCTGAGCTGCATTTTTGAAAATGCGGTTTTTCTTTCCCCTTTGTGGAGCTTATGTAAGCTTTTGCGTTTTTTTGAAAAATGCGCTCTTGAAAAAACCCGGGTTTTTAAAAATGCAAAAACTTTGATACCCCCTAAAGTCGAATGGCGATCCTCTCCCCGATTCAAGCAAGATCTCGAATTTCGGCCCTTTTTGCACGCTCATTTTCTCGGTCCTTTTTTTTCTTTTTCTTTTTTTTTCTTTTTTCTTTTTTCTTTTTTTCCTTTTTTTTTTTTTTTTTTTTTTGTTTTTTTTTGGGAAAATGTCAAATCTTCTCGAGATTCGTGCGAGTCTTCTTCATGCTTACTACTGGACACCTCCTTCTCTTCTGAACTCTTCAATGACATCGTATCGACCGGAACTTCTTCCAGAAGATCATACAGCTGCTGCGATGGCCTCAGCTGCGCTCTATTCGGCCGATGTAGGCACGAAGAAGGCGTTTGTATCTTTTCCAGGAGCCGACTATACCCAGACTTCAGCGGTGCGAGCTACCGAAAAAGTGCTTGCCCGACATGGCTGGCAAATCGAAGTCGGCGACGGCATTGGAGGGTGCGTAGGCGAACGTGATGCCGATGATGCTCAAGGAGCGCCTGTCGCTCCACCGGGCAAGGATCTCTACTTGGCCGACTACGATCTGCTTCCATTCGAGGAGCTGCTTCCTAGTTCTTGCTCGTCTACCAAGGGCAAGCAGCCTCAGTGCTCCAGCTACGTCATCAGGAAAGCGTTGATCCGCAAGCACTACCTTGCATCGGCACTCAATACATATGCCGTCAAGCTTCCGCCCGGTCCCGCAGCCAAGCGTTTTCGCACATGTACACCGAAGACATGGCACCTCGAGATCCAATTCGCAGACGAGCTGGACGAGCTTCTGATGGACGATCTATACGACCTAGCCGAGCTCCTCGAGACCAATCATAGCTGTATCGATCAAGGCAGAGGAGACGATGTGCGATGGTTCATCCTCAAGCCGGGCATGGCAGACCGAGGGAATGGCATTCGCATCTTCAGCACGCTAGAGCAATTGCAGACCATCTTTGAGGAGTTTCAGCCCGAATCTGATGATGAGGACGAAGAGGAGGACGACGACGGCGACGAAGAGGGCGAGAAAAGGGCTGGCACGAGCAGCAGTTTTGACCAGGATGGATCTGGGTATGCTGGCAAAGACACTTCGGTGATGGCAAGCCAGTTGCGACACTTTGTGATACAAGAATACATTCGATCTCCACTTTTAGTTGATCCCGTCAGCTCTGTCGACAGCAACTTACAAGCTGCGCAAGCGTCAGAAAAGCTCAACATTGGCGATAGGAGAGGATCAAACACCCGCAAATTCCATCTTCGTGCATATGTGCTGTGCGTCGCGGGGTTGGCTGTATACCTGCATGACGACATGCTTGCGCTCTTTGCTCCCCTAGCATACCGAGAGCCAAGCGAAGCTACAGTGGACGAGCTTGAATGCCACTTGACCAACACGTGCTTGCAAGAGGATGGAAGGCTCGCAGTAGGCAACGATGCTCGACCGAAGGAAGAGAACGTCTTTCTCTGGTCAGACCTAGGAGGGTCGTCATTCAGAGATCCAGGTGCGAAGGCCTCAGACTCGCCTGCCCAAACACTATCCCCGGAGATGATGGAAGATGTGCGCTGCAAAGCTGCAGAAGTGATTGGTGCCTCGTTTGAAGCTGCTGCTAAAGCTGGAAGCATTCATTGGCAAATGTGGCCGAATGCATTCGAGGTCTTTGGTGTCGATCTTATGGTTGGATACGACGACGAGACAGATGCAAAAGGGCGCCAACTCAAGGTGTGGCTACTCGAAGTTAATGCGCAACCAGACTTTGCTCAAACCGGTGCTAGACTGAGCTCTGTCATCGAGCGGCTGTTCGAGCGCGTTTGCGAGATTGCGGTTCTTCCATATCACAGCGAGTCCCGTACGGCGGAAGGGCTGGATGCTTGGAATGTAGGCGAGTCAAGACTTGGTACAACGCTGTGCTTCCGGGAGGATCTAGGTAGAGGCTTCTGAAGATCGCAATACACGCACCATGCCGCACAACTTCCTTCGAAATCGCACACTTGATGCAAGTTGCCCAAACTTCTGGAGCAGTTAGAGGCTTGTGATTTTCTTGGCCGATGTCAGATCGACATGTGTCACAGTGAAAGACCAGCTTTTAAAATCTATAGCACCTGAAATCACGTGCGGTTCCAGCGCGTGAAGCCATCTTGGAGCGCGCTTGAAAAGGTGCAGTTTTTCTGGTGCATCTTTGCGAAACACAGCCGAGCCGCGTTATGCCTCTGTGCAGAGCATGCTGAGCTGCAAGCGATGACCGTGTGACGCTGCTGCTTGCTATGACAAGCTTCGATAGCAGAAAGTGGCAGACTTTTCGAGGCGTGACCTAGGTGTTCAGAGGTGGCATCCTTGTGCGAGGCTGAGGAAGCACAAGTCGCGATTTGCTGCTGTACAAAAGAGTGTTCTGTTTGGAAGGTACATGTTTGGAAGGTACTGCAGCCAATTTTGGCGGATTTCAACTGCGTTCATTCGGCGTTGCTTGCTTGCCTGCTCTCTGCTGTTGTATTTTGGTGTAAGGGTGTGTGCGCCTGTCCCAGGGTGACGCTTTGGGCTTGACCATTTGACAGCTAGCTAGCGAGTCTGTTCGCCGTTCTGGTTGGCGGCTTCCTTTCCTCCATCCGCTCTCCATCTTAGCCATCGTTGCCTCAAGATCACCTTCATCACCATATACGGCGGATAGCTATTCCTTTGTGGATTCCGGATACTCATCCAGATGTTGGCTAGGCAGTGCATCGCATTTTCGTCCCTTTCTTAGCCAGCACCTACCACTTGCTGGCATCTCAGCCCCTGAGACGACGTCCATATAACCTGCTGCTCAGCTACAAATACTCAGCTCGTCCTCCCCCAGCACCAGGAGTTCGCACGTCGTTCACTCTTGACCAAAGTGGTCCAACAACCTCGTCCGAGTCACACCGACAAACCCTTAGCGTAAATAACTCGACATCAGCAATACGACGTCTACAGTCTACAAACATGCCTGGCGTACGTGCGGCTTCGCGCCGCGTTCCTGCTCTCGAGCCGTCTTTGAATGGACCAGCTTCTTCCAGCAGCAGTAGCAACGCCTCCCCTTCGACACCCGAGGCGAACCTTCTCGGCCACGTCAACAACATGCGCAAATGCTGTGACATGTCCCTATTTTACAAGAACTTACAAGAGCAGGGCGTCGACTTCATCGCAGACAGCCTTTTGCATGCCAACGACATTTTTGCCAAGTATGCGTGAGTATCCTCTTTGCCCGCTGACCTATGTCCTGCCCTAGCTTCACAACAATCCAGGCTAACCTTGACTGACGATCGCGACCCACCGTCAACTTTTTATCTACCTCATCTTTGTAACTCAACTTTGTAACAGCACCACGTCGCGCACCGTTGCATCTCCTTCCAAGCTTGCCGGTGAACTCTTGAAGTCGCCCACTCGCACTCGTACGCGCGGTGCAACAGGACAAAGTCGTGCCCCTCTCAACACCAGTAGCGATCCATTCATCGATGCAGCCGATGTCTTTGACAAGGAGAACGCACCCATTCCAGCACCTTCTTCGCGATTGCGCACACCTTCCACGATAGAGCCACAGAAAGGCAAAGGAAAGGCCAAGGCCAAGGCCAAGACGATTGAGGTCGTCAATGAAGCGCCTGAGTCTCCAGCGCCGAGACCAACGCGAAAAGTGCTCGGCGATCTGAATGCAGGGAAAGCTTTTCAGAAGCAAAATGCGCAATCAACAAAGACTGCGCCAACTAAGAAAGGTGCTCGCAAAGATATTGCAATCGAGGACGACAGCATGGCTATCGATGCCTCAATACATGAGGATGCATCACCAATCGAGGCCATTCCCAGGGCTTCTACTCCACCCCTCAATGCTTCGCCACCCAAATCTGCATCTACACAGGGGACGAAAGAGTTTACCAAGGAGGAGACTGCGGACGCAACCTCGATCATCGACTCGGAAGAGGAGGTTTCGGAAGATGACGGCGACTCGGACGCTGGAGCTTCTGCTGCGAATGCACAGCAGGGTGGATCTCAGACTCAGCAAACCGAGTCCAACGTCACAAGCATAGCCGTTTCGCAGGTGTCTGGCAGCGATCTCACCTCGGTGTCTTCTCGATCCGATACCAACGACACTATTCGTTCCAACGACAACACCGTTTCTGGCATGCTAACTGATCCGAAGCTCGAGAATGCTCGCCTAGCTGCCTCTGCGCTTCTGACGAGTAAGCTCCAACAACAGAAGGATGGCAACACGGATAAGCCTGTCAAGCGCACGCTTGCCTCTTACGGAGCTAAGAAGAGCTTGCCCGCTGCTGCACTCGATGCCCGCCCGAGCAATGTGACCACCACCTTGCATCCTGCTTCCACCCCTGCTGGTCCTGGATTCCGCTCCAGCTTCCTCAACAAGAGCCTGCGCAAGCAGATTGCCGACCAGGAGGCACTTGAGAGCGATGAAGATTCGGAATCCGACTCGGATGCTGACGAAGCTGGCCTTGTCGCTGGCGCCACTTTTGCGGCCATGTACAAGAAGACGGCTGCCAATACACAGGCCAACACTCGTGCCAACGCAGGCGAAGCTACAGGCAAGCACGCCGCTCTCTCGTCCAACGCTGGTATCAGTGGAAAGAAGCGCAAGAGTGACGAGGCCCTGCCGGTCGCCAGTGAAGCTGGTCTCGGTTCGGCTGCTCCACCCAACAAGATGTCAAAGCTTGGTGCTGCTATGCTCGCTGCCAAGTCTCAATCTTCCGCGATCACTCCTGCTGTCAAGAAAGCGCCAGCAGTCGGTCCTGCGTCCAAGCTCGAGCAATTCCGCAACAATCTAGCTCACGTCGCAAGAAGCACTGGGAGTGGAGCTAGCTCCAGCTCAGCCTCACAATCGATCAGCTCAGTCGCTTCTCCTGCGCTGGCGGAAACCATAGCTGCTCCCCTTCCTGTCAAGCCTGCCGAGCCTGCTCTTGTCGCGACAACTGCCCCGGTATCGTCAGATGCAGCTTCAACGTCTGATGACGTCGTTCAAGAAGCACACCCGCGATCCTCCGATTCTGGCTCTGACTCGACAGAGAAGATCGCGCCAGGCAGCAGAAGCGGTGAATCAACCATCAAGGCTTCATCCACCCCTCGATCTCCGACACGCTCCCCTTCTCGCGCTGCTGCTACTTCACCCGTGAGACTGCCGCCTCGCACTGGTAGTGTGCGCAAGTCTCCCCGTAAGCTGGCTGAGCAGCAGAAGATCCAAGAAGATGCTCGTGCTGCTTCGCCTGGTCCGAAGTCCAAGAATGGCTCAAGCTTGTTCCAGTCCGCCAGCAGTATGCAAGCACCACGCAGCCCGACAACACAAACGCGAAGTCTTGCCGCCCTCTTTGGCAGCCCGAAGCAGGGAACAAAGCTTCCAACACTCTCGAGCGCTGCAGCCGGAAGCACTACACCACTTCACTCGCCACCCAAAAATTGGCAAGGCAGCCGGTTGCCGTTTGCGCAATCTTTCCACTTGCAGCAGCAGCCGCAGCATGCATCGCGTGAGGCCGACAAGTCGCTGCCTGAGACTCCTGTTGAGGAGAAGCTTGAGCCGGCCAGCAAAGATCGCATCGTCTCGACATCCTCGACGATCCTTTCCACCTCCAAGGTCGAGCTTAACAGCCAGTTCTTTGATGCACGGTCACGGGAGAACACGCCTGAGCCAATCGAGACTGCTCCTGCGGCTCTTGCGGCGATCGTGCCCAGCAAAGATGTGGCCCGACTTGACAACGTAGCAAGCAAGGAGACGGTTGCACCTGCATCGATTCCAGATGCTGTAACGAAATCGTCAGGTCTTGCTAAGGCTGCCGCACTATCGCCGAAGAAAGCGGCAGCCAAGGCGCTCGCCAAGTCAGGTCCAACATCACCGACTAAAGCAAGCGCACTTCGAGCTGCCGCCAACGCCGCTTCGCCCTCCAAACTCAAGGCTCAGTCGACATCACGAACAACGCAACAATCTGGTGTTCCCGCTTCCTCCACTTCACCATCAAGGACGTGGGGCATTGGCGAGAAGATCAAGGGCTTCCTTGGCTTGCATGCATCGTCCACTGCTGCCGCTCAAACCAAGATTTCGGCATCCAGCACCTTCCAACCACGAGCAAATGGCGTTCCCACCAGCACTGCCAGTGCTGCCCAGACAGAGGCCAAAGCAGCGGCACGACCAGCAAATGCTGCTCCTGCCATCCCAGGTGCTTTGCTCGCCAGCCCTCCACCGGCTTCCAAGGCACCACAGGCCAACTCGACGCCGTCCAGCAGCGCTGCCTCTTCCACCACCAACGGCAAACTCAGCAGTCTCGCCCGAGCAGAGATGCTCCGCAAAAAGCAGATCGAGGAGGAAGAGCGCAAAGCCAAGGAGAAGGAAGAACGTCGACGAATGCTCACGGCCAAAAAGGAAGAGCGTGCCAAGGCAGTTGCCGAGGAGGAGCTCGAGAAGGAGAACCGCAAGCGTGCTCGAGAACAAACCGAGCGAGGAGCCGACGCTAGTGTTGCTTCATCTGTCGGAGCACCTGCGGCTATACCTGCAGCATTGCTCGGAAACATTGTTGTCGGTGGCGGAGGCTCTTCAGCTTCAAGTACCGCACACAGCACGGGAAGCTCGAGGACCAGTGCGGTCAGCACCGTCAGCAGCGGACCCCCTACTCGACCATCAAGTGCACTCAACGGAAGCTATACTGGCGTCAAGAGCCGGTACATGCAGACATCGGCGCAGCAACACCAAGCGCAGGCGGACGAGAGCAACAAGAAGCGTCGCGTCACCAACGATAGGGAAGGTGGAGCTGCCGCGTTGCAGACACAGAGCAAGCCGCAACAACAGCAACCTGCTGCTGCTGCTGCTACTGGAGCTCGTCCAGGCACTTTGGCAGCTACATCTCAGATCGGTGCTCCAAAGATGGTTCGCACTGTCAGCCAGCCCTCTATTCGAGCTGGCCCTACTTCGCAAGCTGCTCCTCAGCAACAACAGCAGCGCGCTCAGCCATCTCAGGCCAACACACAACAACCACCGCAGCAGATCAAGCTTACAATGAAGGCGGGCGCAGCAGCAGCAGCTGCTGCTGCTGCAGGCTTTGGAGCCGCACCTCGTATTCCAGGAGCGGGCGCGATGGCCGGCAATGGTGCTGCAACAGCTTCAATGATGGCTGCTGCCAACAAGGCATCGCTTGCTTCTTCGGCAGCACCTCAAGCTGGAGCCAAGTCGATGGCAAATGTCAACTTCTCGTCGTCGAATCCCTTCCAACAAGCCAAGCAGCAACAGTTGCAGATGCAGATGCAGAAACAAAAGCAGCTCCAGATGCAGCAACAGCAACAACAGCAGCACCAAGCTGCAGCTGCGGCTTCGAACGCTGCTCAACCTCAGAACGCCGCAAACACTGCAGCGATGCGAGAGCAAGAGCTGCATCGTGCCGCTCAGTTCCAATTTCAAATGCAGAATGCAGCAGGTGGTCGATTCGAAGAATGGGGCGATGATGCTCAGCAAGGTGGCGGTGCAGCCGATGAGGTCTTGCCTGACATTGCTTCGGAGTATTCTGACTCGGAGGATGAAGAGACTATTCAAAAGCGAGCTGCTATGCCAACGTGGACTCAGGGAGATGCTTTGGATTCTGCCTTGCTGGCACAGCTCACAGTGGATGCTGACGAGATCTTTGGTATCCCACAAGGACCAGTTGAACTCGAAAAGATTCTTCCGGGTGAACGTACTGCCAATCGCATTCGTCGACCACGAACTTCGTCTGCAAATTGGTCGGGTCCGGACGGTCTTGCACAATGGGAGATCGACAGATACAACAAACGTATGGGAATCAAAGGCCCTGGTGTTCAGCTCACTCGAAGAGATGGCAGCCACCCACCTCCACCCCCACCAGGTGTCATGGCAAGATTGTCAATGGCTCAACGTCAGTCGATCTCTCATCATGGAATGGGTGTTGCTTCTTCTTCTGCCATTAGTGCTTCCAGTGCTGGAACCAACAACGGCGTTAAGAAAGACGACCCTCGCGGCAAGATGTGATTGTGCTTTGTCTACGCAGGCATGGTATAAACTATGCTTCTATCTATATAATCTTCCCTTTGCAAACATTTTTATGATTTTCATGGCATCGTATCTTTTTCAAAACTTGCAACCTTTCCTGGTCTCTCAAGTTGGATGAGAAGTGATGTTGAAGGTCCTGTTGAGCTTATGAATGCATGAGAGCCAGCTGACAGGGAGAGCAAGATGAGCAAAGTACAGGGATGCCCAGTCCTCCAAGCGGTCACTTGCAAGGTTGCCGACTTGGCCCGCATTCTTATTTTTCTAGCTTCCGGACCACGCTCACAAACGCTTCTACTATTGAGAATGACGATCCAATATGATGATGTTGGTTGACGTAAGCAGATACAAAAGAGATCGGGCGAAGGACGACCTGATCGGAGATCGAGGATCGGGTACAACCTAGTCCCGCTCGTTGTCAGACCTCGTCATTAAGTAGGATGTACCCAGTGCCACTCACTTTGTATATATATCAAGCGGGAAGCTCGAGGCTCCCGCCACAATCTTTTTCTCAGTCAATTGAGTATATGTGTTTCTATCTAAAAACAGCAGTGACATCCTACTCAGACTCTCCCTGATCGCCAGTTATCGGGACTAAAACTTCTTCACATTCTATCATCTACAAGCAAGCTCACACAACCAATTCTGATGGAAGCTGGATATAGATGGTATTGAATTAGACAGGGGTTCCATACGATGAAATACTATTCCTTCACTCTCAAAGCTGAGCGTATCCACTGTGAAGTTCGCTTGTGCCACCCCTAGCGCCAACGATCACCTCATCCACATCTTCATCCGCATCTTCTTCATCAACTGCTGAACCCCTCAAGTCTCTTCTTGCCTCGTGTTGATGCGGGTGCTGATTCAAGAATTGGCTAGAGTGAGACTGCAACTGCGAGAAAGAGTTATGCGGTTGATGGAACGAGCTCCAACGTCTGCCTCCCCCCGCCGCTGTTGCTGATGCGGCGGAAGTCTGATTACCGTCCCTTCCAAAACCAGGCGGACTTGGCGCGGCAGGGTAATTGTAAGAACTCGATCTCTTTGGGTTTAGGGATCCACTTCTACGCAGTCCTCCAGTTTGAGGATCGAACTGTTTGGTGGTGGCGGGGTGTTGAGGAGGAGGTTGATGCAAGTGTGGGTTATGTTCGTGTTGGTGTGACTGCACTACGCTTGGTGAGTGAGGTTTGGGAGGTGGTGAGGAAAAAGGGTCTCGATTGCCATCACTACCAGAGATCGATCTGTGATGCGAGGAGGAATGTCTTTTAAAATCCTGCGAAGGGTCGGTGTCGGGGTGCGGTCCATCATCCTCCTCTTCCTCAACCTCACCGCGGGAGTGCATGCGGTCTTCTTCGCTGCTGTTGAGCAATCTCTCCTTCTCTCGTGCAGCATTACCGCTCGTCGAGCGAACGAAAGAGTCGCGCTTGCGAGCAAGCCATTCGTTCTTATCCACAAACCTGTTTATATCTTGCGTTAACAGATCGACCCCACGCTGACCCTTCGGTGGTTGATCTTGCAGTCTGAGTATATCCGACACTTTTTCCCGAATCGTCGAACCCAGCGAGCCCTGACGACGCATCAATCCACTAGGTTGGATCTGGTGCGATGTCGGATAGTTTCCACTAGGCGTAGTCGGACTCATCGGAGCATTCCCAGAGGAATTCTCACTATTCGCTCCACCCCCGCCTTGCTGCTGTCCGGCATTATTGGCGTCATCTTGGGAAGTGGAAGTGATGCTAACCTTACGCAGGTCCTGGGCAGGTCGAATACCTTCTTTCTCCAACTGTTCTGCGTTGGCGATGTTGAGCATCCTTGCTTGCTTGGAGGGCGGGACTAGCCGCAATCCGCCCGAGTTCTTGGGTTCTTTGTTGGGTTTGAAGCCTGCATAGGTGCCAGATTCGAGTGAGTGGCCCCAGTGAGCGTTGGAAGAGACGGCGGATCCGTTTTCTTCTCCAGCAATATCTGCATCGGTGGCTCCTGCTGGGCGTGGGCGGCGAGGTGGGGGAGGGCGATTGGCGGATGCACCAGTAGTTTTCGAACGACCGAGAGGACGGTTGCTGCTCACTTGGCTGTCGTCGAATCCTTCCACGTCAGGACCGGCAGCACGGGGATGGGGACTGCGACCTTCATCTCGGCGATGAGGAGGGAAGAAAGGGTTGTGACGGTCGATGGATGCGGCGTTGGCAGCGGCGGCTTCGTCTGACATGGCTTCAGCCGAGTCTGTGAGATTGTCTACTACTGTGCGTGATGCCCTGCCGCGAACGCCACCCTCTGTAGGCTGGATAGGTGGTGGCGGAGGCGGTTCTGATCCCGATGCGAGCGCTTCTCGTTGGAGCTCCTCCTGTTCCTTTAACCAGGATGGGAGGGTAGCTTTCACCTTGGAGACGGAGGAGGATGAATCTTGGCCACCGCCGCCGCTGGCTGATCCCGCTTTCTTTGCATAGATGGGCTTGGGCGCTACTGTAGGGACTGTGTGTTGCCGTTGCTGATGCAAAACGCCGTGCGAGACCATAGAACTTCCGGCGCCGACCTCGCTATCGCCACTAATACCAGGCTGCAATTGGCTAGACGTACGACGGGCTGCAGTGCCCAACTCGGTATCATTGCGTCCTACGTCCGATGCTGATTGCTCCGAATCACGACGCTGCAATGGGTGACTCAGTGCACTGCTGCTACCCAAGAACGACTTTGTGCCCGACATGGAACGCTTCTTGGCGTGCGAAGTGGCAGCAGCGATCTCTGGTGGTGCTGTTTGACCGTTCAACAGACGAGGCTTTGCTGGTGGATGACCGCCGTGCTTGGCTGCTGACGACTGCAAGACGGTGAATGTTTTGGGTGGGAGCGATTCCTTGGCTCTGCGCACTTGGCTCCGTGCATTGAGACCTGCTTGAATGAGTGGGCTGATGTGTCTCGGTGGCAGAGGAGGAGGGTTGCGGTCTCCAGGGCGGGGTGGGAGTGGAGGCGACGAGGCACCAAGACGATCGGCCTGATGCTGCTGACGTGAGCGAGAGCTACTGGCTTGGGAAGAGGCGTCGTTTGCCTGGTCAAAGACCACTTTGGGGAAGTGAGTTTGGGCTGCCATTGCTGGTGTACCGTTTCGGAAGGGGTTGGATGCTGGTGAAGAAGCGCGAACGGGCGTAGGCTTGACAATGCGTGGCTTGCTCTGCTTAAACGGATTTGGCGCCGGATCGAAGCCAAGCAATGCACCTGAAGGGGTCGAGATGTTGGTAGGCAGTGTTGAGGCGGCTCCAACTGCGACAGCATAACCAGAACCGCTTGCGTAGCTAGTTGTGGATGTTGCACCGTCGTGGAATGGATTTGCGCTCGAGGATGGCGGGATAGGCACTGGCTTGCGTTGCGACTGCTCGAGGTTAAGTGGGATGTTGGGGTTGGCGAACTTGGGTTTGGGAGCGACCAACTTGGGCATCTGCGGCTTGGCTGGAACGGCAGGTGGAGGCTTGAAAGCGTCTCGCGGAGAATCAGGTTGCTCGTTGAAATTCAAACTGAATTCCTCACGTACTGGCGTCAGAAGCGGTTTAGTGCTGGAGTCTGGCTTCTGTGGTGGAATCTTGGTCGGTGGTGCAGACGCCGATAGGAGCGGTAATGGGCCGGCAGTGAGGCTCCTTGGTCCGGGGGAAGTGATTTGTTGGACATTGCCAAAAGTGGCTGCCGAAGCACTCTGTGGTGTCGAAATCTTTTTTGGGCGGGCGATGCGAGCAGGCTTGGTCTGAGTGAAGACGAGATCCTTGGTGGCAGACTTGCCTTGTTGAGCCCATGATACCAGACGAAGCATGGCGAAAAAATGACCAGATGCCAGGCCTAGCGGTGTACGCTCAAAGAGAGGCAAGATCTCGAGCTCGTCGGCGATTGACATGCCACATTCTTGGCGCAAGTAACGCAAACCATCTTGCTCGTCAATGAGATCTGGTTGATTACTGGGAGCAGGTTTGATACTTGCAAAGCTTGAGAGGTAGACGATGTATTCTTGAGGTGAGAGCGCAGACTCGTCTAGAAAGGATCTGCGTGCAGGGTTGAGGAGTGCTGCTGTGGAGCCGGCTCGGATTGAAGAAGCAGTCGAGGTGTTAGGAGAGGGCGAGGCCATGGCTAATGTTGGGACATGTGAGTGTGACATGCCTTGGCACTTGGCGTTGAACTAGGACCTCTTCTGCTCCTAGCTACGTGAGCACCCAGAAAAGCAAAGGCAATGTCTACTGTCTCCTTGTTCCTTTGGACTTGTAGGGGTTGCTAGTCCTTGGGGCTGAGATGATGGGCGTGATCCTTGGCAGTCTTATCTGGATGATGCGCTCTAGCTTTGCATGGGTTTGTCGACTGCGGTGAGTCACTGAGGCCTGTTTGTGGATGCAATGCTGTAGCAGGCGAGCTGGATTCGGTGAGATGCCTGGTTTGAGCCGTCTGTAGATGCGCGTTGTGCAAAGCCTGTGAGATTGTAGGCTGCCTGAATTGAGTCGATGGATCGGGATAGTATACAATGCTTTTCTGTGTCAACTGCGAGAATGACCGAGTTGATGAGGATGGGCCGATGCTGTTGCGTGATGGTGTTGGAAGGAGTGTTGTTGTGTTGATGGTGAGGACAAGGAGACTCGATTGGATGAGATGATGATCCGGGGACGGGTAAGCTCCAGGAACTGGAGGGTTAAAAAAAATAAATTGACAGGATGGACGCAGGATGATGGTGGACCAAAGCGAGATGGAGCGTCAGAGTGCGCGTGCTGATTGTGTCTCAGTGAATCGGAGATGGAGACGGAGGTGCGAATGAGATTGCCGGACCGATAAGCCGTTCTGAGCCGAGACAAAGGCGGTGGAGTGCGGTGGATGGACGCGGCAAGAAGGATCGAGTGGAAAAGAAGAGAGAAAGAAAAGAGAGAAAGAAAAGAGAGAAAGAAAAGAGAGAAAGAAAAGAGAAAGAAAAGAGAGAGCGAGACGCTTGTGCTGACGATCATGTATCTCGACGTCGGAAGAGCCGTTGAGGCGCCGAGTGATCAAAAGCGGAGCAGCCGAGAGTGGCGCGCAAACTGAATGGAATGGAATGGGATGGCAGGAGGGAGATGCCAGTGAGAAGGGCTGCTCGACAAATACTGCTCAACAAGGGCTGCTCCGATCAACAAGAGAGATGAAGGGCGATGTGAGCCCACAAAAGGAACGCAGAAATCACAAATCTCACCAAATCCGCGATAATGAGAATCAATTTCATGGAAGCTGAGCTGGCATTTGAAGCAGAAAACAACGTGAGCCAAAACAAAGCTGCTTTCTTTCTTGTTCAGTTCAACGTGACTCACACTCACACTCACACTCACACTCACACTCACACTCACACTCACACTCACACTATTGCTGACGTTCACTCGCAAAGACAGACAGAGCTGACCGACCGGAAGACGGCATTTTTCAAAGGAAAAGACAGACAAATGAATAAATGAATGGATGAATGAATGGATCAGTGGATTTTCGACGACTGCTGCTGGCGTCGTGAACTAGTGCTGCTGCGGACGTCTGAAAATATCATCATGAGAGAGCACGAAAGCAGGAAAATGAAGCGAAACAAAAGGGCACACAATTCTTAAAAGTAAGCTAGGCACACAGAAGCCCATAGTAGCCAAGACGCCCTTCCGGGTTGCCAAGGGCAAGATCAGCTCTCTTCAAAAGGCTAGCTAGCAGCAAGAAAGCGGATTCGGAGCTGCAAATTTCAAAGAAGGGCCTTTTTTCTTTTTCTTTTTCTTTTTCTTTTTCTTTTTCTTTTTCTTTTTCTTTTTCTTTTTCTTTTTCTTTTTTTCTTTTTGCTGCACAAGGGCAGCAGGCCTTGTTTCTCGTTTCCACGGCGAATCAAAAATTGCAAAATGGATGCACGACTGCGTCGCATCTGTCTCTGATGGATTGATTTTTTGTGTGGTCATAGCTGTGCACAGACGACCCGATGACGAAAATATTGAATCAGCGAGACTCTCTTAAGCCTCCTTGTTGGAACGATCGGTAGCCGCGCTAACCGTCCTTCGTGTGGCTTGCGTGGCCGAAGACAGCGTCCTTTGAGCTTCAGGCTTGGGTGTGGATAGCGGCGTGTTCTCGGCGCTCTTCATATCCTCCAATTTGGGCAAGAACCCGGCTTGCTTGGCTCCGCCTTCGTGCTGCATTTCGAATGCCTGCGATGCCGCTGAGAATGGCAACTTCTTTGCTGCAGGCCCAGCATTCTTGAGCTCCGCCACGTGCACGTCTTCCAACAACGAGTGGGTGCGGTTTCTACGCCAAGTAGCTCCACTGTCCGCTCTTGATCTCTTGCCCTCACCATTGCCGTTGATGCTGGTAGTCGTGAGACTGGCCGGCAGTGCAGAGCTTCTGTTCGATTGCGACGTCCTGCTGCCAGCACCATCCAGGATACTGCCCGAGCGCGTAGTGGTAGGCGACATGGCGCCACCTTCCCTCATGAGTGCTCGCAGATCTTGGTTGCTCCTATTGCGCTTCTCAGCGAACGTTTCACCGCTACCACCGAGACTGCCACGGCTTCCACTGCGTGAACGAGAGTGCGTGCGGCTGCGTCGACCCGACGATCCAGGTGTGCCTGGGCTTCGTCCACCACCACGCAGCCCATTCATCAAGGTCTGTGGGTTGAGCATCGAGAACACAGCTTCGTAGTCGCCCTCGTCCTCCTCGCCACTCTCCGTATAGCTTGAGCCCTCGGAAGCATCGTCCCATGACCCTTCTCCCTCCTCGTCCTCGCACTTCTCCTCCTCTTCGTCAATTGCAATGCTGTCGCCACCAGCGGCTTCGCGTGCAGCACTGGCACTACGCAGAGTCTTGATATCCTCCGCCGTCATCGAACGACGTGTCGAAGAGCGACGTCGACGACCCCAGCCAAACAGTCGTTCGTCCATCCATTGAAGAGGGTGGCTGAGTGCGTCGTTGCTTGCACCACTCGTCGCTGCCTTCTGCTTCCACACCAATGCCTCTCGCTCGGGCGGCGGTGGCGCAGTGGCATTCGGCAGCATTCGGTTTTCGGAAAAGTCCTCCCATACCTGCGGGGCGAGCTCGTCGATAAGTGCGTGCATGTCGGCGCTGATCTTGGCTCGCGTCTGTTGCAAATCGAGGATCACCTTGTGGTTGCCGGGAATCAGCGAGACGAAGAGGGGAGGCAGCGACTTGTAGATGTCAATTCCGACCTCAGCAAACTTGAGCGCAGAGTACGACATGGTCGGCAACACAATGAGGGCGTATAGTGGCATGAGCGCACGTGTGCCTGGCGAGACGTCGACCTTGTGTGCGATGTAGGTAGCGAGGCCTGCGTAGAACGAGTAGAGAATCGGTGCAACACCAAGCGAGACCAACACTTTCCAGGTCGCCAACACATCGCGTCCAGCCACCTTGACCTGTGATGCTGCCAAAGCCTCTTTGGCCTTCTTGTGACTGATGATCTTGGCCAGCACGATGATGGGTGAGTTGAGAATGGCACCTGGAAGCGCCAAGCCACCCCAGAGACCGAGCAACCCGAGACGGTAGGCCAAAAGGCCGAGACTGCGCCATCCTGCCCTTGTCGCCCGTTCAACCTGGTGATCACGCAGACCTGCATAACGAAGTTTCTTGTTATATCGAAGGATTTCGTCGCGTAATTTGACGACTCGCGGCTCGTCCTTGAACTGGAGGTAGCCCATGATGAACTTGCGGTTCAGCTCGACCGTTTGCCCTAAGCTGAGCGACTGACCTGGAGCTCGGTACAGTCGGCGACCAGCCTGGATGACCATCAGAGTTTCGTAATCGGGCGCACGAAGCGTGACACCCTTGAGACCATCGTAGACGATATCCATCATCTCTCCTACAGCCTTGCGCTTACCTTCTCCACCTTGGTCGAAGAGACCGACCAGTTCACGAGGAACATCGATCGGGGAGCCAAACTCGACTACAGCACGACTGCGGAACTTGTGTGGGTGGAAGTACGAGAGACCAACGGGCACGATACGAACGTTGAGGTCCTTGTTTGCGGACATGGCGCCGAGAGCCATGATGACGACACCGGCTTTGAGCGGGAGAAGATCGGTACGATCGTGACTGCCTCCTTCGGGAAAGATACCGAGACAGCCTCCTTCGGCGAGCTTCTCGTACACTTTGGCGTACATCTGGGTCTGATCGACAAACGGAAGACAGGAGTACTTGCAGCCCTTGTCTTCGGAAAGATCGTGAGTCACCTTGTCCATCGCCTTAGCGTTACTCTTGGCTGATTTTGAAGTGTCGGGTTGCGGGACTTTGCCTCGCAGCATGTCGAGAGCACGTTGGTCCTTGATCTCCTTCTTAAGCTTGACTTCGGTATCACTGATGACTTGCACCACCTCGACGGTAGCATGACCACAGGCTTTGGGCAGCATGATCTGACCCTTAGGCTGAAGTTGAGACTTGAATGCTGTGCCGTGTCCTTGCAAACGAAGAGGATCGCCAGATGGATGAAGCGATATGAAGCCTCTGCCTGCCTTTGCGCTGTCGGCAGCTCTCGCGACGGGAATGGACTGCATGATACGAGCAGCTGCACCGATAAAGCGACGCTTGATGCTCTTCTCTGCGATCAAGAAAGCGACCCTACGTCCCGAAGCACGACGCACCTCGGAGGCGAGCAAGAGTGGGTCAAGGAACTGGTTGTGATGTGGTGCGGCAACAAAGATGACGGGGCCTTGGCGTGGCACTCTCCATGCTGAACGGGGACGGATCTCACGGAAGAAGAGGCTGATGATGATTCGCCAGAAGAAGAGCGCAATGTCGAATGCAATGTTGGAGGCCATGATGTTTTGCGATCGAAAGATGCGGCATATGAGCCTAGCGAGGATGGTAGGTACGAGAGGGTGGATAGGGATGGGAAGCGACTTGAGGAGACGATCAAAGTCTTTGAGGACAGCTTGGAAGCTGGGCGAGTCTCCTTGGCGGGAGTAGGGTGTTAGCTTGGATGTGGAGAGCGAGAGATGCTTGGCTCTGCGCTGGTACTCTTTCTGCTTTGATCCGATCTCAGCGGCGGTTCCTTGAGCGATAGCAGTGCCGGGATGTTGTTTTAGAGCCTCGTTGCTAGGCAAGTGGGTCGGATCCGTGTCGATTGATGGCGGCTGTGGGCCAGATGGCGCAGCTGATGCGGATGCAGTGAGGTTGTGCGGATGTGTTGCCGATGATGGCGTGAAATTGCGATTGGCAGCAGGATCTTGACAAGCTGCGGTCGATGGGTCGGATGTGGCGGTCATTAAGGGAGTCCAAGGCGTGAGTGAAGCGAGTTTCGCAAGAAAAGAGCGTTCGCAGGGGCGGCTGGGAAAGACGGAGGAATCGCGCCGAAGAAAGGATTTGCAGTAACAGGACCGAACGTTCAAGACGGTGCGAGTGGCCGTTTAGCTCGCGTAAAAAGCTGATGAGAGAAGCGGTGCGTGACGATGTCTCCGGGTTTCCTGGTGGAGGAGGAAGTGAGAGGTGGGCGCAGGGGGCCTAGTTGGATTAGCGGGGCCTCACTACGTCTGGGGCGCAATGCTTCGGCAGATCTTGTTGAATGAGCCCACAGTGAAAGTTTGACGCTATGGATGATGGAGATGATGGTCGTTGCTGAAGAGGAGGTCCAGTGGAACCCCTTTCCTTGTTGGACTTCTCGTCGCAACTCTACCGTTGAGCAATGGAGTGGAGCTGATTCAGAGAGAGAGAGCGCCTCTGTGAAGCCACACAAAGTTGAGATTGCAACTTTGATGTGTGAGCGAGCGAGCGAGCGAGCGCGCTGCTGTTGAACTCGAATTTTGACAGCTTTCGCTGAAATGTCTGTGCACGCACAAGCAGCAGAAGGGGGAGAGGAAAAAAAAAAAAAAAAAAAAAAAAAAAAAAAAAAAAAAAAAAAAAAAAAAAAAAAAAAAAAAAAAAAAAAAAAAAAGAAAGAAAAAAGAAAGAAAAAAAGAAAGAAAAAAGAAAGAAAAAAGAAAGAAAAAAGAAAGAGAAAAGAAAAGAAAAAAAAAAGAAAAAAGAAAGAGAAAAGAAAAGAAAAGAAAAAAAAAAAAGCCACACTCTCGAGAAGAGGAAACAGAGAGACACACACACTCAAGCTCGCACGAACCAGCAGCAGCAGCTGTGTGTCCTTCTCCTTTACCGGAAATCACAATCGCATCTCTTCCCCCCACAGAGCGGCTCCTGAAGCCCTTCTTTTCTTTCCAGTTGCTTCCAGCGCAAGGCTCTCTCTAATCATTCACTCGCGCACGCGTCTCTCTTGTGGGTCCGTCGGGCTCGACATCATCGCTGCCTCGGAACATCACCATAACTCGATTATGGGTGACGCTTTCCGAGAGACAGCATCACATCGATATTTAATGCATGAGCATCGATTGGCTTGACATCAACGCAGCCAAGCTGACAAGTAACTTACAGGTAAGGTGCTGACGTGTTGCATCAAAGCGGCATGAAAGTGGGCGGATTTGTTGGGACGGCTGCAACCCAAGCGTCGTATTTGTGCGATGCTCTCCCACCATACACTTCTGCTGACACTTCTTTTAACTTTGCACCTGCTCTGTGCAATTGACATAGTCGCACCGCAACAGACTTTTCTCGGTCAAAGTGCTGAGATGTTCATCGTAATGGCTTCGTTCAATCGGGTGCATTGCATCGGGCTCGGGATGAGGGAGCCGTTGGCCTCTGCTACAAGTAGTATCACTTACCTCTCCGTCTCGACGTTCACAACCACTTGCATATCGACATCTCTAGGTTGAGCCTCTTTGCCGCATCCTCCGTGTAGTCCACACCACGTTTGTCCATGCAGCAAAACGAGATTTGAGCGCTTCCCACCGTGTACGCATTGATATCCCTCCTAGCAATCTCTGCTGTTCTTGAGAACCATTGACTCTCTCGTTTCGACTCATCATTGTCCTTTGCCGTGTACTTTTCCTGCTTGACGTTGAGTTCCACCTTCTTGACACTGCAGATCGTGCTAACCTTGGTGCCGAATGCGTGTGAAATGGCCTTGTTGACGGCGTAATCGCAGCCTGTGTTGCAAAACATGGAGTACAGCGCGTGCTCATCCACTTGCCGAAGGGCTGCTTCTGGTGAATCGTCACCGGTAACATTGCATTCGAGCACGCTCTTGCAAACATCTTTAAAGATAGTTCTTGTTACAGCGCCCATACATGCTGAGGCGAAGACGAGGGCAGACAGGGTGATGCTTGCGATCCTCATTTTGATGTAAGAGTGTTGCTGAGTGACGTTGGGCTGCAGGCTGGGCCGATTACGGGCGACGGCTTGGAGGTGATGCAAAACGCAGAGAGTATATATGCCCTACAGCACGTTACAGTGTGTCACTGTTCCTGCCTTTCCTCCTGCCCCTTAGACCCACACAAGGTCTTCACTTCATCTGATGCCGTGTCCGAAAAACTTCCCTTGCTGAAGTGATCTCATGATCGCCCCACCATTGTGGCCGCATCGACTTCGCCATCTCTGAAATGAAGTGGGCAAGTGGTATCGCCAATGACATGCAGCAGAGTCTCGTAAAATGTCACTTATTCAATCAGACCTTGTTCTGACCAAGATAATAGATCACAGCAAGTCCCCCACCTCGTCAAGAAATTCATCGTACTCTTTCTTGCTGTTGTTGCCACTCGACTCTGACTGTCCACCCGTGCTTTTTGGCGGCAGATGCGCCTGCACCGACTTGAGTAGGTCCGGCTTCTCCTTGTAAGCCGCTGCCGAAGCTTCGCTCGACATGTCCTCCGAAATGGGTGCTGCATCAATCCTTCCTGGCAGACCTCGCTTCATTCTTGCCTTCTCCTCTTGTTGTTTCTTACGTAATGCGGCTGGTACAAAGGCGGTCGACTCTTTTTTCAAGTCACGCAGCTGAGGCTCTGCAGCAATGACAACGCCGTCCGGTATCGATGGCGGGGGTCCTGGAGGTCTTGGTGGATCAGATCCTGGAACTGGCGGGCGTGATGAAGATGCTTTAGCAGACGCCATCGGTGGAGCTGGTCGTGCTGAAGGTCCAGTTAGCGGTCGTGGTGGTAGACCGGAAGGATTGCGATTCGGCCTTGCACTACCCTGCTGGTTGGGATCACGTCCTTGCCTTCCGCTCTGATGGCGAGGCTCCTCCATGCCTCGGCCCCTGCCACCACCGCTGGGCCCATGCCCTCTGCCTCTAGATGGATTGTTGTTCACGGTGAACCCTCTTTGCATGTCTTGGTGATCAGGAAGGAGCCTGATGGGAGGCGGCCCTGCAGGCATAACAATGTCTTTCAGATCTTCATCAATGCTCGAGTCGTTGCTGTCATTATCCGAGCCAAGGCATTGATACTCGGCAGTCTCTTCCGGCAGCGGTGGCGGTTTGGAATCATCTAGAAGACCCTCCGCAACAAGCTGTGCATGCGACTTTTCGAGGTAAGGCATGCCCGGCGGTGGCGCACCATAGGGGTTGAAGATGGCATCGTAGTAGATGCTCCATCGTGGATCTCGCTGAGTCAATTGCGCTGCTGGAAGGGCCGCTCGAAACTGCGAGGCGGCGGGGATGTGAGGTCGATCATTGGTCTTCTGACCGTTTGAGCTGCTCGCACCGTCTTGGTAGCCGCGAACAAAGTTGCGATGATCGGGATGGTTGCGAATGTACTCTTCCTTGATGCGCTTGACCTTTGCAGCTTCTGCCTGTAGTCGTTTAAGCTCCTCTTGTTCCTCTGCATCGAGTGTGCCCTGCCTTGACTCGAGTCGTTGAATCTGACGCTCGAGCGCAGTGGTGTCCTGGCGCAAGAGACGCGCTTCTTGTGCTTGCTCCTTGCGCTCACGATTGCGCTTGGCCTCGCGCTTGATGGCAGCTTTGCGTGCAGCCTGCACTGGATCAGCCGTCTTGGCCATCGTGTCCGCCGACCGAATGAGAGCTTGTGGGGACTCGAGGAATGGCGATGGCTGAGCACAAGCAAGAAGAAAGCAACACAGGTCACTCAAGGTATTCAATGATCTCTTTAGTTCGTGCTTTAAATATGGCCAACTTTATTTACTCCACACCGAGATCCGAGAAAAGCTTTAGAAAACGAGCCTTGATCTGTTGACTTGGCTCGACATGCTCTTGATGGTGCGTGATATCCCCCCACTTCTGTAGCCAGTCAAGATATGCCTGACGGAAGCGACCGACATTGTCTGGTGTGGCGTCTGCGCAAACTGCTTCGACAACAGCGTCGACGTCGCAAGGATCTGATGATGACTTGTTGAGTTGACGATGCAAAAGGCTAGAGAGAAGAAGGACATAGATGCCACAGTCGCTGCCGTTGACCTGTCCTTGAAGACAGTGCACTTTTCTAGGAACGGCAGTAGCTTTGCTGTGATTCTTTCCTGGCTGTATGAGCTTGAGTATGCTGGCGTATACTGCGTTGGCTGCGGATTGATTGCAATCACCGAGAGAGTCTAGATGATGGGCGACTGGCTTACTTGCAGCCACTAGCAGAAGCCTCCAATGACTTCCTAAAGATGCGTGGCCTGGACTTGATGGGCTATAGCGGTCATTGACAGGCACAAGTAGGTAGCCTTCCTTCGGTCTTGGTACAATAGCCGCAACGTCTTCGAAAGAGGCATGATCAAGTGTGCACAGCACTTCTACGACAGAAGGCGGAAACATCTTAACCTGAGACAAGGAGCTGCCTCTGTCGAGTTGCCCGCTGAGCGCATTGAGCCACTCGGCATGGAAAGTTAGGACATTGTCGCCAAGCCACTCGTCATGCTTCAAGGTCTGCAAGTACCAAGACCACCCCAACGGAGGCCAGATAGAGAGGTTGCGCGTAAGTTTATGCATCATATAATGCTCGCAAGAGGGAAAGACTTACGTCTAGATCCGACTGGTGTAGACAGGCTTCTGGTGTCGAGACGACGAGAGGCTCGTTCTCATGGCTCATACTGGCTCTATGGGGCTTCCGGCTTGAGATGGTGGTGGGGATGCAGGAATAATGTCTCAGCGTTGCGAGCTGCTTGGTTGGATCGGTGAGGTTTTTATCATATCACTCACACACCGTCTTCAGCTGCTGTCTTACCCACTTTCTCGTCTTTGAATCCTGGTCGGATCGATGCCGAAAGCAACGTGACAGTCGACAGTCGGTACTGCCGATGCGGTCATGGTCCATTCACATTCTCTCCACTGATTGTGCCTCATCAAGACGATGCCGAGCCCGTGTGAAAAAGGCGAACAAAAGCGCCACCCTGGACTCGCTCCACATCCGAACTCCCCTGAGGCTCGCTCTGACACCACAGTCACAGTCTGAGCGTCGTTTTGTTGCAAAGCGAAAGAGTTTGGTCCCGATAACTGGCGATCGGGGAGAGTCTGAGTACGATGTCACTGCTGCTTTTAAGACAGAAACATATATACTCAATTGACTGAGTGAACGTGGTGAGAACCTAGTGTTCTCAGCTTGATATATATACATCTATGAGGCTCATACCGAACGTGAGAGTATCCTACTTCATGACCTAGCTTGACAATGAGCGGGACTGTGTTGTACCCGATCTCTGTTCAGATCGGTCCTCTGACCAGATCGGCTCTGCATCAGTCATCCTTTAGCGTCTCACTGGATTGTAATCTTCAGCATCGCATAGCGTGTAAAGTTGGAAAGGCGGGCTCGTGCGGTGATTTCATTTTTGAGCGTCCCGTCTGGACTCAATCGCACGAAACAAGACCGAAATTGTATATACCTAACACGAACAAACTAAGTGCGTTGCAGGCAAAGACCGTGTGTGGTCCTCGAAGCTCGACAAGCAGGCTTCCGGCCCGCCGTAACAGGGGAGAAGCGGAGCGAGTCGATTGTTGAGTCCAGCCTAGACGCGCACGCCTTCATTACTGATCACGTGATGCATCATTGCTACAGCAGCAAGGCCTCCTGAAGAACAGCCAGCCATCCGGGACAACTCTTTGACGGCAGCAACGACAGCACCTTGGTCCTTTATCGCTTATACCATCTTCAAAGACGAGTGACATCCATCATCCGATAATCTGATCCCAACAGTACATTGTCCGCATCTGCATCTAACTTGCAGCGCAACATGGCTCGTCCATCCTCTTCCAACCACAGTCAATGGCGAAGTGAGCCTACTGGCGCTCTCGCTCCCAGCACCGGCAAAACCTCTCGACGAGGCTTAAAGATCGACAGGAGCGAAGATGGCCATGGCAAGTCAGAGCCGCTCAACCGACATGAGCTCATGAGAAGAGCGATGGCTACCGCACAAGACTACCATGAAGATGATCACGAGGACGGCGACGATAGCGGTAGTGTCCTTGACGATGACCATGATCATCTGTCCACATCACACCATTCTCACACACAACATCCCACCAATTCGAACCCTGTCATTGTCCGGCAAGCTCCACAGCATGACACTCCCTCCAATCGTCCAGGCGATGGCAGCCTCTCGATAGATGCTTTCGGCACTGGTCAGTCCAATGTCGTAAATGCTAACGGTCCTGGTCCAACTACGCCACGCGTTCCTGCTCAAGCACGGGTGTCCTCTTTCTCTCACAATACAGCTTCTCCAGCAACCAAGCAGCCTGGCGTCAACGCACCGAGCTCGCCTTCTTTGACTGCTTCGTCTACTATGCCCACCTTGGTCACACCTGCACCCATCCGTGCTGAACTGCCTCGATCCGACTCGCTCGAAGAGATCATCAACCAGGACAACCTCTACGCCCCCATGCAGCGCTCCGACTCTGCTCTCACACCCAATGCTGACGCAAACAGGGGCGGACCACAACGTGCTAGCACCATGATGGAAGGCAGAATCTCGCCCACTCACAATCAGGCCATGTCCAAGAGCGCATCAAGTGGTGCTCTCCTCCGGCCCGGGGATCTCCCAGCAACTACGGATGGCAGTCCACGTAGACCATCGGATGCAGGCTCATCCAGCGGCCTTGCTCCCGTGCCCTTCCTGCGACTTCGCAAGAACAGCGACAGCAGCACCATCAGCAAAGCCAGCAAGGGTAAGAAGAACGCGCCTTCCAATGGTATCGCTGGTGCATTGGCAGCAAGCGGAATGGCTGGTATGGGGGTCGGTCATGCGGCCGTACTGCAGCATGGTCAAGCCGCCCTAGCCGATGCCGAGCCTCCATCAACCAAGAAGAAGAAAGAGACTAAGAAGTTAGGCACGGATCTAGGCGAGGAAGGCGCGGCCGGACATGTATCGGGTTTCCAAGGCGGCATCTATCGCGACCCCTCGACAGGCACCATGATCGAGAAAGACCAAGATGGCAACCAATTTCAACCGCATCGACCAACACGCGATCGCAGCACAAGTAGCTTTATGTCTTACGACGGCTCTGTCACCAGCGATCGATCCTCGGTCAGTGGACTCGGTGCAGCTGCCGGCTTTGGTGCCGCATCAGCTGCTCTCCTCTCTTCCATCGGTGGTGTACCAGGCATGCCCATCACATCGCCATTGATGACACCGGACGGAGCCCATCCCATTGGCGGTGGAGGTCTCGTTCCACCACAGGCCGGTGGAGCTGGCGGCCGAGGCGATCAGATCGACGGCGAGACGACATGGCCCGAAGACATGGGCCCACAGATCACCGGCTTCGCTGTGGCAAGCTCGAAGCGCAACCACGAATTCCACCAGCTTTTCCCGCAAGTACCTGAGGATGACTACCTCATCGAAGACTACGGCTGCGCTTTGGTCCGTGAGATTCTCATCCAAGGCCGACTCTACATCTCGGAGAACCACCTCTGCTTCAAAGCCAACATCTTTGGCTGGGTCACCAACGTCGTCATGCCCTTCTCAGAGGTCATCTCGATCGAAAAGAGAATGACTGCCTTTGTCATTCCCAATGCCATCCAGATCGCAACATTGCAATCCAAGCACAATTTCACCTCGTTCCTCTCACGAGATGCCACCTACGACCTCATCGTCAATATTTGGAAGCTGTCGCATCCCGGTGTGCCAATCGCTGCTGCCGATCAAGCTGAGCTCTCTGACGAGTACTCAGAGGTTGAGGATGATGCCGATTCGTCCGCCCTTCCCGGCGGCGCAGGTGAGGGCAAGGGAGGTGATTCCGAGCAACAACAGGGCAAGGATGGCGGTGACTCCAAGCAATCAAAGCGAGCCAGACTCAAGCGTAAGCTCAAGGGCACCAAGACTGGCGTTCGAGATGAAAATTTGGCCGCAGTCGCCGCTGCAGCCGCAAGGTCAGGCACACCTCTTATCCCACAAAGTCGTTCGCCAGCACCCGGCGGCAAGCGGGCCGCACATCGCAAAACCACCTGCCCATGCGAAGAAAAGAAAGAACACTTCTCCTCGAATGTACTCGACACGACTTACCCCGCCGTTCCCGAGAAGATCTACAACCTCCTCTTCACCTCTGGCTTCATGAAAGAGTTCTGGACCAACGATCAAAAGCTCATGGATCTGCAAATCTCCGAATGGAACCCCAGCTCGGACAACCGCAACCTTCTCACGCGCAACATCTCGTACATCAAGCCTCTTGCCGGTGGATTTGGACCTAAGCAGACCAAGTGTGTGTTGCAAGACGAGAACTTGCACGTTGATTTCGACAACTATGTCGTCACTCTGACAACAACGCGCACGCCGGATGTGCCAAGTGGTGGCAGTTTCTGTGTCAAGACCAAGACATGTATCACCTGGGAAGGAACCGGTAATGTGTCGAGAGTTTATGTGACGTGTCAGGTGGAGTGGTCGGGACGCAGCATGTTGAAGAGTATCATTGACAGAGCTTCGCTGGATGGCCAAAAGCAGTACTACAAGGAGCTTGATGAGGCGGTGAGGAAGTACTTGACAGACCACACGTCTGAATTCAAGGAGGAAGGTGATGATGCCGCTGCTGTGGAGGAGATCGCTCGTGCTGCTACGCCCGGGCCGAACAGTCGCAAAGGCGCTGCTGCTGCAGGAGAGCGTTCTGCCAGCGGTGCAAATGATGACGCTGCCGGCTCGAGCGGCGCTGGCAGTGGAGGTGCTGGCAGCGACGCCAGCGGCAGTGGCAGAATCTTGGACACGGTCATGGACGCATTTGGAATGGTCAGCGATCTCATTGGTGGCGCCCTCGAGATGGTCGGCATCGAAGGCGGAGTCAACCTCAAAACCCTCGTCTTTGGTGGCATCATCTTCATTCTCCTGCTCTCCAACATCTACACCTATCGACGAGCCTCTGCGTCGCTCGCCTCTTCCGCTCGAATGGTCCGTCATCTGGACCGCATGCAAACAGATGGTGTCAATCGTGGCTATTTCAACGACGAGGGCTACTACGGTCCTCTTTCTCCCCGCCGCAGCAGTGGTTCAGGTGATGCACCTCCGAGCTACGAACGCATCTTTGCACCCAACGTCTACATCACTCCGCCAGGCGGAAACGATGCGACGCCGGATATGATCGCAAAAACTGTAACGGAAGTGTTGGAGAGACTGTATAAGCAGAATGCAGAGCGGTTTAGGGAGGCTGCCGCTCCAGTGAATGATCCGGAGGCGGTGAAGAGGATGTTTGCTGAAGCGGAAGCGCATATTGATAAGCTGGAGAAGAGGTTGAAAGCTATCAACCAGGATGTAGCCGGAAAGAAAGGAGCCAAGGTTGAGCTCTAGATCTTCTCATCCACTTGCGGAAACCTCGCTCGGATGCTTTTGTAAAGGGATGCTGCTAAGCACTTTCATCTCAAACTATCATCTCTCCTTTGCCTTTGACTGTGGGGCCTTCGCATGGGCGCCTGCGAGCGCACTTTCTAGAGATGGTCTCTGAGCAGACTTGTTCCGCCAGACACACCGGGCGCCAATCAAGCGGACTCAGCCATGCGCAGATAGGACTCTGGTGGTTAGCAAATCACGTTGATAGAAGTACAAGAAGGCCATGCGACCGCATCGAAACAACTCCTTCCTTCCGCCTCTAAGACATGCCAGCCTCGCTCTCCAACTCGTCTGCCTTCGCTAACAGGGCTTCCTTCCTGGCCTTCAACTGTGCCATTGTTCTCTGTTGGTTTTGAAGCTCTTCCCTCGCCTGCCTTTTCTCTTCCGTCTCGGCCTCCTTTTCCTTGCTCTCTTCCGCCGCTGCTGAGGTTAGCTTGGACTGGTGTAGGTCAATAGAGCGAATGTTTTGGATCCTTTGTTGCAAAGCTTCGTACTTGTTCTTGAGTGCGACTGCACGACGATCTTGACGTTGGATTTCGGCTGTTGCCCTGCGACAGAGCTCTTCGACGTAAGGTCGGACTTCAGTGGCAACGTGCTCTCGGGCGCTTTCAATGTCTCTTTGCGAGACAAGGTCGAAGTGCTACAGGTGCAGAGAGAGAAGTGAAAGGTTGAGTTCAGTATGGACGGCTCGGTGTGGACGGCTGGCGAGGATGAGGGTGAGCAGGGAGAACGACTTACGCGTTGAGATTTGAGTACAGTCATGAGTCGTGGATGGTCTTGAATCGCAAACTCCAGTGTGTCGATCGCCTCCTTCATCTGTACACAATCAAGGACATTGAGAAATCGGCACCAGATAAGGTCAGTACAGATCGACGCGTTTTGCTCGACATGCTAAAGTGATATGCTTACGGTCTGAACACAGCTCGCGGCGGATGATACGCAATGCTGCAAAGATGAGATGAGGTGCTGTGATGGTTGCGGAGGCATGTGCATCTGTGCAGCAGCGTATTGGGCATCGTATTGAGCCTGTTGCTGCCCTTGCATTTGTTGTTGCTGTTGCTGCTGCATCATCGGATGCTGCGGATATGAAGACTGTCGTGGCATCAACATGATACAAGGGCCGCTATGCGAGCTTCACCGCTGGTTAATGGTGAAGAGATGAGGAGCGAGATGGTGGTGTAGACGAAAGGAGTGACCGCTAATCCTGCGAGGTGGAGACAAGGGAGACCAACACAAGCTGCAGGCTTGTTCGGAAATTTGAGCTGAGCTGCTCATGTGTTGCTCTCTACGCACAAAGCAGCCAAGTTGGCGCGTCAACGCGCGCGTCTCAAAACTCAATTTCCTGACATGTTAGACCAGCATTTTCGACAATCCGATTTTCCGCCCAACTTTGGCCAAGTTTCGTGCTTGACGCTGAATGACAAGCATGATGGTGGAACATAATGATTGATGAGAGGTGTGGTATGCCGTCACAGATCCTTCAGAGAGCGAGACTAAAGTACATTTGAGGGTTGCGACAAGCTGCTATACCAGCATCGAATTGGAGGGAGACTGAAATAAGGGTAGAATCATAAGCACACTTGAAATGACTGCAGCGTGGAGTCAATCGCCTCTGTCGGCGACCTTTGGAGCGCAAGCGGCAGGACCTCCACCAGGTGCTGCACCGCCACCCGCAACGCCATACGGGCTCAGTGTTCCCCAGGCGTTGCTGAGTCCAGCCCAAACCTTGCTACCAGGCACAGGCTGAATGTTGTCGACGATGTGACGAGCAATCATACCGGTGGCACGATCAAACTCGTACTTGAAGATGACAGTGTACGTGTGCGGATGCGAGGAGACACGGGAGATTCCCTCGAACCGTAGCCTGACGACTAGCTTGTCCTGCCAAGAGCCGCCATGAGACGAGTCGGCATCTGTGCCTGGCTGGGTGCTGCGTTTGATGTAAGGGCTGATCCCTGGCCATGAGCTGCCTGCTTTGGAACGGCCTTCGAAGCGGGCAGATTCAAGATGGAGGCAAGTGTCGTGGAACAGGGCCGATAAAGCATGTCTGAGCAGGTGTGAGCTGGCGACGTACATGGTACGGCCGTTAAAGCATATCGTGGGTCCGCCGCGCGAGTACTCTTCGTACACTTCGAGCGAGGTTGAGCTGCTTCTTCGATCATCGGACTCGTCGGATTGCGTCCTAGCTTTGCGTGGGGAGCTCTTGTCTACCTTGGATCCTTCTGACTTGCCGAGGCTGATGTGCGGAATTGGCGGTCGAAATTCGAATGCGATGGAAGGATGGTAAAGACTGTCGAATACGTTTTCATCTTCCGCCACCTTGACCTTGCCCTTCTGTGACCATGCCGAGCGTCTTAGTAAGCTCTGTCCTAGGAAGGGCGACAGGCTGGGAAGAAGGCCCTTGGCGCTCCATTTTGACCGCCTTCCTGGAGAGTGGGAAGACTCGTAGTTAGGGTCCAGGTCCTCGAGATCGACTACACCCTTTTGCATAAAGTCAGGCAAGCTATCGACCAGCACTCGACAGGCTTTTCCGACCCTGGTCTGATATTCATGGTCCGAGATACCTCCCTCCTTGGCGCCACGCGGTGTTTCTGGCGCTCCCGAATCTTGCGTTTCCGAGAGGAGGAGAGAATGTTTGCCACTCGTAAGCTTCACATGTGTGCCAGGCCAGATCGCTCTCGAAAGCTCGGCGGGCTGGGAAAGTAAACATGATCTGCCGACAGGTTGCACCTTAGTTGGCAGGGTGCAACGACTTGAGCTAGGGATGACGGTATGTACACACCGCCTTGAGGATTGCGATACCGCTCGCACGGCTGACTTGTCAACTGATCGGAACAAGAGCTTTGATCCTTTCATAGTGTATGAATCAGTATTGTGGTGGAGATGGGCATGGTCGAAGCAGCCTTATGGCCACATGTTTGAAGATGGATGGCGATGGAGAGATGGAGAAGTGGGGCTGTCTGGCAGTGTGGGAAGGCCTCGAAGGCTCAGTTGCACCTGAATCAGACTCAGTCATGCGGCCTGCCGTCAATCAATGCAAGCTTGCGAAATCCTCTTTGGGTTGGTCGAAGCGAGAGCCAAAATGTATCAAGGCCCAAGGTGGAGGTGAGCGAATCGGCCAAGGATCGGGGAACTTGGTCAGAAAAATCAATTGCACGTGACCTATGCACTTGACCATTGCACGTGACCATTGCACGTGACCTTTTCCACGCGCTGAATTGACCTGAGCCAAGGGACGCGTGAAGGTAAGGCTGCAGCGTCAAAGAAAAGCTGTTGAAATTCCGAGAGGGTGTAAGCGCCTGATGGTATGTATGTGTTTGCATACTCTGAAGACTGCAATGCAAATCTATGATGCTCTTCCTTGAACTTTATCGGGCTTTGCGGTTTGTTAAGGCAATCCCTCATCATCCTCTTCGGTTCCGCTACATTTGGTGCATCTTTGGGCTTTGGCTTGAGTCGGCTGACTTGCTTCCATTGCAGGGTCTTGACACCATCACCATCTCCACCGATCGCGCTCCCTCTCTATCGTTTGGACCCGAACCTTTCCCTTCTTGGATTACGCATCACTTCATCGATTTGAATCTACACTTGGACACATCAGCGAGCTGCCTACAGCATTCATTCATCTCTTGTCGAGTGAAGACCATCACCCTGCCACGCTCGTCATACCCTATCACGCGCTTGATGTTGCTCGTTAGCCATTAGATCATCGACTCCACTTACCCCTTGTATATATCGGATCGGCCATCATGCAAGTGGAAACACCCACGCCTCCGGAAGCGCTGGATGCTCTGAGTCCGTCGAGCAAGTCGCTCCTTACCGACCATGCTGGATCTTTCCAAGTAAGAGCATCACCTCTTAATGCCAGTCCTCGTCGCTTGCGCCGAAGCCTTCGACTCTCGGGTGCTCCCTGCCTGACACCACAGCATGCGTTGAACAAGGAGAATCTGGGCGACTCACCCATCAACCAGGCCTCAACATCTGCTAAAACGCTTGATGTCGGCCTTTTCGAAGATGATAAGCTCAGCAGTTCTCGACTCAACTCTCCGTTCAGCAGCAGCGCAGCTCGCAATCCTTCTCCATTGCGCTCTCAAAGCTCGCCACTTCGTAAAACTTCCCCTTCGCGTCGCGATCCAATCCTTCAAAGCGATGATATCGCATCCTCCTCAGACGAATCGGACGACTCCACTCTCGTCTTCTTTGGAAAGCCATCTTCGGCGGAAAAGAAGAAGCGCATGCATTACGAACAGAGAGTGCTCGAGAAGCGTCTAAAGCACAAGGATAGTCTTGATCTCGCCAGGCGGCGATCCATCAATTTCAATCCGGACGACACCATGCTTGTTAATGACCAGATCACGCACGGTTGGTCTTGGTCTAAACCCACACCTACTCCTTTGCGGACACGGATGATGCTGCTATCATCACCAGCACTATCGCCAAGTGCCCCAGAGTCTCCCACAAAGAGTCGATCTAGCAGCACTCGCCCTTCCTCGCCTGAAACTCTCGCCCTGCACCCGAATTCAAGTGGAGATGATGGAAAGAAAGCACATCAAAATTCTGAACTTATCAGTGTCAGCGGGGCTGCTGCTGACATGGAGCCTCCAAACGAACATCAGCAGGAATTGTCGAGTCCCAAGTCTCAACAAACGGTGGTTCAGCTAAGAGGGACGTCAGATATCGAATTGCTCGACCAAGGGCAGCCGGACCAGAAGAGTTGCGAGAAGCCCGCAATCAACCCATTCATTGCTTCACAGACTACCATACCAAGTGGCTTACAGGCCAAGAGTCCTTCTAAACAGCCTCAGGATTCTCCACGGCGTTCGCAGAGCCCCATCCGCTCAGTTGAGACGCTCATTGGCGCTACAATGGCTCACAACCGCGACTTCGTCTCTCCCATGCGCTCGCCGAGGCGCTCGCCAAGGCTGTCCCTGCAAGCACTTCAGCTGTCCACGTCTCCGACCAAGTCAATTGACGGGGGTCTCTTCTTTGGACCGACCACACTCTTTCAGCAATCTCTTGCAGCAGCACAGAAAACCACACCTTTGCAGCTCTCTACGCCTTTCAAGCAACCAACCGCAGCTCCAGCGGTTCCGCCTAGCACAGGTCTTTCGCGTTTTGCGTGCCTACAGAGCCTCGCACCTCTCCAAGCCGTACCTGAAACGCCTTCAACTAGAGTTCTTTCGAGCAAGATGACCCACCAGACGATCCTGCCTTCTCCCTTCATCTCTTCTTCCGCTTTCAGTACTTCATTCAATGTTGGGCCCAGCGTCGCCGATGTGCATGCGAGCCCTTCTCGTATGCCATCAAGGTCCATGCGTACGCCGAGTCCCGCCAAACCAACCCGGTCTCCTCAGAAGCTTGTCGAGAATATCACTACGCCTCTAATGGACGAGTCCAAGGTACGAAGGAATTTTTTACCTTCAAAGGCTGTCCAGGCACCTGATACACCATCAGTCAGATTCGCTGAGCCAAAGTCAACATGCGAGGCCCCCAGCAAACCTGATCAGATAATCAGCGTCGAGCTGCACAGCGCTTGCACCCCTTCACCCATCAAGTCGCAACTGTTCCCGGAAATGTCCAGATCTCCACGACGTACAGAATCGCAATTTGCAGCACAGTCGTCTTCAGCTCGCAGCCCATCAATGGCAGAGGCTGGGATGGCAGCAACGCCGCCGAGGAAGGTCGCTGAATTCAAGCCAGAAACCCCTTGTCCAGTCTTCCGACAGACGGCTCGACGCGTCCCCATCCATCAGCACGAAGCCGATTTCGGTGTCAAGGTTTCACCCGAAAAGCCTTCCTATTCGCCACGTCGAACCTACGCTAATAGCTCAGCGAGGAGCAATGACTTTGGCGTCAAGCCAGAGAGAGTACCTGCTCGCCGCGTGCCTATTCAGCCAGCAGTCGTATCGCGCCAGAATACAGCAAAGTCAGGAGAGGCATCAGCGCCAAGCGGCATGAGACTCGCAAGTGTAGCCTCCAAGACCGCACGTGTAGTCAGCATAGGTTCGGGCAGAATCGGCGGCCATAACACATCTCTTCCTCCTGCCGCCCTTTCTCGAGCAGCATCAGCTACTAATGCTTCTTCGATATCTGGGCAAGCTTCGAACTTAGCTGCCAAGCAATCTGGATCAAAACCCACGTCTGCAACTCAGGGGCATTCCGTAGCATCGAAGGCATCTCGTCTACAACGTCCAGCTTCAGCCGTCTTCGGTTCTAAACAGCCCTCACCCACAAAGCAAGCTCGGTCGCTCAGCGGTCTACCTCGGCCAAAGTCAGCATCTGCAACAGCTCCTCTGTCTTCCGCAGTTGGTCCCGGATCACGTCTTCCGCGGCCTGCCACTTTTGTCGCTCCGACGACTGCAGCTCGTCCCACGTCGAGGCCAGTGCCGATGGCAATTGCTAGACTTGCACCTTCCCAGAAGCCGCTGCAACGCTTTGCAACTGGTTTGACAGCTGCGGAGGCCTCGATTGCTGTGGCGAATGCAGACGACGAGGCTGTCTCTGTGCCTTCATCCTCCGAGTTGTCAGCTTCAGATGCAGATACGAAATCTGATGTGATCATGGCAGGAGTCATCGAAGAGACAATGTTGGAGGCTGCGACCTCCGCTGTTGCAACAACCATTGCAGCGGACAGAGCTGAAGTCAAGGACATCGAGGAGGGCCATGCCACGTCACTAGACCCGCATGCTCAAACAGCAGCCTCAGTGTCCAAGACTCCAGCCGTTGAAAGTGGGGTCAAACCTCAGCCGGTAGCATCCGGTCCGACGCTTCAGTATAGACCTGTGAGGCCGATCACAAAGACGGCGAATGTAGCGCCCGTTCGTTCGTCAAGTCCGAACATGGCTGCGCCTCCGACCCGAATGCCCTCCTCTACGCGCCCAGCTCCTCCAGTGATGCTGGACCCTGAACAGCAACGACTGCGATGTCTGGCCATGCAGGAGAAAGCAAGGAACCGTGCGCCGAAGATCAGCTCGAGTGTCAGCGCAGCCACCAGCTCAGATGTCGAGGAACTTCCTTCGAGTGAAGTCGCACCTGACGAAAGCTCACCACTGGCTAGCCCAGAGGAGCATGCTCAAGCCTCAGCTACTCCCTCCGTAGGGCCTGGCGACGATGCTTGTGTCAGCGCAGCTTTCGCGACGAGCCACTTTGACGGCCAAGATGCCGGGTCAGCGACAGCTGCACCCAGCGGCATCATGGGCCAGAGTGGACTCGGCAATACAATGGCAGGCGCAGCCACACCTGCTGCTGCTGCTTCGACTACAGGACGACCCTTGCGATCCGCCCGAACGGTCTCTCGGCAACTGACGCCTTCAGCAACACGCGTTGCCCCTTCGAGAGGACGTGCGTTGAGCCTGAACGATATCATTGCAGCGCGCAAGATTGACGTGCCTCTCTCGCTGACGGATCAGCTTAGACTGGCAGACACAGTCAACAAGAAGCACAACGAGAAGACACTTGCGCGGTACAAGGTCACCAAGATCCAACGACCTTATGAGCGTCCACCCAGTCCTGACCGTCACGACCACGAGCCTGAGGCATGCACGATTATTGACGACTTTAGCAGTCATCGACAGGGCAAAGGTGACGTGTCTCCTTACTCGACCCCTGTCAAGAGCTCAACTGCGGCTAAAACCGGCCCAGCTGATGGCCACAAGTGTGTCCGCTGGTACCGTCCGCTGTTTGTTGGCAAGGGAGCACATTACGGCATTCGAGCTTGTGACTCTAAGCCAGCGCTCAAGCCCATTCAATACGAGCTGGACAGGATGGGCAACAAGGTTCCGACCGGAACGTCGCCCAAGTTGAGCAAAGGTCAGTCCATTGTCATCTATCGCAACTACTTTAAAGGCGAGCCAGAGCCTGCCGATGACTGAGCGTCAAATATACATGTTCCACATGCTCAGAGACATTGTTGAAGCGCAATCTTATCAGACATCATGTTAGACAGAGGAGGATCAAAACCCAGACCTTGAATGCTGGATGTGTTGATCCGCAATAGTGAGAGAGAGTGTGTGTGGACACACCAGGCCTGTGAGCTCAGCCATTCGCGCGAGTGAGGCTAAGAAGTGGAGTTGGACCATGCCAAAGTTATTCGGATGTCGGAAGTCATTCTGTGAATTTGTGATTCTTGATTGATTTTCTCTGTCTTCTCCTTTCCGGCTCTAAGGATGTGGCACAGAAGCAGCAAAAAGAGAGTTTGAACGCGAAAAAAAAAAAAAAAAAAAAAAAAAAAGTGACAGTCAAGAAGAAGAAGAAGAAGATGAGAAGAAACTGAATTGAGTTCAGCGTCGTTGTCTGCTCTTCATCAGTATGCGAAGAACACCATGTCTCTCTACCACTCGCTCACCTCACACCTCGCCAAACTTGCTTAGAATGCTATCGGCGACACCGTAGACCATCTGAGCACTCTGACACCCCCTTCATTTTTCGACTCTGGTTCAACGACTTCAAGAATCAGATTCATCACGATTGAAAGATGGCGTCTTCCCTCGCGGCGCAACTCGCTAATGTGCGTTCGCACAATGCTGAGCGACTCACATCAGCTGCCTCTTTGGTCAAGCACACATCGTACCTATTCCCACCCAAAACTGCAGCTCAGCAGGACCTCTATACCGTTCACGCTCTCAGTGCCAGCGGCTGGACCGAACTTTCATCACAGGATGCATCGTTGCAAAAGTGGCCCCGCTCTTCAATCCTCTTTAGCGAGGAGAGCAGGAGCATGGATCGCCTCATGCTACCAAAGGAAGAGAACGAGACGATCGACAAGGCAGTCAAGGAGTTCCTTCACCTCGCATCGCCTTTTCTTCTCAGCAAAGGTGCATCCAAGTGTCTTGAATGGCTCGTACGCCGCTTCCGTATCCACGAGTTCAGCGTAGAGGATGTTCTTGCTGCTTTCCTACCATACCACGATACTCAGCAGTTTGCGCGCATGCTCTCCATCTGCAAGCTCGACGGAAAGCCCCATCTTCAGTTTCTACTCTCCGTCAAGAAGTCTGCCAGCCCTCTACCTGCTGGTGTCTTGCACGCCGCTATTCTCGCTCCCGCCACCACCACAGCCAGCTTGGACCTCCTTCGTTGGATTTCTGGGCTCATCGCAAACGATATTTCATTCGAGCTTGGAGTCGCTCCACACCGTGCGCTTATCAATTTCTGGACTTCGACCTTAGTTCAGGTGTGCGCCGCTCGCTCTCGTATGGACGACACCCAGCACGTTGCTGGTCTCTCCAAATCCGCCAGTAACTCTAAGAAGTCGGCAAAGTCACGCGCAGCAGATGCTCAAGCCATTCTCACAGTCTTGCTACCCTCTGCCGTTCGCGTGGCCGGCACTGCTTCGCTTGGACAGGATGCTCAGATTGGAGGTTATATGCTGTTGTGCACCATCGCTCAGTCGTTCCCGCTCAGCAAGGAGGCGATCCAAGGCATTTTCACTAGTCTTGCAAAGCTGCTTGCATCCTCTCAAATGACCTCGGCCATCACCCGTGCCCTTCTTTCGTGCGCCTTCGTACTCTGTGCAAGCTCCAACGCGATCACGGACGCCTTGACGACGCAATCTACATCCGCCACTCGACTGATTCCCGACAGCTTGGCAGCTCTTCTCGTCTCATCGCCCGAGGCAGGCAGCTCGATTTTCTCGCTCGCCAAAGCATACGATGCCCGAGCCTTCCTTGCTCATTTCCTCGCAGCTTTGACTGCTCGTCTTCCACACACCCTTTCGGCCGATCTTCTAAGTACGCTATTACGAGGTCAGGTAGTACACGACGAACTCTGCATCCAAACTTGTGAACTTCTCCTGCGTCTCCGTCTCGGGGCTCCAGTCGGCTCATCTCAGGCACCCGAGACTGCCTTTGAAGCTCACTTTGCCAGCGAGGCTCTGGATCAAGCGCACAAGAACCGGCTCCGGACCCTACACACTGTGCGTGGCCGCAAGCCTTACGTCTTTGACGCAGCCCTCCGCAACTGTACTCGAAAGGGTCAATCCGAAGCACAGATTGCAGCCATCTGGCAGATCGTGCAGGCTGTTCTAGCAATCGAGTCGGGTACCTCGCTCGACCAAGCCTCCAACGGCCAGCTCAACGCTGATGGTCAGGCTGACATTCTCTGGCTCTCGATTCACTCTGCCGAAGCCTCGCAGCGTTCGCTTGCGGTCAAGCAGCTGTTCAAGGACATCAAAGACGGCAGAGCCCTTCCACAGGACACCATGGTGCGTGAAGCTCTTCATGCCCGTATCCAAGACTCTGCTGTCGACGTTCTTCAGGTGTTGTACTCTCAGCCTACCGTTTTGCTTGATGCTTTCGACCAAAGCGACCTCCTCACCTTCGTCGTGGAGTCTCTGGAAGAAGACAATATCCCTGTAGAGCGCTTCGACCTGCACCTCTCGTTCCTCCTCGATGCATACTTGGATCGCTACAGCGATGCACAGGACAACGTTGCTCAACGGGCTGTGTGGCCCTACTTGCTTCAGGAATCCGCTCGTCGCGCGATTGTGAGCTCGACCATCAAGGCGGTCTCACAGAGCAAAAAGGTCGGTGGGCTGCTCCGTTCCATCGCATCTGTTGGCATCGAGTCAATGAGTCCTGCCCAAGCCAACGATGCTGTTGCCCGAACCGTCGCATCCCACCTTGCATCGATCTCGAAAGACGGCCGCAAGAGCTGGATCGATTTTCTCCGTTCTACCACGCATGGCAACACTCAGAACTTAGGCTCAACGTCGACCGCTATGTCCCGAGACTTGGCCCTACTGTCTCTGATTTACTTGGCCGAAGAACTGGAAGGAGAAAGTCTTGTAGCTCTCTCTGATGACACCCTTGAAAGCATTGTGCTGCCGTCCTTTTCGACATCTGGCGCTCTCTCCTCGGAGCAAATTAAGCAGTTGTCGCTCCTCAGCTTGCAGGACACCTTGAAGGTCTCGCCGCACGTCAAGCAGCTTGACACATTCTACCGAGTGGCTGGAACCGAGCAGTGTGCTCAACTTCTGGTGTACTTCCTCCTCATCCAGCTTGTGCGTCGCATTGAAGTACCTGCCTTCGACACCTTCCTCACCTCCCACGTGCCGGCTGAGGTCACGCACGCTAAAAAGTTGTTGGGCAATCTCTACTCGGCGGTCAATACCTCGCCTCTGCCAAGCTCACTGCCAAAGTTGCTGTTGCAGATCCTGCTCGTTAAGATCAGCGACTCCAGCCTGCCGTTCTTGGCCTCTGTTTGGACCAACACTTTAGCTCCATATAGCGCGCCTGTACGCCTTGCTGCCCTTCGCCACGCCGACGCCTACCTGCATGCCCAGGCCCAAACTGCCGCGCAGCAGGAACCAAAGGACTTCCAAGTCGTTGTTCCATTCTTGCTCATCGCTCTCACCGACGCAGAGTCTGCCATCCGAATGTCGGCTGTTTCTGCTCTCGAACGTATCCACCAGATCTGCAAGCGAATCGGAGACAGCGCAAAGGCCCTCAAAAAGAAGGGCAAGGAGCTCGACATTTTCGGCTATGAATCCTTCCATGGTATGGCTGGCTCAGCTGACATGCAATACATCGATCTCGTTTCGCTGATGTACTACCTTGACCACCTCGTCGAGCGCAAATCTGGATTCCGAAACGATTCATACATCTTGCCCAAGCTCCACGCCGAGTTCTTGCAAATCAACCGCCTAGATGGACGCAAGGAGATCGGTCACAAGCATGCCATGGTGTGTTTCCTCCTCTCGCACGTTTTGTGCGCCGACTCATTGAGCAGTCGTCTTGTGCTCTTGCAGTCGCTTGCAGCTGTCAGCAACGCAGCCAAGCTCGAGATGCTTCTGCCACTCGTTCGAACCGTGGTTGAGGGCAACGCGGCCGCAGCCACCAAGGCTTTGCGCACCATCGAAGACCGCGAGCTCTACATTGAGCTTCTCTTTGCATCGTACGATCCAAGTTGCCGTTCCGTCATTGAAAATGCTTCCACTGGTGCATGGTCGCTGTATCTGGAAGCGGTGTCCGGAAAGAACGGTAAGCGCCTCGTTCAGAAGGCTGCCGTTAGAGCGCTTGACAAAGCTGGCCTGTTTTCCGCTTTGGCGCCCGCGATGCGACAGGAGATCTACCTTCACCTCGCCAGCATCGTCGCTGATCCTTCGTTGCCTGCTTCGCCCGAAGTCGCTTCGGCTCTGCGCGAGCTACAAGTGGACTCCGCCATCCTCGTGGCCATCTTCTCCGAGCTTCGTGAGGTGATCACTTCCAAGGCTCTCAGTGGACCCGAGGCGAAGCGAGCTCGCACAACGCTCAGCTCCGACGAGACGATGAAGCGCACCTGCGCCATCTTGGTCGCCGTGCTCGAGTCAGCCGTCAGCAACAAGCTTGCTCCCTCCGGCATCCTCCTCTACGAGCTGTTCGAGGTGCTTCGTCTGGCCGTCGACCTGCACTCTGGTCTCCTGGCCGCAAATGCAGAGCAGATGCTTCAGCTTGCCATGGCTTGCATTGAAAAGTTGCTTGAAGGCCTGCTCAAACAGGGTGCACTCATGGCCACTGACGTCACTCAGGCGCTTCGAGCCGATATCATCGTTAGCGTCGTCAAGTGTTCCAACAACCCGCAGACGTTCCAGCATGCTCTGCTTCTTCTCTCCAAGATCGCCAATCTTGCTCCCGAGGCAGTGCTTCACAACGTCATGCCCATCTTCACCTTTGTTGGCTCGACGGTGCTGCAACGCGACGATGCTTTCAGTTTCTCAGTGGTCGAAAAGGTGTTGCAGAGCATCGTCCCGGCACTGGTCCTCTCTCTCAAGGCCAGCGACGCTGCAAAGGAGGACACGTTTGCCCTGCTCTGCGAAGCGCGTGCATTTGTGCGCATCTTCACCGACGCCGCTGCTCATGTTCCCCGTCACCGAAGACAGAGGTTCTTCCAACTCCTCGTCGACATCCTTGGCCCCGATGACTTTGCTGCTGCTGTCGCTATGCTCCTCGTCGACCGTTCGGCCCATAAGATTGTCAAACAGCCAAGATCGGATGCCGAGCAGACGCTGCAGCTGCCGCTTGCTGTTGTATCGCCGCACGGCGCCTTGGTGCAGGTGCGTGTCCTCCACCACATTTGGGAAGAGGTTCTGCGTATCTTCACTCATCGCGACGAGACCGGATCGCTTAGTGAGCATGTGTTTCTTGACCGCGCTGGACGTCTTGACAAAGAGCATGTTGACCACGAATCTGAACCCTTGCGACAGGTTCAGGCGCTCATCATGTTCATCCGCCAGGTTCTCAGATCGAAGGCCTTTGCCAAGCAGGTTGAGGGGCTTCCGGCAAGCCAGATAGGTCCCGAGCTCGAGACATTTATCAAGCTAGCCCTGAAGACTGTTGCGAGGACCCGCTCCAGTCACCCTACTATTGCTGGGCTCGCTCTGGAGGTTTTGGACAGTGCCATGCCGTTTGCACCCGTTGCCAACGTTCTCACCGTTGTTGCCAGCCTCGTCGAAGGCGAAGATGTTCCGCACAGAACCAGCGGATTCTCCCTCTTTGCCAGTCGTGTTGCTGCTATGCAGCCCACGTCCACGGACCGCGCCACTGTCACCACCTTCACACCTACCATCGTCAAGGCAGCGATCGAAGTCATTCAGTCATCCCTCGCATTCTCGACAGGGGGCAGCGATGCAGAGGCCTTGCGCCAAGCAGCTTTGGACGCCCTCAAGACTCTCTCGTCGTCAGCTCAGCCTGACGAGCATGGCTCTCTGGCCTCGACGCTTCCCGTCTTGATCAAGCTGGGCAAGGTTGGTGCCGAGGCCGAAGGTGGACATCGCGCTGTGCCGTCAGCTGCACGCATCAGCGTCTTCTCGATCTCACGCCGCCTCACCACGAAGTTGGGCCCTCGTCTGATTCCCCACATCGCCGCACTGGTACCCTTCTGCTTGTCGGTCGTTTCGCAGCCTTCGTTCGCTGCAGCCGTTACCGCTGCTACGACCGATGACGACGGAACCGACATTGTTGGTGTTGCAGGTTCCGCCAGCTCGACTATCTCGTCCTTGCGCACCGGTGCACTTGACACTATCACTGGACTGTTCAGTTCCGTATCGACTTTCATGACATCGCACGTGCCCCAGGTTCTTCGCATGTCCATCTCGCCGGAGCTTAAGAAGGCCATATCAAGTGTCAGGGGTTCTTCGACCGCGAGTGAACGTTCGCTTAACTTGCTTGTTTCGACCCTCATTCGCAAGACTCCTGCCAAGGAGGTCTTTGAGGCTACATTCAAGGTCTGGGATGAGGAGCTCGCTTCGAATAAGGTCGAAGCCGATGTCAGGGCAGAGCGACTCGTCAGTGTTTCCGAGTTCCTGGGTAGAGCTCTGCGACAAAGCGACAGAGAAGCTATCAGCGCCACTTATAAGTTGGTTTACCGCTTCCTACTTCGCGCTCTCGACCTTCGCCGCAATAGCCTTTCTCAGGACGACAAGCTCTCATCCGCCTCGATTGGTCAGATCGAATCGAGTCTTGTCGGATCTGCATTCATGCGCATGGTGCTCAAGCTCAACGAGGCTTCTTTCCGACCCTTGTTTATGCGCATGTTCGACTGGGCGGTTCTTGACCTGGTTGACGACGACGATGCGAACGCGGCTGCAGAAGCGGATGGTATCGTCGCTCGACAGATTGTGCTCTTCAAGACCTTCAACTCGCTTTCCGAGACGCTTCGTAGCCTAGTCTCTTCGTACTACACTGTGCTCTTGGATCAGGTGATTGAGCTGCTCAACACTTGGAGCAAGGCCACTCGCGTCTCCGGCAGCACGCAAGCCTTGCAGAAAGAGCTCTGGAGCCAGGTCATCCGATCGATCCAACTCTCGGCGAAGAACGACGAAGGTGTGTTCTGGAACCCTACGCGCGTTGCCAAGATTGTCTCTCCGCTCCTGGATCAGATGAATCTCCTCAACGGCACGAAAACTCGCTTCGTCGAGTCGAACGAATTTGTCTCGCTTGTTGGCCCTGTTCTTGTCGGTCTGCTCAAGAACGTCAACGATGAAGCGACGCTCAAGCTGTTCAATTCGAAGTTGCTGCAGCGTGCATCAGCGACACGCACAACCAACAGCTTGCTCATTCGTTCCACCGCCACGCAGCTGCTCACGCAGATGTGGCACGCTCAGAAGGACCACTTGCTCGCTTTGGTGCCCGAGACCATTGCTCAATTGTCTGAATTGCTCGAGGATGACGACGAAGAGATCGTTCAGCATGCCAACGAGTTCCGAACTGAGATCGAAGGTGCACTTGGTGAAAGTCTCGAGTCTTACCTCACGTAGTGCGCACGTCACACTTCACGGATTTCACATGGAATGCAGCAATACATTCGCACTTGTTTTCTCAATCATAGAGCAGCAACTCGATGTGTACATGAGCATCCATCGATACCTCAATCACGAAGGGAGGCAAACAGTGAAGACTTGCGCTTGAATTCAGGCACCAGGCGCACCGAAGCATCGCTGTCGACGTCTGTTCCTTCACTCTCTCTTGACTGGCACTGGCGGCAATCGCCCTATCTTCGGACATGCTACACAGAAATTTGAGAAACAGCATATTGTATTACCCTACCTTAAAACCTTGGTGATGAGTGAATGTGACATGATTACCCTGGAATCTTGTTGTCCTACCAGAAGCCCATTTCTTGTTCGATGCCAGCGTTTGAAGCCAATGCTTCATAGATTTGCGCGCAGACGTCAATGTTGGCTTGCGTTGCGCCGCGGAGGTCTGTTGGACGGACGGAGTAGGGATCTCGACGAACGCGTTGACGTAGACAGTCCTGTTGCTGTCGCTGTCTCCGAGAATGGCTCGAGGAGGCAGCGGATGACGAGGAAGTCAAGATGCTACCGCTGCCGCTACCACTGCCGGTTCCGGTGCTCGTACTAGCTTCGTTGCTACTGCCGCTGCGGCGACCACCGAGCTGGCCGGCAAGGCCGGCGTGTGTGAAACCTTCGTCACGTAACAGCTCCTCGATGGGGATGTTGAGAGGTGGTGCATCAATGCTGACGCCCGCAAGCCTTGTCGAGGAAGGTTGTGGGCCGAGAAGGAATTCTTCACCGGACTCGTCCAAGTCATCTTCACTGTTGCCGTCTGATGCGTCTTCGTACGTCTGCGGAGGCCTTTCAGCGTCCTCCTCCTCTCCCCATCCAGACGACGTGGCGCCGTTTCCTGAGCCAGTGCTGTCGGATGAACGGCTGTGACTCCGTCGTCTCGACGAATCACGACTGGTATCTGGATCTCCATCCAACGAAGAGGGTGCTCGCGAAGGCGATCGCGATTTATGAAGATGGAGGCGAACACGGTTGTAAAATTCTGCCAGTAAATCGAGCCCGCTCGCTGCAAGCGCATCAAAGAGGGCCGAGGCTCGTTCGCCGAGCGCTGCCATAGTGGTCGGGTGTCGAGCTGGGTCTGCAGGAAAGAGTGGATCAGCGACTGTGCGGATAGGTCGAAAGACGAGATTGCGATCTTCGATGGGCGCGAGCTCCTCCATGATCCGAATGCATGTCGAGAGAGGAGCACGGATGATGATGCGAACGATGTTGCCCGAGCCAAGGAGCAAGATCAGAAGCGAGCGAGGGATGATCGACAGCCCAGGCACTCCCGGTCTGGTTTCCGGGAGCAGGGGGTATGTAAGCACGAGATGGGTCAAGGAAGAGACAGTGGCCAAATGATGTATCAACCGCCCATCGAAGTTGACCAGATGCAAGTGTGAGAGTGAAGGTTCGCGTTCGCCTATGCGCGGCGACGCTGTTGCAACCGCTAGATTCCCTGGTGGCTCTGAAGCTGATGGGCTCGACGAGGAGGGCGATTGTTCGGTCTGTGATGCTGTGACGTTGCCCAGGGCGGCCTGAATTCTGGGGTCGTTTTGCAGAGCGGCAGCAGTAAGGTCACGATGGCGTGTGACAATACCGTTGAGATCGGCCGGCTTGCTCACGTTGATCAAGGTGACCTCTTTAGGCCGCAACAAGCTATAAAAGCTTGCCGACAAGTTGCTGAATTGGGTGCAGGAGAGCAACAAGTGCGTCACATTCGGACAGGCCGACAATATGGCGTCCGCTGTCGCGTCGTTCACATTGACTGTAGCTTGGTTACGGTTGGCTGACATCGGTAGGGACGAAAATTGGCGAGGACGACCATCGACGGTATCGTCGCTGAAGATAGCAAGGGAGGAGAGCTGATTCGTGAGATCGGGACGGGCCGAGATGGTGCGCCCGAACAAGTCGATAGCTTGTACGTTTTGTAGTGTTACATGTCGATACAATTCTGGCTGAAAGCGTATCTGATGATGCTTGGACAAGGGGCTAATGGCTATGGCGTGTTGGAGATTGATTAGACCATCCACATTGCTCCTTGTTGTGCTTGATAGTGCTGTCGGGCTATCCAATGCTTGCGACTCTCGGCTGTAACGGGAGTCATTGTTCTCGACAGAGCTGTCCCGATGCCCAAGTGAATGTTGTAGGATGAGATCCACGAGCTCGAGGGGCAGAGCGACCTTCATCAAAGCGAGGTTGAGGTACCTGTCTCAAGGGTAATGCTGATCTGTGCCAAGAAAGCCTACTACCTGAAACAAGCTCTGGTTTGGCCCCTTGACCATGAGAAATGATCACAGATTGTACGCCGAGATGTTGGATGAAAGGCGCGAAGGCTTGATCAGAACAGAGTCACGACGAGTAGCTGGCTGTCCAACAGCAGATTTGGGCGAGAGTCCAAGCTACTGAAAGGTCGATGATGGGACACCAGGCGATTCGATTGTCGATGCGAGCGTCGAGTGAAGACCGATTGGTCTGACGCCTCTTCGGCTGGATTGAGGACCGTTGGATTATACGATCTTGGTGAACTCCTGCACAATTTGCACCGAGGGAAGAGGTGCGGGAGCAAGCGTTTGTCGCGAGCAGAAAGGCTTGAGGATGCGAGGGTGCTGAATGGAGCAAAGGTATGGGCGATCAGAGAAGGGAGTGCCGAGTATGCGACGTCTGGCGACCGGATGAGAATAGACAAAGGTACTTTTGGCCTAGCAATGCATGAACTGCTTCGTGCGACGGTGTGAAGCGTTGACGGACGTCCCTAGCCGGTCACAGGCAAGCTGGATCGTGAACACGCAAGGGCTACGATCAGAAGCGGGCAGAGTAGGAAGAGGCGAAGGAATCAGTGGGAGGTAGGACAGGAAGCTCGGGATGGGACACGAGGCGGACAGAGCAAGATTCAAGCTGCGCAAGGTCCACGGCTGATAAAGAGTCTGCAGCAAGCTAGCAAACAGGCAAGCAGGCGAGCGAATCGAGCTACAGCGCCTCGGTGTCATCCAAGAGGATGGAAATAAGCATCTATGTGTTGGTGGTTGCCATGAGCGGCTAAGATAGGGTGTATCAAGTTTCTGTACTCCACTCCCAACGTCTGTTGCTTCCTGCTCTGAGAGAAGATCCCGGTGATGAGGGGAACACAGCCGTTACACAGATGTCGGAAGCTCACACAGGATGCCACTCATGCAATTCGAGTTGCACAGACTGACCATTCATGCCTTTTTTTGCACAGACTACCCCCCAGATGGACCTTCTAACTTCCTGCATGAGGTGCACCGAATGATATTGCTCCAAACAGAGCCAAAAGTCGACAGGAACAGCGAAGATCGCCAAAGCTAATTTTGCATGTCTCGATTCGTAGCGTGATTGCGGACCGACCCGAAACAATGGTGAAATACGAGTATATGAGTGTGTGGTACACGGGGGGCACTAGAGCGCGGACACGACAAGAAGTTAGGTTCGCAATTGGGATACGACGGCCGTCAAGAAAGAGTCGAGAGACGAAAGCGAGAGCGAGACACAGAGGCGTGGAAGCGGTTCAGCGGGGAGCCGAGAGACTGAAAGCATGTTGAGATTTGGAGGGACACACAAGATTCAAAAGCACCGACAGCTGCCTCGAGATCAACAAACACCGTAGTGGATAGGCTGAAAGCAAGGGTGTTGGGAGACAGAGACGTGGATCCAAGAAGAAAATCAGTATCAAGCAAGTGCTGCCTGTTACCTCTATCAAGCTACCCAATGGATGCAAAGCGTCCGAAGCGAAGCAAACGCTTTTTCCCTGCCTACCAGGAATCGAGAAGAGTAGAAAGAAAAAACCATCAACAACATCAACAACAACAAAAAATTCCGCTTGGGATCCAGCGCAATGGAACACGGCTAAAACGGGATATACAGAGAGTTGCAAAGCATCAAATCGGCATGAAAGTCGTCAGGCTGACCCAACCCGATCGCGAACCTCGTCCGGCACTTTCGCCAGATTCACGCCGACGTTGTTTTGAGAGCGTGTGAGCCGTCGCTTTGACATCGACGTTTGTGAATGCTTGATGAATGTTGCAATCTGACGTGACCCGGCAATTGCTGATGCATCGCCGATAAATTGAGACGGCCTCCCTTTCATCTCAACGGCCGAATTGAAAGCCACCTTCACCGCTGTCTGCGCCTCATTCGCCTAGAAAGGGTGTCGATACCGTGCACAGCAGATGTCTTGCTGCAGCTTCGGTGGTTTCGGCTTTTGATTCAAAACGTCTGGACCCTTCTTTTGATACCATTGTGGTTCGTGAGAGAGTGGCGCTACTGGAAGCGACCTTGTAAGCGAACGCTATAGATCAGACGAACGCCGCCCGTCTATCCTGCAATGAAGACACAAGCAGAAACGGAAAGGCCAAAAAAAAAAAAAAAAAAAAAAAAAAAAAAAAAAAAAAAAGAAAAGAAAAAGCCCAAAAAGAATTGACCAGCCTGGGGCTCGAACCCAGAATCTCCTGATTACAGGCCAAACCGAGGTTTTAACAATCGTAGTCAGACGCCTTACCATTGGGCCAACCGGCCATTAATACCAAAGTGAAAGAACGTTTATCTAAACAAATGCCACCTTTTGTGAACCTCTTCTCATAAACATCGAACCTCACCTCTCACATCGCTGCTCCGTGGCGCTCTCTGAGAGGCTCGGTGCCGCATCACGTACGCTGTACTTGATCGAATGGAAGCTATCCGATTGACATCCTTTGCATTTATCCTATGAAGGGAGAACCCTCAATGCAGTGGAACGTAGACGTAAGCGGACACCACGATAGCAGCCACGCTCGAGGCGGATAGAGCAACAACGGCTACCATCTCGCGCATCAGCCATTTCCACTGACGAACGAGGTACATGTTGTGCTCCTTGTCCTCGGGAACATCCAAGTGAGAGCTCGATTGCGTCTCGACATTGACCTTTTCACCCTGGAGTGATATTGTTTCTGCGCTGGATTTGGAAGCGTGCAAAGGCATTTCGAACTTGGTTCGCTTGTTACCAAGGCTGAACACGATCAGTCGTCGAAGCAGAGGCCGCGACAGCTCGAGCTTGCGCCTCTCCCAACGCAAACGTGGATAGATCGAGCCAAACCGAATAGGAATACACATGCCGAGGAAAGCAATGTCTGTCAGCACCTCTCGCTTAGCCGAAGGTGCTGGCAAAGCCAGTGCGTCAGCCAACGACTTGCCAAGCAGGCGTCGAGAGATGACCACATGTGCAGACAATGGTGTGTGGAAAGGTGGCCGATTCGCACATGCAATCAGCACTGGAATCGTCGGTCCTTGCATCCTTGGGCCCACAGCACCTTTCACGTCACCTTGCTGGTCGCCTAGGATCTCGACCTTGTTGAAGAGATGCAAGATAGTACACCATAGAGTGCGATCAGCAGCATACGGATCACCGAAAGCACGCCGCAAGAGGGCAGGCTCGAGGCCCATGTAGAACCCGACGTGTCTCCAGAGCCCGATGAAGTCTTTGCGCTCTTGGGCAGTGGGCGTTGCACCGATTCTTTGCAGCATGGCCAGAGGAGCTGTTGAGAACGCACACAGCGTACCAAGCATGTCCTCTTGATTGATCGGGACGCCGTTCTTCTCGACGTCGTACACATTTTCGCTGGTATTCGAGTCGTCGTTGCGTCGCTTTTCAGCGAGTTTGAGCACGCGGCGTCGGACGTTGGTGTGCAGGAGGCGAACGCGCACTGCGGATTGCCAGCCCTCCCCACCTCGTTCCGGCGGCGAGAGTGCAGCCTCGTCCACGTTTGCTGATGTTGCGGAAGATGTTGGTGCAGGCATGTTCGCAGAGGGAGGACGAAGACTGTCCGCGTTCTCCACGACATCTAGCACAAACTGGGTCGTCTCGAGCAGGCGACTCCACGTTCGATCTGCTCGTGCTTTGTCGACGTGAAACATCTGCTGGAGATCCTTGACGGTAGGGAGCAGGGATGCGGTAGATGGCTTTGTACCCTTGGCACGAGAGGCCGCAGCCGTGGGAACAAGATAGGCAGTCTGCTTGAGCACCTCTGTGATCCTTGGCGAGGCAAAGCCACCAGCGAGACTGAAGTGAAGTAGGACAGTGAGCATGGGTCCTGCATAACGATAGAAAACGTCCTGGCCTCTTCGAATCACTTGAGCTTCGGCCTCAAGCTCTTCCGAGCTATTTTGAGCATCGATCGAATCGTCGTTAGATGGCAACCAGATCGGTACGGTGGAACTCGGTTCTGTTTGCTTTGTGGATGGGTGCTGTGGCCATAGCTCGAGACTGCTTGCTGCTTGTGCTCCGTAGCGTGCACGATACCAGTCCAAACCAAGAGCACCTGCACCTGGCGGTGGCCTCCGATCAACTGCCTTCCAGAAGGTTTTGCATGCATCAGGCTCTGCACGTGACGAGGCGTCGGTGCATGCCTGGTCATAGATGTTACGCAGTATATCGGTCGACCGCGTGGATGACGGCGAGTCAACTCGATCCAGTGCATTGTCGGCGATCGGATCGCCAACGCGACGTAACCGTTCGAGCTTGCTCGGATGAAGGCATTGTTGGTCCCACTCGGCGATTTGATCCCACGCTTGAATCATGTCGCCATCCTTGACAGCGTCAGGATCATCCCAATTGATCTCCTTTTCATGCCTCAAACCCCCTTTCCTGAGGACGCGCCATCTAAGCGTAGTTGCGGCCAGAAGGCTAGACCAAAGCGAATTAGAGGCAGGAAGCGGCCTTTCCTCGCCAGAGAAAAGATAGTCGATGGGAGCCAATTGAAATGGACGGTGCACGAATGTCACATAGACCTGACAGACTGCTTCGACAGCAAGATTCCTTGCTGTCGGTACCAGCAAGATGAGCAGAGTGATGGGGGCGGACCAGAGGAGAGCAGGCTCGGTCATCGCTGAGAGAGCACTGCTAGCCAGTCCTCGCAAAATTTGAGTGAGGTCGATGCCTGACATGATGAACATCTGCCAGCTTAGAGGTGCATGCGGAGCATATGGATGACTGGAAGAGCCTCGTCGACGTCGTCTGAGCGACTTAAATGGCGTAGGATGGCCAAGGGCTACGACCGTGACCGGACGCGTTCATCAGCAGCGAGCCCTCTCCCACACTTCTCGTCGGTGTCTTCAATGACAAGGGGGCTCAATCGACAAAAAGATTCGCTTAGCGTAATGCTGATGGCGAAACGAGAAGCGGAGAACGGAAAAAAGGCTCGCATAAGAAGAAAAGAACTATGCAAAGTCTGACAAAATAGTAGCGGCTATGACGCTTCCACGCAGCTTTATGGCACGGAACGCTTCCTCACAGTAGTCTGCGTTTCATTGATGTGATAGGAGATGTGGTCTTTGACGATGACTCGGAGTCCGAGATAAGTGGACAACAACGACAAGAATTGAACGGCAGGACCTCGGCCAGGCGTAGAAGCTTGTTGTTCAGGCCAATGATCTCGTCTGCACTCTTCTGCTCGTATGCATCCATGGCGGCTTTGGCAACGTTTGAAGACTTGTGAATGCCGACATAGTCGTGTGTGCCAAGTCTTTCACCGCCGCCTTGACCGTCGAGATTTGTCGGTCTTGTATATACAATTTTGGGTTTGTTTCGTGCGATTGAGTTCCAGGCGGGACTCGAATAAATCCATCATTGTGGAGTGAAAGTGAGGGAGAGTTGAAGATGCATCGGCAACTCAAGCAAGATGCACATGTCACGGCCGAGACACCGAGGCACAGGAGGCTTACTTAAGCAAGAAGCACAATGAGATACATGATTGTTGTCATGGCGACAGCTCAGTGGCACTCAGTATCATAGCAACATAGGAGTATGAATGAAGTGACACATCCTGCCTCGGATAGGACTAGAGCAGCGAATGGAGTATATATATGTGTTTGTCATTTAGGTTCACACTATGAAAACTAAGCATTACATAGAACATACAACTGTTGTTAAAGGGAGTCTGATTGTGACCCCAATAATGCCACATATTAATTGTTATCTTCAATTGATTAAGAGTCTGAAGAAGCTATCACCAAGCCAACCAAAACTCATCAACAACAATGGTAGAAGACACCGAAATAAGGATCAAAGGAAGCAGAAAAGGCAAGAACACCCAGGTTCGGGTAGACAATGATGCCATGAACGAGAATGAGCCAGAGGTCATCAACAATGAAGCCAATGAAGACACCAACTCCAACTCCAACTTTGATGATGGCGACAAGTGATATAACTTTCGCACCCTAGCAAAACTCCTTGAACCTGTGCCAAAGCTCATGTCACACAGCCATTATAGCTGGAGCGCTCACGTGAAATCTTTCCTCTGATCCATGCCCCATGTGATGAAACATCTCTAGGGAACATATGACAAGAAGCACCCGAAATGGAGCCACTCCCTCGATGATGCTTTAATTAACACCCTGCATGGAACAATTGACACTACCGGAGAACACAATGTAAATTACCTCATTCTAGATGTAATCAAAGAGTACCTTACTTTCAATCAAGTATGGAGAAAGATCAAAAACAGTCTCATGAACGAAGCCACCTGTCATGGGCCTGGATGCTCAAGAAGCAGGAGGGTCACGGGTTCATATGGAAGGAGCACAGGTATCGAAGATCTAGTCGAGATCAGTAGAAAGCATGGTTGTAGTGCAGTCTCCATGGAGACCATGGACTCCTATGGACTCACATGCAAAGGAGGGCCAAGCACAGCCATGAGCAGGACCAAGCTCAAGGAGCAGGCACAGCCACGAAGAGGACCAAGCTCAAGGAGCATGCAGATGGTTACCACTCAGGGGCTCGAGAGACAAGAGCCAAAGGAATTGTCACTGATCAAAGGAGGAGGAGCAGTGTCAAAGGAGTCGACACCAGGTCATGAGGAGGAGGAGCAGTGTCGAAGGAGTCGACACAGCTCAAGAGGCACAGGGGTGCCAAGCAGGAGAGACCCCTGAGCAGTACTCGATGAAGAAGGTACTCTCTGGAGAGAGAGAGCAGGAGCAGCATTGCTGGCGATGCTGAGTAGAGGTATATAACCATGCTTTCTCATCATCATAGGTCGAGTGGATCCTCATCCACTCTACTCACCATATAACTAGTTATCACTTCAGCATAAGTATACATTAGTTTCAGTCAGCATAGCAGCAATCTATCAAGGTTGCTCCTCATCGTAGTGTGTGTGTTGTATCACCACTACCTGATGTCCAAAGGCGCCCATAGCAGGTTAGCAGTCCGGATCAAGATAGAACCGAAGGCAGTAGTCCACTGCAGTCTGGGGATCACTTCAAGCATCAAGTCAACACACGGGACACTCGTGTTGATGCCACCAACCTTATCACCAACACCATCAACCTCATTATCATCGACATCACCAATCTCATCACCAACACCATCAACCTCATCATCATCAACACTCACGCCAGACCTTGGTGTCATCATAACATTGATATTGATCGTGCCGAGCTACCCCTGAATGGAGTGTCCACAGAGGTCAGCCGAAACCTACGATAGAATATACAATGAACGCCACCTGCTGTCACTGCACAACTTGATAGTCACCGATACCGAGACAATAGCTGTCGCACAGTTTGATAGTCACCGAGTATCTCAACAGACCGACCTGGGTTTCAGGCGCAAGACCCCTGACATTAGAGTGGTTCGTTCAAGCAGCTTGTCAGGGGTCTCGTGCCTGAAACCCAGGTCGGTCTGTCGAGATACTCGGTGACTATTAAACTGTGTGACAGCTATTGTCTCAGTATCGGTGACTATCAAGTTGTGCAGTGACAGCAGGTGGCGTTCGTTGTATATACTATCGTAGGTTTCGGCTGACCTCTGTGGACACTCCGTTCAGGGGTAGCTCAGCACGATCAATATCAATGTTATGATGACACCAAGGTCTGGTGTGGGTGTTGATGATGATGAGGTTGATGGTGTTGGTGATGAGATTGGTGATGTCGATGATAATGAGGTTGATGGTGTTGATGATAAGATTGGTGATGTCAATGATAATGAGGTTGATGGTGTTGGTGATAAGGTTGGTGGCGTCAACACGAGTGTCCAGTGTGTTGACTTGATGCTTTGAAGTGATCCCCGGACCGCAGTGGACTACTGCCTTCGGTTCTATCTATATCCGGACCGCTAACCTGCTATGGGCGCCTTCGGACGTCAGGTAGTGGTGATACAACACACACACTACGATGAGGAGCAACCTTGATAGATTGCTGCTATGCTGACTGTAACTAATGAGTACTTGTGTTTCTAAAGTATTGACTAGTTGTATGGTGAGTAGAGTGGATGAGGATCCACTCGACCTATTGATGAGAAAGCATGGTTATATACCTCTTCTCAGCATCGCCAGCGATGCTGCTCCTGCTCTCTCTCCAGAGAGTACCTTCTTCATCGAGTACTGCTCAGGGGCCTCTCCTGCTTGGCACCCCTGTGCCTCTTGAGCTGTGTCGACTCCTTCGACACTGCTCCTCCTCCTCATGACCTGGTGTCGACTCCTTCGACACTGCTCCTCCTCCTTTGATCAGTGACAGTTCCTTTGGCTCTTGTCTCTCGAGCCCCTGAGTGGTAACCATCTGCATGCTCCTTGAGCTTGGTCCTCTTCGTGGCTGTGCCTGCTCCTTGAGCTTGGTCCTCCTTGTGGCTGTGCCTGCTCCTTGAGCTTGGTCCTCCTCGTGGCTGTGCTTGGCCCTCCTTTGCATGTGAGTCCATAGGAGTCCATGGTCTCCATGGAGACTGCACTACGACCATGCTCTCTACTGGTGTCGACTAGGTCTTCGATACCTGTGCTCCTTCCATATGAACCCATGACCCTCCTGCTTCTTGAGCATCCAGGCCCATGACACAGCTCCTCACGATCACCATGACGGACCCAGACCTCAACAATAAGCTCGATAGACTACTCACTCTATTGGAAGCACAGCTAGAGCTTACCAGACAGGGTCATCGAGAGGAACGATTACAACGAGCTCAACTGAGCAGGGAGGAGACAATGGACCTCTCTCACTCAGAAGACCAAGCAGGAGGAGGAGATGAGTCTATGATAGGAGACCCACAGACTCCTACTCCAGCTCCACGACCAAGACAATCAGTCTCATTCAACCTGGATGAGCAGGAGGACATCAACTACGAGAAGTATGCTTCACCTACTGGGCCAAGATATGTCAAGACTAAGGTGGACCCCTACAGCAGGACTAGGATGGACCCTTACCCCCTGGACCATGAGGAGGACACCAGCATCATGGCAGAGCTTAACCGGTCAAAGCCCATCGCCACCCCCTTCCCAAAGTTCAATCCCCGAGACATGGAGATCTTCATTCTAGAAGCCGAAGCATGGTTTAAGTTCAACCAGGTGTATGAGCAGACTAGGATGATCAACCACATGGGTGCTCAACTGGAAGGGACAGCAAGAGAGTGGTGGACCTCCAAGCTCTGTATTGATAGAGCTAGAGAAGGAAGGTTGTTCAATGATTGGCACTACTTCACAGAGCGACTGTCAGAGCAGTTCAACCCACGCAATGCTAGGATGGAGGCATACAACAAGCTGTTGGCTCTCAGACTCACAAGTGATGCTCCTGGTGCCGCCACACATCATGTAGAGCGGTTCAGAGACTTGGAGGGACAGGTCAATCTAGATGACAATGAGCTAGTGATGGATCTCTTCAGAGGAAGTCTCACTCGCAGCATACAGGAGAAGTTCGAGAGGAACCCACCTGGGAAGAGATGGGAGTGGTACCGAGAGGTTGAGGAGATCGATCGACAGAGGATGCTACTACAGCAGTCCTCGGCTAGACACTCACTCCCAAATGCCACGTCACCTCCACTAAGAACTGGGTCTCGGCCAAATCAAAGTTCGATCCCCATCCGACAACCCACTCAACCTTATCCAGCTCAATCACCATCACAAGCAACTACACAAGCAACTATACAAAACCTAAACTGACCCCTTCCTCATCATCCCACCCAACCCTCGAAGCAAGGAAGCCCTGCTCCATCAGGTATCAACACCTGTCATGTATGCAAGGGTATCAGCCACTGGGCCAGAGACTGCCCCAGCAGGAGGGTAGACCCTCTTAGCTCTTGACCCATGGGACCAAAGGTTATGGTCACCACAGCAGACCCCTTTGAGGAGGCCACCAACTCAGGAGATGGCCACACAGGCAGCACTGAGACGGGTGACCCCGAGGCCATGGACCTCAGCTCATACCAGCAACCCATGGACCCTGATCACGAGGAGGAGCATGATGATGATGACGATGAGGGAAACATCAGTGGGGTGATGCACTGATGGCATGCATTGCTCTACAAACCTCCTCGCCATCACTCTGTATATATCAAGATTGTCAAGTATGTTTCTCTACCAGTGGAGGCAAAGCAGTACTGGAGCTCTCTGGAATGGTTCAAGACCATCCTGCTCGGATACTAGCTGATACCGGTGCTGGTTTGTCCATAGTCTCAGATTCTTTCATTAGTAAGTACCAAATACCCACAAAACCCATAAAAACAAGATCGATCCATGGTGTCACCGGGCACCAACTCTCCATCAATAGTTCTGCGAGCATGCAGGTATCTATTGGTACACACAATCTGGGTGTGGTCGAAGCTTCAGTGGCTGACACTGCGGACTATGACCTCATCCTGGGGTTCACTGAGCTATGGAGGCTCAAACCCACCATACAATGGGATACAGGCCAGCTGGAGTTCAAGACTCAGGAGCAGGACCAACCCCCAAGGAGACCCCCTGAGGCAGCAAGAGCAGGGGACCTAACCATGAGGAGACCAACCCTTCATGGTAACAAGTTTGTCTCAGCAGAGCGCATACTACGAGCAGCTCTGGAAGATGGACCCATAGGGTTCATGCTGTTGGAGGAGCCACCATCATCACTCCCAGCCTTTGGTTTTGTACCTACAGGTGCAGACAAAGGAGTCAAGATGGAGGTGGAGGTAGACAAGGTGGTGATGGCTGCAGACATACCAAAGCCATACCAACACCTGCAAGATGTGTTTGATGAGGTGGAAGCAGACAAGCTGCCCCATCATACCAAGCATGATCTCCACCTCGAGTTGATGGAAGGAGGTAAGCCACCTCAAGGGCCCCTATACCTTAAGGGACCCAAGGAGATGTCCGAGTTGAGGAGGTACTTGGATGAGAACCTCGAGAAGGGGTTCATAAGACCATCGAAGAGCCTGGCACAATCACCAGTGCTCTTCGTACCAAAGAAGGATGGAGGTCTCAGACTCTGTGTGGACTACAGAGGTCTCAACGAGATCACTGTCAAGAACAGGGCACCATTGCCCCTCATCGAGGAGCAGCTGTTCTTACTCAGGAAGGCAAGGATCTATACCAAGCTAGACCTTAGAGCAGCATACAACCTCATCCGGATTGCTAAAGGAGATGAATGGAAGACAGCTTTTGGCACTCAGTTGGGACTCTATGAGTACCTAGTGATGCCCTTTGGCCTAGCCAATGCTCTGGCTCACTTCCAGTCATTCATCAATGACATCTTCTGAGACATCATTGGGATATATGTGGTAGTATACCTAGATGACTTCCTGATCTTCAGTGACACTGAAGAAGCACATGTGAAGCATGTCACTGAGGTCCTCACTCGCTTAAGGAGCAACAGGCTCTTTGCTAAGCTGTCGAAGTGTGAGTTCCACACCAAGACAGTCGAGTTCCTGGGGTACATCATCAAGCCAATGGGCATAGAGATGGACCCAGAAAAGGTGTGCACTGTCAAGGAGTGGCCAATGCCAGAGTCAATCCATGACATCCAGAGGTTCCTGGGTTTTGCCAACTTCTATCGAAGGTTCATAGCCCACTTTGCTCGCATAGCCAAGCCCTTGACAGCACTGGTAAAGCCTATAGAACGGTTCAAGAAGTTCGAGCTACCAGAGGAGGCCCAACAGGCCTTCCACAAGCTCATCCAGGCCTTCACATCAGCAGGAGTGCTTCAGCACTTCGACTACCACCTTCCAACAAGGTTGGAGACTGATGCAAGTGACTTTGCTATAGCAGGAGTACTCAAGCAGGAGCATGAAGGACGATGGCATCCAGTGGCCTTCTACTCTAGGAAGATGTCTTCTGCCGAGAAGAACTATGAGATCCATGATAAGGAGCTCCTAGCTGTGGTCGCCTGCCTCACTCAGTGGCGACACATGTTAGCTGGACTACCGAACCAACTGGTCATCCTCACTGACCATGAAGCCCTCAAGTACTTCAAGTCACAGAGACGCATCACAGGTTGACAGGCTCGATGGGCAATACTACTAGCAGACTTCGACTTCATATTGCAGTATCGACCAGGAGACAAAGGTGGTGAACCCAATGCTCTCACCAGAAGGACAGACATGCAACCAGCTGGTGAAGAGCAGGATCACAATGTGAGGCAACTACTGCCTCCTCGAGTGTTCAAGGAGACAGCAGACCATGACTCGCTCCTAGTGGCCCCCATGATCTCGATGGAGTCCATAGCATCAAAAGGTCTCAGAGACCTGGTCAAGATCTTCCAGCCCTTAGACCAAGAGCTACAGGAGATACATAGGAAGAAGCCCTTCGAGGTCAGGGACAACCTATGGTACAGTGGAGGAAGGTTGGTTATCCCCAAAGTGATCATGCCAGGGAGGACCAACAACTGACACTCAAGGAGTGCCAAAGAGGTAGATGGACAGTCTCTCTCTGTAGAGCATCTGCGATTCATGGTGATGACCCAATGCCATGATGGTATTACTGCTGGACATGTAGGAAGAGATGCTACCATCAAGGCAGCTCAATGACATTACTGGTGGCCAAACATGACAGCTTGGATTGCAGACTATGTAGCAAGTTGTCCTGTATGTGCTAGGTACAAAGCTCCTCGTCATCGTCCATATGGTTTGCTACAGCCACTAGCAACACCAGACAGGCCCTGGGGCTCCATATCCCTCGACTTCATCGAAGGACTACCACCATCGAAGAAGTATGACTCCAAGACCTATGACTCTATCTTAGTCATTGTTGACAGGTTAACCAAGTTTGCCATACTAGCTCCAACCCATAAGACAGTCACGGCCAAACAGACTGCAGTATTGCTATATGGACACATGGTTAGACTCTTTGGATATCCAGATCACATGGTATTGGACCAAGGCAGGCAGTTCATATCAGGAGCTTGGAAGGCATTTGCAGAGCAAATGGGTGTGAAGCACTCACTTAGCATGGCTTACCATCCTCAAACCGATGGTCAGACAGAGAGGGTCAATCAGGTCATAGAGCAATACCTCAGGATGTACTGCAACTATGAGCAGGATGACTGGGTCAACCTGCTGGACACTGCAGCCTTTGTGTACAACAACACGGTCCACAACAGCATTGGTGTCTCACCATTCTTTGCATGCTATGGATGGAACCCCAAAGCTCATCCTGACATCCCTCGACGACTAGGAGTCAATGATCCAGGTCACTTCGAGTACCTCATGGATGGAAAGGAGCGTTGCAAGTACCTCCAGGAGCAGATCAGAGAGGCACAACAGAGATCAGTAGACCAGTATAACAGGAAGCACAAGGACATCGAGTTTAAGGTGGGTGATATGGTCTATATCAACTGTCGAAACTGGAAGACACGGAGACCCACACCCAAGTTAGATACCCGGTTTGCAGGACCCTACCCAGTTCAGGAACGGGTAGGACGCCAAGCTTATCGAATCAAATTGCCAGCAAACCTTAGGGTGCATGATGTGTTCCATGTCTCCATGCTCGAGCCAGCAAGAACAAGTTCTCTTCCTCAACGTGCTGAACAACCCACCATACCATCACTTCCAGATGAGGACCTCGACTTCGAAGTCAAAGCACTCATCGACAAGCGTTCACACAATGGGACTACAGAGTACAAGGTGTTGTGGAGAGGGTACTCAGAGGAAGCTGCTTCATGGGAACCAGTAGAGAACCTCAACTGTCCCGACCTCATCCAGGAGTATGAGGTGTCGGAGGGGGGACGAGTGAGTAGACAAAGTAGAGAAAGGAGGAGAGAACAGGAGGAGTAGAGAGAGGAAGAGGAAGGAGGATGACGTTGAAGAGAAGGAGGAAGGATGATGTTGGTGATGTTGTCGAGGAGGAGGAGGAGTCAGCATGGACCAGATCAGAGCATGCCTCGACGGAGCTCGGCTCTTAAGAGGGGGGTAGTGTCATGGGCCTGGATGCTCAAGAAGCAGGAGGGTCACGGGTTCATATGGAAGGAGCACAGGTATCGAAGATCTAGTCGAGATCAGTAGAAAGCATGGTTGTAGTGCAGTCTCCATGGAGACCATGGACTCCTATGGACTCACATGCAAAGGAGGGCCAAGCACAGCCACGAGGAGGACCAAGCTCAAGGAGCAGGCACAGCCACGAAGAGGACCAAGCTCAAGGAGCATGCAGATGGTTACCACTCAGGGGCTCGAGAGACAAGAGCCAAAGGAACTGTCACTGATCAAAGGAGGAGGAGCAGTGTCGAAGGAGTTGACACCAGGTCATGAGGAGGAGGAGCAGTGTCGAAGGAGTTGACATCAGGTCATGAGGAGGAGGAGCAGTGTCGAAGGAGTCGACACAGCTCAAGAGGCACAGGGGTGCCAAGCAGGAGAGACCCCTGAGCAGTACTCGATGAAGAAGGTACTCTCTGGAGAGAGAGAGCAGGAGCAGCATCGCTGGCGATGCTGAGTAGAGGTATATAACCATGCTTTCTCATCATCATAGGTCGAGTGGATCCTCATCCACTCTACTCACCATATAACTAGTTATCACTTCAGCATAAGTATACATTAGTTTCAGTCAGCATAGCAGCAATCTATCAAGGTTGCTCCTCATCATAGTGTGTGTGTTGTATCACCACTACCTGACGTCCGAAGGCGCCCATAGCAGGTTAGCGGTCCGGATCAAGATAGAACCGAAGGCAGTAGTCCACTGCGGTCCGGGGATCACTTCAAGCATCAAGTCAACACACGGGACACTCGTGTTGATGCCACCAACCTTATCACCAACACCATCAACCTCATTATCATCGACATCACCAATCTCATCACCAACACCATCAACCTCATCATCATCAACACTCACACCAGACCTTGGTGTCATCATAACATTGATATTGATCGTGCTGAGCTACCCCTGAACGGAGTGTCCACAGAGGTCAGCCGAAACCTACGATAGAATATACAACGAATGCCACCTGCTGTCACTGCACAACTTGATAGTCACCGATACCGAGACAATAGCTGTCGCACAGTTTGATAGTCACCGAGTATCTCGACAGACCGACCTGGGTTTCAGGCGCGAGACCCCTGACACCACCAAAATATCTCACAGACTTGTGCTCATCTTGCAGCTCAATGATACAAAGATGTTTCACTCAGATGTCAGAAAGCTAATTCAAGAGATCCAGTCCATACAGACTGAAAGCAGCCTCCTCGGCAAACCATTTGCCAATGATACATTGTTCTTGGCTCTGCAGAAATGCATGATCTGGCATCCAGTGTATAAGGAGACAGTCACTACTGTCCATCAAATCGACTTCAACACCCTCACCACTGCACTAAGCATCCAGCAGACCACTGTCGAGAGCATCCCCATGCAAAAGATTGACCCCCAACAAGCCAGCACTAGAACTGCCGGCAATGATGATCAAAACAAATGGACCAGAGGGACCAAAGCTGAGGCTGACAACAGCCACATGAGCTCGAGGAACACAGGCAGACCACACCGAATCTGATGCTGGATCTGCAAGTGACCTGGGCATGGTATTAGCCAATGCGACGCCTCGGTCACCATCCCCAAAGACTCCCACCTTGCTAAACCTAAATAGGAAGCGTGGTGCTCCCTCACCCTCCCATTGAAGTGGCAAGACCCCCCAAACACAAAAGAGACAGCTCATTGGATCTTGGATTCAGGGGCAAGTTATCATATGGTGAATGACTATAGCATGCTCATCCATCTGAGAACTTGCCAAAAGCGGATAATTACTGCTGGAAGCGAGGTCTTGGAAGTGGCAGCTATAGGAGATGCAAGCATATCAACAGATTATGGGGAAATATCCCTACAGAATGTATTATATGTGAAGCACCTTAATGTTAACCTTCTGTCAACGAATTCATTAACAGATGAAGGAGCACGAGTGATATTGGACACAACCGGCAGTCAAATTTTCCTAACAAATGGCATGACACTTAAGATTGCAAAGAATCGCAAGTGAGGACTTTTGGAGTTCTGAGGTGACACATGGCAAGAAAGTGCAATGGCCACATCAACACCATTGTTTGAAGGTGTTGATGAGGAGTTCGAGCATATTGAGAATGAGCCAAAAGTTTCGAAGCAACAACTATGGCATGAGCATCTCGGACACCCAGGGAGGGATAAAACTAAGGTGATCATGAGCAAGTTAAAAGATAAGCATACCATGGAATTGGATCCAAACACCACTCTGACATGTGAGCAGTGCATACGATCCAAGAGCACAAGCACTCGAATGGGGCAAGGTAGCAGCGAAAGAGCCATAGGGCCCCTGGATCTTATCCATATTGATCTAATAATAGATTCGTCCCATGTGACAGAGTACACATGCACATTAGTGCTGGTCAACAACCATAGCAAGTATGTGTATGCACAGCCATTGACATGAAAGAGTCATGCATTTACACAACTCAAAAGGATTGTTTCATTCCTGGAAACACAGACAGATCAGAAGCTAAAAGTGATCCAATCCAATCAAGGAACCGAATGGAGAAGCAATGATGCATTGGAATGGTCACTAGAAAGGGGCATAGAGTGGCAAACCACTGTAGGATACAACAGTAAACAAAATGGATGGGTAGAGAGAATGAACAGGACCCTTGGAGAAAAGACAAGGACATTGCTAATGCAGAGGAGACTACCCAAGAAGTTCTGGCTGTATGCGATCAGAGCTGCAGCATTCAAAATAAACCTCACTCTGAGTGTTGATAATGAATTCCCTTATCAAGCCATGTTTGGCAAGTCACTGGAGCAAGCTTTAAGACTCCTACAAGTGTTTGGTTGTCTGGCATGGGTAAACATACCCAAAGTCAAACGGGACAACAAGAAACTGGACCAGTGAGCTGTCACATCCATTTTCTTGGGATACAGTCTAGAGAGAAAGGGCTGGCTATTCTACAGCCTGGACTATAATCTGAACATATTCTGGAGCAATTCAGCAAAATTCATGGAATCAAAGTGCTGGTCAGACAGAATGGAGTGGCAACTGGTTGACACAAAGGTGCCCCCAGCGATGATGACAGAAGAGAATTTTGAAGATCTAGGATATAACAAAGAAAATATATTCGACGAAACAGATGAAGGGCCACTACAAGAATACATGGATATGGAGACAGATTCAGAAGAAAGATTAAGTGGAGGAATGGTGGAGGTGATGGAACAAGGACCAATTGCTGAAGCCCAGATTGACAGTAAAGCTTTTGGACTTGTGGCGATGCAACCAGAATGGAGAAAGAACCTGGACCCAACCATACATGAAGCAATGAATGGAGAAGACAGAAAGCACTGGGAAGAAGCCATGCAAAAGGAGCTGGATGGGTTAGAAGCGATGGGCACATGGGAGATCGCCGACCTCCTGAAGGGTGCAAACACCATCGACATGTGTTGGGTACTCAAGATCAAAACCGATGCGAACCTTGTGCCGACAAAGTTCAAAGCCCAGCTCATGGCATGAGGTTTCACCCAACATGAGGGCATCGACTACACAGAGGTCTTCGCACCAGTAGCACCCATCCAATCCATTTGAGGGGTGATCACCATTGCAGCAATATGAGACTGGGAAATAGACTCTATTAACATAAAACAAGTGTACCTGAACTCTACTATACACCATGATGTATATCTAAAGCCCCCAGTAGGAATCAAGATACCACCTGGAAAAGTATTGAAGGTAGTGAAAGGACTGTATGGTCTGAAACAATCAGGCTGAGAATGGAACATTGAGTTAGACTCACATCTCCAGATGATTGGATTTCACTGCATGCCAAGCGCACCATGCCTATACTCAAGAGGGACAGGTGACAAGATCATGATCATCACAGCATATGTGGACAACATGCTGATAACATCACCCAGTCGTGATGAGGTAGACCACACTAAGTGAGAGATCATGGACAAATGGGAGATGCAAGACAATGGGAGAATCAAAGAATTTCTGGGTATCAAGATCACATGTGATAGAAGACAGAGGAAGATATCTCTGGGTCTAATGGCATACATCAAAGAAATGGTGAACAAATGGTTAGGAGGAGCAAATGAGAAATCTTGGGTACCTATGCTGAGCATAGTGAATGTTGCTGGAGGTGAGAGATGTGACCCTCAGCAAGCAAAGAAATATCAAGAGTTGGTCGGCCAACTATTATGGGTCTCCAACACAGCCTGACCAGATATTGCCTTCACCATTGGTGTATTATCATGATACATGTTGATCCCAATTGACAGTGCATGGAAGGCAGCTATTCACGTGGTAAAGTACCTGAACCAGACGAATGAATATCAGTTACACTTAGGAGGGGAGGCAAACAAGCACTCAGATACACTGGTAATGATGTATACCAATGCAAACTGGGCATCCAACCCCACAAATGGACAAAGGAGCACCTCAGGGTCAATAACATATGTGTATGGATGTCCAGTGAGTTGGAAGTCTCATGTTCAAAAATGTGTAGCATTGTCAGCAGTCGAAGCAGAGTTTGTTGCCACTTCCGAAGCGGTACGAGAAGCATTGTTCTTCTCATATTTGCTCTGGGATTTGGAGATCACAGACATTTGGCCCATACTATACACTGATAGCCAGGGATGCATGCAGGTGAGTAAAGATCCAGCCAAACACTGGAAGTTAAAGCACATTGACACATGGTATCACTTTGTCCATGATCACATGCAAGAGGGCGATGTGGCAATCAAACATGTTGGGACAGCAAACAACATTGCAGATGTCTTAACAAAACCTTTACAGGGTCTCAACACCTCACAATTGGCTAGGATGATAGGGCTGGAGATCCTGCCGAAGGGGGGAGTTGAAGATGCATTGGCAACTCAAGCAAGATGCACATGTCATGGCTGAGACACTGAGGCACAGGAGGCTTACTTAAGTGAGAAGCACAATGAGATACATGATTGTTGTCATGGCGACAGCTCAGTGGCACTCAGTATCATAGCAACATAGGAGTATGAATGAAGTGACATGTCCTGCCTCGGATAGGACTAGAGTGGCGAATGGAGTATATATATGTGTTTGTCATTTAGGTTCACACTATGAAAACTAAGCATTACATAGAACATACAACTGTTGTTAAAGGGAGTCTGATCATGACCCCGATAATGCCGCGTATTAATTGTTATCTTCAATTGGGAGAGAGTCTCAGGGTCCAAAGTAACACTCACACCCCGATTGTGCGCGTCCTGTGCTGTTGCAGATCTTTGGCTGAGTTCAACACTTGTTCTTCCGACTCCTCCTTACCTGCCAAACACATCATCGCATCCTCTCCCCGCCATCCTCGCTGGGCCCGTCAGGTCAAAGGATTCTGCAATGCCGGTAGAAGCACCACCGCACGAGGCTACCGCCTTGGTAAGAACACGCTCATGGTCATTCCCATCATAGTCTCGGGCTGACTCAGGGTTCCGGCCTTTCTGCACGCTTCCAACGTTATCTCGTCAGACACTCTTCGCTAGCGTTTCCGATGTGACAGGTCTCGCTAATCTCCTCAAATCTGTCGCAATCCAGACCGTAAGTATCGATCTGGCTCGGCAGCTTCTTTCGTTCGATATGCCTCGCCAAGCTTTGCATGGGCTGACCTCCCTTCTCCCGTCATCACGGATCTGTCTCCGTGTCTATGCGCGGCTAATGGCAATTGTCTCAACTCGCTAGCATGCTGTCATCATTGCGTCAAGCTCAGGGCTGGAAATCGTGACCGAACTCAATCGAACCTTGCAAGCCCATGCCTATCTCTATTCTCACATGTTCGACTCTTACACCTTCAGCAAGCCCACTACTAGCGTTCAGAACGGCAACTCATCACGCCCCAGGACAAAGCGCCCGCAATGTAGAAAGCCTCCCAGAACCTCAAGAGATCAAGATGAAATTGCTGATGCGCAATCGCAAGCCGACTCGGACAATCAACAGGATGAGCGAACGCCAAATGCTTCTCCAACTCCAGAAACAGCTCGAAACCGCTCACAACGTGCAGCAGGCCTAGATGAATACGGCCACCATGGTGACGCAAACGACGACGAGCCAGCTAGCGTCTCCTTCGAGGTTAATCTACAGACTTGGATCTCTTGTCTCAACATCTTTGGCGGCGTAGGACCTTCGCGACCCCACGGCACCGGGTCAGGTCACTCCAATCTGCGCAACGACGCAGCAGGTGTTGGAAGTAGCGCATCTCACCGAGGCCGAGGTTATGGCCGAACACGCGACGGCACAGTCGAACCCTACGGCGGCGGAGACAGGGGTGGATCAGTCGAACGAGGCTTTGACCGAAATCACTTTTCATCTACACCCAAGGCTACTCGCATGAAACTCAGCTATCAAGGTCACGGTCATCCACTCGTCCTAGAGCTCGAGCAAGAAGCCAACGTAGTAACGCGTTGCTCCATATCCACGTACGAGCCGAGCTTCTTGACTGACATGATCTTTGACCCGCGCAGTATGGTCGCACAAGTCATCGTCGGATCTGATCTCATGCAGTCAGCCTTCTCCGAGATCGATGCCAGCTGCAAAAAGCTCTCGATTCTCATGACTTCGCCGCACTCTTCGTCAACTAATGACGAAGATGCTGACCTCAGCAATTCTCTTAGATCCATACGTGGTTCGAACAGGCCAAAGTCGGCGAGCATGCTCAGGTTCAAGGCCATCTCGGACACAGGCTCCTCTGAGATGGACTTCCCGGCCAGTCTCTCTTCTGCCGATCCTACTGGCGTTATCGAAAAGTTCATAGCCCTTCCTGGCAGTACCGAGCAGTGGTACGACTTTACTCTACTCTCAAGGACCATGACAGTCCTCCGATCTTCGATCAAGACGTCCCTGCGAATGGATGAGGCCGGCCTCATTAGCTTTCAGTTCATGATGCCAAAGTATCGACGCACTGCGGTTCAAGCGGCCGCATTCGCCGCACCCGGCCCAGCCGCGGGTCAGGCGGCGCTCGAAGAAGAACAAGATGCTTTCTGCGAGTTTCTCGTAAGTACTCGAGCATGTGATAACACAACTATTGCGTTGACTTATCCTTACATTATCCGCGGCACTGACCCTTGTCCTTTGCCTGAACTCTCTTTTGACTTCTATTGCTCCGACCTTGTCCTTCTCCTGACCACGTCTTGCCTTTGTCGCTTCTTCGATTCGTCCAAATTTCAACAACGCGAACGTTGGCTCCTATTATTCTGCGGGTTTGGTTTCGGAATTCGGCACAACTGATCTGTTGATTTGCTCGACATTCGGAATCTTGCATCTAACCTTCGTTATTTGGTCCACAGTGTTGCCCACTCGACACGAGCACCTTAATTGTATGAATACAAATAGCCTTCATGGCCGAGCCGCAGCCATCACTACTTGGTTACTTGTGCCTGCAGTCTGTGTGTCACGGCCTCCTAGAATCGATTTCACCTCTGGGCTTTGGTCGCTCCTCGTGTGAGATTCGTCAACATTCCTGCCCACTTTGCCACACGGAAGAGTCGATCCTCCTCGAACGCATTAGCAAAGCGAAACAGTTCGGCAGCCTGCATTTGTGCCGTTTTAGGGTTGTAGGTGAGCGAGAGCACCATGACCCCGAGGGTGAGAATGACGCGAGTCTTCTTCCGTGTGCTTCATTCCCGTGCATTCTCCACTGGTGGTATAGTTGATGGCGGACCCATCCTGGCTGCTGCTAAGCCGGCTGCGTCGAAAGATCAGAAGGACTTGTGTTGGCACTGCAGCGTGCCTCAAGACGATCCATTGAAGGAATTGTTGATCTTTGTCGCATCCATGGCAGCCGGTGGACAAGTTGCAGGCCAGCTCTGACTTTGCGATAAGTCAGAGCAAAGGCGTAGACAGTGTAATCGCATTATCATGCAAGTAAAGAATGACCGATTGATGGTTTGTGTTTTCAAAGGGCTTGTGCCTCCGCAAATGACTTCCTGCGGACATAGAACCTTGTGAGCACCGCATCCCGTCTGATCTGAAAAGTTACGCAAGGTGTCGCTCAATTAACACTGGGGTGTGGGAAACTGCAACAATCCTAGGTGCTGCTGTGCTTTTCTCGTCCTTTCTTCCCCCTGCTCCTCTTTTCGACTTGCGAACGTATCAAGCTTGAACGTGGCACAACGCCGATCAAGTGTCGTGATGCGCTCAAAGATAACAGTTCCTCCAGTCCCCGCCTGCTTGAGCAAAGCTTTGGCTGGTGACAAAGTCGCTCAGCTTGCAAAGCCCGGCAGCGGCATGCTTCCTTCCCTGAGCCTGTACGCCGCATTCTTTCAAACCAGAAACTGGAAGAACAGCATCATTGAGGAGTATGCGCACGTACTTCTGCGGCTTACCCCTGCAGGTCAGTCGCTCGACGACCATACGGCCTCCCATGGGCACAATGTGAGCTGTGTTCCATAGTCTGTCCTTGCTGGGATATTTGGTAGGGTCGAGCTTGCGACCGTCTTTGAGCAGACCCATCACGGCAACTGCAGAAGCCAACTGGGTGTCATGCGTAAAGTCGAGGTAGACAGGAAGGCCAAGTGGGAATGTGATTTTGTCAGCATCGAGCGTCGTATTGGTCGAAGTTCGATCTGTGACAGGCGAATCAGTCAATCGAGCCAGAAGCTCGTTGACCCAGCCGACGCCCCAGGCACGACCGAATGGCCCGCCGTATCCGGCATTTTCAAACTGCTGAAGATCCTGTCCGTACGAATACAACTCCCATTCATGCAGGTTGAAGATGGCACAAAAGGGCGAAAGGTGACTGAGATAGGCAGACTGGAAGGGACAAGCATTTTGCATCGCTTGCACGTCAGATGTGGTTAGGTTGAGGTTCGGAAGAGCGCGCTGAAGCCTTTGAACGACCTTGGGCAGATAGACGTCGTTCCAAATCGCGAAAGCATCATCCGATGAGGTATCGTTCTGGGAGAATGGACAGGTACCAACGGCAAGGGAATCGTTGTAGGCCTTCGAGCTATCTGGAAGGGTCAAGAGCGGTGCAGCAAGACGGTTGCGCCAGTCTGGCCCCATGAAGCCCTCGGAGAATGTCCAACTGGTCACATTGACACGACTTTGATCTGTGGTCCTCACAAAGACTGGTAGAGACTGGTTGACAGGAGTGTTGTACCAGTCCATGTGTCCCAGCAGATACCCGTACATCTTCTTGAAACGATAACCGCTCGCGTGGGCATCTTGTTCCCCGTACGCTGTCAGCAATTCGGAGGGAACTGCCTTGTAGCTATCTTTCAGACCGGATAAAAAGTGAAGCTCGGGATGGCTCTGTCCATCGCCGATTGCGAAATTCCAAGAGGAGTCTTCGGCGTTGCTGGCGTTGACGATGTTAGATATCATGGTCGCGATGCCAGAACCAACGCCTTTTGATGGACCACGGAAGTCGTGTCGCATGAAGAGATTGACCTGGTCAACTTCGCAGCCGGGGAAGACCGCATCAGGGATGTCGTAGCGACCGATGTCGCCGTTTGGCACGTAGAACGACCAGGCGCCAAGACTGGTGAGGATACTAGGATCGACTGCCTGTCCTTGTTGCGTTGTTGGCCAAAGTGATGTGCCGTATCCCAACGTACTGGCAAGCGCCAGCAGCGCTGGTTTCCATTGACGCATGTTGAACAATAGACGACCTGACCTGGATTCTTCGATAATGGTTGAGCTCTCGAGCCTTACTCTATGGGTCTTGTAGTGTGTGACCTCAGTAAAGGGTCAGATCAGCTGTAGCAGTTGAAGAGAGGTCTATATAGATGTGCACACGTTCGCTTCAGAAAAGGGTATTGACACAAGCAGATAGCAGAGACAGCTTGAACACCAGGCCGCGGCAGGAGACAAGTATGGACCGGTGGCCCGACGAGAAGAGGCTCTAATCAACCCTTCGCGGCACGAGCCGAAGGTTTGCAAGACATCCACCGGTATCAATGGCACGACTACTCGCAGGAGCCGAGGTTGGGATGAAAGAAACAAGATCGACACCTTCTGTCTCGGCCAATTTGTCTAGCACCGGCTTGTACGACCACATGACGATTCACGCCCAAGCGGGGGCAACCTGGTCTCTTCGCTTCTGTTCAAGTCTACCCTGTGACTTGAGCAAGATTTGAGAACGTGCGCACCAGTGTGCATGTCGGAGAGCTTCTGATTGCCCACCGCCCTGCATAGTATTTTGTCGAGGTTCCCCTGTCGTCCTCCTTGCCAAAACGCGAGCAAGAAACCGCAAAATTGAGAAGCCTGTCAAGGTTGGCCGTCCCGTCTGGACTCAATCGCACGAGAGACTAAAAACGACTAAAAATAATGTGCAGATAAACTGGGTGGATTGCAGGCAAAGACCCGTGAGGTCCTCGAAGCTCGACAAGGAGGCTCCCAGCCCGCCGTAACAGGGGCCGGTCGAGCGCAGAAACGAGTGGCAAGGGAGGGAGTACAGGGAGGGCAAAGAATCGACTAACCAGGTTATGGTGTACCTGGCTTTGGAGAAGGCGATGGTAGTGAAGAGAGGAGCAAAGAGCGGACTGGTGTTGTGAAGAGCGGAGCGGAGAAAGAGCAATGCGATGGCTGAGTCCAGTCCAGACACGGTTTGCCTTTAGTTGAAGCATGTGATACCTCGGTGATAGATGCATGCAAATGCAAACTTCGCCAAGCCCACACAATAATCAACAACATTGCTTGCTTGGGTTAAGTGCATTGCCCAGGCCAACCACTGAAGCCAAAGACACTGGTCACCAGGCAGCCAGTGTTTTCCTCCCAAATCTCACACTCACTATCCATGATGTCACCTCATTGGCCCCTAGCATAACATGCACACATAAGGAGGATTGAGACATATATAAGCACCCAATTCAACATGTACTTAGAATAGCATTACTCATCACAATCAACACTTGTGATCACTGACTTTGATGCACCTCTGATTGATCTTGACAATGCTCTTCAACTGATTAAGAGTCTGAATGCTCTTGCCACACAATCCTCGACACCATGCCTTCACAACCCAATGATCTGCATCCCACCAATGACCCCTCACATGAGGAACCCTCTGATGATCAGGCCGAAATGATTCTGGTACCTGCAGAACATCAAAGAATCACTGAATCTGATTCTGACTCCTCCAATGACTCTGACAGCAATGACAGCAAACTAAGTGAACTCCTGCTCGACCTCATGACATCAACAAAATGAATATTAACACCCTCTGGAACATCATCACACAATCCACCCTACACAAATGAGCCAAGACCTCCTTGTACAAGCTACCTTCCAAATGCCAAGGTTTCCTCCATGAGGTGACCCAACTCAACAATGCACTAAAGTGTCACAGGGACGGCTGGCCTGCGCAAGAGAGTGCGCCAAATGATCAGCAGCAGTTATGATAATGTCGCGTAACGGAGCAGTATATGAAGGGTGTGCAGAAGATCAACATATGAAGGGTGCACCAGATTGATCAGAGTCGAAAACCATCAGGGATCAACAAGATTAATCAGGTTGGCAGCACACATGATTTACGAGATCGATTGAACCCTGGGAATCCAGATCGATCTCATGGGATCAGTCAGAGTCAGCCAGACCAGTACACTTCAATGAGTCAGCTGATCTGAGCAAGTATTCGGAGCTGTGCTGATGACAGAGTCAGTCGGATCAGCATGCTTCAACTAGTCAGCCGATCCAAACAAGTATTCGGAGCTGTGCCGACATCAGAGTCAGTCGAATCAGCATGCTTCAACTAGTTGGCTGATCTGAACAAGTCGAGATGGAACTGAGCCAATGTGACCACATGACCAGGGGGTATGGTCACGAGGTTCAAAAGGGGATTCACAAGATTAAGTTGAAAGGGGGCTGTGCCAAAAGGGGGCATCACACATCAGATAGAAGGAGAGCATGAAGGTGAGAGGGCAGTGTTGCATAACCCTTATGCCGAGCAAACAGTAGGAGTGCAGTATCGAAGGGGATGATGCCAGCAGGGCAAGGCAGTGCCTAACAGGGGACAAAGGCCCCTCAAGAGGAGCAGGATAGGTGTCGAGGGAAAACACCGATTGAACATATAAATACTCTCTTTCTACCATAGCTTTCGAGTGGATGGGCATCCACTCTGAAACTCAACTACTTACTCTATACTTACTAGGTTACGTATCTTCACAATAGCAGTGCTCTTGCAATGACTCTCAACGTGTGTGTTGTATCACCGTTAGTCAACAACTGTAGGTGGTGTTCTTCACACTAGCGGTCCAGTTCATCACTGTAGGTGGTGTTCTTCAACACCAGTGGTCCAGTTCCTTGCTGTAGGCGGTGTTGCTCGACACCAGTGGTCCAGTCGGTTATTGTAGGCAGTGTTTCACACCAGCGGTCCAGTAACTCATGTCCTCTGTAGGCGATTGGCATATCATGGTCCAGACGACATCCAAGAGCATTATCAACAGTACTGTGAACACTTGTACTGTAGGGGAGGGTGTATCACTCACTCACCAACAAACAATGTCCATGCTGCACAACCTCTGAATGGAGTGTTCAAGGTGGTCAGTCGAGACTCACTAGGCGACAATGCTTGGTTACATTTAGGTGAATCATATTGAGTAGTCCTTACTCAATCAACCCCAGCTAGTCTCTGGCGCGCGACCGCTTACATAAAGGATACTCCCAAACTAACCACAAAGAACTGGTATGCCTGGAACCCTCATTTCTGGGACATACTGGCCTCATGGTCCCCAGCTCTCAAGCACCTTGATGGCACCACCAAACCAGGTGATAAGAAGTATGACTGGAAATTGGATGCAAAATTCCATATGATCATCCAGAGCAATGCAAAGCTCATTGGTCAAGATAACATGAACTATCTGTTCATATGACCTGCAAATACTGAATCATGGAGGACCCATGAATTGTATGCCTGACTCAAGAAAGACCTCACCAAGATGGAACACATTGCTGAATCAACCCTTCTCTACAAGGCCAGAAGGATCCACATGTTTAATGCAGATGTCTGTAAATTCACCACCAACCTAAACAAGCATTGGGCCAAGGCCAAAGCCATGGGTTTCAATCTGATGAGAGTTCTCAAGATCAAGACTCTTATTGATCAGGTGAGATTTGTGACTGCCTACAACACATGCATCATGAACTTGCAAGACAATGGTTGAGGAATGGACTACAATGCGATTTGTGCAGCCCTATTTAAACAACAAGATGACATGGCAATGAAACCAAGCCACAGAACTGAAGGCAAGACCACACAAGCTTTCATCGCTAATGGGCAAATCACAAACCAGGATGCATACAGCATGGGAAAACCAGGTCCTGATGGCTGTCGAAGATGTTATTACTGTCAGGGAGAAAACCACATTAGTTGTTTCTGCCCTAAGAACCTGAATGGCAAATACCAAACTAATAACATCACTGACCCAGCTGCCAGATCAAAGAACAATCAAACACCCATCTAGGAAATCTGGTGCACTGTTGCATCAGCATATTGCACTCCCTTGGGACAACAACCCAACTCATGGGTTATAGACTCAGGGGCAACTGACCATATTACAAATGACAATATGACTCTCATTTCACCATCTCCATGCACCAGATTTGTGAAAACTGCTGGTGGAATGAAATTTGAAATCAAGGCTAGAGGCCAAGTCATTGTCAATGTTGATGGACACAAAGTATATCTCAACAATGTACTTTACATTCCAGAAGCAAGTGTAAATCTAATGTCAGTGCAAGCTCTAATGAATGATGGTGTATGTGTGATGTTTAATCCAGATAATGCACACTGTAAGTGGTCGCGCGCCAGAGACTAGTTTTGGGTGTTATTTGATTGGTATAGATGAGATTGGTTGAGTAAGATCTACTTGGTATGTTTTGACTAAATGTAACCAGACATCTCTGACTGGTAAGTCTCGACTGACCACCTTTAACACTCCATTCAGAGGTTGTGCAGCACATTTGCTGTTCATTGGAGAGTGAGTGATACCCTCTCCTTACAGTACAAGTGTTTGCAGTACTGTTGATAATGCTCTAGGATGTCATCTGGACCATGATATACTTATTGCCTACAGAGGACAGGAGTTACTGGACCACAGGTGTGAGCCACTGCCTACAATAACTGACTGGACTGCAGGTGTCGAGCAACACTGCCTACAGTAAGGGACTGGACTGCAAGTGTTGAAGAACACTGCCTACAGTTGAGAACTGGACCACAAGTGTTTGGAGAACACCACCTACAGTTGAAGGACTGGACTGCAAGTGTTCAGAGAACACCGCCTACAGTTGATGCCTAATGGTGATACAACACACACATTTGAGGGTCATTGCAAAAGCACTGCTATTGCAATGATACATAACTAAGAGCTGTGCCCCTACCATTTGCACAGCATAATGGTTATGCAACACTGCCCTTTTGCCTTCATGCTCTCTTTCTGCCTGATGATGTGTGATGACCCCTTCGACACAGCTCCTCCTCTTCATTTAACCAATCTCCATTCACAGCTCCTTCTCTCTTTACCAGCAACCACCTTCTTGACCTTATCTTGTGAATCCCTTTAGCCACTTGTTGGACCTTGTGACCAAACCCCTTGGTCATGTGGTCGCCCCTGTGCTTGGTCCTGTGTGGTTATTGTCATGGGCCTGAATGCGCAGGAAGCAGGAAGACCCGTTGGTTCATATGGAGGGAGCGCAGGAATCAGGGGATCAGGCAAATTGTAGGATTTGTGGCAGAGTTCACTGAGATCTGCAGTAGAATCGGCTCTATGACAGATCTCAGTGAGATCAGTATGTGTGAAGGTGGTATCACGATTTCCACCAGGATCTGTAGTAGACATGATCATGTGGCAGATTCTGCAGAGATCAGTGGCAAGGACAATAGTGCGATGAACTTCACATGTGAGGAGCAGGACCAAGCATCGCCAAGAAGAGGACCAAGCTCAGGAGCATGCAGCTGGTTACCACTCAGGGGTCACAGGATAAAGACCTGAAGAACCATCATTGGTGGAAGGAGGATAAGCTGTATCAAGGACACTGGCAAACAGGTCATGAGGAGGAGGAGCAGTGTCAAAGAAGTCGACACATAGCTCAGGACAGACAGGAGCAATAAGCAAGCAGGGCTCAATGAGGAGGAGGCGCCTCATCAGGGACTCCTGTACAGCACTCGGCGAAGAGGGTACTCTCTGGAGGGAGAGCCAGAGCAGTGTCACTGGCAACACTGCGAAGATGTATATAACCATACCCCCTCACCATAAGTGGTCAAGTGGATCCCCATCCACTCTACACCATATAACTAGTATTACTTCAAAAGCATAAGTACTCATTAGTTTCAGTCAGCATAGTTGCAATGAAATAGATTGCTTCTCATTGTAGCACATGTGTTGTATCACTGCTCACTGATGTCCAAAGGCAGTTCATAGCAAACCAGCAGTCCAGATAAAGATAGAACCAAAGGCAGTAGTCCACTGCAGTCCAGGGATCACTTCAAGCAATAGTTGACACACTGGACACTCATGTTGACATCACCAGCAATCATATTTACACCAGACCTTGGTGTCAGTACAAGTTCACATTGTTATTGATCGTGCCAAGCTACCTCTGGATAGAGTGTCCACAGTGGTCAGTCAAAACCTGCAATAGCAAAACCCTTACTGCAGTTCCAAGTGAGGAAAGTGATAGAGATGGCTCTACTACATATTTCGCCAAGAATTGCAATACCACAAGTGCTGCCACATAACTCGACAGGATCTGTAATAGACGAGACTCTATTACCGATCTCAGGTTTTGGGCATGCGACCGCTGACAGTTATATGCACATACCCCTCGAGCGGTAACTGTCCACATGATGCTGAGCTTGGTCCCCCACTCCTACATGTGGTTATCTCCATATGCTTCTCCTTCTAATGCTGGTATCTTCTTTCCTGAATCTCCTGACACTTGCTCATGTCAGCCAACTTGCTGAGGCATGCTGATCCAGCTGATCCCAATTGATCCTCATGAGATTAAGCTGGAACCCAGAGTTCAGTTGATCTTGTAAATCATATGTGCTACCAGCCTGATTAGCTTTGTCAATTCCTGATGATTTGGCACTGATCAATTTGGCACACCCTTCATATGTTGATCTGCTGACCCTGTGACATTACCATGAATGCCATCAGCCAATTTGGCGCACCCTTCATACACTGGCCCGCTGGCCCTGTGACACACACCTTAAGTGGCCCAATGGTCATGAAGTAAAAGGATATACCAATACCCATACAAGGCATTGGGAAATCCACCCAACAAAGCCAGAAGCCCTCATATCAATGATAGATGACAAAATGAACAACTTACCAGAATGACTCAATGCCAATGACCCACCAAAACCATGAAGTTTCACTAGGGACTTCATTCATGAATGATGTGGTCACCCTGGCCAAGACAAGAGCCACATGCTAGAAAACATATACAATATCAAGATTAGGCCATATGAATGTCAAGATTGCATAGTAAGCAAGTCGATGAAAGAATGGATGGGGCAAAGCATTGGCAAATGTGCCAAGTACCCATTAGAGCTCATACACATTGACTTGGCAACACACTTTTTGACTAAGACAGAATTCACCTCCATATTGGTGGCAGTGGATGATGCATCCAGTTTCACATATGTTAAACCCCTATGTTCAAAGGCCAATGCATTACAAATACTGAAAGAATGGATCAACTATGCTGAAACCCAAACTGGATATAAACTCAAGGCTCTTTGGTCTGACAATGGATCAGAATGGATCAATGCAAATGTGATTGCATGGCAGAATGATGCAGGATTTTGATGGCAGAAGACATCAACATACAACAGTGAGCAAAATGGAAAGGCAGAATGGATGATAAGAACAATCAAGAATATGATGATGGTAATGATGTGGTCCCACAGTTTGCCCCAGATTTTCTGGCTGTTTGCAGTCAAAGCAGTGGTCTTTACAAAGAACTTGATACCAAATGTCCAAGGCCACATTCTGTATCATGTATTCTATGATAGAGACCCCAAGAAACCATTCAATATGCTTCACACTTTTGGATGTCTTGCCTGGGTACATGTGCCTAAGATGAAAAGAAAGAAACTTGATGACCCAGCTATACCTGCCATCTTCATCAGATATGATGAGGAACATAAGGGGTGGAAGTTCATATCCCCAAAGCACAACCCAACAGTTTTTTGGTCTAATGCAGCTAAATTCCTGGAAAGCAAGTCATGGGAGGAATGTACAGAAGTGATACCAAGTCTAGACATGGACTCCAAGTATCATATGGGAGATATTGAGGATATGGGTTATACTGAGCAAGACATCCATGATGAGGAGCAATGGGGACCAATCAAAGATATACATCAATTGAAAAATGAAAGTGATCAAACAAATCTGAGAGATCAGCACATGCTGGTAACAACTGCAGAACCAATGGAAATGAGGAACAATGACATCATTAGCAAAATCAACCAAGTGCATCCCTGGGTCCAACTGATGACAGTTGCAGTGGCCCTGAAGACACAATCGCAATTACCTTCACCAGGTGAACTGTACCATTTCCAACAGAAACTTTGGCATCAAGGAAAGATATCAGGATCGCCACACATTGCACACCACATGACAAGTGAAAACATGGCCAGTGTCACAAACCTAAAACCAACAGTGAAAGAGGCACTTGCTGGACCAAATCAATCTCATTGGCATGAAGCAATCCATGCCAAACTGGAAGGCCTTGAAAGCATGAACATATGGGAAGTTGTTGATATGCCATTGAAAGCACACCTCATCAATTCAAAACTAGTACTCAATGTCAAAACAGATGTGAATGGGGTGCCATACAAGTTCAAGGCATGACTTTGCACTTGGGGATTTTCACAGAGGAAGGGTTTGGACTACATGGAGATCTTTGTGCCAGTAGTACCCAGAGATGTGATTTGGACAGTACTTGTAATAGCAGCTAAACTAGATTGGGAATTGGACTCCATAGATGTAAAGCAGGCATACATCAATGCAAGATTTGAACACAATATTTACCTTAAACCACCTGAAGGTACAAATGCCCGCCCTGGAAAGGTGTATAAGCTGCTTAAGAGCCTCTATGGCCTCAAGCAATCTGGACAAGAGTGGTACAAGGAAATGGATTCTCATCTGCGACACATGGGATTCTTTCCAGTCTGGGGAGTACCATGCATATATTCTAAGGGAGCAGGACAGGAACAGGTTATCATTGTCATGTACATAGACGATATGCTCATTATGGCTCTGCATAGATCACAGGTAGATGAAGTGAAACAAGCAATCCTCAATAAATGGAAGATCAAGGACAATGGACCAGTGACAGAATTCTTGAAGATCAAGATCACAAGGGACCAGGCAAAACACACTATGGACCTGGATCAAAGAGCATATATCAAGGAAATCATCAAGGAATGGATCAAACCTGATGAAAAGACCTGGATACCAATGAGAACCACTCCCACAAAAGCAACCAATGGCCTCACAAACAGTGGCAAACTAAAGGAGACCTACCCCACACTCATTGGAAAGCTACTCTGGGTACCAAATACTGTCCACCCAGACATCAGCTACATGGTCAATACCCTCACATGACATATGTTTCAACCAACTGAAGAAATGATGCTAGTGGCACTATGCATTGTTAAGTACTTGAACCAGACTCAAGACAATGTATTGTGCATTGGCAGAGCAGACACTACCAGAAACATCATAGAAGCCTATACAGACATGAACTGGGCTTCTGACCCTAATGTTGATAGGAAAAGCACCTCAGGTTTGATCATAAAAGTCTTTGGCAGCATTGTCACCTGGAACTCTCATATCCAGAAGTGCATAGCCAGCTCAGCAGTTGAGGCTGAATACATTGCTGGATCAGCTGCCACTAGAGAGGCTCTATTCCATAGGCACCTCCTCTGTGGACTTGGTTTTGGCAATCACATTCCTGTCATCCTTATGGATAACACCAGATGTATTCAGGTGGCAAAGGACCAGGCCATGCATTCAAAACTCAAGCATGTTGATACTAAATACCATCTCATCTGAGACCATGTGCAAGAAGGGGATATAATGATTAGGTATGTTAAGACTGGAGACAACATCACCAATTTCCTCATGAAGCCTGTCTTGGGGAAACTCCTGTCAAAGATCAGTACCCACCTTGGAATCATTAATGCAGGACTGTATGGTTGCTCTGTTGGCAAGGAGGGGAGTTGAAGCATGTGATACTTCAGTGATAGATGCATGCAAATGCAAACTTCACCAAGCCCACACAATAATCACCAACATTGCTTGCTTGGATTAAGTGCATTGCCCAGGCCAACCACTGAAGCCAAAGACACTGGTCACCAGGCAGCCAGTGTTTTCCTCCCAAATCTCATGCTCACTATCCATGATGTTGCCTCATTGGCCCCTAGCATAACATGCACACATAAGGAGGATTGAGACATATATAAGCACCCAATTCAACATGTACTTAGAATAGCATTACTCATCGCAATCAACACTTGTGATCACTGACTTTGACACACCTCCGATTGATCTCGACGACGCTCTTCAACTCCTTTTCGATGAAATCACGTGATGCACAAATCAAATCGGCTGGTCATCGCCGCCGGTCTCTCTGTCTGCTCGAGTGCTCAGGCAAAGCTCATTCTAGGACATCTTTCAGTCTGGTCAACATTCATTAAGGGCACGCCAACCTCTGTTCCCCATATCATCCGTTTTGTCCTGACCATTGCTAACACGATGCTTGAGAGAGATAAAGGTGACATTCAAGCAGTGATATAAGTAAAATTGACCGAGATAGGCGCGTGATCAGATAGAGGCTTGCCCGAACTATCGACGAACTCTTCAGCCAGGTACTGCCAGTCGCTAGGTCGCAATGTGACGCTTTTGCCATTCCTGTAGAACACTTTATCCACCACTTCGCAGTTGGTCGTTGTCGGAATGGGGTCAGCACATAACAGAGCAGGGTCTGTGGAAGCAGGAGCTTTACCGTCCCTTACCAGTTCGACCCAAGTATCGATCAGCTTGGTCTGAGAGAGAAACTGTGATAGATTGTCTAGAGGACGTGTATAACGGCTGTTGGTATCGCCCATTACGATCACTGCTCTTCCGGCTGGGTCCGATCGGTCGGCGATGGCTTTGGCGAGCTGATCGAAGTTGGATTTGCGAGCACTGGAATCGCCGCTGTGGTCGCCGGCATCCATGTGCAGATTGTACACATCCACCTCGCCTCCTGACGGCAATTCCAGTGTGACGGCAGTATAGCCCTTGGGTGTGAGGCAGTCGCCTTGGCTGAGGTCACATTTGCTCCACTTGACACGGAGAAGGTCCCTAAAGGGGATTGTGCTCAAGGTGTTGAGCCCAGAACCGAAGGGAACGCCGCCGGAGGTGGGGGTGCGGTACGGATGATCGTCGTGGTCGTAGATGTAGGCGTGATAGTTGAAGTCCTAGAAACACGAGAAATGTGGTCTCTGTGTCAGCTGGGAGAAGACACTCTTGATGACACTCTTTCTGCTTGCTGAAACTTACTTCTTGCACATTGATCAAGTCGAAGTTGTATTGTGCGAACTTCTTGCCAATGGTGATCGAATTCTCCTTTTTGTCTCCATCTCCGTTGTTGTTGAAGATAGCAGGAAGGCCTGCGACATTCATAGTGACCGCCTTCAAGCTCCCCGTTGATGTTGGAGCGGACGACACCAGGGCGACTAGCTTCAAGATTGAAGCCAGCAAGGCAAAGGGGCGGGTACGCATGATAGGGTGAGGAAGGCCTGAGAAGGGAGCGAAGTGCTTGAATTGGGGACTGTCTTCGATCCAGGAATACACTGCTCCATATATGAGTGTCTAGCCCCACTCTCGAAAGTGTTCGACTCGAGGAAAGATCAGACTGAGTCTCTACCCCGGAAGGCGCAAAAGAGCGTCTGTTAGCGAGGTGGACTCGTGCTGGGAAAAGAGCATGCAGCTCGAGGGCGTCGCTCACCCGAGCTTTCCTGTAAGCGAGTAAGGCCATCGTGGTCTCTCCAGCTCTTCGACGCTCCTACCTTTTGGCGCAAGACCTCGCCAGTTCTGCAGGAGCCGAGACCCCCTTTTCTTTTCCTCTTCAGGCAGTGATCCGCTACTGTGCGGAGCTCCCAAGCACACGGCCTTGTTCCTACATTGAGCTCTGAATTTTGCAAGGCATATCAGGTTCAACGATCGCCAAACACCCTTTTAGCCGAGAGCAGACTTGCTGCACCTTCCCATTCTTGCCGAGCAGCACAGCTTTCTCTTGCGTTTTCCTTTGGCTTTGGCTTTGGCTCTGGTTCATGCCCTCGCTTAGTGCTGAGGACGGTCAACTCCTGCGCCGACGCAGAGCAGATCAGAGTTGCTGAATTCTGTTCGACATTCAGCAAAGGGCTGGTGGTGCTTCTGAGAGTAGATCGTTTGCTCCAGGTCCAGTTGAAAGTAGAAACACCACTTCGTTAGGGCCACAATCTGGCTCCCTTCGATATATATATATACTCTAACACCGCCACTGACACTCGTCGAGTTGTCTCAGTTGAGTCGACTATCTTTTCCTGCATAACTCCAACAGTGGCTAACCCCCTTTCATAACCGTTGTCATGTCAACGCACAGCTTTCTGTCTTATCCACAGTTTTCAATTGTATGCACCTCATCCCCTTCCCCTGGCCGCTCGAGCCTCACACATGCAGGACCCTGTCGACAATGAAACGACGCTCCCACCCGTTGTCCAATTCTGCTCTTCCATCGAGCTTGTACATACATGCCATTGTTGATGTGAGCCTCTTCCCTTTTCCAAGCTCCGGCCTACTTGCATCAAGACGCATACTGTTGCTAGGCGTGCGCACACATGCAAGCTTTACAGCTTCGCTCCTCTCGTTTGATGCCGACTTTTTATCCTTCTCATGCTTGTTCGGTCGATAGCTGTCTCGACTCTTGCATGGCCTTCTTCCGGATCGTCTTGCCAATCTTGCTTTCCTCCACCATCCTCATACCCTCTCATCCAAGTCCATGCTTCATCAGCATCCCCAGAAGCTTCCTCTGCTTCCGTTGCAGGCAGAGGTTCATGATATCGCTGGGCTCGAGCTTCTCGATGCGCATCTGTCAACAAACAAGCATGCATGGAGCACGCCACCATGGGCACGTCGTCTAGGGTCTCTCGCCGACGAATCATCTTCTGGGCTGGTCCCTTTGCTTGTCGGCTTGCCTATCCTTTGCTCGATCGCAGCTCACTTCTACTTTCAGATGTTCTCGACACTGCACATCTATCTTGCTCTCGTCTGGATCGGTCTTCCTACAGCAACCACCTCCATGCTGATCTCTCTTGCCTCTCGACGTCACAGCAAAAGCGACAGACCAAGACAGCACATTAAAGCAACGGTACTGCTAGCTCTTCTTGGCACCGTCGCTTGGAGAACTTTCACAACCAGTTCCCGACGTGGCCTCTCGATTCCCGCATTACTACCGCTTCCCAATAATCAGACTGTCTTCGTCGCCATCAACCTCTATAATTCAGAGCACCTCTTTCCTGCCTTCTCAAACTCACTTCTCCAACTTGCTCATCAACTTGGTGAGGACAATGTCTTCTTCTCTATCTATGAAAGCAACTCTGAGGATCACACAAAACAGCATCTCTCGCAGCTCCAACACAGCTTCAATCAACGGGGCATTCAGAATCGCGTTCGCATGCTGGACAATACTCGCAGACAAGATCTCGAACGCATTCATCGCCTCGCCATCATCAGAAATGAGGCTCTTAGTCCGATAAGTGACGGCATCTACGGTCTCCACAACCGTACTTTTTCCAAGCTCGTTTGGCTGAACGACATCTTCTTCCGTCCTGGTAAGCGTCACGAACGCCTTCCTTCTAGATATGCCCACCATGTCAATATAGCGCTAACATAGCATTCACGGTTGCATCATGCCACAGAATCGGTATTGGAGCTCCTGTCCACCAACGAAGGGCGGTTCGATCAAGTCTGCGCTCTCGACTACCTGCCTCTCGGCTTCTATGATACGTAAGTGTAGCTCAATACCTCATTGCGACGGTCTTCAATGGCTCGCTGACCCTTACGTGAAATGCTGCGCAACCGCCTCCTGTCATTGGTCATGTCCACTATCAGCTGGGTCATGCGAGATGTAGACGGTTTTCGACCCACTCCATTGTGGCCTTACTTCAAGCGCGAACAAGATGTTGCCAGCTTGCGCAGAGGCGAGCCCATTCTCGTGAACAGCTGCTGGAACGGCATCACGATCTTCGACGCAAAGTGGTTCCTTCCGACTCTCCAGACAGATGCCAACACTACGCCAATACCTGGTCCAGATGGCGGTCCCCTCCGTTTTCGAACGCATCCCGAATGCCTCGTCTCCGAGTGTCTTCTTCCGAGCTACGACATTCACATCCGCAGCAAAGAGCGGCCCCTCATCTTTGTCAATCCAAGAGCCGTAGCCAGTGAGTTCCTTGCATATTGCTCTTGTTTCCCTCCTCGTTCCGCTGGTCTCTGTTGGGCTGAAGTACTCACGGCCTCCTACCTCTGTTCGCAAACTCGAAGCTTACCAATACCGGGACTACCTCATGTACGACGTGATCATGCGATCGAACATCGTCAACCTCTGGAGTCGCATCTGGCAGGACCTGATCAGCCATTCTCTCTTCGGCTTCTTCGCAGAAATGGGTCGCAAAGCGGATGAATGTGCAGACGCTCTCCGAGGCGGGTGGAAAGCTGCGTAGGAATTGTGCATCCGTTCATCTCTTCCTCGATTGCCCAAGGGTCCTTTCGCCACTCCTGGCTCATTGGCGGCGCACCTTATCATTTGGCTCTGAACAGCCGCTGCTCTCTCATCGTATTCTCTTTGGCACAGTTGCATCTCATCCCATATACCCCTCCACTGCATACTCATACAGAACCGTCAATAGACTTTGATTCGACGCTGAAGAACCCACCGCGAGATTAGACCGTCCCGTTTCACTCGAAATTGGCCTGCAGTACCGAGAGATCATCGCATACTTGGCATCTCTTACACAATCATCTACTATCCTGACTATGTCTGCTGATTGCGTTGACATCCTTCGCTGAGCGTCTCACTCATACTTTCAAGGGCGGGGCAAAGGCCAAGATCACGGAGGTGACTCTCTACCCAAATTGTTCACAGCTGCAACCCGAAATGTCGCAGGTTAAGGATGCCGAAGGTAACGATCCAATATGATGACGAAAGCTGACATAAGCCGATGCGGAAGAGATCAGACAAGGCCAACCTAATCGGAGATCTGGCAGTGCCGATCTGACCAGAGGTCGGGTATAACACAGCCCCGCTCGTTGTCAAGCTAGATCATTAAGTAGGTTACTCCCACATTCGGCATGTGCCACATAGATGTATATATATCAAGCTGAGAGCACTAGGCTCTCACCACGTTCGTTCAGTCAATCGAGTATATATGTTTCTGCCCTAAAACAGTAGTGACATCGTACTCAGACTCTCCCCGATCGCCAGTTATCGGGACCAAACTTCTTCATACTTTATCATTGCAAAGAACAAGAACGGCAAAGAGGAACGACAGAAGTCTAAATGAGGACTTCCTTCGTGGCGTAGAGATCCCACACTATGCATCAATGCTACATTTCTTCTTGACTCGGACTGTTATGAAAAGACATCAACGAGTGAAAGAGGTCGAACAGCAAAGCAAGCTTCGCCTCCAAGGTGTCTGCCAGTCGATAACGAATGCACAGTCAGGATAGTTACTCCTAACAATGTCGATGCGGTAAGCTTTTCTGATGTTGCCTTAAATCACACGTTGAATCTCCTAGGGCAACACATCCACATTGTACTGGTGGAATGAAGCATTGTTTGCTGGCATACTCTCTTTGTCGATAGCTTTAGCACTTTGCCCCACAGCACTTTCGTACCTTCATGTGTTGGTGTCTAAATGTACTGTACCGACTCAAATTCGCACCTGCACCAGATCAATCGGTGCCACGGACCACGGCGCAATGTTGCTGAAGTTTGATCTCAGACAAAGAGGGAAAATGAAGGCTCCACAAAGGTGGCTGACCGAGATGCGCAACACAACGCAAAGACGTGAGAGAGCTATCGCCACACGTGGCCATGTAACAGCAAAATTTTGTCCTTCTGGAAGGAGGGCTCAGAAGGTATAAGAAGACCCGCGTATCCCTGTCTCATTCGGGTCTCTCCCTCATCGACCTCTCCTTGCCACTTCGTCCTCTCGAGTAATGCTGGCAATGCGTCAAACCTTTCAGCAATGGATGGTGCTGCTCTCAGCACTCGTCCTATTGCTTCTCCCAGCCCTACTTTGCTATGCAGCGCCGATGGACTCTGGTGCTTCTTCTAGCTCTGGAGCTCCACCTGAAACCAGGGGAATTTTTTATTACACTACTAACCAGGTCGGTTTCGATCCAAACAGACCACCCCTGACAGGCAGTGATTTGCATCGGCAATTCGGCACTGAAATACATTATAATGGCATACCGGTGCTTTTTACAGGAAGAGTTCCTACAACCAAAGTGCATGACGCTATGAGCACCTACAAGGAGGTCTGGCTTGTTGGCCGCCCTACTATTGGAGATGATTACAGTTTCATAAAGATATTTGGAAACGATGTTCGAAACCCCAAGGTATACATTGACCAGAAAAATGAAGTTCGTAAGCATCTCAGCGGAGTCCAAAAATTCGGGAATAAGTATGGTATAATAGTTCAGCACCTTAGGTACGGGCTTCCGTTCCCCAAACGACAAAGTACAAGTTTCTTTGGTTATAGTGTGCCTCGATGGAATAAGGTAAAAACGAGCACCGGGTACAATCTGGGAGACACAGAGTTAACCCATCTGCACAATCTCCTCCACCAGAAAAACTACCTCAAAGTTCAGGATCCAGAACATGACAAGTTGCTCGGCTTCGCATTAGATAAAAAGGGCAAGGTGTCTTTCGAAAACTTCGGTTCATACCTTAGCAAGGCGTAGGCTCCTTGCGCCCGCTACTTCTGCTTCGAATATTCCTCACCCCCATTTGGTATCTCTTCATTCGAATTTCATTCGTTTGCCGTGCGTCTCAACAGCTAATGAGAACTACCACCCATCCCCATTCACCGCTGTCTGTCGTCGACTGTCTTGAATGCAATGCATCACATTCCTCATCCTTGCGATTTCAACTAGCCGGTCTCGTGTGAATATTCATACAGAGCGACATACAGTCCACGCATTAGACTGTGTTGAGTGGTACAAGCTCGACATAAAGATTCTTTCAAGATGAGAAGGCAGCAAGGGCAATTAAGAACCAGTATACCGATCTCAATACTACTCGACGAAAGGAAAAGTGGGCATGATGAAATTACATGTGCTTCAAGGAACCAGCAAGCTTCTCTCCTGGAACGACGGCTGTTTTGCGCTCTTTCCAAGGCCAGCGGTCGCACCATACCTCTGCACTGTGGGTGCGACAATCGGCTTCTTGATGTCATACCTGAGCAAAATCTCAGGAATGATCTTTGAGAGCTCCCTCAAGCTGGAGCTCGGTGACGTCTTCGATGTACTCTTCGAGCATGACCAGGCTGTTCATGCTGTAGGCGCTTGCTGTGCTGGTGAGGGTCGCTGGTGAGGGTCGCTTGCCCTCGACCGCAAGCTCTCCTCACCACGCCACACAGCCTAGACTTACACACACACACATCTGTACAACAGCCATAACGCATTATCCAACCAGTTCCATTACATTCCGTATTGCCGCTTAGAACAGATGCAAACTCTGAGTTAAAGGCAGCTCCTCCGCAGGCGGAACAGTCAACAATATCCCCGCGTCCGTCACTTCATACGTCTCCGGATCGACCTTGAGATCAGGCGTATGCGTGTTGAGTTTCATATTCTTCTTACTAACTTTCCTGCATCCTTTCACCGGCTCGACCCTCTTGGTGACTCCGTAACGCTTCACAATACCATGCTTAACGGAAAGTTGAGAGACGAAAAGCACCGAATTGTGCGGCGCAGCATTGGCGTTCGCACCATGCATGCCTCTTCCATAGATCGGCTGCACCGTTGGAATGGAAGCATTTGCATCACCCATTTGCGCCCACGCCACCTGTCCACCCTTCAAAACGAATTCCGGGCAGACACCGAACTTGCTCGGCAAGTAGAAAACCAGATCAGCCAGCTTGCCTGGCTCGATCGACCCAATCAGATGCGAACAACCATGAACGAGAGCCGGATTGATCGTATACTTCACCACGTATCTCTTAATCCTCAGATTGTCCGAAACAGCTTCACTCGGATGTGGCACCCTAAATTCACCTTCCCCCCGCACTCCCCCTTCCGGCACTCGCAATGGTCCAATCAAGCCAGCCATCTTACTAGCAGTCCTCCAAGTCCTCGAAACAACCTCCCCAATCCGACCCATACCCTGCGAATCGCTACTGATCATCGAAATAGCCCCACTATCCTGCAACACGTCTTCGGCAGCCACCGTCTCCGCCCTAATCCTCGAATCCGCAAACGCCACATCCTCCACGATATCCTTACTGAGATGATGACACACCATCAGCATATCCAGATGTTCATCCAGGATGCTCTTCGCATAAGGTCTCGTGGGGTTCGTTGAGGAGGGTAGGACGTTGGTTTCTCCGCAAACCTGGATGATGTCGGGAGCATGCCCACCACCGGCACCTTCCGAATGATAAGTATGAATCATCCTCCCCTTAAATGCTGCCAGAGTCCCTTCCACAAAGCAACTCTCGTTCAACGTATCTGTATGAATGTTACACTGAACATCATACTTATCGCACACCGTCAAACATGCATCGATGGCTGCAGGTGTTGCTCCCCAATCCTCGTGAATTTTTAACCCTGCACAACCGGCTTTAATCTGATCTTCCAACCCCGCCAAACCCGAATCGTTGCCTTTACCTGTAAACGCAAAGTTCAATGGAACGTTGTCCGTTGCAATCATCATGTTCTTGAGTTGATCCTGTCCCGGAGTACAAGTCGTAGCACTAGTTCCCGCGGTCGGACCAGTGCCTCCTCCGATGAGAGTTGTAATCCACGTCGCTAGTGCCTCCTCGTGTAGATCCGGACAAATGTAATACACATGAGCATCGATCGCTCCCGCGGTAACGATATACTTTTCACCAGCAATAACTTCGGTACAAGACCCAACCACAAGGTTCGGATCCACTCCATCCATTATCGCCGGGTTACCTGCCTTCCCAATCCCCACAATATGCCCACCTCTGATGCCAATATCTGCTTTGACAATCCCCCACCAATCAACAATCAGCGCATTGATCACTACCACGTCCAACACGGCTTTATCGGGTCGACCAGAAGCTTGACCCATACCATCACGAATGACTTTTCCACCACCGAACTTAAGCTCATCCCCGTACACGGTGTAATCTTTCTCCACTTCCAACCAGAGCGGGCTGTCGGCTAGACGAACTTTGTCGCCTACTGTTGGGCCATACAATGCGGCATACGCATCTCGACTGAGTTCGAATGGTGGTGGTGGGTTGGAATCGTCTGCCATCTCTGGGATAGGCTCGTTGGAGAATCCTGCTGCTTCGATTCGTTTCACCAAGGCCTGCTTGCTCTCGCTCGTAGTGAGAAACTGGTCGAGGGGTCCAGAAGCTAGATTGTTTCCACCAGCGAGGATCTTCGTCCCGCCTATTCCCACCAGTGTAACAGTCTTACTATCACCCGGTTCGAACCTAATCGCGGTGCCTGCCGCAATATCCAACCTCTTGCCCAAAGCCAACAATCTCGGGAAAGACAAAGCTGCATTCGTTTCGAGAAAGGATAATGCGATCCAACTTGGATCAGTCTATCTCCCATATTTGTTACTTTCACATTCACCCTCTCTCTGTTTGGACATAACTGTATCGCCCCTGCACCCTAGCCCTAGCCGGTGTGTCTTGCTTGCGGGCAACGCACAATTGCGCTCCGCCAAAATCGAAATTCACGCGACTGCGTTGACCCCCAACGCACTCGAAATTTACACTGCTCAAGTGCCGCAACGCAAACAAATTTATTTTTGCTGGAGCAGCGCAAATTGAGCAACGCACAGCTGGAGCAACGCACTCACAGCTGGAGCAACGCACACTCTGCTGGAGCAACGCAATCTGAGCAGCGCACAGCTCGAGAGCAACGCACTGTTCGAGAGCAATGCACAGCTCAAGAGCAACACACAGCTCAAGAGCAACGCACAGCTGGAGCAACGCAATCTGAGAAGCGCAATCTCATCAGCGAACTGCTGGACAGCGCACACTCTGTCGGAGCAGCACAATTGAGAGCAGCGCAATTGAGAGGAGCGCAATCGAGAGGAGTGCTCACTCTGCTGGAGCAGCACAATCGACATGAGCGCAATCAAGACGAACGCAATCGACAGGAGCGCAATCGACAAAAGTGCAATCAACAGCAGCTCAATTGACAGGAGCACAATCAAGAGGAGTGCAAGCGACAGGAGTGAGCACTCTGCTGCAGCAGCGCAATCGAGAGGAGCGCAATCACGAGCAGAGCAGGAGAGAGGAGCACAATCGAAAGTAGTGCAAGAGAGAGCAGAGCGAGAGAGAGGAGCGTAATCAACAGGAGAGCAATCTACAGGAGCGCAATCGAGAGGAGACCAATCGACAGGAGTGCAATCGACCGGAGACCCATCGACAGGAGCGCAATCGAGAGCAGAGCAGTAGAGAGGAGCTCTATCAACAAGAGCGCAATCGACAGAAGTGCAATCGAGAGGAGCTCAATCGAGAGCAGAGCAAGAGAGAGGAGCGCAATTGACAGGAGTTCAATTGACAGGAGTGCAAGAGAAAGAAGCGCAAGAGAGAGGTGAGCAATCGACAGAAGCACAATCAAAAGGAGCGCAATCGACAGGAGCACAATCAAGAGGAGTGCAATCAACAGGAGCGAGCACTCTGCTGCAGCAGCGCAATCGAGAGGAGCGCAATCAACAGGAGCTCACTCGAGAGCATAGGAAGAGAGAGGAGCGCAATTGATAACAGCACGGAGCTCAATCATGAGCAGCACAATGGACAGGAGCACAATCGAGAGCAGAGCAATGGACAGGAGCGCAATCAAGAGGAGCGCAATGGACAGGAGCTCATTGGAGAGGAGCGCAATTGACAGGAGCGCAATCGAGTGAAGAGCAGCAGAGAGGGGCGCAATCGACAGGAGTGCTCACTCTGCTGCAGCAGCGCAATCAAGAGGAGCGCAATCAAGAGGAGCGCTATCAAGAGAAGAGCAATCGACAGTAGCACAATCGAAAGCAGAACAATCGACAGGAGCGCTGTAGAGAGGAGCGCAATCGACAGCAGAGGAGGAGAGAGGAGCGCTCCACTGCTGGAGCAGCACAATTCAGAGGAGCTCAATTGACAGGAGCGCAATTGAGAGGAGCGCAATTAAGAGGAGCGCAATCGAGAGACGAGCAGCAGTGAGGAGCGCAATCGAAAGGAGTGCTCACTCTGCTGCAGCAGCGCAATCAAAGCGAGTGCAATTAAGAGGATCGCAATCGACAGGAGGGCTCACTCTGCTGGAGAAGCACAATCGAAGGAGCAAACACTCTGCTAGAGCAGCGCAATTGACAGGAGCGCAAATCGAGCGCAATTAAGAGGAGCACAATTGACAGGAGTGCAATTGACAGGAGCTCAATTAAGAGGAGCGCAATCGACAGGAGCGCAACTGAGATCAGAGCATTCGAGAGGAGCGCTCACTCTGCTGCAGCAGCGCAATCGAGAGGACCGCTCATTCTGCTGGAGCAGCACAATCAAGAGCAGCGCAATCGACAGGAGCTCTATCGACAGGAGCGCAATCGACAGGAGCGCAATCGACAGGAGCTCAATCAAGAGGAGCTCGATCGACAGGAGAGCAATGGAGAGAAGAGCAGCAGAGAGAAGTGCAATCGACAGGAGCTCTATCGACAGGAGCGCAATCGACAGGAGCTCATTGGAGAGGAGCTCAATCGACAGGAGCGCAATCGAGAGAAGAGCAGAAGAGAGGAGCTCAATCAACAGGAGACCAATCGACAGGAGCACAATCGACAGGAGCACAATCGACAGAAGTGCAATCGAGAGGAGCCCAATCGAGAGCAGAGCAAGAGACAGGAGCGCAATCGACAGGAGCTCATTGGAGAGGAGTGCAATCGACAGGAGTGCAATCAACAGGAGCACAATGGACAGGAGCGCAATCAAAAACAGAGCAATCGAGAGGAGGTCACACTCTGCTGGAGCAGCACAATCTGGAGGAGCTCTATCGACAGGAGTGCTCACTCTGCTGGAGAAGCACAATCGAAGGAGCAAACACTAGCCCTAGCCCTAGCCGGTGTGTCTTGCTTGCGGGCAACACACAATTGCGCTCTGCCAAAATCGAAATTCACGCGACTGCGTTGACCCCCAACGCACTCGAAATTTACACTGCTCAAGTGCCGCAACGCAAACAAATTTATTTTTGCTGGAGCAGCGCAAATTGAGCAACGCACAGCTGGAGCAACGCACTCACAGCTGGAGCAACGCACACTCTGCTGGAGCAACGCAATCTGAGCAGCGCACAGCTCGAGAGCAACGCACTGTTCGAGAGCAACGCACAGCTCAAGAGCAACGCACAGCTGGAGCAACGCAATCTGAGAAGCGCAATCTCATCAGCGAACTGCTGGACAGCGCACACTCTGTCGGAGCAGCACAATTGAGAGCAGCGCAATTGAGAGGAGCGCAATCGAGAGGAGCGCAATCGAGAGGAGCGCTCACTCTGCTGGAGCAGCACAATCGACATGAGCGCAATCAAGACGAACGCAATCGACAGGAGCGCAATCGACAAAAGTGCAATCAACAGCAGCTCAATCGACAGGAGCACAATCAAGACGAGTGCAAGCGACAGGAGCGAGCACTCTGCTGCAGCAGCGCAATCGAGAGGAGCGCAATCACGAGCAGAGCAGGAGAGAGGAGCGCAATCGACAGGAGAGCAATCGAGAGACCAGCAGCTGAGAGGAGCGCAATCGACAGGAGTGCATTCGACAGGAGCTCAATCAAGAGCAGCGCAATTGACAGGAACTCAATTGAGAGCAGAGCAATCGACAGGAGCTCATTCGACAAGAGCACAATCAACAGGAGCTCAATCGACTGGAGCGCTCACTCTGCTGCAGCAGCACAATCTAGAGGAGCTCGATCGAGAGCAGTGCACACTGTGCTGGAGCAGCACAATCAAGAGGAGTGCACTGCTGGACAGCGCTCACTCTGCTGGAGGAGCACAAGTCGAAGGAGCACAAGACTAACCGTCATTTCAAACCCGATCTAACATTTGGAGCATGTTGACCGACATTTTTGACATCAAATACAATCTAACATTCTTGAGACGCATCTAACATTTTGTGACCTCTATTTTGACCTAATATTTTCGCACCTTTTGTTAAATATGTGTTCTTTGTTTCGATCAAGTATTTTGCGCACATTACTGATACTTTGAAATCATTGTTTCGATCTAACCTTTTTGGCATGTGACCTGTGTTATGTAACCCCTTTTTGATCTAACATCTACCACCCGTGACTGATATTTTCCTCGTGCCTCACAGCTAGCAGCGCACTGCTGGACAGCGTAATTAAGAGGAGCACACTGCTTGACAGTGCACACTCTGTCGCAGAAGCACAACTCAGAGCAGCGCAATCGAAAGCAGAGCAAGAGAGAGGAGCGCAATCGACAGGAGCGCAATCAAGAGGAGTGCAATCGACAAAAGCACAGTCGACAGGAGCGCAATCGAGAGATGAGCAGCAGAGAGGAGCGCAATCGACAGGAGTGCAAGAAAGAGCAGAGCAAGAGAGAGGAGCGCAATTGAGAGCAGAGCAATCGACAGGAGCGCAATCGACAGGAGCTCAATTGAGAGCAGAGCAGGAGAGAGGAGCGCAATGGAGAGCAGAGCAATCGACAGGAGTCAATCAAGAGGAGCGCAAGAGAGAGGAGTGCAATTAACAGGAGCGCGATCGAAAGTAGAGCAGGAGAGAGGAGCGTAATGAACACGAGCGCAAGAGAGAGGATCGCAATCGACAGGAGCGCCTGCTCTGCTGGAGCAGCACAATCGACATGAGTGCAATCGAGAGCAGAGCAAGAGAGAGGAGTGCAATCGAAAAGAGGGCAATCAAGAGGAGCGCAATTGACAGGAGCGCAACTGAGATCAGAGCATTCGAGAGGAGCGCTCACTCTGCTGGAGCAGAACAATCAAGAGCAGCACAATCGAAAGGAACTCTATCAAGAGGAGCGCAATCAACAGGAGCACATTGGAGAGGAGCATAATGGAGAGGAGCGCAATCAAGAGAAGAGCAGCAGAGAGGAGCTCAATCGACAGGAGCGCAATTGAGAGGAGAGCAGGAGAGAGGAGCTATATCGACAGGAGCCCAATCAAGAGGAGCTCGATCGACAGGAGACCAATCGACAGGAGCGCAATCGACCGGAGACCCATCGACAGGAGCGCAATCGACAGGACAGCAATCAATAGGAGCGCAATCGAGAGCAGAGCAGTAGAGAGGAGCTCTATCGACAAGAGCGCAATCGACAGAAGTGCAATCGAGAGGAGCTCAATCGAGAGCAGAGCAAGAGAGAGGAGCGCAATTGACAGGAGTGCAATCGACAGGAGTGCAAGAGAAAGAAGCGCAAGAGAGAGGTGAGCAATCGACAGGAGCACAATCAAAAGGAGCGCAATCGACAGGAGCACAATCAAGAGGAGTGCAATCGACAGGAGCGAGCACTCTGCTGCAGCAGCGCAATCGAGAGGAGCGCAATCGACAGGAGCTCACTCGAGAGCATAGGAAGAGAGAGGAGCGCAATTGATAACAGCACGGAGCTCAATCAAGAGCAGCACAATGGATAGGAGCGCAATCGAGAGCAGAGCAATGG